CCTACAAGACAAAAACAAAACAACAAAACTAGAACATTACAAACAACATACACATATTACTGGACCTTATACATTTCCACAGTGCAGCTATAGTTCTGAAATAATCACATGTTCAAATGTTTTTACTTCGGGTAAGGTGAATTTACTCTCCACAGCATGTCTTGATCTGTAACAGTTTCCATCCAAACTGAAAGACAAACGATCATGAAGAACTTTTGGCGATTTTGTCACAGATAGCCTTTTCATGAAAGCTGGTAATGAGGCAGTAAATCTGTTCTTTACGATCAACCAGGGAAGACGGTAATGCATTTTACTAACATTGGTTTTGTATGGACAGCCAAGTTATTATCGTGCTGCCTTGTTCTGAGGTAACTACTTTTTTGTTCATTCTCACACCTGAACACCATCTTACAGAGCATTTGCTTTTCTGTTGGTATTACAGGCAAAATAAACACAGTATTGTGTTGCTGAATCCTAAGTAAACCTAAAACTAAAACAAAAAAAGCATATTTTGGCTCAAACAACTTCTACTGACTGAACAAACAGGATGCAGGGTGTGAAATAGCTGAAATTTAGAGGTGCTGTTGGGCCTTAAATTGTAACGATATCTGACAGGTTGAAGTTTTAATAGTTAAAAAAGGAGACTAATCTAACTGCCATTCTGATGACTTCTTTATAATTGAAACAGACATGAAGGTGGTGTCAGCATTTCTTGTCGAATTTCAGTCATCGTATTTTTTTATTTTCATGAATCAGGTGGTCTGACCTTCGGCCACGAAAACTAAGCACTCCTAAAACAATGCATTCGTTTATTTTTAGGCTGCCAGTTGACTTTTCAGTCACCTTGTCAGGATCCCAAAAGTCTTAAAACAGCCTTTAAATGGATATTGGCGCTTTCTGCCAAGTTCCCTACAATCCTGAGTGACCTCTTGTATGACAGAGAGTGACCTGTTGTTTTGTCGACCCATAAAATATTTCTAAAGGTACACAGGAAAGTCCCTTATAGCAGCTGTAAACATCCTGGAGGATACACATCATGGGAACATTTGGCTCAAACTCCCTCTTTTATTTTTATGAGCACAGGTCATTGCCAGTTAGTCCGTCCCCTGAGCATGAACAGCTCTGTTCTTTTTGGACAAAGCATGACAACATCAGCCATCGGAGGATGACTGGCCAATAGTTGATCCATACTGAATCCTTTGTGCCCACACACACAAACATTTATCAGACCTCCACTGCTAAGCTCTGGATCCAGAAAGTCTGACCCAGCGCCATGTGAAGGTGTGAAACCCGGAGCATTTCCAGAACCAACCACCAGTCCTTAAACCACACGCAGACTCACACGTTGGCATGTTAATTCCTCACGCTCCTCCATACCCCCACAGCGAGCAGAACACAGGTCCTGTTTGGTTTGGATAGCCCTGCCAGGGGGACCTCCATGTTGTACAAACTAACACACACACAGCTCTGAGTAGGCAAATACAACAGGTCCTCACAGTGCAGTGCTGCTGCAGAGATCAATCGGCAGGGAAACTTTTCATCAGATATCGGAGAAGATTATGATTACTGAACAATCCTTTAAATCCTGCAGTGATAAAATATATCTTATGTTATATATGCATGAGTGAGCTGTGCAACAAATCACAATCTCTTTAAACATTAATGTCTGTTTGTGTCTCTTCTCTCTAAAAACTTCACAATATTGTCCCAGTGGTCCACACGCCAATGTCCAACCCAACTTGATGAGCTGATGAGTGAATGCAGCAGGTAATAAACTGGAACATTTAGAGTGAGTAGGTGAGGAGACGCCATAAAGCTCGTTATTTAGTGCTTTTTTTACTCGCCTTGTTTGTCATTTTATAGTTTTTCACTGTTGTTTGTGTTGCAGAAATATCTTGATGTTGTACTGATATTAGCACAGAAAGAGTCACGACTTCAGGAGACTCACTATGAAGTGCATGTGAGTAAGGATGTACAAAAATTAAACACAAATTTTCTTCTCACTCAAACAGTTCTGTAACACTATCAACATCCAGTCGTATTGTGGTTTGTGGTTAATATGTGTCTGTTTTCTTCAATTTGGTTGATGTCTCTCTGACTCAGCTCCTCATGATTTGACATCTTTCACTAATTTCTGTGCTGTTTTCTCCACTTCTGATTTTCTTTTGTTTCTGCTGTTGACTGGTCAGCCGTTGACCACAAATCTGAAGTTTAGTGTTCTCCAAATAAATTCAGAATAATGTGAAAAATATTCTCAAAGATGTAATTAGAAGGTAACCTACTTTAGCATAGCTATCCACAAGTGCCAAGTGCCACAAGAGAGGGGGGAGGTGGGAAACACAAAGTTATGACAATAAAAATCTATGCCTGTGGCTAATTTATGTGCTTGTGGACAGTATGGGGCCAAGCATGAGATTATGTTTGTAGTGGCAGCTGATTGGAGTGGCTTGTGGAGGGTTTTTGACGCAACTTTGGTGCACAAAAATCTGTTTATGAGCAACACTGGAGATGTTTGCAAGCCACACACACAGACCATCTAATTAGTGCTAACTCACCAATTACAAGAATAATACTCTGCATAACAAAAAGCTTAAAAGACAGACTTCTTGCACAATGAGTAAGTAAACTTAGCCATAAATAAAATATTATCTTTCTGGTTTTGCATCAAAAATCTCCAAACAGCACCAACATAACAGACAAATTGCAGCACAGACCTGTCTTTGAAAAAACCCTGCCCTGTAGAGGTCTAAGCATTATTTCAAGCAGATATATTTATATACAAGTTTTATTTAATGAAACTCACAAATTGATGGTCACAGACTTTATCTTTTTGTACCAGACTGTACATATGCTCTAAGAGCTGTTGTGGAACGTTTGGTATTTTAATACATGCCTCTGTGGGAATCAACTCACTTTTGGACCCAGCCTCAAGTGGCCACTCACAGAACTGCAGTTTTTAGCTCTTTCAAGTTGGCTTTCCAGAACCAAATGTTGTACTTTGGTTTCAGTTGACCCTCTGACCACTTTGCTGCATGTCCAAATTTGACCTGAAAGCATCTGCGTTGCCTCTGATGTGGCTGCATTTATCAAAAATCTAAATGTGTGGGATTCTGCTCTCAGTATGAGCCTGAATACTTCCACATGTGGCTTTTGAAGATCCCAGAGCAGCAAAATCTAATTTCTGTGCATTTTGACCTGTCACTTAATACACTCCTGCTTCAGACAGAGACATTAAAGGCAAATTGAAATGACACGTGTAACCATAGCCGTAGATTATACGCCTGGTTATGATCTCTTGAGGAACATTTACCGTTGAATTCTCTGTCCTGCTGTTTTTTTGTAAAATATCAGATGAAGTCACAGCGATGCTGCTGTCCTCACAGTCATGATGAAGGGAGCAGCATTATTGTAGATAATGCTCAGCATTAATCTCACTCTGGCCTACATAAGCCGGGTTAAAGGTCAAAGCCATTTCGCGTAGTCGTCCTCACGGTTGAACTTGTAAGACTATTTATTATGACCCTTACGCTCTGGTTTCAGATATCACTTTTACTCTCCCTCACTCACTCTCTCCTCTCAAACATGTGTGGTTGAATTCGAGGTATTTTAGTCTAAATCCTGCATTTTGTGGGTAGATAATAACTCGTGCCTCTTGTCTGCGTGAAATGCAGCGGTCTGCTTGTTTATTCCCATGAAGAACAGCAACAAGATACTCCCATGTTGTCAAAATGATGAGGGTTTTTAATGACAGGGGATGACAGCTCACTCTTAGGCAATTATTATTTGCTTTTCAAGTGTCATTATTTCAAAAGAAACAGCAGTAAATCCTTCAATATCTGTCTGAGAGGGAGGATTTGGTTTTCGGAGTGGTCACTTTCAAATGCCAATGCAAATCCTCACCAGATCTCAAACTGTGTTTTTCAGGGACAACAGTATTGTATTGCATGTACTCAAACAAATAACCACATTAATTAATCATATTTTGTTTTTCACTTAAGACGTGGTATGGGAAACTCGGCCAACTCCACTATAAAGCCCTCTCTCTCTTTCACACACATTCTTTCAAACACATCTCCAGAAAAGTCCAGATTTAAGACCTGTCGCTGCCGTGAAACATAGTGAAAAGGAGTATCCTGTGGGGCCCTTGGGGGCCAGAAAGGTACTATGTAGCTCTGTATGTGTGCTCGTGCGTGCATGCGTGCGTGTGAGTGTGTGAATGCGTGTGTGTAGCAGCAAAGAGTGACCCGAGAGGCCCAGCTAGTTACAGCCTCTCTGCTGGAGACCACCACTTCCACAAAACAAGCATTGTTGGTACAGAGCTCCAGACACCAGAGACACACTGGAAACAACTCCTAACCACACACATACACACACACGTACCAAAATACATACACACCAGGGACAAAACTGGGCTGGGCCCGAACACCCAACCTCAGAATAGATTGTGTCCTGGTTTTTAAGAATTAAATCAGAATGAAGTCACATCTTATAGCAACACCCCTGCCTCCAAATCCACAGAAACACACAAACATGGATTACTGTCGCTAACAATAACCCTTGGGTGGTTGGTCAGACTATTATTGTAGGTGTTTCTATGCTAATTATGTGTGACTGAGAGCATGTCAGAAGCAGTTACTGGAAATAATGTGGTGAGCTCGAAATTGTGAGGTGGAATTACTTCATAAGAAAAAAAAAACTTAGTTTATTGAGTTTCAACAGAGGCTTTGTCTGACCAGTGCTGAACAAATGAGCACTGTTAGCACTATAAACGACAGTGCCAAAGCCACTGGGTTAGTATATTACTCCAAAACAACATAAGGAAGACATCATCATCATCCTCATCATCATCAATATCACCATCATCATCATCAAAGAGGGAAGGAGGGGTCAGCATCATGACCTCCGCTCTGGCTGTGCGCTCTGCAGAGACCTCGTTGGCTGGCAGGAGCATACGTCAGCACCTCTCACTGCTCCAGTATAACCCCCTCAAGCCTCGTGCGGTCACACAGACGCAAGTGTAAAAGTAGAAGCTCCAACTGTTGCCCGGACTAACCCACGAACAGCATCCACGCTCTGACACAGAGGAGTGAGACAGAGCGGAACGAGCAACGAGGAGAGGGGGGAACTTTTACGCACAGCTTGGAGAGTCTGGATTGTTCGGGGGCTTCTTTAAAAATTCACTTTGGATAGTTTTTCACACCGTTTTTCTTCTTTTTTTTCCCCCTCTTGGATTCTAAATGGCAGCTCTAAGTCTAATTCCCTCGCACCTGCTCCTGCTGATGTTAAACTGTTTCCTGGGTGCTGCATCTGTCAGGACCTTGAAAGGAGGCACCGGGAGCGCACAGGACAGTGGTTTCTTCCACTCCACGTCGTCGGACCTGTTTCTCGATGACCTGGATCAGGATATGGTCTCCCAACACATGTTTAAACTGTATGAGAAATGCAACAGGGAAAACCGTCTCAAAGAGGGGAACACTGTCAGGAGTTTCAGAGCCAGCCAAGGTGCGTGAATGCTTTGATTTACCTGCCTATTACGCAACCGATAGGTAACCTTCCTGCAAACGTATAAAGCAAAAACAACTAAAGAAGAAATATATGATAATGCGAGTGCGCGTGAACGTCAGAGAGCTCCCTGATCCTCTCCATGAATGGTTATTAAAAGTGCACGCGCTCAGACGGTGCATGGCTCGAGCCGACTCTCTAAATAGGTACGGTTGTTTTGGAACAGTCTGAGAATGCATGTAAATGATTTCTGGACGCTGGTGGGCTCACTGTGTTTTGTAGCAGCAGCTGCGTCCTGTCTGATCAATTCCCGCAGACACGCGCGCAATATACCCAAGAATGCACGCGATTCCTCCGCCAGCCGTGTCCTAGCGTCAGTAACCTACAGTAAAACTTCAGCAGCAGCAGCTATAAGCGCTGCAAAGGGTCATTGTCCCGGCTCCTGTGTTCCTGTTGTGGCTACAGGACATGTGTGGCTCCACGTCCTGGAGTCAAAGGGGCTTAGCGCACAGTCGTTCCTCTCTGCCTGATGCTGTTTTTAAAAACACAACTCATAGACATTTTATCCCACATACTTCTCAGATGGCATAGCATAACACGTGTGTATTTTTACTGCAGAGGCTGCGTGTAATCCAAGGAGAGATGTAAGGGAGTTTTCACAACAATGTAAGATCTGTTAAAACAGTTGATTTTGTCTTGGTGTCTGGGCAGACAGTGCTGGCTGTATTAGGCTTAAGGGGGAAGCTTTAAAGGAGACTGAGGTAAGCATTTCCATATGCAGGCTGAATCCGAGGTAATGTATATCTCTTGAGTCAGTCCATGCTTCCGCTGAACTCTTATACAATGAACAATAACTCTGCTGTTGAAGTTAATGTTCATCATGAATATGTAGCTCTCTATTCAACTCTCTCTGCCCCTGCCAGCCTGATCCTGAGGGTCTGGTTCCTCTTAAGGGCACCTTCCCTCAGACGTGTAGCTGTGAACTAACAGTTTAGCGCAGACATGTTGCAAAGAACAAGGACAAGTTTTTTAAAGTTCCACTTTTTAACCTCTTAAACGCAGCAGGGGTGATTTTTGGCACATTATGAGCGCTTCTCTCCTCAACGTTTTCCTTCCTCACTGCCATATGAGACTCAACCGCTAAATTCTGCTTTTAGCATTCTTTCTACCAAAACTACTTAAAATAGGTAAAATACAACTTAAAATCACCTGCTTCCGAGTGCCCATATTGGCAAATACTTTCATCGCATTGTGCCGAACATTTGAGCTCATACGGGCCTCATGAGAAGCTAAGGGATAATGGAGCATACTACATTTTGGCTTACGGTTCCTTTGCACAAACAAACACTATGAATAAAGACAGCTAAACTCCATAAATGACCTTGTTTCTGTCATTTTTAGATTCACAGATCAGCAGTAAATGTTGAGGATGCGTGCCGGTATCTCCAAAACTGTTTTGTGGGTTAAAACAAAGTTTCATTGTCAGGTTGCCCACCTGACTCACCAACAATGATTGATCTATTGCTCTGGTTTCAGACTCCTCTGACCATAGGACGGTGTACCGACTGAACCTCACCACCCTCCAGGATTCAGAGGTCGTCCTCTCCGCCACATTCCACTTCCTGCTCGATCGTCGCCCTCATCACAAACCCTGGTTCTGTAAGCGCTTCAAAAGCCCATCCTGCCGATCCTCAGCCGTCCAGCCTTCTCCGTCCATCAGCCTGCTCCTTCGTTCTGTCTCCTCGGGGTCAGAGGTCAGATCTGGGTCAATGGGGTCACTCCTAGGCAACGTGACCTTCCACCCCCACAGGAGAGGGGTGTGGCAGATGAAAGATGTGACCCAGGTCATAAAGGAGGCAAGGGAAAAGGGTCATCTCCTGGTGTCAGTGGAGTTGGACTTAGGGCGGCAGTACCTCATGAAACCAGAGGAGGTGCTGCCTCCTGGAGGTCTGCCCTACCTGCTGCTGTATGCCAATGATCAAGCTTTGGCAGAACCCAACAGCGTGGCCTCAAGCCTTCAGAGGTACGACCCGTTAAAGGAGGACGGAGTGCCCTCTCAGTCCCCTCAGCTCCCGCAGAAACCAAACTCGTCACCAGAGCTGAAAGGACGCGTGAGAAGGGAAGCACCTCTGCTCTCTGACACCATCCAGAACAATGAGTTGCCAGAGGTCGACTACAGGCCCGAGGGATACAGGAAGGATGACCTTTGGGAAAGCACTTGGTACCTGGCACTCAAACCCAAACATAAATCAGGAAAGAAAAGAAAGAGCCAAGAGGATGAAGAAGTGAGGACAGGTGGAAAAGCACACGACAGAAACGAGGAGGTTCTTAGAGAAGTAGAAAGAGTATCACAGGAGCTAAAGCCAGATGACTCAAATGTGAAAAAACTCAAAGATAGTCATATGCAGACTGTCAGCAATGGACGAAAGCATGAGCAGAAAAACGAGGGGAAAAATGGCAAAAAGCACAAGGGGAGCGCCAGCGCTCAGTCGCCCGTTTTGAGCTTCGATGAACAAACGATGCGAAAGGCGAGGAGGAGGCAGTGGGGTGACGCCCAGCAGAGAGGCTGCTCCAGGAGGAACCTCAGAGTGGATTTTGCAGACATTGGATGGAGCGAGTGGGTCATAGCACCCAAGGCTTTTGACGCCTATTACTGCGCCGGGACGTGTGGGTTTCCCATGCCAAAGGTAGGAGCACAAAACAATTCTGATTCCCGTAATGTAGTATTTGTAGACGGGAGTAACCCATTAATACTAGTGCAATTCAAGGAGAACATACATGTTTGAGGGTTAATTTTTGAGCTCTTGTTTGCCTTTACCTGATTGGACAGTTAAAGAGACAGATAATGGGAGGAGAGAGGGATGGGTATGAAATGCACCAATGAGCGGAACGAGTGTCCATCCTGCAGCTAGTATAACTATGACTGTAGCTCCCGTCAGCTGAGCTCAACCAGAGTCCCAAAAGTCGGTACAATTTGTCTCTGGAAACCAAAGACAAGATTTAAATTGGACAGCAGGCGCCAGTTTGGCCCAGTGGATAAGTTGCACACCCTACGAACTGAGGCTACAGTTCCCTAAGTTGTGTCCGTCTTTAAAGCTCCATTGATGAATTTTCTATTAGTGTCAACTTTGGCGCCCCCCTGTGGACAAAGCAGTCTTTTTTCATCTTGTCCTCTACATGCTCAAGTAGTGTTTCATGAAATGACAGGGCGTTTTCCTGCTGTTGGGTTACCCCTACCACTTCGCACCGGTTTAAGGCATTTAAAAATGGTGATTGAAATTGTCCTTGTTTGCTTTGGCATCAATATGAAATTCATAGGAGCTTTAAAATTAGTTTTCACTCTGATTTATGTTTTTAAAAAATCATTTTCTGGACATTTTAGTTTTAATTAGTTAGTTTTTGCTATAAAAAGGGGGTATGTTGACAACTGAGGCTCTTAAAGCGTACTGTCAGCACCAGGTGGTGGAGTTAAGGAGTAACAGCAAGAAAAAAAACTATAACAGAAGTCACTGAAACTTTTGTGAGTTAGTGTATCCTTCTTTGGCATTTTATCAGTTGGTTAAAAGTATGTTTTGGTAAACACAGGGCCTGTGGACATGTAGACACTAGCTTCCAACATCACCAGTGGAATAAGTCAACACAGGCAGTATTTTGGCCTCAGTTTAGGTAGAGATGTGTTGTAAATGGGGAAAATTGTTGGTACCCGACATTTTGCCAGCTTGACGAATATTTTGCTCTCCTTCAGCAACATACTGCTGATGTTTTTTTTATCAAATCATGATAATAAACCTTGAGGTTTAGGTAGCAACTCTTTTAATCAGTTGGATTGATTCAATGACCATACTACACACCAACACCTGTACACATTTAAGAGGTGTTTTAAATACATCCTTTTGTGACACTTTGCAGTAAAAAATTTAAAAATGCTATTTCCTCAGCTTACAGTTAATCACTTTGATTCACACCAACCCTGCAGCAGCAGTATAAGACATCAGAGACATCTTTACAGGAACAGTCAAGGTTGTTGTTAACAGTCTGTTTGTTATAAAGAGTCACTTTGTTTCATAGCCAGTTAAAAACTTCTCTCGGGAGCTTTAAGTCTACATCATCTCTTTTCGTCATGAAATCAGTGTTACCAAGCTGTACCAAAGGTTTGTGTTGTTTTTATTCATTTTTCTCATCTCTCCTTCCAGGTGGCGAAGCCGTCCAACCACGCCACCATCCAGAGCATAGTCCGAGCCGTTGGCATCATCCCCGGTGTCCCTGAGCCCTGCTGCGTCCCCGAAAAGATGAGTCCTCTGCCTGTGCTTTACCAGGATGAATCCAGGAACCCAGTGCTGAAGATTTACCCCGACATGTCTGTGCAGTCCTGCTCCTGCAGATAGGAAGGGGAGGGCGATTGAGGCAGAGGAGAAAACAGGGTGGACGTGCAGAAAATAAACAGAAAACTAATGGGGACAGAACCATACCTCTGTTTGGTGTCCTGACACTGAGGAACAAACTCACTTTGGCCGTCGGTATTCCTGGAGGAACTCTGGCTGTAGAGAAATCACTTCCATCTCTTCTGTCCCGCGGCAGCAGACATGAAGAGACACATTGTCTGGCATCTGCTTCAGCAGGAGGAACAGAGTCACACGTGTAAAGTCAGGGCTCCACATGTCCCAGACGCCCGCTTGTTTTGATTCTGTGTTTGAGATTAAAACGGAGGATTTTACAGACAGGAGCGTTTTAAAGGATGTTTTCCTTTTATCTCAGAACGTAGTTGTTGTTCAAGCAGCTCGCAGCGAGTTTGAGTTGGTGTTTTCTTTGGACACAAAAGCTCTGAATAAAGACTTTATCTTTGTGTCATCAGGCAGCTGAAAGAGTCGCATACAGATGATAGAGATTATGATACATTTTCCTACATACTTTGTACAGATGTTCCTACTCTAATGAAAATCAGACGCCACATTGTACATACATGCGATGCTCATTTGTTTTCAGGAGAGGAAGGTTATTGTTTTCCTTTCTTTCTTATGTTAAAAGGAAATATGTCACGAATTACAGACAGCATCTGGGATTCATTTACACCCCCTCATAACACTTCAAGAATGTTTTATTAAAAGCAGAAATATTTTTCTATTTTGAATGTGAAACTTGCTTAAAATAAGTTGTCATGGTTACTAGTTTATGTATTACGTTATTTTAGAGAGATGTGGTTTTGTACATGTGTATTGTTTAAATTATGAAAAGGTAGCCCTCTATATGTTAGAATAAAAGGTAATTTAATCCCATGCTTTCGCTGGAATATTATTGTTTTACTCACCTTGTGTTATTCTTAGTCATTACTGGTTATGGGGTCTGGTTCTTTGGGGGACGTTTTGGTCCAAACAAAGCTAAAAGGGCACCTCTGTTTTAAAATAGCTTACTACGAAAGCAGGAAGGTCCCACTCAGAGATATCTAACATTCCCTCAAAGCCTCTTGAACCCATTATTACCCCACACCAAAGGCTCGGCGTCTGTTGTCCAGCAAATAATGTGACTGATGCAGATGCCTTGGGTTAATGGTTGATGGAGGAAGCAGGCATGCACCCATTAGGACGTCAGCCACTTGAACTTCAAAACACTTCCCCATTTCTCTTCCTCTGCCCCCTCGATACGAGAGCAGAACCACTCCAACTGCAGGATTTCTTTTTAAACAGATGGTAACAGGAAGATGATCTCAGCCACTTTGACTGAACTGCTGTCACTTTTATTCACAGCAGGAGGAGGGGGGGGACCCATGTGGTGTTTAAACAGTGTGTCAAGCTGACAGAGAAATGACAGAGGGACCCTTATGATTATTAACCCGTCACTTTGTGTTTGTTTTTGCCCCAAGCTTGGAAAAGTTGGCACAAGGGGACCACATCTGTTTGCAACAACAAAATGCTCCAAAGTTCACCGGGACTCCACTGTGCTGTATTTTATTTACCACCGAAAGGGACATTTGGAGACAACAAGAGGGGGCAGGGACAAGAGATTAAGTCTTTGAACTGTTTAATGTGGCTGCGAGTTTTACTGAGGGGGAGATGGAAAAAAAACAGTGCCACCAATCCTTCCTGCACTTCTCTGTCAGTAATGATAAGAAAATTTGAAACTATTCACCCACCATATAAAGACCCCATATTTCTTAATTCATAGGACTGATCAAATGGAGATCATAGTACTTTTCTGATGGAGATTTTCTTTGTTTTTACCATAGACTGTATATACTATGGACAACTTAGTTCCACCTCCCGCCAGTATATGGATTTGAAGCCAAAAAGCTCTCGGTAATTTCACAATTTTTCTCCTTTTCCTGAAACCATCATAGCGCAGTAATATTGTACGCATTCGGCAGGAGAGTCGCAGAGAGTCACTGTGATGACACTCGGCTCAAACAGCGTATCCCCCCGGGTGAGCTACTCTTCATACACCCATAGGCTGTATCAGGTGTCAATCATAGAAAACATGAACCCCCTAATAACTTTTAAAAATGGAGCTGTACAGAAAAAAGAGGACTTGAGCACAAACCAGTCTTACAATAACTACATGTCAACATCACAAGCAGGGGGGAGAAAAATGTATATTCTGTGTAATAAATCTCTAAAGTTTGTCCACAGCTCCATAAGCTTTGCTGGAGGAGGCGGGATTTATGACCTATACTGCAGCCCATCACCAGAGGGTGCTGTTCTTGGAGTGGCTTCACCTAGCGAGGAGGCAGACGGCGTCTATTCTATATACGGTCTTTGGATTTTACTGTAAAAAGTGACAAGAAAATCCACTTCTGTCAGTGTTATTCAGTTGCATTGAGCAGTACAGACTTGGTGGAACTGGAATATGCTTAAATTGACGTATAATCACCTCAATAGGAAAATCATCTAGTTTTTGAAACTTGTAATTAGCCTTTAGGTTCTTGCAACGCCATGTTTCTACATTTGGAAAGAACCAACTGCAGAGACCGTACCATCCAGAAGACAAAAGAAGAAGAGGGTTGTTGTTGTTGCATGCAGAAGAATTTGAATTGACAGATTTTGGTTGTAAAAACTTAAAAAATGGAGGAAAACACTCATTCTGCTTCAGGAGCATCTTGTCCTTCCAGGCCGCTATGTATTCTGTAATTTCACCAACAGGAGGGGTGAGCAAGGGAGCATTTCAAACTTAAATCAGACCTTTGGTTATTTCTAAATATTCCCATTTCTGCATTTAAAGGTCCGAAATGGTCTTTGCCTCTATGCGAGTTGATGTCCCTAAACTAAAAGTCTCCTCTTGCTCTCTTTTGACAGTCAGAAACGTCAGGTATTGAGAATTTTTGCGGTATCAGATAATAAAAGGCTGTATCAACACGCTGACACCTACCGCCACCAGTGATCTGTCTTTAATGACTCTATAGAAATAGTCACTTAAGTTACTGAAAGTTTGCTGTCTTATGCCATAAAGAGGAATCAGTATTTACTACTTTAGTCTGCTTCATCACCAGCTTAAAACACGAGCTTTAAAAAGTTTATTAGGCCAAGAAGTTGTTTAATATTCCAAAAGGTACAGTGATATTTTGACCTGGCATGAATTTGGTGCAAATCAGAAACATGTTGAATACCCATAAAATAATACACCATCCCTTTTTTGCATTGTTTTACATTACGTAAACCAACACCATGTTGTGTTTGGTGTTAATTCTCTGAGGGAGTAAATGAGCAGGATATAATGAGGCTTTTTTGACTCAAGTCCATTTCTACTAAAGCAGACATAACTTTGAGAGCTTGGGTTGTAAAACACATATTATTCAAACCTGGAATGAAGTCAATGGTGTTCTGAACGCTGCATGGTGTGGTAATCTTTTAGAAAACTGCACCGCTCCCCCCCCCCCGTAGGTTTCCAACAAAGGAACTCTTTTTATTCTACCTCTTTTTAATATCAAGTTTAAAATCAGCTGTCTTCACATTTTGTCATTCTTAGAGTTTGATTAAGAGGATCTTTAGCAAAAGGGAGAGTGTGGCTTGTGTGACATGTGATAAAGAGATGAAAAGATTATCTTAAATCCATAAAGACAGATGGCTGAGAGCGACAGATGATGGAAGAGAGAGAAAAGTCTGGAATACCAAACACATGAGTCAGTTTTCTACTTTTAGAACAAGTAAAAATGTTTGGCCCCCATAAACCTTTTCACAAAAGCCTCCTTCATACGAGCTCGAACCTCCATTGAAATGATTTTGATGACTGTAATTTGGGTTATTATAAATCATGTTTACATTAATAGATGGTTTACCTTCTTCGTCGTCTGGCTCAGTTGTAATGATCACATCCAGGTTCTTTTTTTTTCTTTTTTTTCCTCATTTCATTTCCAGACTGATCTTTCAAACAGTCTGCAGCCACAGTCTGCTTTTACAAAGTGAACTCACGTCAACCGCGATCACAGTCACAGGAGAGCTCTTACAAAGGTCGACTCCAGCCCAGAAAACCACCGCAGTCCAGGCTCCTGTTCAGAGCGCGGCGTGCCCAAAAGCCAAACCCAAACGAGCCGAGAGGGGAACCAGGAACAATATTTGTTTTTCCACATGATGACTGTTCAATTAAAGGAGAGCAGAGCGGCCATTATTAGACAACAGAGGAGTTTCTGTGTCTGGGATTAAATGGGTTTTTCCTCACACGCTCAGAGGACTAATAGTTCTGTTCATTAGGATGTAGCTTTAGTAGATTGACACTGTGCCTCTTAATCACCTATTTAATCACACTGACCCCTGAGCATTCGACTTAAAAGTCATGGTTTTCCATTTCAACTTAAAATTTCCCTTTGACAGGTTTTCAAACAACTTTCATTCAGCGAAGAAACACTCTTTATTTTGGAAAGTAAGACATCTTTGAGGTTAACCTGGTCAGAAAAATTGATTTTCTGTTTACGAGCTCTTTGTGCAAAGTGTCTTGAGACAACTTTGAAGATGACAAGATGAATTTAAACAAAACTGATAGACGATTTGAAAGAGAAAAACTCATGAAATATTATGATTGGTCTTGTATATGGGTGGGATGTATGATAGCATGGATCCAAATTGCAAGACCCAGATAAATTATCATGTATGAAAGAAATATTGAGTACATATCAGCTCAAACTCAGAGTTTTTATGCCTACCTGTTCACCGTTCATGTTTTACACAATACCCATTAACCTGCAGAGCTCTAAGTGGATCCAGACTGAGACTGGGATCATTTTTAAGTCAAACTATAAATTTCTAAAGATGTTGGAGTCACTTAGTCACACATAATCTATTCATATTGCAATCTTGATGACGCTTTCAGTGCTGTGGTGTGTAGCATCGGTTTACTCGCTTTATAATTCCTCTGACATAAATAAACATGCTTTTCTTCTCTTGGACTTTGGCTGTTTTGAGTTCAGGTTTCAATGCCAGACTATAAAAAATGACTTCAGGTATCACATGAAAACTGCAATTAGGATCGTCTTATTAGAAAACCTTTAAGTGTCTCCCTAAAACCTTTTTTAAAAATGAGTTTGGGAGAAGAATAAAAGCAGGTATCAGCAGCGCGAGCGAGTTCACATCCCTGCTAATGTTACCGAGAGACTGAACACGGCCGTGCTGTGACTTTCCCATGAACTTCAGGCCCTCTGCTCGCCTCATTTACCTGAAACAGAGACGGCTATTTATGTCTGTATGTCTGCGGCGTAGAATGAATAGGATGTAAGCTGCTCCACTATAGACGGAAAAACATAAAATCCAAAAATTCAAAGCAGTATGTGGACTCCATCCAAGTTTGTAGATGAAAAAGAAGGAAACTCTAAAACTTGATTTCATCTTAGAGATGCAGATTTGATAAGGGTCTTGAATTGTTGTTTAAAGATGTTATTTCTTTAATTCAGCTCGCTACAATGTTGGCGGAAGCATCTCAGATATGATTTTAAACAACTTGACTATTTCTGTAGTAGGATAACAGGAGAGAATGAACAAGATCCTTCACAAAATTGACACGATCCCACCGTCTACCCCCCTGATATTCTCTTCAAACAATATAAAGATAAGAGGAAAAGTTGTTTGTAGTCAGATCTGACAGAAACTTCCACCCTCTTTGATTTGGAAGAAAACCACTCAACACATCTGTCTCATTTCCATATTTTAAGAGTTCAAAACCAAAGTGCAAACACACTCAATCCACATCTGTTGTACAAATCAGAGCAAAGAAAAGCAGATAAATTAGAGGATTGACATTTATGACAATCATCAGCTGTCCTTGAGACCTCTCAGTCTTTTCTTCCCTCCTCAGCTCCATAAGGCACAAAATAATCATCAAGCTAACATCCAGGCCTAAAGGACACGCAGCAAACTGCAGTGAAATCACTAAAACACGCGCCTCTATCGCCATCTAGTGGAGGGGCTATGAAGGTCACGTGGGTCTGTTTGCAGTTTTCTATACAGCTAACTACATTCACCGTTCCGCACCAAAGCCCCGCTGTGGATCTCGAGTCTGGATCTGTTAAATACGAGCATAATCTGGGGAATAAATAACCGTTTTTCTCCTTTTTTGTCTGTCTTAGTTGTGAGAGGTCATGTGTCTGGACAGGTGGTGCCTCTCCCTGAAATATTCGTGGCAGATCGGGCAGGTGAGTTTCTCCTCCCTCCTCCTCCTCACCTGGGACTCCGCGGCAAACTCCTTCTTGTGATGAGAGCGCATGTGGAAGACGAGGTCAGAGGTCATGCGAAAGGAGAGGTTGCATTTGGCGCACCAGTTCTGTACTGAGACCCCGAATGAGGTGAAAGTCGGCGGCAGGACAGTGAGAGACGGAGTGGTCTGCAGCTGAACGCCGATGTTCCGGGACCAGTGCTCCGGTGCGTAATGAAAAGCGTTGTTTAGAGCGACCGGGGATGGCCCAGCCGGTATGTCAGTGCCCAGGATGTTGGATGCCATCAGGTTGTTGTATCCCATAACAGTCCTGGAGGAAAACGCGTCAGACATCTCCTCTAAGCGGCTAGAGGGAGCTGTTGGAGCGCGGCTGACACACGCCTGCGGCTCCACAGGAGAAGTTCTTTTACTCGGTTTACAAAAGGCGCTTTTCTGCTCGCCCTGGCTGTTGGAAACGACAAGTGAAAATGCGCTGCCGCTGCTTGAGCGCACAATGGAGCTCTCTGATGTTCCAACAGTCTCTCTGTCGTGCGTAAAAGTCCCCTTGGCTTCCCCTACTTCAATATCTTTACGTCCGAGGTGATCCAGTTTGGTCTTATCAGCTTTCCCCGCAGAAGAGGATTCATCTCCTGCTGCCTGCTCGTAGTCTTTACTCAGCTGTGTGATATTATCATCATTTGAAATATTCGTTTTCTCCAAAAGAACCGCTTTCCGACCTTTGGGATACAGAGTTTCCTCATATTTCCTTCTCTTTGGAAAGATCTCAGCATCCTCGTTGCTGCTGCTGCCTGATTTCTTGTGTTCCAGATCTCTGGCGATGTTGTGGAAATCTGTCACTCTGTGTTGCCTCTTAATTTCCACGTGTTTGTGCTCGTAAACCTCTCGGCTCCATGTGTCACACTTGACTTGAGTGCACAGAAATCGACAGTGAGCCAGGAAGGGATACTCGTGCTTGAAGACCTGGTTACATCTTCCACATTTGAAATCTGGAAGTGACAGAAATAAAAAAAAAAATGAGTACAAACTCAGTCTGAATATTTGTTAGTGGATTTTTGTGAATATACAAAGCCATTCTGTGATGAAATATATATATTGTCTTGTATAAGGAGGATGCATGACATGGTGTTGATTGGCTTCGGCACTTTTGGCACTCACCTTCACTCGAGGGTCTGGTCATGTCTGTGAACCCCAGCAGGTGAGACAGCTCCTGGTCGTACCACACCAGCAGCTCTTCCTCCTGCCTGATGTCCCGGATGGTCCTCACATATAGCTGACCAGCTTTCAGGAAGGCCTCCGTGTTCTGCTCCTCTCCGTTACGCGCAGCCTGAACGAGCCGCAGCCAGGACAGCACCAGTGCGGAATTACGCATGGCCTCGGGGTCCACCTGTTGAGAAAAAATATTATTTTATTTGCTCTGCAAAATGATCACATTCAGTTTTTAGTCATTGACCTTTTCTAATTACAAGTCTATCTGATGAGTGAAACATTTATCCATGTCTGAAACACAAAACCAGACTGAAGTGATTCAAATGCGTAAAATCTGAAACCAAAATGAGTTTTAAACATAATGTCTGACTTGACACCGTCTACTTTGGTCCAAATAGAGGTAGTAAAGCTGCTCAGAGATTCTTCTATTTGAAGTTGAATAAGATATCCTCCAAAAACCAAGATCACTCACCCTGAACACGTAGGATTTGGTTCTCTTGTCGCAGGATTTCTGCGCTATGAAGGCGATGGTGTCATAGAAAGTGTTCTGGAGCACACAGGGGCCAAAGCACGTGCCTGCAGGGATGCTGCGCGTAACGACCACACTGGTGAAGAGATCCGCTGGAGGCTGCAGGAATTTACTGTCACCGGTCCAGATGGACCGAGGCAGGAAGGAGTGATCCATCGTCAAACTGCAAGAAAAATAGGATGATTGTTAGTTTAGGGGCCAGTCCAGCTTGTAAATGGAATAGTTAATTCTGTCTTTAAGCTCAAAGTGGAATCATGAAGCCTTAACTGTGAATAAAACCAATTTCACAATCATTTATATTAATGTTAAAGCAAACACTGAGCATTGTGAACTAAATATGTATTCAAAAGGTTTCCTATGTGATGCTTTGATCCCCGGTTGAATCCTTAACATGCAATATCGACAAAAAATCATAAACACAGTAGAGAATCTGAGGTTATGTTGTTGACTGCTAGAATAACGTGGTTTTAACTCAGAAGTAGGCGCAGCCGGAGCCGAGGCAAAACGATTTCTAACGTCCTTTGTCTCAGTTTTTCACTCGGTTTCTCCTTTTGTCTCCCCATCTGCCGCGCAGCCAACTGCCTCCTCTGTGCGCAGAAGTTCACTGCTTGCCTTTCCAAACGTATCAACAATATGGATACAAAAAGATTACACGACGAATGATTTGCACCTCGAGGGTTGGAAAAGTATCAAGTAAAGAAGGTTTTACTTGAAAATGACATGACACTTGACCGTTCCTGCATTTGTACTAAACGACGTGCAGCTGATCTGAAGATGCCAGTCTGAGAATGATGACAGCTGGATGAAAACAGCGCATCCCTGTTGAGAAATCAAAGTGCTATACGGCTGTATGTTGACTCACCTGCCAGACATCTGAGAGGATGTTGCTGCCGTGAGTCGGTGAGTTGCAGCAGGTGCAGCGATGCTCTCTCTCTCTCTTTCTCTCTCTCTCTCTCTCTCCTTCTGGTTTCGTGGAGACGAGTTACTTCTCCGGCTGATTCTTCCTCCGTACTGTCGTCCCTCCGCTCTCCCACTCCCACTTATCCCCTTCACTGCGCGCAATGAAGCGTGGCGCATTGATGTAAACACGTGCGCGCTCACGGACACACACGCGCGTACACACTGCATGAATTTGATTCTTGTGTGCTCTGATTTACAGTCCTTTCTCTGGAGTGGGGAGAGGCAGAAGCTGTTGATTTGGCGAAACATGGAGGAATTATAGAATTATGGATATTTTCAGAGCAAAATATCGTCTAAGTGTGCAGCTCATACAACATTATTTTCACCTTTACAACAGCTTGATTGTAGACAGCTTGGTAATGGTCTGATTTGAGTCTTAACATGCGTAAAAATCGTACAAATTGAGGAGGTAAACCCCAAATCCCTCTGACCATGTGCTGAAATTACCACAATATTTTGCACCAGACCACACACGCCTTTGTCAGACAGTTTGATAAAGATAATTGTGCATGCATGGCTTTATTTTTTCCATCATATTAAGTGTTATGGTTTCAAAATGAAGCCACTACACTCAATTCTTTACGCATCAAATATTCTGCCTGTATCCACACGCTATTTGGCATCCAGAGACGGTTTTCAATAACTGGTTCATCTACAATCGAGATAATGAGTGGTGGGCATTTCACTGCTTTATACGGTCAATAGGAAATTGTAAAATTGGCCAGTTTTCCACGATATGATGTTGGGTGGCCTCGGTTTGCCACCGGGCAAATGCATAATTCATAAAGTAAATGTTTCTGTCTAATGAGCATTTAATGGATTATTCTGCTTCAAAGCTCTGGACTGGATAAATGTCCTTCTGGTGATGGAGCCAACTTTGTGTAATGAGAAAGCTGGAGCACATTAAAGCTTTCCAACCCAACTGTCTGGTTAAAGAACAATTGCTTTAGGGAGGGAGTGTCTCCTTTTTAGGATTAAATCAACATTTTCTGGATTTAAAGTCGCTTATTGAATGATATTGGAATACAGAGAATCACAGGAACACTTTAAAACCTTTACGCATCACATCTCACTGCAATAAGTCGGTTTTTTGGAGCAACATAATGGCACAATAACACGAGGCGGAGAAAGAATGAAAGGTTTACTTGATAGTCAAAAATTTGGATGCACTAAAAATGACCAAAACTGTTTTTTTTAATCAAAAAAATGTGTTTAAAATATGGGATTGATTAACCAGGGAGGATTTTACAAATACTGGTCTAAAAACAAACATTTTGAGGTATTAAAAGCATCAAATAACATAAACCATCAAAACTAAAAGGAGTCATATTTATTGTAACCTGACTATTTCCCCTAAACTCGGTCATAGTTTGGTGTTCTTGTGGGAAATTCCCCTCAGACAGCTCAGATCTGCTTTTTTTCTGGGTAACATTGGAGTTTTGTATCTCTCCTCGGGTGTCGCTCCTCTCCTCCATCCTGCTCTGCCTCTGTGCAGTTTTTTTCTTTTCCCTCCTCAGCAGAAAGAGAAGACTTAGAGAGCCCGGCTTCAACTGAGCTACCCTCCTGTCTGCTGAATGCACTGAAACCAACAGGAGCAAACACCGAGAAACCACACGATTTCAGCCTAGAGCCGAATCAGAAACAGCCTTTAAAGAGAAAATGTGAAGATCTTCGCTTGTCACAGTGTTGGAGAAGTCAAGAGTAAACCGGGAAAGATGGCGAGGACTCACACTCGCATGTTGCTCGCTTTGGCTCTGCTGGGAATTTTCTTCCTCTGTGTGCCGGTGAAAGGACAGCAACAGGAGGAGGAGGAGAGATCCTGTCAGGGTGCCTTCGACCTCTATTTTGTCCTCGACAAGTGAGTGTCCGATATTATTTATGGCTTTGTTACTTTCTCCTCGCTGCGCATTGCCATGCAACCGCCCCAGTTGTTGGGAAACGCGGAGCGCATCAGTCAGATTCAGACCTCCTCGTTTCTGTTGTTGTTGTTTGGTTTTGCTGAATAAAAGCAGCCTGGTTTTCCTGTTTAAGCTTGGAAGTGTTATAAACTAGCTGTGACTGAATGATTTTGGAGCAGAAAAACAAACCTTACATATCTGGGATAAGATAGCGGTCTGTTGGTGAGAGAAATCTCCACACGAGGATGTCATCTAAACTCATTTTAACCCTCAAAGTTTAACTTTAGGGGACTTTTTGTTCAGGTCTGCTGTATTGGGATGACTATTTTAGACAATGGGGCTCTTGCTTTTCTTTTTTCTTCCCCCGGTTCAAAGTGGAGGGGCAAACAGGCAGAGCTTTACTCACGGGATGTGGGCAGGGCGAGCAGGATGGATAGAGTTTCAGGCTGATGACGCCTGCGGACACAGCTGCAGCTGCTGCCCCACAGACACAGAGAGGCCTGCACGGTCATCCCTTTAAACTATGGCCTACTATTCTCCCATCTACTGTGAGCTCACTGCATCCTGGAACCGGCTATTTTCTACTGGAGGTTTGACCTGTTAACTTGGGTTTTCACTGAACAAAAACAAAAGGGACATGCTCATCAGTGTCAGTGTCTAAGGCAGTTCAAATCCAGTTCAAAATGTTGGCTACAGCCCACATTGGAGTTGCAAAAGTACAAAATAATCCCTCCTCTGATATGACCCACTTATGCTTTTCACAGACTCTTTAATTTGTCAGCCTGAACTACTTTCCCTCCAAGAAAAAGGTGCAGAATACCTGAACTAAAACTACCATTAAGTAAATAATGTGAAGTGAATGGGTGTTCACTGTACATCATTATTATTATTACCCAGAAACCAATCAAAATACAAAAAGATTTTGTTGATTAAAATATTATTCATACTGCCCCATGGTTGTTTTTGTTTCCATGGCAACAGTCTCTCATTAGCCTCCTTGCTGCACAAATCAGCACATCACATTTCAATTCAAGCTCTAGTTTAAAACACATGCCTTCATACTTCTCAAGTATCACATTTCATGGTACCTCTGAAGGAAAACTGATGCTGATATTTTGACCTCTTTCAGCTCTCTTTCTTCAAAGCTCTGTAATTTACACACATTTATGCTGCGTTCGAGTTGCCTCGGAAGTCAGAAGTCCGAGCTGAAAATGATGTCCCACCTGAGTTCCCAGCGTTTCAGTTTCCAAGTCAGAAAAAAGCAAAATCGGAGGCCTGAAACAAGATGGCAACATCAGCGAAAGTTATTTTAGCGCTTGATTTATATTCAGACAAGGCAAGTGCTAAAATAACGTAGATGTAGCCATCTTGTTCCTGCCTCTGATTTTGCTTTTTTTCTGATTTGGAAACTAAACTAACGAACTCAGGTGGGACGTCATTTTCAGCTCGGACTTCTGACTTCAAAGGGAACTTGAACACAGCATTAGACATAAGTGAAATAAATTCTAAGTAACTTAAAGATGCTCTCATCTTCTCTGCTACCAGTGCGTGGATTGCAGGACAGGATTTTACTCCACCTCTCCTTTTCAGAGATGGTTGGGAGCCCTGTAGCTCCTCAGGCTGCTCTCGCATCTGTGCCAAGTAACTGTCATTGTTTCCCAACTCTGAAGACTTGCCTGAAACTGTTGTTTTTGTATTTGTAATTAATGCTGTTGCCTTTTCTAAATATTCAAAAGTAACGAAGAACATCAGGGACAAAACTGACTGTTAGTATATCGTCATTTTTAGACTGTTTTGTCCACAAGGGGCGCAAAAATTGGACACTCTTATAAACACTCTTATCACCTAAAATTGAACAGATTTTATAACTGAAAGGAGGAATGCACTTAAGCCACCTCAGAACCTAACAAAAATACCTCCATCTCAAAACAGTGGGACTTTATAGGCTGTATGGTTTTCGCCACCTTTTTAGGGACTGACTGTTCCAGTAATTACTCGTGTGTGATCTCACCGCAGCCTCAGACCTGCTGAGCTGTTTGTTTTCTTTTTTTTCTTCATAGCAGCTCAGACGTTATAATTGACATTTTTGTCCTATCTTGGGCTCCAGTTGCAAGGTGAAGTTCAAGCATGTGGACGCAGAACAATCAGACATGTCAAAACATGCTGAGTGAGCACAGAGAGAGACGCTGGAGAAAGAACATCAAGCTGAACAACCTGCCCTATTTTTTTTAATGGAGATAACAGGTTATAATCAGATTTTGTTTTGAAGTGAATGACAGATTTGCAGCGTGTTGTGATTAAGCATTAAACATTAAGACACTTATGTTTAACATTCAGTTAGGTAATGGTATAAGACAGCTTCCTGTATGACCTCAGTTGTCCTATTTTCACCACATGATGTGGACACAGTGAGTGACATTTTGCTCCGACACATTTTACGATCTTTCGGACCTCCACCTTAGCATCTGTCATCCGCTCTTTAGTCTTTACCCTTTGATTCAAAAAGTTTAGGAAGAGCCCGGAGAGCGTGGCATTATCACACATGGCCAGCCCTGCGGTACGCCTCGCTTTGTTTGTCTGTCTAGACCGGCATGTATCAGCAAGCCTTCAGGAAGCTTCTGCTCTTTTTTTCCCCCACTGAGATGGCATCGACTCTTTGGCTGTTTCCAGACCTGAAGATGCCAAGAGAACGAGTGTAAGAGTTGTCTTAACCTCCACAGTATTTGCCTTACTCTCATCTCTGGCCTCACTGTCCAGAAGGTTCAGAGACATGCTGAGTCGAGACCGTGTGCATGAGCTTCACTGGACATTAGAAAAACTGAAACACCACCAGCTCCCCACATTCCTTCACTCCATGTCTGACCCCCACCAAATACCAGGCCACATATTTCCTCTCTATCTGATGTCCCACAAATAGAAGAAAAGAAGCTGTGTTTTGGGATTTTTTTCTTTGCTCTAAATACTTGCAGACAATTCAAAACCCTACCCTTATGTTACAAACCGACTGCAGTAATTTAGATCGACTCTGTAAAGCTTTCTCTTCTCTGCAGAGGTAATTTCATTATGTGTCTACAGTAAACAGTATGTATCAATATGCTTTTCGATAGTCGGCATTCTGTGATGTTTTGGTAGACTATACGAATAGTCAATGAAAATGAGAGTTGGGTCCACTTCATGCTGAACCAATCATGTGCTGAATTAGAAACAAGTAGCAAACAACTGCAGCTACACACAACCATAGCACTATAACAGGTGAAGCCGACAGCACTGTAGGTGAGGAAAAAAAAAACAAGAGCTACCCCCGACATAAATCACCATGAAGGCTCAACAGAAGACGACATCGTCGACAACACCGGCATGAAAACGTTGGTGGTGGTTTGAGCTCGGACATGAAGCGGAGTAATGTGTACTGAAAATTATGTAAAGTCCATGTTCTCGCAAAGTCGGGGAATGCCTCAAATCATTTTCACCACCTGAAGCAGTGCCACGCAGCAGAGCACGTGCAACGCAAAAGGTTACAAACCCCGAGCGGAGCAAGGAGCCCATGGCGCCTGTGCAGCCGAAACAGCCAACCATTCAGTCCGCTTTATCTAGCGTCACGCCTTACGACAAAACGTTGATAAGACACAAAGACCTCACAGATGCAGTAGCTTATTGTATTGCAAAAGACATGCTACAAATAAACACCGTTAAATTTCATTTAAGAGTTACATTTATTGTGATAAACGTTTTCCCATATCGCCCAGGCCCAGTCTACAGTATGTCAGCTAGCTAATGTTCATCCACAGAAGAGTTTATTTTCTGAGTATGAACATTTATTTAGTACATGCAGGATTCATACAGAAAATACATTGGCCACTGTCTTATTTTTAAGTCATATTTTTGACCTCCAATGCCACATTACTTATTCACAAGCCCCACTTTCACAGTAGCTGTTTTCACACTGCCAAATATTTATGCTCTTTTAACAACTTGCCTACAATATTAATGTCACCGATGCATGATGGTGGCAAGTTGACACATTTTGTGAAGGTGTTACAGAGAGAAACTGGATTAAAAAAATGCACTGCACAGGTGTGTACATGCAAGTGTGCACAAAGCTTTCAAAATCACACACTCGGACGACAGTACTCTACTGTTACACGATCAATATAAGAGTATGAAGGCATGATGGCTGCAGAGCTGCCTCTATGGTGCTGTTGCTAACTGGCAGTTTGAATGAGGCTATTGTCTGTTCAGTCCAGGACTGTTTAGTGTAAAAGTACAAAGACACAGTGTGCTGACTATTCTCTCTCTTGCCATACAAAAGTGAAAAAGGTTAACACCAGTGCTGATTGATGTGCGTTCGAAAACGGGAAAACCTGTGTTCAAAAAAGATATTTATGACATCAAATCCAAATCAAAGCATATCACCGTTTTTCCACCACGCCACGGTCAAAGAAAATGTGCTCTTCCCCAATCAGCAACACCTGTCACTGGTTCCCTCCCTACATATAACTGTGAGCTCCCCTGGTGTCACTTCCCCTTACAATGGAAGTTACCAAAATAAACAAGTAAACATCAAAACAATTACTTAATCTGGCTCCTACACATGGTGATGGCAGAGTTTTGACACTTATTATTAACATATTGTTCTACATTCAAGGTGAGCTCTTTAATTCACTCTGATTAGTTCAACAAACACCTGATGGGCTAGCAAACATTTTCAGACCCTTCTGCACTGAAAGTGAGCTTTTTTTGTGTAGATCAGTTTACATTTCAAATCTGAATATTAAGATAAGATGATACTGCTGAGCCTGCTCTCAGGAGACTCGTCCAGTATGAGGGCTTTTATCCTGCCCACACTTTTAGACAAAAAGGATAAGTGGAGCAGGAAGCGACTGGTTAAAGAAGTGGTACAAAGGAGCCATCGTTAACCTAACCAGCCCGGACTTTCACTGTTTATGACCCCCACACACACACTCACACACTCAGAGTCCTGTCTTGTGTTTAGCAGAGCTCGCTGTAGAAGCTGTTTGATGTTGCATCCTTAACTAGACCCTCACACTCACATTTACCCCCTGCCGAGTGTTACTACTTTGTCCTGCTGTTGTTCATGTCCCAGCCTTTTCACTTTGTGGACCCCCAACCTGTTGTAAGACTGGCTGTGCTCACTGAGACCATCTGTTCCCCCTCACGAGTCCCACACACACACACATACACACACGCGCACTCGTATAAACACAAGCAACACAGAGTGACACACGGGCCAGCTGCCTGCTACATGGTCCCTGCTAGAGGCAGACTGCTACATCTGTCCCTGTCTAACCTCCACCCCTCTGGCCCAGCAGCAATTAGCCCCCATTAGCAGCCCCCTGGGACTGAGCTTCATTAAGGAGACTGTCATGGCTGCAGCAGCGTGCAGGAAGCTGACCAGCAGCTCTCACCGCTATAACAGGTTACTGTCCAAAGTGAAGGAATCTGCCCGACTGGCTGGGGGAATGTCCTCAAATGTGGATGAGAGAAACTATGACTGTTGGTTCAGGAACATGACCATTAAATCCGGTTAGTCACAAGAACCTTACAACACTTGACTACATCTGAATCACCGGGTAAGAGGAAAGGATTGGTGTCTTATTTAGGAGTGTTTGATTTTGAGGTACCTCTGTTTACTGAGGCTGAGGTAGAGTTGAATTATATTAACCGAAGATAAGTCGTGCTTTTGCCGACTTGGATGTAAACAAGACTTCATGCTGGCAGCCTGAAGGAAAGCAAAATGACTCAAACTCTTCATTTGAAGAGGAGCACAGAAAACTAAAAAGACCGTAAAAATGCTGCACTGATTCAACTCCTCTACAAATAAGTCTTTTGTGGAAAAACTTGTATAATGTAACAAATTGATTAAAATGCTTCTGATGGTGATGAAAAATGAAAACCACAATGTTGACCTGATGTTTGAAGTGGATCAAAAGTTTGGAGACACCAAAGAAACACTTAATACTCTACAGAAATTTTCTTGCTAGGTTGTTATGGACCAAAATGTCAGACACGTTAGCATTTAATCTCTGGAGAAACACAACTGTGGCTCCCATGGTCTCACACATTTGGCTTTGATTTTAAACTATTAGCATAAAAAGCACCTCTGTATTTGCATGAATAATCCCTGGGACAGCTGGCTATATTAACTAGAAATCCAGTGTCTAATAAAAATAATAGTTTTGGCTGTAGCAAAGGATAATTATTTATCCTTGGAAACATCACTTGTGTCCTTTTAAGGTTGTGCTTTTGTTGTTTTTCAGATCTGGAAGTGTAAAGAATCACTGGATAGAGATTTATTCCTTTGTGCAGCAGCTGGCAGAGAAGTTTATCAGGTAAAAGCACGATTAGTCATTCAAGAATCTGCCCGTTTTCTATTTCTGTCTGTTTAAATATGAAACAACTGTGTGTCTACAGCCCCATGCTGCGAATGTCCTTCATCGTCTTCTCCACACGAGGAACCATCATCCTGAAACTGACTGAAAACAGGTAAAAAGCCACATCTGAACAACACATGATCTGTCACTTTTTTCTCATGTCTGGTTCCTCTTCTCTCTGCGCTATTCAGACTCTCTAATACTTCACATGTCCTCTCTGCTCGTGTTTATGTGAAGTTTTCCAAACTTCTGAAAACAGGGATTTTCTGACCAGATTTTTCTTGCTGCTTCAAATTGAATTGATCACAAATGATATCCAGATTGAAGCAACCAAGTAATACAAACCAGTAATACAAAAAGTTCATTCAGTCTCCTGGGGATGTCTTGTGTTGAGGATTGGCTTGAATACCACTTTAGCCACGCAATTACCCGCCAACTCAAACCATTCACCGCCTCTTGCTTTCTTTCTACAATATTGGGAATATTTCTCAATGTGCTTCCCAAAAAGCAGCTTTTCCAGTGTATTTTATCAGCCTCTTTGTCTGTTTATCCTGCAGGGAGGCCATCGATGGAGGCTTAAGGGCTCTGAGTAGAGTTATCCCGGGAGGAGACACATTTATGAACTTAGGCCTGGAGATGGTAAGGAAGAGGCTGAGGATCTAACTGTGCAAAGCCAGCCTAAATCACACTGACTCAGTATTCAACATTTAACTTGAAATATTTACTCTGGATAGAACGAGCCCAGCAGCCAGGGCAACACCAATATAAGAAGCACACATGGAGTGCCTGAGATCATGTGATTTGTCCATTCTTGACTGCTAATCCTTGTGAGCCCATGAAACCAGGCATTGTGAAATTAAGTCACTCTGCCATGTGGTTTCATTCTCATTTTTTGGATCCGAAACATGTTTTGGTGGTTAAAAATTTAACAACATTTGTAGATGAGTACCAAGTTCAAGAATTTAAACAAAGACTAAAAGAGATGCCTGTGATGCTAACGCAGACTGGACCTCATAAAATGAGGATTATGATCTGGCTTCGAGTTACTTAAGTCATTTTTTATTTAGTGCAGTTGGTACGTCTATAAACCTTTGTTCTGTGTTGTTTTTTACTGAATTGATCACATATTTTCACTAATACCTTATTTCATTGCAGGCTAATATGCAGATTTTCCAAGAGAAGCATGGTGAGCTGTGCTGTGAACTAGTAAAGCACATTAGCTTTCATGTGGTCAGTTGTTACAGAGAAACTAAGAGTTTGTTGTCCTGCAGGGCCTGCCAGTGTTATCATCGCTCTAACTGATGGAGAACTAAATGAGTGGCAGTTTGACACTGCTCAGCGAGAGGTAAGATATCTCATCAGTCAGATTTAATGCTCACAAACACTGCTATAATGAGAGCTCTTACTCCTTGGTCTAACTTTTGAGTCTGTCCAGCTTTTTTGTTTAAAAAGAAAATTCTGATGGTCTGAACGGCTGCCGGTGCTTAAAATCATCAAGTGACCTACATAACTGGCGACTTTCAGCCAAATTAGTCTGAGGATGTTGTTTAAAAAGCAAGTGAAAACAGGAAGAAAACCCTTTGCTGTCCCCATAAATGCCTCTTTGTTTAGTTTTCATTGCAACATCAGACTTTACTATTCTCTTTTTGAACACAGCTTGATGTTGTGGTAAACAAGGAAAGCGCAAATGGCTCTTTCAATGAATCTCATACTAATGATCTGGGTTTAACTTCCTCCTCGGAGTCTTACCAAGACAAATGACACGTAAACTAACTATTCGGTTATTTTCCGCGTTAACAACAATAACTAAACAAATAAATGAGAGAGTTCAGGGTTGAACCACTGAGAGAGAGAGAAAGAGAGAGAGAGTGGTTTCAAGTCTAGAGCATGAAAAAGTGCACCATTGTCAATACAATAAATTACTGTAAGTGCTGCATATTATTTACTCATAAAGCACAAAGGCAGCTATAGCCTACAACAACAAGACGCAAGCTAAACCACTTTGGTGTTTGAAGTTTGGTTTCCAACACAAATAACTGGCCTTTTAAGACCACAAATTAATGATGTAAATGCTCACAATGATGTAAAGATGTCAAGTTAAGGTTCTTTTGCCAAGCAATGGGACCAGAAACATCATACAAACCAGCAGATTTAATTCAGAACAGCCATCATGAATCAAATGTACAACATATGAGTCCCTCAAAATGGATTTAAAACACCATTTTTTATGTGGCCCACTTTAATTCAGAAAACAACACAACAAAGGGAGAAGAAGCAGAGATGATTGTCAAACTAACCCATAGGCCTGCACCAACAAAAATCTAAAATGGCCATCTCTTCAAGACCAAGAATAAGTGCTCAGAAATGACAAAAGCCACTTATGGTCTTAAATGTGTTCATCACACTGTGGATGACCGGTCAATCCTAAAATATCTCTTATAACCGACTCAAAAGTTGATCCACAACACCGAATTTGGATCAGTGCAGTTGACAGCAGGACGAAATCCCAGTCCGTGTTTTACCACAGTTCACTTCCACATTTTAAATACAAGTACCACTTGAGTCCTGTCACTAAAAATACACCTTTGTAAAAACTAAGCGACTAAAGAGCAATTGCGAAGAAGAAAACAGAAAAGTCTAAGAAAAAAACGCATGTGCAGAGTAAAAAAAACAGCGTTACCTTGAAAAGTTCCGTTGACTCCGGTCCGTGTTTTCCGTTGAGCCAGTTCGCCGGATATGTCCCCGTCCCCATACACCTCGGTAGTTCCCGAACAAAAATATACTTTTTCCAGTCATTGTATCATTTGGGTGTTTTCCGTTGGATGATGGAAGAAAATGTGCATGAACTGGTAGATTTTCTTTCTACGAAAATCGAGAAAAGACGCTCGAAACAACCAAATTACAGATGCGGCGGGCGCTTCCTTGAAGCCTCCGCCATCTTTGATTTCCGCATCGACGCCATATTCCTCTATAAGAAAAATTAGGCGGCAAGAGTGGAGGTGTTTCCGGAAGAGAAGGACAGGTGAGCAGACAGAGAGGAAATACAGTTCTAGTCCGACAGGCGGTACAGAAATAAATTAAAGTATTGAATCATTTATTATTCATAGTATTCAGGTATTCTATTTAAGGTATGTTTGTTTTTATTTTGTTTTTCATTCTGTTGTCTTTTTAGTATTTTATTTATTTTATTGTATTTTGCTGGACTGCTATGACAATTTAATTTCGCTTCGGGGCTAAAGTATCTATCTATCTATCTATCTATCTAAATTAGTGGACAAAAACACTGAAATGCCTGTGGTTCCTATCCAAACTGATCTCAGATCAACAACTCATGTAGAATTAGATCCAAGCAGCCTGTGGTCTTGATGGTATATGGAAAGAAGATTCATGTATGTCCAAATAATATGTCCACATAAATGCTTTTTTGTTTTTCAACAGTTTTAACTCCTAACCTTGTTTTTCTGGATGATCTGTTGATTTTTTTTCGAATATTTTTAATGCCTCTTATACAGCAAAAAAAGATGTAGGGCCTTTAGGCTATTTGGGGGTTCTAGTTTTTGATCCCGTACTTGTTAAAGCTCACTGTTTTTTGATTTATTTGATTCCTTTTCTGCAGGCACAGAGGGCCAGGTCTATGGGAGCCATTGTTTACTGCGTAGGAGTGAAAGAATTCAACCAGACTCAGGTAGGATCACAAACCACTTAAGGATGCTGCACAATGCATAGTAAAAATAGCCTCGATGATGATATTTGAGGTGAACCGTTTGTTCATGAAGATGATTGATAATAACTATTTTGTGCCCTTGACTTTATTTGTGGCTTCATTTTTCGTCACAGATGGGGCTTTGTAAAATAATACAAAAATAAAAATGTCTTTCTTTGTGTTTCTGTGTTCTCTTGTAGCTTGCAACTATTGCAGACACTGTGGAGCATGTGTTTCCTGTATGGGGAGGCTTCCAGGCCCTCAGGGGAATCATTGACTCAGTATGACACCAACTTACCAAATGCATATATGTACACTCACTCATCCACACACTCACAAAGTAAGTGAAAGTTTCTTCTCTTGTCTCACAGATTATCAAGAAGTCCTGTATTGAGATCCTCGCAGCTGAGCCGTCCAGCGTGTGTGCAGGAGGTAAGAGGTGTGAGGAGCGAGCACTTCCCCTCCTTGTTAAGTCACTGGGCAATCACGGTGCGCGATTGTGTCAGATGACAGTCATCTAAGGCCTCTGGAGTGGAACATGATGTTGAGTAATCGCATGGACGCTTATGACTGCAGAGTGACAGAGAGCGTATTGTCATCCACGGCCGGGGGAAATTAGCATAGCCGCTTCAGCGCAGCGTGTGTGCGGAAAGGAGGAGGGGGGACGGGTGTTGGTCAGAGGAATTAGCCGTGAATCTTTAAGCATGGCTGCTTCTCTGGCCTAGTTTGCCACATTGTATATGTTAAACAACCATTTGGGCTGTTTCTCTTCTTCAGTGTCCGGCTTCTCTTCTTCTGGTCAGCAGTTTCAGCAAGTAAGAAAAGAGAAGAGAGATGATGAGGGAGAGCTTTTATGTGCAGCCAGCAGGATGGATGAGCTTTGACATGACCTTATTAGGACTCACTTAGGAGAGTGCATTTGCAGCCATGCTACCAGGGCAACCAATGTAGATTAGCGTCCATTATGGGATATGAAGGAGTAAAAGGGAAAGGAAATAGTGGGAGGAGAGGAGACCAATAAAAAGGTTGCCGTGAAAGCACAAAAATAAGGAAGGAAAATCAAGAATCACATTCACTCCCATGTGGTAATTAAAAACCTCTAATCTGAGTGTGTGTCACACGACATGTGACCAAATATCCTCTAACAGCCTCATTTATAATTCGATTGATGAGCAGCCTAATGGTCAGTGAACTAAGAAACCAAGGACCCACTTAAACCAGGACTTAAATCTGGCCTAATTAATCAAGGGTAAAGATTACTTCGTCTGAGACATGACTTGTAGAAATGACTTTTTACACATCCGACACTTACGTCTTGAGCTTATTAACAGCTTTAAATAGTCTTTTCTTTTAACAACTGGCAATTTGCCCAACACTCAAAGATTGTCCTTGCAGTTTAATATGATCTAAATTTAGTGCTAAGCAATAGGAGCTTCTTATCAAAGCTTTTATTTTGGAAATCTGAGACTGCCGAGAAGATATAACCATCTGAACTCTTCTCCTCACCCTGATCCATTTAAATATTCCAGATCATGACATATTACATAGGTAAAGTGACAGTCTCACTCCCTGTCTTTCTTTCTGCCGGCATGCAGACACACTGTTCTGCTTTACTGACGCACACACACACATTAGGATGTTCTTTATTCAGCACACACACACACACATCATCCAGCGCATGTCCACACATGTCCCTCACGCTGATGTGAAGTGACCAGACCGGGCTGCCTGCAAACAGGCCATCAGACTGGACAGTGAACGTTGGGCCACACTATCTGACATGACAGCACTGATTTCCTTCATACACACACACACACATATGCTGAGAGGACGGTGAGAGTTGGGCCTTAGATTTAACATGACAGCAGAGATTGCTGCTTTCATTAACGCCTGACCCTTTCCTCCCCGATGTCCCGTCCTGCTGCGCCCCTCCCTGCCCTTCACTGTCCCGTCGCACTAACGTGATTGAAGAGCCGCTGTTCGGACAAGCCGTACCCCATTTTCCTCTCACACACACACACACACACACACATAATAAACACAGAGACACAGCCGTACAAATGTAATCCTTGTCAAGCGTTCAGGTGTAGATGTAAATGGACATGTGGCCACAGAGGCAGGCAGAAAGCGCACAGGCAAAGGCAGCAGCATATGCGTTGTTCATGTCAGTGGGGCACCACCAGTCCCTGACCACCATGTGTCTGACAGCACTGACCTTTCAGCCCATCAAGCCTCAGAGTGTGTGTTTGTCAGTGTATGTGTGTAGGACATGTTCAGACTGAGACGTTTCACTTCATTCCAGTAATTTAGCTCTCATAAAAAAACAGTCGGAGGAAACTGACACAGTCGAAGTGTTTAACCCTAACTTTTCCTTTGTTTAGAGTCAGGACTAAAATTGATGCTGTAACATATTAAACTGTGACATGACGTGATTACAAACCAGTGCAATATTTAAAGGTACAGTGTATAGTTTATCGTGGTGTTGAACAAAACAGACAAGAAATGGACTAAATATTCAAAAGTATGTTCACATTAGTTTACAATCCCCTGAATATTAAAATAGTTTTTTAAAATTTTTGTTCATTTCTTTGGATAAGACTTCGATATTTACATCAGAGCAGGTCTCATTCATGTTTCTACGGTAGCACAGAACAGACAAAAAGGGAAATCTTTGGTAAACTGATGCTCTTTGATTTAAATCTGAGTGTGCCATGACTAATTCATTACACATGTACACAGTCAAACAACAGAAAACAGGAAAGTGGTATGACCACCAACACAGATAAGACTCTGAGCATTAGAATTAATGAGCTTTAAGTCCTCTAATTAGGCTTCACATTGTAGTAAAACATTAAAAACCACATTAACCACCAGTTTATTTGAAAATAAATACAATAAAATGATATAATATTCCACCAGAAAGTTGTAATTTACTGCCTGAAGCACTGCGGTTGCCTTTTACAGTAAAATAAGGGCAGAATTCTTGGGGAAACAAATAGTGTGGTGACAGCAAATGATTGTAAAAAGGCATGTGGTTGATCAGATGTGTGTGTGCATGTACAGTCTGAATCTAGTTGAGGGAAAGACATGAGCATTACTGACAAGTTGCAAGTCACTGAGGGTCTACAAATAAGCATTCAGGCGGTCAAGTATATTTGCTGGCAGCTGAGTGCAAACGTTTCTATCTTCCCAAGTCCGTTGGGTTTTATTTAATAACCATGTCATATTTCTAAAATATTAAATGTAGCCTTGAACTTTGAGAGTTTCATTTTTATCTGTTTTTCTCATCACAATTTTTCATTCTGGGTCTCTTCCAACTGCAGATCTGCTCTCAGAGACATTTTTGCAGCATCTGTAAATATGTAAATTTGAAGAAAAATGTGAGCCGATCTCCTCTCTGCTCAGTCTCCGTTTTTGTATCTGTCTTCATTGCTTTTCATACTAGCTCGTCTGACCTTTAAAGACACACTGTCACAAATACACCCACACTCGCTGATGTTTTTATCCAGTGATCTTCACGCTGGAGCTTTAAATGTTAAAGGTGTGGCTGATGCTCTCTTCCATCAGCCGGCATAACGCTAGAGGAAAATGTGCATACCGAGAGAAAGTACACACAAGTGCAAACACAAACTGAAGGCTTGCAGATGCTCGGAAAAACACAATCACAATGTGCACCATGTCAGTCCTCAGATACACATCTGCATACACTCACAGACATGTGTTAATGGTGCCATAGGTAAGGTCAGACCTACTTTGACAGTGCTCTGCTGTTGTCAGCCCTACAGGCATGTTTTTGAGCAAGTGTTTTTTTTACCCGCTCTCTAACATATGCTGGGTAGCAGCCACATAGACACTCTAGCATATGCTGGCAAGCCTCTGTCAGTGCGCTTTAACAGTGCCTGGGGGACACTAAAGGTCAAAGACATGCACACACGCACACACAAATGCACACACTCCTCCTGGCTACTGCACAGCACACATTTGTGAATAGCAGCACTTTAAGCATTAGCACCATTGGAGCTTGTTATGGCCTTTCCACACATACACGCACAAGCACACAAATATAAACAAGCAGTAATGAGGCATGCATGAGTTTCTGCTGCTTTAGTTGAGCAGAAAGAATTGCCTTTAACTCTCGCTGTTGCGCTGCACAAGAAAAAGATGAGTTTTAATATTCAAACCCGCACTTTCTTTTTTTTTGTTCTAGAGAGTTTCCAGGTGGTGGTGAGAGGCAATGGGTTTCTGCATGCAAGAAACATCGACCAGGTCCTCTGCAGCTTCAAACTGAACGATACGCACTCTGTGGGTAAGTTCTGCAGACGCACACGAGTCTGAGTTGTTATAAAAACACACACCAGAGCAGGAGATCATGACTGGCACTCTTGCACGTCCTGCTTTTGGAGAGAATATTTCTCTGGAAAGTTCATGCAAATCAAAAATTGTCACTGTATGCTTCCCATTACAGCTAATTGCTGTTATACATGAATGCTTACACTTTGAAGCATTATTGGATTCTGGTTTGGCTCGTGTTTTCTAGAAGAATGTGGGAACTGTTTTCAGGCTGCAGATGTTAACGTTTTTACAGCATGAGGAGTGACTTTGTCTTTCCCTGTGTAGATGAGAGGCCAGCTGGAATACAAGACACCTTCCTGCTCTGTCCTGCTCCTGTCATAGAGGAGGTTGGAAGGTAAGGAAGTTATTTCTTTTGGCTCTCAGGTCGCCTCTTTTTTAATCCCCACACTTCTGCAGCTCTCATGTTCAGCCGTGCCACTTTGAGCTCACATATTTAGCAGCTGCACGCAAGTTTGGTGTGGACACAGAAGACTGCTGTCCTTGAACAAATTAGGGCCAAAGTCATCGAGTGTCTGTGATCAATCAGTGTTTGTCACAGCTAACGAAGCCAGACACCAATCACAAGGGGACAACAGGAGTAGAGCCCAGGAACACGACTTAATGACAGCCACGCTGGAGAGGACTCTGCAACCGTGTTTGTGTGTTTTTTCGCCCTGCGTGTGATTTATACCAATCTCAGCCTGACACTTTGAGGGAGTGGAAGTGTGAGTGGAGTCAGCGGGGCAGTGTAAAGTTTCCTCTGCGGGATTCTAGTTTCGCTGGCGGTGGTTTGTTTCATGCGGGGCAGACAGAGCGATGCTGTGGGCTGAGCTCGGAGACGACTGAGGAAGGACCGGCAGCTTTCCCGACCCTGCTGCCTGCAGTCTTGTGCATAATTATACACTCCAGCCCGCGGCCTCAGACACCTCCCAGTCATCATCTGTCTTGTTGCTGTCACTCAGATTTCTAGCATGATTTGAGCTTGTCCTGTCCGCCAGTGTAAACTACTGCCTTGATGGGGGGAAAAATACACTCTGTTGTCACACAGTGGCAGCAGAAAGATTTATTTGTTTGTTGCATACATTGTCTGTCACTCGCATGCATAATAACAGGTGTAGCACATGGAATTTTAATTGTAACTCACAGATGCGACTTATGGGATTGACTCAATGACAGCGATTCACAGTCCAGATATAATTCCCAGTCTGACAGTCAGCTCTCTTCCTAAACTGTTGCCAGAGAGGCTTTAACCCAGGTCAGGCTGCACCTCCTAAGAGCAGAGCAGAACCTGGAGCATCATTACACGATGAAATGGCGCCCGAAGCAGGCATCCTCACATGCAACAGAAGCCCATTAAAGCAGAGTCAGCAATGCCTGACAGCCTGATGGTACTAAAGAGGAAGTCAGCTGTGAATGGCTGAAGGGCCCAGGGAGGAGGCCAACAGCTGGCTGATGAGTTCTGGGAGCTTCGGTGCCATAACATGCCGATAAATGTTTAAATATGTCAGACAGTGAGGTTGTTGCTGAGTGTGTCAGCGGTATAAAACTTTTGTCCGTCATGTTTAGTCTTGTCGAATAAAGCGTTCTCAGCTAAATCCTCTATTTTACAGCGAGGATTAACAAACTTGGTATTCCCCATCTGTACTTGTATTTGTTCAAACTCGTTGATCTATTTAAAGTAAAAAAAAATCCACTCACAGGTGCGATGTTGATACTGTTCGTTCCATTTGAAAGAAGAAGAAAAAAGAAAAAACTACTATTTTCAAAAGCGGACATTTTCTCAAGAAACATGAACACAGACTAAAACAGGTGCAAGTTTGGCTGTAGTCCTCAAAGCAGGCAGCTCAGGTTGAAACACAACTCTTTGCATTTCACTTAATATTCCAGACTGATCTATTCGCAGGACGCTTAGGCCAAGAGTTGCCATTTTTAAGGTCAAGAGCTCCACAAAAATCCCATTTTCACAACATCCGCCTGAAGCATTGAGTGACCAGTAAATACACATCAAAATACCAACAAAGATTAGTCATGGCCAAAGAAAATTAAAAGCAAATGTGCTGAGACAAATCCAAAAGTCCAGAAGTGAACAGATGTGGAGAGAAGTCTTTAAAAATGTCTTCTCAGCACTTAACTTCATTCTGCTAAAATATACGAGAAACTAAAACAGAGAGTGATTACAATAAATACGACTGTGGACTAAAACGAGTTAAAACAGATAATTAAGAGGGAACTCAAAATGATTAAGGAGTCAAAGTAGTGCAGTGAATACAATAATATGTAAGTTATAAGAAAATAAATCATAAAAAGTTGAACAAGAAAAATAGACACACATTAAAATTTGAAGTTGTAATATATCAAAGCCTTTTTACACGTCAAATCTCGTTTTAGGGGAACTGATTCTATAGTCTATATATGTGGTTTATGGGGACTTCAGCTCCCAGCGTCACCTCTTCACCCGGGACCCCTCAGACCCTCACTCACCTCCTGCTCCGCCCGGGTCTTATCACAAATAATGAAGTCATTGACGCTTCCATCAAGCAAATATGTGTTGACTGGGAACCTTCCGGATGCAGCAGTTCCCCCTCCTGCACACACACACACACACACAAACACACACACACACACACACACACACAGGGCAAAGACACATATAGTGGGCAGATTGATGATTGATAGGGGCTGAGATCTCTCTGTCATAGGGGAGCTGATAGCATCATGTCCCCCTCAGAGGATGACTGAACATATGATGAGGAGTTGGGGGGGAGGGTGTGTGGGGGGTGGGAGGGAAAAAAGGGAGGGAAGAAGAGGGAAAAATGAGTGGCACCTGCATCGCCAATTTCCTCCTCTGCAGACAGTGTCAGCATGAGTTATGAGACGAGCTACAGTGGCAGGGAGGAGGACAAAAACAGAGTCGGTCATTGAGGAAACGGTGAAGAGGGGTCTCAGAGCGCTGAAGGGATGTTAAACAGGAAAAGCCCTTCTCCTACCATCCCCCCCGTCCCTGTTTTCCTCTCCCTTTCTCCACCCTGCAGTGACCTCCTCCTTGTCTCCCCCTTCTTGAATGTAAATCTCAATGCCCCCTTGTGTCTTTCAATACCCCCCGAACCATAAGAACAGCACAAGAAGTCCTTCTCTGTTCCTTTCTAAATCTTAAACAACAATCCAGCTGTCCGTGCTTCCACCCTCTGTCTCCTATTTAGCTAACTGGTCTTGTTTCCTTCACATTGTTAAACAACCGTCTACTAAATATTCCTCTGTATGTCACTTCCTCAATCCTGTGAAGCCTTTTCCTCCACAAAGCGCAGCCATCCTGTCATCTTTAAAACCCAAAACGGATCGTTTTCTCGTCTCTCTTGCTTCGCCCTGCAGATATCAGCTCGAGTAGAGGAGAATAAGAAGTCATTTAGCTGTCTGTGGTTTCCACATTAGAGGTCTGGGTCTGATCCAAACAGAAGAGATTCCTTCACTGGGTGGAGAACTCGCTGACCTCTTTACATGCTTTTTGTCCATGTCAGCATGTTTGTGTATTTATAAAGCAGCAAGTATGGACAAAGAAGTTTGAGGAATGTTTTAACACCTCGGGCATGCTTCTGCAGTAGCCGAAACATGACCGTGATGTGTGCATATGAGCAGATGTGCACGACAATGTGTGTGTGTGTGTGTGTGTGTGTGTGTGTGTGTGTGTGTGTGTGTGTGTGTGTGTGTGTGTGTGTGTGTGTGTTGTGCCTGTGAAAAAGCGGAGAGATCACAGGAGTTTAAATGTGATGTTTTCTTAGCTAAATCTGAAGCTCATTATTTTAAAAAAATGCATTTTTCAGCTCATGCACACGAAAGAAAGTAGAAACTCTATTTCAGTAACAATAAGAGGCAATGCAAAAATAAACACAGAATAAAACAATTTACACAGAATTTAGCAGAAACATAAACTCCAGTAGATGAGACCACAGATCTCTGTAAGAAGCATTAATCATACTGGACAGATAACAAACTTTATTACAACTTTTATACAAGAGTTTGGCATCAACCAAAAATGCAGTCAGCTACAGAGTTTTCTTTGGGCCCTGCTAGCTTATTATCATTTTATGCCAATCACAGACGGTATAGAAAAATTGATGCTGTAAGTGTTCACTGAATGTGAAGCCAAGAGATTTAGAGCTCCCCCTACTGGTTGGCTGTATTATAGGTCATAGGCCCGTCTTCTTTGTCTTAATAGATGGAGAGACAATATAATTGAAATGAAGGAATAATTGAATGAATAGTTTTCACAGCGCAATTATCTTGGCCATAAAATATCTCATGATAACCATATTATCGTAATATTTCTGGAAAACGTGAAAGTAAAACAAATTGAGGAATGATAACACGACTTCCTAAACCTGACTAATAAACGCACTAAACTCACATATCATCACACATGTCTAATAATATTTACATTTATATTTCATAATCAGGCATTTCACCAAAAATTCACTACCTCAATGAACAGTTTTTTGTTGTGCTTTTATTTCAATATTTCCATCTTGGATTTTTGTTGCTTTACTTCCTGCACTGTCAAGCTATGCTTTTATTTTGAAGTTTCCTACTTTTGATTCGGTTGAAAAGATCGGTTAGAAAGTAGAAATGTTCAGTTGGTCAGTAACTCAAAGAGGCGCAAACTCTATCATCTTTTTGGATTCAAAATAAAATCTTAACATCAGTTTTAAAAGTGTCTCATCATCTACTAGCAGTCTGTGATTTCTTCACCATGTCTGCTTTAAACCTGAAACACATTTGTACGAGATAACCGGAGCAGTTACGGGTTTATGTTTTGCAGGGTGATCTACCTGCAGGTGAGCATGAATGAAGGCCTCTCCTACATCACCAGCTCGGTTCACATCACTACGACTGAATGTGTGAGTAAATCCTGAGTGTGACCCGCTGTTATTTTTCTTCCTGCTCTTCATCTGAACAAACTCTCTTCCACTTTTTTCTCTTCTTTCCGTTCTCCAGTCCTCTTCTTCTTCTTCTCTTCCTCTCTGATGTCTCCTCTGTTGTGTCTGTCATCAGAGGAGGCTGTGAGTACTTTCACTTTTTTGTTTTTACCTTTTTCTCATCACCTGTCTTTTAAATTCAGTTTAATCCTAATCCCATAATTCTGTGTTTGTGTGCAGTTTGATGGCACCATCGTGCTCATATCGCTGCTGGTGGTGTTCCTGCTGTTGGCTCTGCTGCTGATGTGGTGGTTCTGGCCTCTCTGCTGCACTGTGGTAAGGCTGATTTTCATACACCAGGATTTTCACTTGTTTTTTAATTTTTTGTTTTATCAAATTTCTTTCTTTTCAATCTCCAGGTGATTAAAGAACCTCCTCCACCTCCTCCTCCAGAACCAGTAAGACATTTTGGTTAAACGATAATATTAACAGGTTTGAGCTGTCTTTCTGTAACTGATTTGTCATCTCCAAGGAATCTGATGATGAAGATGGGATGCCAAAGAAGAGGTGGCCCACAGTGGATGCATCTTATTATGGAGGAAGAGGAGTGGGCGGCATCAAACGCATGGAGGTATGTGCACCAATCTTCAAATGCAGAGGCCACCTTATGAGACAAGTACATCATTTAAGCCTCAGATCATTAGTTGGGGCTCGTCAGATCAGGTTTCTGGAGCTCGTCATTAGTCATATCCGTGAAATAACTTCTTAAAGCCCATGTCTTTGATCAGGTCTTTGATCATCTTATCATCTAAAAGTTCATCCTGTTGCTGTTACTTCATGTTAATCAAACTTTGACTTTGTTTTGACCTGTTGTCAGTATTTCTCTTGTTGTGTCACCGCCTACCTTGTTTGTTTGTCCTCACAAATTGCACAATTATTATAATTGTGTGCACAAATAATATAATGATAACAGTATTATTATTATTTCGTAGGTGCGATGGGGGGAGAAAGGGTCCACTGAGGAGGGCGCCAAGCTGGACAAACCTAAAAATGCCGTTGTAAAGATGCCAGAGCAGGAATTTGAACCGTATGAGCCCAAGCCACGAAAACCACCCCGCCGGCCTCCACAGCAGAGGCGGTGGTACACGCCCATCAAGGTATGTCTTTCATCTTAAAAAAAAGGAAATTGTATTTTTAAAGTAATGCTTTTATTAATTTTCTCAACTTTAAAAAAACGACTTTAAATTCCTTGTTTTCTGTCTGGATCCTCCAGGGGAAGCTTGACGCTCTGTGGGCTCTGTTCAGGAGAGGATATGACCAAGTGTCCCTGATGAGACCCCAGCCTGGAGATGAGGTGAGTCTAACACTCAGCTGCTGTCACAACTTAAAATTCGAGACAGCATAATAGAAGCAGACGAAGCCTCAGTGATGTTTTTAATTTGTCTGTAAATCTGCGGAAACCTTGAGATGTAGACCGCTGTGTATTGCTATCCTGCGGTCGTTACTAAAGTTGGTATAACTTGAGAAGCAAGCGGTCGGCAACATTCATCTCATTGAGGTTTGACCATGACTTAATTTTATGTTGGAATATCCCTTTAATGTCACAAGCATAAAATATACACTGTGTATATACTTTTCTGACTTCTCTTTTTACGCACAAATTATTGTGTGAAAAAAAATACTTGATGAAAGAAATCACTCGCTTAGCTCCTTATTTAAGCTTAGATTGAGCTTTAACCAGGGAAAAACTGTCATTGAAGCTGCAGGTTTAGTATTTTAATCATCAAAAACATTAGGTGACTTGGATATTTCATCTTTTGCAGCCACCCCCGCCCACTCTCACTGCTCGGCTCCTGCCTGTGTGTAAATTAAGCAACATGTCTAAACCCCTGATAGCTGGAAATATTCCCTGATGTAAAAAACGTACTCTAAATGGAGTCAGGATGCATCGATTAAATGAAATCAGGTTAGAGGAGATTAGATTTTGTACAATTGCTCCGGATTTTTTGGGTACGTTTCCAAACTTTTGACAATGGAAAGACCCCGTGGAGTTATTACACTGTACATCTTCATCATGTTTGCAGTCAATGCCCAATGCATGCATTAATATCTGATTTACCACAGCCAGGCATTAGGCTATATATAACACAGAACTATACTTAAGTAATGAACTATAATAATGTATGCTCTGTGGGTCTTTATAGCTCGGGTTTGTCACAGAACCTTTCAGTGTAGCTTCTATCTCTGTCTGTGGACAGCTGAGCATCTGCGTTTTGTCTTTGTGTCTGTCACATTAAATAAAGACAACACGTGTCAGTGAGCTTCATGTACAGCAGCTCAGTACTGACTTTGTGCACGCACACAGACACACAGACACACAGGGCGAGTCAATGAGCCACTGATACATCTCTCAGAGTCAAAGCAGCTTTTGTTCGTGCAGTAGTACTGTACTCCTCTGTACTCTCCTTTGAGAAATCTCTGCGACTCCCAGAAACGACTCAGTTTCTATCAAGCTTCCAAATCACACGTTACACACTCGCTGCATCCTCACAAGTATGAATTATAAAAGAAAAAAACAGCCACTGTGTCACATTGAGGTTTATTTGGTTTCCTTCTCGTGAAATCCTGCTGCAAATTTTATTATGTCATATAACCGAAAACCGGTGCTTCTGCTGCTCCTCCTAAATTTACACGATAGCGTCACAGAGCGTCTCTCTTATCTAACCTTGACCCCGTGTGTGTGTGTGTGTGTGTGTGTGTGTGTGTGTGTGTGTGTGGCGTCCCATAACCTCACAGTCATGTTTTCATCATCACAGCGGTTGTCATGGTGAAACATCTGCTCCGTTGTAAATGGATTCATTGTCACCTCTTGTAGCTGAGGCCATATCGCTGTAAAATTTATTGATTTGTTCCTTGAATGGCATGATTCATCTTTAGGATGTAACAGTGTGAGCGTGTGTCTCTCTACTGTATCTGCTCTCTGTAAATCGGGTGTCTCCTCCGGGGTTTATCCTCTCTTTCCATCTTGAACTTTTTTTTTCCAGAGCAGTATAATTCATCCCTGTCGGGTCACGAGTTTCTGGGGTCTTTGTCAGACACTTTTTTTGTGGAGCTCTGGGTCACGCAGCCCCTCAACAATGACCCCTACAACTCTCTTCACGAGCCATTAACTCTGGAAAATACAACGCCACCTCTCACAATGAAAGAAATGAAGGGGAAAAAAATCCACTTTCATCACAAGGGAGACTGCCGCTCGAAATGTGTGGTTATGGTCATATCAGACATGAAAGACGACAACGATTTCTCTTGTTGCTGAAATGGAGGTTCAGATCTGAGAGAGTCTGGAGTCACGATTCACTACAGAAGTGGGATTTTGTCGTGATTCGTGATGTTGTATTAGTAAGAGAGGGGAGACACTCAGATCACAAGAGCGAAGTATCTCCCAATTTTTTAATAACTGTCAATTTAATCATGTTATTTCACACAAACAAGACAAATACTCCAAATGTAAGAGACCTTCATTGGCTGTAATGTAAAAAAAAGAAGCATTTACTCTTGGAAAAGCTACTAATTCACGTCAGATTACCCAAAACAATGAATTATGAGCTTTTGGAGAATATTCAAACATTGGTTGGTATAGAAATACACCACAAGTGACCAAATTAAGCACAAATACCCTACAGAGTAAAAGAGCAAGAATTCAATTCAGCTCAAATTCCAATAACTGTATTTATTCTTACTGGGGAATTTTTTATGAAGCAGATTGAACACGACAAACAAACAAAACGGATGCTGACAAAAATGAATTATACAAAACAGTTAAAATATATATATATATAGTTTAAAATGAACATTGGAAAATATATTTGAATTTAACTGTAATACATAATGAAACCATACAGTATGTCAGCTTACACTGCTCTCATTAGCAGGAAAACACAAACAATAGAGCATGAAGATAGTAAAAATATTCAACAGCAACATCACCCTACAGAGCTAAATAAAATAGAAATAAAGATGAAGTATCTCAGAATAACTGGAGAAGTAAATAAGCAGGTTTATAAACCACACATCAAACTTCAGGTTCAGATTGTTTACCAGCAGCTCAGAGGGAGTCCATCCTGCTTTCTCCTCACATTACTCCTCCTTCAATGCTTCTGCAAACGGCCATCAGCAGCCGGCCACTTTCTGCCACACTCCCCTGCGTGTGCTTGATCCCTCTCTGCGGCGTGCACGTGCGTGTGCACGTGAGCGTGTCACTGTAACGTATGTCTCAGCTCTCCAGAGTGAGCGTCACACAAACAGATGGGGAGTTGAAAGGCCACGAGCCATATTGTGACAGAAGAGATTCCCCTCTTTTGTCCCCAGAGCTGATGGCACTGTTGGGACCGTCACACGGCGCAGAGTGGACCAGAGGGCGGCCACCGTCCCTCCTCGGTCTGCACCTCCCTGTCCTCACCCTCTTTCTTTTTTTTGTCTTTACTTGAAGGATTTGATCACCCAAATTACAAACACACACACGTATTCTCACTCATGTCTTGTGCTAACGAGTCAGGTTGTAAAGTAAGGGTGAGGGATATCTGGAATTTCAAGTCTCTAAATTTACACATCTGCCACAGAGCAGAAAAACAGCATTTTCCCCCTGTATTCCTCTATATTTTAATAGTGGTAAAATTTCAATAAAGAGCTTAATGTTAGCTAAAGGTAGAGCCAATGTCAGAAATAATCTTTAGCCTTTCCAAGTGGAGGTACAGTGTTTAGAAACGGGAATATTTAACAGTCAGATCTAGATTAAAAATGCTCCATCCTGTGTTAGTGAAGCAATATTGGCCTTTAAGGACGTATTAGGAGAAGTATTGTCCTCCATCTAATCATTTATTATTACTAATTAAATTTGCTCACCACTCTCTTTTACTTTGTCTTTGTCTTAAAACTAGTGCATAAACACAGATGGCCTTAGCTAGTTTGTCCATTCAGTGCTCCTGTAGAAACATGGCAGCCTCCGAGAAAGGGAACCGGTTTATTTGAATATATCTGCTCTTTCTAAAATAACTAAAAACAAACTTTTTGTATCTTCAGGGGATGATACAAAACTTTAAAAAACCTAATGAGTATTATATTCCATTTCAGAGGTAAGATGGTGGTTCACAGTTGTCCTGTGGCTGTGACTGAACAGTGTATTTGTGCATGTCTGAGAGTGTGTTCATCTCTTATCCTTCCACGTTGTTTTAATGTAATGTGAAAATCACACAGCAGGGCACCAGTGTTGCACTGTTGCATGGTCACTATAAAGGTACAAAGACCCGATATCAGCAGAGCTAATTCAGAGTTAATTCAGAATCATAAAAAACTTCTGTTATCTATCTGACTAAATAATACAAATATTAAATGTAAAACTTTGATATTTGACTCCTGCTATTTCTAGCCTGAGTTATTTAAAGGTGTCCCACATTCCCCAGCAGCACATCAGGTCAATGAATGAGTGTTAACTCTTGTGAGTGCACACGGAGCAGCTTCCTCCTGGGAGTGAATCGCTGTAAAGTCATGTGAGGTGACAGGCCGAGCTGTCGGGTCTAATGTGCGTCTCTGTTCACTCATCCTCCTCCTGGTTTCTTTACTATAACTGTGACAAATGTGTGAGGTGTTTGTCGATGGTCACAAAAGTATCTGCTCTGAGTGTGTGTGTGTGTTTTTGTAACAAAAGGGCTCAGAGGAAAAAAAAGAAACAGAGACCCTGCAGCAGAGGGGTGTAAAGAGGGGATGCCGGAGGTGTTGTAAGGGGTTTTGTTTGTCTGAATAAGGAGTGAGGTTATGAGTAAACAACCACCATGAGGGAAGAAAAGCAGTGACAAACATCAGAGCCGGAGGGAAACACCCAGAGGGTGAACACTACAAGTGTGACAAAGCTGAGCCCTCTTACCACTCATGCATCAATATTCAGAGATGACCTGTGTAAAGAAAAAGTTTGGTGGAAGTTGGATTAGAAATTTTGAAATTGGATTAAAGTGCATGAAAGCAGAGCTCAGAATGTGATGTTGTAGCCGAAGGGTTAAAGGGATAGTCTGGCGTAGAATAAGGTTAGGGTCAAACACACCGTAACACAGAGTTAGACACCCCGCCAAGAGGTGAATGTTAGCGACCGCTTGCTTCTCTAGTTATACCAACTTTAGTAACGACCGCAGGATAGCAATACAGAGAGCCACATGCTCAACCAAAACACCACTCTATAGCCACAAATAATGCCCAGAACAGCACCTAACTTCATCAACAGGACATATAGGGTCCCAGCCATAGTACTAGCCACCAAACATCTTTTTAACTTTGACTTATTTCTTTGGCAAAGAGACTAAACACAACTCACCTACTCTCTTCCAGCAGCCGCTTGTTTGTAGCGAGACCTCCAGGCGAGTACATCAACTGCAGCGGGGTGACACAGCTCAAGGAAGAACATTTATGATCATTTCTTCATGGAAATACAATCAGACCGAGACGCTAAGACAGAAGAACTACCAGGTCTGCAGTGCGAAATAATTAAAATGATGATTATTACTTAAAGGAAATGATAAAGAAATGATCATAAATGTTCTTTCTTGAGCTGCGACACCCCGCTGTAGTCCGTAATGGACTTGCCCGGAGGTCTCCGTACAAAGTTATGAGTGTGTTCTGAGCATTATTTGTGAATATCCAGGAATATTCCATTCAGTAAAGGTGCAGCTAAAAAAAAAAGTTGTTTTTTTTTCCAATAATTCAATTCAAAAAATGAAACCTCCCTTTATTCTGGATTCATCACTCTCAAAGTGAAATATTTCATGACTTTTCCAGACAAACAACACTTTGAAAACTGCTCCGTTCCTCTTCCTGAAACTGTTATTCTCCAGGATTCTTCTTCTTCTTCTTCTTCTTCTCCTCCTCCTCCTCTCAACAGTCACCTTATGTTTTTTAGTGCTCTCCTGCAGCCGGCCCCCTAACCCTTCCTCTCCCTCTGTTTTTCTTATTCATGAGCTCCAGGTTTCATTCAGGCCATATGTTCTGGTGGAGGCATGCTTACAGTCACACACACTCACAAACACACACATATTCATGAGCTTGTGTTCTCATTGTGTCCATATGCTGTCTCTGGTGTTGTGCTGCTGCTCTGCTGCTCACAGACTGGCCCTTTCACCGCGGCCTGGACACAAGACCCCGGCAGTCACCCTCCTCCTTCCTCCCTACCAGGGTGCCCCCAATCAATTACCCACCCCTCATACACACACACACACACACACACACACACACACAGACACACACACACACACACACAGACACACAAAGGGCCCCCTCAGTCACAAAGCTACCCTCTTATTGGCCCCTGTGTGACTTTAGGGCCTCTCTGTTTAATAAGGTGTTATAATCAGACCACCAAGGGTCTGTGACACAGAGACCTACACACCATCCTTCACACACACACCGACTGAGCATGACAAGAGTGTGAGTGTGTGGAGGGATGCTATGCAGGGAACAGAGAGAAACAACATCAATGAGAACAATAAGAGAAGCGTCCCATTGGAGCAGACTTGTAAATTATGTTAAATGCTGAGGGGGGCCTCTGTTAACGATTGTGGGGTTAAAGAAGACCCTCCTTTACATTCCAACAAGTCGAGCACATACGAGACATAAACCACTTTCTGTTCTGCATCAAGAGAGACGCACCAGAGGCTCCGAAGGGGAAATGAGGCAAAGCTTTAGACTGCAGAAGCGAATGTGTGTGTGTCGTCTTCATCACAGCTATTGTAGTGCAGGTGTGGACAGAGGACAGAGGCGTCTCTGTGCGTCCTCAAACACACGAGCCTCTATCTGCAGCGCTGTGTAGCGCTGCTGTAACGTTTTGTTTCTGTCCCGCAGGGTCGCTGTATTAGTTTCCAGCGGGTCAAACAGGCAGAGTCCACCCCGAACAACCACCGTACTCCCCCTCCTGTACATCACTCCCCCTCACCGCCACCGCCGCCTCCTCCTCCACATGCCGAACAGCAACCTCTGGTCTCCAATTCTGTCCCCCGTACAAAGCCGCCGTCAAGAGGGCCCCGCACTACACCACCGGCCCGCACACCCCCTCCTGTCATGCAGCTCCCTCCTGGCCCACCTCCTTCCCGTGCACCACCAGGACCGCCACCGTCTCGGCCCCCGCCCAGGCTCTGATGATGAAGAGAACACCTGAACGTCATCTTGCTCCATGAAAATATGTCTTCTTGTCAGACAGCAGAGAGACATCAAACCTTTTAAAGGCAGGAGCTCCAACCTGAAGCTCTGTGCTTTGTTGCTGGACAGCAAAAGTATTTATCTGATCTTTAAATCAACGTTATCAGAACAAAATAAAAACAGCATGTAGTTACCTGTTGAAACCTGTATGTACAGTTAGATATTAGTCAGAGGTAAGAGGAAGTGCAAACCTTTCAGGGAGTTTAACCAAAAAAGGATTAATGTGTTGTTGAGAGGTCGATTGTGACAGACTGTGTTTGAATGATGATTGTTCAAAGTCGTGTTTACTTTGGTTTTGGTGGAGAATAATTATGTGGAGGGAGGATGTGGTGAGAAATACCGCTGTAAGTGAAAGATGACAGGAATGTTAATTATGTTCGAGCTGGATTTTAATATCTTAGGTTTCCACAAATCACACTGATTCACCTTTTTTCACCAAAGAAACTTTTCTACACTCCAGTTAAAGTTTAGCGTTTAAGTACAGCAATCTTTTGTAACTGCAGGGCAGTTTCTTCGTACTTTATTTATTTTAATACAACTCCTTTTCCTGCATCTGTTTCCTATTTAGCATCAGGTTGGTTTCTTAATCTTTGCAGTGGATATGAGGGAGCTTTCTGGCATGTCTGATCTGATGTATTTGAGGTCCTTTGACCGCCTGGTGGAGGCTTTTTAGCGGGGGTTTGTATTTTCAGGGCTCGTCTGTATTCTATATTTACTGACTGAAATGATCATTTGCATTATTTCTTTATTAACAACCTTTTGTGTCTTTTTTCAATAAACAAAATGGGGTTTTTTATTCGCTGTCTTGCTGTGATTTCTTTCTTCTGATTAAAGTACGGTGTTATATTTCATGATTTTGCACAGTCATATTATGAATTAGCTTTGAAATATATTGGGGCCAGTGTTACTGAGACATAACGACATATTTATTAAGTGGACATGCTGCAACACTCAGTGATATGTTTCATTTAAGTCATTAAACTAATTAAACCCCGCGCTGCTGACAGTATGCATGAAATTTATCGTGATAACCTGCAAAGTTAAAGCTAAATTCAAACATTTTTAACTGCTTTCATTTTTATTAAAGTCACATTTCTGGACTTCCTCACCGCCCTGTTATAAATCTTTCTGCCATTTATTCCCAATTGAAGCAGCTTGTAAAGACGTCAAGCTGTAAACTTTCTCTCTACAGTCCAGAAGATGTTTCAGATTTTTATTACAGGATGGAAAAAAAGGAAGCAGAATAAAAGCTATCTGCAATCAGGTGAGGGGGTTCAGCTTGATTCTAAAGTTACATTATATAATCTGAGCCTCATTTCTGATGATATATGGTCTGAGAATGTCCTGAATCAGTCTGAGATTTCTGCAGCCCTCCTCTAAAAACGCTGACATATACACTGAGCTCATTCACATAAGAGTACGATTAGGAGGTCATTCTGCCGCTACGTGACTCATTTTGCTGCAGCCCATCTGTGGAAATGAATCACACGAGGGTAATGGTATGTTAACTCATCCTGCACAACAACCTACAGCTCCCCTCCGAGTGTCTTTAAGATGATGCATTCACTGTCACTAGGAGAAAAAAAAACACACTGCAGGCTGGAGGTGATCTCTGTTTTCTTTTGTGGAAAAACTGCATTTACTCAATATTGTTTCATTCTGTTCAGAGCAAAAGCAGCTTTATATTTGTTTCACAGTCATCTTGAAGGCATTCACAGAGGTCTACAGCGCCCCAAAGTGACCAAACTAACAACAAAAGCAGAGGTTGCTCTTTCCAAATCAGTGTTATTGTCTGCTCCACAGTCGTCACTCATAAATACATGTTCTAGTTGATCAAAATGGGACACATTCACACACTCATGAAAGCTGCAGGACATCAGTCTAAAATCTCTGCAGCTCAGAACGATGAAAACAAACCTGTGTGTCACCTTCAATGACACACACACACGTACACATCTAAAGTGTAAATCCATAATCTTTGTATGTTTATGAACACACAGCACATTTTAAGTCCATTGATTAATTCGAGGGTGCTCCTCAGGCTTTCCTCTTCTTATGCATTTTCTTTCCAGACAGCGCCCCCTTCTGGGCTCCCCTCACCATGCCCTTAAACTGGCCCTGGAGTTTGGCCCGTTTCCTGCAGACACGCACAGAATAAAACATTTCAGTCTTTGACGCTGCTGTTAAAATTAACTCTGAATAAGTTGCGATGATAAAAAGTTTGTTGCTCATACCTGCGGTTGAGCTGGGCCTTCTTCAGAGGGATGTAAGCGTAAGGATCGAGTTTTCCTTTCTTCTTCACATCTCCTTTTCCTTTCTGAGAGCAGGAAGATGAAAATAAAGAAACTCAGTGTTCAAGTTCACAAACAAACACCTCTGTCGTGTTTATTTCTGCATGCTGTGTGACTCACCTTTGACTGGTAATCAGCACCGACTTCTGGTCGTCCTCCCAGCGCTCTGTGGATACCCGAGCCTCCAGCTGAAATTGTGTATATTGTATATAGTTTTATTTTATTTTATCTTATTTTATTTTAATTTCTTCTCCATTTTTCCTTTTTCTATTTTTTTTCTTAATTATAACATTTATTTAGTTTCTTAATATTACGATCTTTATTTTTATAACCGCATTTTTGCACTACCTTTGTCTGTGACGCTGCTGTGGCAAAAAGATTTCCCCCATGGGGGATCAATAAAGGAATATTCTATTCTATTAATGCAACAAAGACTCATGTTTAAAGGAGGTTAAAGATGTGTTATTATCGCCCTAAAACGAGTCCTACCTTTATATTTGAGCTGAGGTTCGACATCCATGTCCTCGTCAAAGTTGTCGTCTCTGAACTTCCTTTTCTGCGTCTTTCTCTGAAGGTGAAAAAAGTTAAAATGATAAATGATCTGATCAATGATAAAAGCTTCATGGCCGTATCTTTAAGTACTCACACTCTTGACTCCAGCTTCTTCTAGGATATCTTTCATCTCGCCCTCATCTGTTGGAGGAACAAACAGGTTAAAGTCCCCGCGTATTCAAACATAAAGCGATTTACTTCAACATGATGAGTTTCCTCTCACCTTTCTCATTACCGTCCTCCTCCTCATCCTCTCTGATGATCAGCCGTCCGTCTGATGTTACTTTGAAGCCATGCTCCACCTTAGAGCTCTTCTTCAGCTCTGGGTTGGTGGCTGAGGAGGACAAAAACCACGAAGGAGATAAGCCACAGCGCATAAAACCGGCTTCTTCAGAACAAGTTCTTGTGCAGACTCAGGAACTAACCTAACACTCTCTGGGAAACTTTGGAATCCAGGAAGTTAAGTGGATCATCTTCCTCTCCTTCTTTGAGCCACGCTCGTCCTTTCTGCTGTTTGCCGGGTTTCTTCTGAGCCTTTCCAGCCTTCCCTTCGTCTTCTGATAATTCACTGTCTGACTCTGCGAGGATCTCCTCAATACTGCAGAGGAGAGGAGGAAACAGGGAGTTTTTAAGGTTTTATTAAGTATAAGAATGAGGAGGGAGCAGAGTTTGAGTCAGGAACAGAAATCTACCTTTTGCTACTCGCTTTAGGAGTCTCCTCTTCGCTCTCCGAGTCCTCGTGCTTCTCTGCCGCCTGTTTCCGTCTCTTTGTACGAGCTTCGGCTTTGCGGATGTTTGCGAGCACTTTGTGATGCTCTGCGGGAAGCATGCTCTTCACCAGCTCAAAACTGGAAAAGGGAGAACAAAAACAAACACGTACACGATAAAATAACCCACATTAAAAAAAATTTCACTCTTTATCATATAAAATAAACACAGATTCTGATTACGACACTTTGATGACCAATAAGACGGAATAAAAAATGAGTTACTAAAAAACAAAGAGAGGGGAATGCAGGCCAAATAAAGAAATAGTACAGATGAAAATTAAAAATCTTATTTTTAAACCTTAATTTCACTTTTCAAATACAGTGTCAGCTGTGTTCATGTGCACAGAATTGTGTTTCCATCTTTGAACAAAACATCCTTTTGTTAATGTCCGCCTGTGATCTGTACATCAATATGATCATTTCTCAAATATTCTGTATTTCAACGACACTGGTTTGGTAACTGGTCGCCAACAAATATCATTTAAATAAATTAAATAAGCAGAACCCAAAACAACCAATGGAACTTAAAATTCTGGTTGTGATGAATTTCTATGATTTATTCAGTCGAGCAGTTTTAAGGAAAACTTGACTGGAAAACTGAGGGGGTCACCCAAAAATTTCAGTGAAAGTGTCCCTGTAACCATAGCAACTCACTTGCACCTGGCTGAGTGCTAAAGAGGGACAGAGAGAGAGAGAGAGAAGCTGATCTGCTGATGGTCAATCTGAGCAGCAGACACCCAATAACATCTTTTTCACTGTATGATAATAACAAAATTAAAGAGTTTTATCGAACCAAACGTGTAAATTTGGAAACATCTACAGAGATCTGGACCTCAGCGAGATCAAAACCAGAGACAGACTGCTTTATGAAGACACACAGAGACAACATGTTGGTCCAGAATTTACAGGCAGATAAGACAGAAGCTTAAAGAAAGAAAATTAATTCTTACCCAAACTTCCTGATGAACTTTGTGAAAATATTCTTCAGTTTGGTTCTGAAGTGTCTCCTCACGTCATCCTTGATGTTTCCGACTCCCTCCATCTGAACACAAACACACAGACAGAGTTTAAACTTCACAAAACAAAGAAGAAAACCATCTCCTGCAGCAGACAGAAGCGTCTTCATTCACCACCTACCATGACTGTGGCGTGAGATGCCAGCGTCTTGGGATCCAAGATAAAGAGGACGACTTTAATGAAGCTCAAGGCGGCTTTGACGATTTCTCTGGTCCGAGACGTGAGCAGCAGACAGATGTTGTGCAGCAGCTGCTCCAGGGAACTCGAGTCTATGGCTTCTGAGTAAGCAAAGGAGACCGGTTTAAGTGCTGTTTACAAACATGAGTATGAAGAGCTTAAAGTGAATCTAGATTAAACCTGGAGAGCCGACCTTTGTACTCAAACACCAGGCGAGTTAGAGCCAGGACTGTGCAGGTGATCATGGTGACGGAGCCTGTGAGTCCTGCGTACACCAGCATCAAGTACTCATCCATGGCATCTGGATAAGACAGACGAATTAATCATTAAATTAATATTACACTGTATTCCTGCTCAAATTTAATGTGTTTTAAAGTGAAAAAATCCGAATAAAGATATTATATTGAGATTGATGTATATTTTATTGTATATTGATTTGTTTTATTGTTCTTGATTTTATTCATGTACAGCGTCTTTGCGTCCTTGAAAAGCGCGTTACAAATAAAATGTATTATTATTATTATCATTATTATTATTTGACCTAAATAAACTTTAAGGCGGTTCATTATTACCTTTCGTGTTTCCACAGAAGCGTACCAAAGCGTTTCCTATTTCCACCAGCAGCGTGTAGGCGTTCTTACGAGCTCCAGCAGAAACTTCCTTTGTGCAGATAATCACCTGAAAGTGACGACAACTTTGTGTGAAAATGATCCGTCTTTTTGTCTGAGAGTCTGCGGTCACTTCTTCTTGTTTTTACCTCGGGCAGCAGTGCGGTGATGAAGTCTCTGTGTTCCTCACTCAGCCGTTTCACGATGTGGATCAGACACTTCAGTCTCGGCTGTGAAGAGGCAAACATGAGGGTCCAATCAGACAGAGCTGTAAATGACGTTTTACTTCGTTTGTGTTATTCCTCTCGACGCTGCAGTCTCACCCTCTTTGCAGGTGAAGAGGCGTTTTTCAGAGTCTCGAGCAGGACGGCTTTGAGCGTTTCCAAATTGGCTAGGACAAACGACCTGCACTCGTCTCGGTCTCCTCCACACATCTCCTCCAGGACGCGGTACGCCTTCTTCTGCATGCCTGGGTCTTTGGTCTGAGGACAAAATTCACAGACAGACACAAAGTAAGCTGAATAAAACACACTGAATAAAAAAATGGAGGAAAAATAGCGAAAGATTCTTATTATACAGCAAAATCTGAGACGCTGGACTGGATCCTGAGGGGTACAAGCCCTCGTTTATACCCTCACCTCCAAAGATGGCCTGATGAGCTCAAAGGTTTTAGTCATGGTGGCCTCATCTACAAAAGGAGCCATGGCGATCACAAGGTCCATCATTGACAGGCTGAGAAGAAAAGTCAAAACAGAGAAGCAAATATAAGAAAGAAGGAGGAGGATTGTGATTCACAGAATATCATGTTATTAACCTAAAATCAGTCCCACCGTGTGAACTCGGTTGACTCTGTGCTGCTCAGTCTGTCTGTGGCTTTTTGCAGGAATGTGCAGATCATCTGAGGATGAGAGTTTTGACATGTAAACAAAATCAGTTTAGGATGGAAGACACATAAAAAAAAATGTCTGCAGGATTCAGTATCATAACAAAAATTACACAGACACAAACCGATGATCACTAAACTGGACTGACCGGAGTGTCTGTGACCGTCAGGTAGACCTTGATGGTGTCCAGTACAGCCATCCTGTAGCTGGCAGGCTCTCCCGCAGCGGGCTGATGGCTGTACACGTTGAAAAAGATCGGCAGGAAGTTCTTCGAGAAGCGGCCGATCTCGACCTTTTCTTCCTCTGCAAAAAAAAAAAGAAGTGGAATAATTGGAGTAAACTTTGAGGTGTGTCGTTATTTTAAACGCACTTCCTCTCTCTGTGAGGACACCGTCTTACCTGTGGAGCAGCTCTTGTTGATGACCGTGCGTAGAGCCTGGCACACAGTCAACCTCAGGTCTGGACGTTCGTTGATCGCCGTGCCGAGCACACGGGCGATGCCTTTAAAAGATGTGAGCAGGTCCACTGGGCATGTGCAGAAGCCTGGGAGCATGGTCCAGATCTGGGAGGAAACACGAATATGCATTCCTTCAAAACTAATTGAATGCAACTTCTGACCCTGACTGCATTGAAGTTAAGTCAGTGTGGAGTTACCTGCATCTGTAACATCTGATAGACTTTGGCCTCAAGTTTCTGTCCCGCTTGCTCCAACTCTTCAGCTGCACAAAAACAGAGAAATCTTTGAGTACAATAACACTCCACATCTCCATCTCACCACCCGAAACTGAAGCCTCCCACACTTTGTTTACCTCTCTGCTTGAGCGTCGAAGCCAGAGGGAGGAAATACGAAGTGAAGAAACCGAGGTGAGTGTTCTTCACGTGATCACGAATCACAGGGACCAGCCAGCTCCGTGGAAACTCCAAATCATCCCTGAAGACAAAATCATGCAGCAGGATTAAAACCACCACTTCACGACAAGTGTGATCCTCAATGATTGACAGCCCGTATCATTTGCGCTCACTCGAAGCCGGTGATGTTGAGAGGCACGGCGCCCAGCACTACTTCAGGGCCCATGCTCTCCACAGCTCCCCCGACAGCCAGGTCCAACTCCCCGCTGAAGGGGAACTGAGGGGTGGAGCGCAGGTCTGCCACAGACTGTAGAGACTGAAAGGACACCACACAAACACTCAGGCAAACGTTTTTTTTTTAATCTTTACTCGTGTGTTGGTCTACAAAGTCCTCTGACTGTACCTTCGTCATGATGGGGTGAGCTTGCTTCCCCGCCACGCGATAAAAGCAGCCCAGAACCTGCAGCACAAAAGGCCAGGCGGCGTGGAAGCGATAGGACAGTCCTTCTTCTACGATGCTGTAACACGGACACAAACACACACAGCCTTAGTATAGTTACATTAGTATGATGAGAGTTTCAACAGCCTTTAAGATTAATTTATAACCCAACTTAACAGAAGAGGTTTTTTCCCAAACTGAAAAAAAAGTTAAAGAGAAAAACTTTTAATGCTAAAATAATGTTTCACATTTGTGATTAAAAACTCTGTCAAAGCAAATACAAACTCGTATCCAAAAGTTTCATTTCAATCTAGAAGATGTGATTTTGAATTTAAGATGTTTTCCTTTTTCTTTTCCCTCTATCTTATTTAGACTTACTGTCTTTTTAGCCTTTTTTTTTACTTAGAATCTTTTCTTATTTTACCTTTTAGGCCTTTTGTTGATTTTATTGTTTTTTTCTGCTCATTTTTGTTATTCCATTTTATTCCTGTTCCCTTCTTTCTACCCCCTTTTTTTTATTACATTTCTTTTTCTTAACTATTTTATGTTTTTATTTTGGTCCTCGTGGGCTCTGAATTCCCCCGATAAACATATCCAAGAGTTTGCACACTTACCGAAACATTTTGCAGACATAAGAAGGGTTTCCTGCTGATGCTGTTGGCGTTATCATCCCTATTTCCGCGATGTGAGGAGCAACACACTCAGTCAACAAAGTCTGAAACAGAAACACATCAAAAGTTAACAACACAACAAACTCTATAAAGATGAGAAACAACCACTAACTCTTCATCTTTAAAGGCTTTTCTTTACCTTTAGTGTATTAGCTGCGGCAGAAACCACTTGTGTGTGAGGGGACAACAGGCAAGACATGGCGGCGGAGAAGAGGCGAGGGAGGTGACCCAAACTCAGAGAGCTCTGCAAACTAAACACAGACACACAAACTGAGGACTAACCTGGCTGTAAAGGTGCTTTTTCGTGTGAATTTTGTTAGAAAGTTTAATAACCTTGCTAAGTGAACATGTGCTTTCTCCATGACGGTGAGCCACGCCAGCAGAGGCTGCAGGTCGTTCTCACTGGGCAGGTAGTCGTACAGAGCCTGATAAAGAGAGAGAGGAGCTGTTAGCTTTAATAATGTATTTTTAATAAGTGTGAGCATCTTTATTTTGTTTAAAATCAACTCACTGTGATGATCTGTGCGTTGAGTTCTGGTGAGAGACTTGAAGCGTTTGGTTTCCCACTGAAGAGTCTGTGAAAGGCTTGCATGGCGCTCGCCGTCACCAGCTAAAACCAGAGACAGGAGCAGGAACGGTGTTAGTAAGTCGACACAGAAAGTGTCTCAAGCTGCTCTGATGAATTTAATCATCTTTATTTTCTCACCACGTGGCTGAGGGTCATCACTCGCAGAAGAGTCTCACAACAAGACTTCACAGCTCCTAAAGGAAACGTCCCAATCAGCTCTTTGAGAAGACCCAGAACATGAAGCGTGGTGGTGTCCTCTTTGCTGCCTGAGGAGGAAAAAAAACAAGATAAGAGATAATACAGAAGCACAACATCATCAGAGTGTGACCAGAACCACGCTGGTGTACATATGTTTACAGTCGACCTGCCCTACCTCCTGCCTGCTCCATCTCTTTCATGCAGAACTTGGCCGTTGTCATGGCAGCGGGGTGATGGGGTGGAGCATCATCTTTAAACAGGAAGTCGCTCCCTCTGAGAATGGCGCAGACGCCTTGCTGTGCTGCTTTACGGACCTGAAAGGGAAAGAGTGAACGAAAATAAACTATTGTAAGAGTGAAGCTGAACTTTCAGTGCAGTAGTCTGAATTTTGACAGTGTTTGTTTATGAAAAATTGACTGAGAATTCCTGGACTCTATTGGCTTTTGTCTGTTAAAAATAATACAAAGATTTCTGAAGACTCTAAGATTATGCACTTGTGAACAGATATAAGTTTAAAGAGTTAGCATTCGGCTGGTGAGACCGACCCTGGGTTTGCTGTGCACTGTGAAGCTAAGAAGGCCGTGGTACGCCTGCAGAGTCGTGGGGTAAGTCCACACAGAGGCATCCTGCTTCCTCAACAAAGTAGCCAGACATGACAGGATCTGTGAGAGCAAACATGAGCAAATAAAATCTGATCAGTTTGTGCAGTTTTCACCAAAAAGGACGGCAGATAGAATAGGCTAAAAGACGAGAAATCTCACCCATCGGAGAGCTGAGGCCGTCTCAGATGTTGCCTCTTTTGACATGACGTCCATCAGAGCTTTAGTGGTGTCTGAAAACTTTGACATGAGCACCGGAGCGGGAACTCTACAGAGAAAAAACACCAAAAAGAAGGAGAAACACTTTCAGATGTAACAAATATTCTTTGACAAGATTTCTCAGAGGTGAAAATTGTGATTGAAGTCCAACCGTTTCATGACGAGGTTGAGGAGGTACGCAACCGCAGCCTGTGACTCAGCTGAATCCACGACCTCCAGGGTGGTCATCTACAACAAGCCCAGACATGTTCGACTTTAGAAAGCCTTGCGTCACTTTTTAATCACACCACAAACTGAGAGGTAACATCTTCATAGTCTTATCTATAAAAAGAAAACATGACTAACCAAAGCGGCAAAGTACTCTGTTTCAGTCTCCTTCCCTCCTTGGCTGCGGATCACCTCGGTAACAGCTGCCAACACGGCACAGATCTGCAGAGTGTCATAACAGAGACTTAAAGACACAGGACAAGTCTGCATTTTCAATTTAATGTTTTTGTTACAAAGTGTAATTTACTTGCATTTTTTCACGTGCTACTGTGATTTTTTTAGCTCTTGCAAAAGGACAACAAAACCATATTAGACCAACAAGAGTCAAATATCTGTCATTGGAGCTGTGTCCTTTTCAAAGTAGTGAATAAATAAGCTTACCTCCTTGTGAGCTGCTGAATTAGACTCCCAGTAGCGCTGCACCTTTCTGAACGTGAGGTTGGAGCAGTCCGACAGGCCGCTGAGGAAGGTACCTGAGGTCCTGTCTGAAAACGCCTCATCCGCCTCCTCTTCCATAGCAGCATCTTTTCGACCTCCCACCTCCAGCGAGCCTGTCTGCAGCTCATTGTGCAGCTTTAGAGCATCGACTGTCAGATCGCTCTTTACTGAGGAGGGAAAATATAAAGCATTACAAAACTTGACCTCAACAGAAAGACAATTTAGATTTAGATGATTTCCACTGACAGATTTCTTTTTATAATAGAGGATGGAGCGAGATTAACAAGTACCACAGGCTGCTTTAAGTCCAATCAGACACAGTGATGACAGGCAGTTCTGGATGGAAGTTCACTTATTTGTGTTTATGAGGTTGTTTTATTTTTATCACCGGCATTTGCAGTAATGTAATCATCAATATAAATAATGCAGATGTATAGCAATTGTGAACTAAACAGAAACTTCACAGGTCTTTCTTCTCTCTTCTCCATTTATCTCAAACTTTAAGAACAACAACAACAAAAAAAACAACTAGAAAAAAAAAACACCAATCAAAATAATACATATAGTTTCAGGGACAGGATAAGGCAAAAAGCTTCTCTAGTCCTGCCCCTTCTTTGCAAATTAGAGATTTTTTAAGAACAATTTGTATTACAAAGATCTGTACTACATAGGTTACTTAGTATAATTATTTGCATATTATATTAATAATAATCAGTGTTATAATATTCAGAATGAATATACCTTCTCTTCAATCGAGTATATCTAGTATAAAACCATATTTTTGTTAGTTTACTAATAGGAATCTTTAAATACTTCTTTATAGTTTGATTGAAATATTTTTATGTTTTGGGACATTTTTAAAGTGACATCCAGGCTGTTCCAGAGTTTAACGCCACAGACAGAAATGCACATACTTCTCAGAGTTTTTATGGACAATCGGACAAATACATTTATGTTCCCCCCTTATTACAGCCCCCCTCTCTGGTATATAATCCTGAACAAACTAAGCATTTGCAGAGGATCAGACTGAAAACAAAGACACTGACACTGCTGGATACTCTTATGTTTTGTATAAGAGTACAGTAGCTCAAGTTTAGTGTTGACATAAAAACTCCTGTACTAATCTGAGGAGTTTATCATTCAAGCTGCTCAAACTGACACAAATACAGAAATAAAGATTAATTTAGTGCTGTCAACTTTACGGTGCTGCAGATTCACATTTTACCGCAGAAAACTGTGTATTTATTTTGAGTTTTTGCAGGTTAAATGGCTGACAGGAGCTAATGTTAGCAGTAGCCACAGACCCACGTGTGATCCGGAGCTCACTCACTCACCGGAGGGTCTGCTGAAGAATCGGCTCTTAGCAGCCTGTCGGAACCGGTTCGTCTGCGGGTTGGAGTCGCTGCTGTGTCCCTTCTTCCACCGTTTAAGTTTCGACCCCGTCCCGGACCGAAGTTTCCCCGATTTGACCATTTTCGGGGGGTTAAAGTTCCTCACGTTACTCCACCACAACAGTCCGCGAGGCTCCAGATGACTCTGTCGCTTACGAAGTGACGTCAATGTTGCGTTCACGTGTCTGAGCTTTACGTTGATTGGCCAGCAGGTGGCGCCGTTCAACAATAACGTTAAACTACAGAGCCAGCATGTCTTTTTTTTATAATTCAATTTTGTTTTATTGATAAAGGGACTTGGACACAGGATACAAACAAACAATTTAAGCTTGACATAATAAAAATGTTAAATATTAATAATACTAGTCCTTTACAATACTGTTTTTTATAATGTGGCTTTGCGTAAGAACTATGAGTTTGGCTTTTTAAAAACAGGGCATGTATGTTTCTGTTGCTATTTTTGGTTTGTGATCAGGCAAATTTTCCTACTTGAGAGTCAGCTGGGCTGGGCATGGAAATTGTAGTGGATTGGGGGTCCATGTAAATATCTGTACTGCACCGAGATGCCTAAAGGAATCAAACACACACGTCAAATTCCTCAGGGGATATGACTGTATCATGTCTAATGACTATGATATGTCTAAAGGCGCTGAAAAAAGCCAATAATTTAGTCTCGATTTGGCTGTAATCATGTGGTAACACTAGATATCATTCCTTGTAAGACTATCTATTTTCATGGGCCTCTAAAATTGGATTTCTCACTTTTATTCCCAGTCTTTTTGATGTTGTTTTCTTGTGTTTCTTCAAGTCCCACGTGAGACCCTCTCATATCAAGTTATGGCTTTTTTTAGCTCATGAGCTGAGGAAATTGGAGCACTTTTTTTCCTTTATTTTTCCATGTTGTTTAAAGGATTTCCAGCAGCCTGAGAATTTGTAAGTGGCTTACATTTTAGTAGAAAAAGAAAATATTTAGATAAGTGAGAAAAAAATAGATTATTCTTGTGTTTTCATCCTGGTTAGCAGGCCTGATCCTTTGAACATTTCCACAGAGGCTTGTGCTGCGAAGAACCAGAAAGCTGAGGCTGACTTTAAATTTACAATATTTATTGATAATTTATTCAAGTACAGTGAGCATCATATTGTACATACGACTACAGTATCTGGTTTGGAGAGGTGACATAAAAAATGGATCTGATCGTCTCTTCTTGCCTTTTTAGAAGGTGCTGTCGTTACATTCTGTGTCTTTATAATGAATATACAGCTGTGATTGAAAATGTAGAGTGCACATGAATACATGATCAAACAACACAAAGGGAAACTGGTATTTACATCTTCTTTTTCTACAGTTTGCTGCCAGTATAATTACAATACTTTTAAATGGCATGAAAGAAATCTTAAAAAAGAAGAAGAAGAAAAAGAGAAAATAGATTTTCCTTACTCAGGTCCCTGTGTGAATTATATTCAGTTTATCAATTTAGCACAAATACAAACACATAACAAGGAGGGGGACCAGTGTAAACAATAGAGCTGTGAGTTGATGTCAACACAAAACAGTAAGACGGAGAGACAGACGGACAGACAGACAAACAGACACTGGGGTGTGCATCTTAGGACTCTACTTCTACTCTAAAGTGTTTCAGTGCTTTTCAATATTCTTACTTCGTTTGGAAAAAAGGAAAAAATACAAAAAGGAGCGATATAAAAGCAATATTTTCTTATATAAAAATGTACACAAAGTTCAACTGCAGTACCAACTTGAAAGTGGTTTTAAAACCCTAGCTCCTATTCCTGGCACGTGCTTTTATAATCCTCAGGCCTCAGTTAGCTATGACTGGAGGGCTTGTGTTGACAATCACTTGGACGACGTAGTCCTTCTGGATCTTGGCGTCTTGCAGGCGGGTCTTGTCGGTCAGGAGCTTCCCGGAGAAGAACCACCTCTGATGGCTGATTTCGATTTCTTCGTGCTCCTCCAGTTGTTTCTTTAGCTCAGCGATGGTGTCGGCCATGCTGGCTGTCAGGCGCACGTCCTTCCCTGTGAACACAGCGAGGCAGAAATAGAGTTGACACAGATTTCTGAGCACGCTGTGAGAGACTGAGCCGCTCTGAATTATGAATAAGCCTCCAGCGAGAGAAGACACAGGGCTTTGAAATGTTTAAAATGTCACATGCACAGTGGAAACTGTGGAAACAACATGAAGTTTTAAAGATTTTACAGACAATCCTGCACATGGATCTTCTCTACAGCTGTAACATGTCACACCACATCCCAATATTAATGATTTGTATTTATTATATGTTTATACTCTGATTATCAGAGCTTTCACTGGTTCTTATCTATCTATCTATCTATCTATCTATCTATCTATCTATCTATCTATCTATCTATCTATCTATCTATCTATCTATCTATCTATCTATCTATCTATCTTTTTTCATTCTTTCTTCCTTTCTTCTATATCTTTCTATTTTCTTCTTCTTCCTTTCTTCTTTATCTTTCTTTTTTCTTTCTTCCTCCCTTTCTTCTACATCTTTTTTTTCTTTTTTTCTTTCTTCCTCCCTTTCTTCTCCATCTTTCTTTTTTCTTCTTTCTTCCTTCCTTTCTTTTTGGCTTTCCTTTTCCTTTTTTCATTTTGTCTTTCTTCTTTCTTTTCGGTTTTCCTTCTCCTCTTTCCTCTTTTTGTCTATCTTCCTTTTCTTTTTTCTTTTTGGCTTTCAGTCTTCCTTTCCTGTATTTCTTCATCTTTCTATTTGTCTTTCTTTCCTTTTTTTCTGTCTTTCTTTCTTTGTCTTTTTTCTTTTGGTCTGTCGTTTTTCTCCTTTCTATTTGTCCACTGTCTGTTTTCCACTTCTTTCTTTCTTTCTTTCTTTACTTTTTCTTTCTTTCCTCCTTCTCTTTTTTTTTCACCCATCTTTCCTTCTCAGTGTGTGTGTGTGTGTGTGTGTATGTGTGTGTGTGTGTGTGTGTGTGTGTTTCCTGACCTGAGGAGAGTCGGACCCTCAGCTGGAACTCCTGCCTGCACAGAGGAGGCTGGTTTTGTTTCTGGGTGGTCTCCGTCACTTTGTTGTCAGAGGAGGTTTCACTGATCAGGTTGACGGGCGGAGCCAAAGTGTACGCCGGCAGCTGGTAACGGTTGCCCAGTTCGTCATAACTCTCTGTGAGGGAGCCTGAGGAGGGAGAATATGAACCGTAAGTTTGAACAGCTACTTACTGTTAATGATGATACACATGTGTAGCTCTCCTCACTGACAGCTTTGATACAGCAGGGGGTAATACAGCCCTCGTTTTTATTCTGGATTTTCCTACATCATCATTAAATCATCAACACCAGTGTCCTTGAACTGAAAATGGTGAAAAGCTCCATCTTCCCTGTATGACAGATAAATATGCGTGTGTGTCTGTTCTGTCTAACTCTGTCATGCTTTCTGTGGACCAATCCATTCACAGTGGTCACGCAGCACTGCGACTATTATGTAACTATTACAGCAGTAATCTCTGCACAACTGATGCATGGGACTCTGCAAACTGCCCTTTGACATTTGGAGAATTACAACAGTGAGTTTTGCGACTGTGCTGCAAGTGCCAGGACATTCACAGCTTACAGTGATATCTGGATGGAGCACATTTTGATCTCATGTGTTTGTCGTCATGTGTGCCTGTGGGTGGGTTCGTACCGTGCGGCAGAGTGATGCAGGCTCCATCCACTATAGCCTGAGCTAGCTCCAGGTCATTGCACTCGGCTGCCAGGGCAGCTGCTCTGAGTGCGTCCCAGATCTCTTTCCGCCCATCAAAAGCCGGGGCTGTGTCCCAAAACTCATCTCTTTTGCTCCTCAGTTGGCCCTCCGTCATTGGATACTCACTCTTCCACTTAGGGCGCTCTTTCTTGAGGGGTTCATTACGTCCTGAAAGAAAAAAAGGAGACTGTGTCTGATCTGAAACTGTAACAGTGTGGCTAAAACATCCTCTTTAAACGGGATTATAGGCCACCGACACCAAAAATCTGATAGTTAGGCTCTGCCAGGTTAGTCCAGGTCACTGAGCTGTTTACCATGTCCTCACCTTCAAGCGTGATGAAACATTATGTAATTCAGAGGTGAGATTGATGCACTGCTTTAAGCAGAGCTTTGATTTTCTGAATTTACAAATCAAAGAAGATTTGTCAGAGTTTTAAACATATTTTAGACTTCTTTTTGAACAGGGTGCTGCTTTAACTCAGTGGTTAGATCACCCTGTGCGCAGAGGCTATGGTCCTTGAAGTGGGCAGTATCGAAAAAAAAAAGCGTTTTATTTTGGCGCAAGGACCAGAATAACGATTAACAAATAAAACATGGTACTGACTTCATCTGAGATACATCAGGGCGGCTAAATGTGGCTAAAACCATAAGACTCAGACAACCTCAGACTCCTAAACTAAAGAATCCCAGTATTCGTCTACAACTTCTTAAAAATTCACATTATGCCGTCCTCTTTTACCTGCAGCATTCAACACTAGAACCTTTGCTATGAGGACAAATTGAAGCCAGTAACAACCACGCATGAGCCTGCTGTGGGTCAAAACGCCCCCATTTCACACAAGTCTATTTTCCACACCTACTGCAGGAGTTTCCACACTCCTATTTCTGTTTCTTCCACACAAACCGGCACACAGAGACGGACTGTTTGAGTGACAGCAGGAGGAAAATAAAAACGATTATTTATAGTGTTGTGGATTACTGCGATGGCTAGTAACACGTCCATGTGCACCGACATCCACTCACACTCACACACACACACACACACACACACAAGAGCACAGCAGTGGATTAAAGGCAGTAATCAGGTTTCACATAACAGGATTTATCTGCCCCCATCTCATAAGGCATTGGTCGGGGAGATGAGCACCCGTCGGCCAATGAAAGCCAGCGAAAACTCACTCGCTGACTTACCCAGGTCTAACACAGCAAGCACAACAAAGACACGGATCTATAACAATACATCCCTTTTAGAGAATGACAAATCTAAACTTACGCAAGAAACTAAATGTTTCATGTCAAAAATAACACAACTGCCTACATCTGTGTTACTACGGTGGGCATGAGGGGCCAGTTTTAAGAAAGTGCCCTCGACTGCATTAAAAAAAAGATGGATGTGCATAAATTAGTTGGATTTTGTCTCATAAGAGATAGTTGCATTCATTATTTATAGTCTAGATCTGCTTTTGTATTTCTTGTTAACCCAAACACTGAGTGAAATCATATCCTGGACAAAGTACCAGGAAGTTACGCTGCATTTGTATTCATTCTTGTACATGCATTTCACATTAGGCATTCATTAGGCAAGACAAGTTTATTTATGTAGCATGTTTTTAGGCACGTCTTTAAACAGGAAGCTGTAAGGAGCATAACAGTGAATACTAACAAATCAGATGCAAATAATCAGGTCACCTGGATTCACAATAAACAACCTGACAGAGACAGGAAGCTAGACTGAATTAATTGTCTGATGTGCAAATGACAGAGACAGATAATCCAATATTGAGTCTCTGGTGTGTAAAAACTCATGAGGTTTGATTAAAATATGCCTTTTTGGGGGGTTGTAGCTTGAGAGAAGCTGTGGGCTATCAGCCAGGACTGCTTGTTATTTTACCTCATGGGCAGTAAGTGACTGATCCAGACTGTTTGCATAGTGAGGAGTGTAAATGTAGGAAGAGGTCAGCTGTGAAGACGTGTCCTGAAGTGTAAGCTCGGCTACCTGGAAGCTTAAGCTTATTGAATTCAAATGAAGTAGGTGAATCAAGGTGACGCATTTAAGCTCAATGACTTCTGGTGGACAGACCAAGAAATTAAAGGCGAGAAAATAAAAATCAGATTCTGCATCTCGACTCAAATCCAAATAACTTACAAATATCTGTCTGAGTTTTTATGCAATTGAGGACATTTGATTTTCAGTGCAGTATATCATACATTTTTATTTTTTTTTTAAAGACAGGAAAATAAGGAGAAAAAACTCATATAATAAAACCAACTCCCCCATTACACACAATCTTAAAAGCAAAAAACCCTCTGAGACAAACTACAACACAACACCGGGAGCTGCAAACTTTAAATAAGAGCACAGTAAAAGCCTGTCTTCTTCTTCCAAAATAAAAACTCGTACTTACTTTTCAGAAAAATCTTAAAAGGTGTGTTTGGGGCGTGGTGGTAGTTGTATTCCCTGGAGTTCGGTACTCCCATGTTCTCGGTTTGAGTTGATGCGAGTCAGTTTAAAGTCTGCATTAATTAAGAAACGAGCAGCAAACCATGAGGAAACAAACAGTCCTGCCTTCAGCGCCGCAACCCAAGAATGAGACAACCCCTTGATCTAGTTTGGAGCCACATGCAGATCAAGAGATGTGTTGACCGTGATGACACTTCCCCAGTTTCTTAAAAGTAACCGCTGACCATCCACTTATATCCTTTCTAATAACAAACACTTCACGACCCAAAAATATACCCCAGGATCAGTCCATGGAAGAAGGTTTACTGTATGGGGAGAGTTCAAGGAACGTCCTTGCCAGAAGGTAGTATCTTTACACAAGAGGCCTAATCCTATCAGCTCTATTCAGAGACAGGATAGAAATACCCAGGCACCCAGGGCTACATGCTAAACCTATTAACAGACATTAAAGCCCTTTGAGTATATTACAGTCTGTTGGCAGGAGAAGTTACTTTACATCCCTGAGCTCTTTCTCCACGAAGACGCACTATTTACGAACACATGCAAATCAGTTTCTTAGACACTGCATTTCCAGAGCAGGTGGTTACAGGTCGGCTATGTTTGCATCTCAGGTCTCAGAAATAGAAAGTCTGAGAAGTGCTAATACAGTAACAGTACTTAATCTGAAAAATTCACCTGGAGAAACAAAAAACTAAAGTAAATTAGAGCTCTGCAGAAAACACTGAGAAAAGATGATTACAGTACTAAAGTAGGACAATCTAAAGCTGCTGTAAGGAACTGTGAGTTTGTGTCAATTCGGTGATCCACAAGGACATATCCTCAGGTCTTATCAGTTTGCTTGTTTTGTCCTGTTCGTATATAAGCTGTGATTTTAACAAATTTACCCACTCTGCCTTCTCCAAACAGCTAAACATGTTAGTCAGTGTGAATCTTTACTGCTGACAATGACAAATAGAAGCCAGTTTAGACAAAATGACAGTTACTAACTGCTGATCTGACGCCTATCCCATGGCAATAGTTTCAGAAACTACGGAAATCTTATCAGTTTTTATCTTGTTTGGTTTCATGGCTCATTCAGAGACATCAGTATTATTTCAGTTTGCTAAATATCCACCTAAAAACTCCTCACAGGAGCTTCATTAATGTTGTCTTTATCTTACTCTATGCATTAGTGTGAATGCAGCTGGAAGAAACGTGTGAGTATCATTGTAAAAAAACGATTTATCTCGACACACATTTCATTTGGGATTAATGAGAAGATCGAACAATTCACAGCTACAGTTTCTGACCTAAAAAATTCATACTATTTAGTATTTTACAACCATTCAATAAATGTCCTCGAGTTGCAGATAGTTGTTGTTATTAATATGTTGGATGTGTCTTTTGATTTTGGGATGGCAGAGAACTGATAATATTTAACATAGCTGCAAAAGTGAGTTTATAGACTGGACTATGTGCAGTATGAAAAAGGGAAAAACATAATCTTAAAACACTGTGTTCTTTGAAACTCAAAGCTCCTATGACTAACTTTTGTTTTGTCAGTTTTGGTCCCTCCTCTGAACAAACTGGTACCTCTAATCTCTTTACAGATTTTTTTATTGTACGAGTATAAGCTTCCTTTTCTTCTGAAACTTCTCCTGGTAGTCAAACAAATCACTTCAGAGAGTTATGGCTGTGGAAAATGTTAACAAAGACTGCTAGACAGCATGTTATTTAACACTCCATCTGACACCTACCTCTTAGCAGGCACCTCCAGACATTTAAAGTAACAAACATAAATAATTTACCTCGTTGATTATGATTTCATTTGGTTTTGTAGCTCATAGAGAGGGAACAAAAGAGAGAGAGCCTATTTCAAAACCAGCTAAAAATCCGTCACAGGAGCTTTAAATTCTGATAATTGTGTATATACTGCAAGATTGACGCACTGGATCTTTATTGTGCTTCTTTGTGCACAAAATAAGTTGCACCGTCTAGATGCCTTGGAGCTTTTTTGGTGGTTTACTTTACTGTTGTTTACTTCCAAAGAGATCAGAAAAGATCAACTAATGGGGGCTATGGTTTAGCTCAGAGATTGAATCACACCCCATGTGCAGAGACTACCGTACTCAAAGTGGGCGGTCCAGGTTTGACTCTGACCTATAGCCTAGTATTGTGTGTTATTTCTCAATCTCTCTTCCCTGTTTCCTCCTCTGTCTACAACCCCCTCTAAATGATAGATATGATCCCACGGCTTGATTCTCAGAAAGCAACTTTGCTTGTTTTTCAAGAACTCCAACCTAGTTTATTTGCTTTATGGATCGAGCTTTGAATCACCATGATGACACAGCTGACTGGGAACCTTCACAGACATGATCCCAGAGGTCTTCTCTGTCTGGCAGGTAAATGAGATCTTTCCCTCGCATGTAAATATGCTCAGCAACCGGTCAACATGAGGCAAATCGTGCACCAAGTAGGTCAAACTTTCAGATAAAAACTTCCAGCTCCCAGGATCTCAGCTGCTGCTGCTGCTGCGGCTGCTGCTCAATACATAATGCATGACAATCCAGCTGAGTGCACAGCAGCTTTTTTTTTTTTCTTCACAAGAAATGGACGTGTTTATATAAACACAGTCCTATCGGAGCTCATCCAGAGCACAGATCGGAAGGAGCAGATGAGCTCTGAAGCATTTAAAGTCAGACACAGGAAGCTTTTAGTCTGAGGATGTCGATGAAACAGGGGTGTAGCCAAGAATGCTGCATTTTAGCTTCACTGTTAGCTCACATGGGTGGTTTTTACATATTACAGTTTTACCTTCTTTTGCACTATTAAGGTCAGTGGTATCTGAGTTAAACTGGCTTCAACATTAGCCTGATATAAATAACTCTAATGTATCAGGATGTGTAACACTCTCATTTTAATGCTGTTCCCCCTCAGTAATGATAAAATAATAATCTAAAAGAAGAATATTTAAAGGCTCCCTCAAGCTCAGGCCCCATTTTAGCTCCACCTAATATCCTACTTGTAACAGCACTCACTCAGCATAAATAATATACTTATATACACAGACACTGCCTCCTCCCTTAATATAAAGGCAGGTGTCTTTGTGCAGCAGTGTTTATGATGCACTAGAGCTGTACATGTGCTTATTTCAGCATGTAACAGACTGCAGCTCAGCATGTTCCAGCCTCTTACCTCCACGTTTTTTGCTTCTTGTCGAGCTGCGGGCACTCCCTTGTCCATCCATCCTACTCCTCCCCACACAGCCTCCCATCACTGTCCCTACACGCCACAGCAGGGAGAGAATCCATCATCACTCATTTTACATTTAGTCAAATACAAAATACTTCACTTACAGTTATCAGGTCAAATTAAACAAAGAGCGAGGATGATGGAGGAAAAGGTGCATCATGGGGGAATAATGACAGCTCAGCACTCTTCGTTCCTGCGGGGTCAGGCAAGCTGCGATGTTTACGTCACGTGTACTGCCAGCTGACAGGGCACGCGCCTCAACCTCATGCCACAATTGTCATGATTTTCCCATCCAGATATTGCAGAAATTTGTCAAAAATACACACAAAAATTACAATTATGTGTTTCTAATTCAAAGACAAACACGTAAAATGAGACTAAATTAATTAATTAGTTGCCCACCTTTAATATTATTAGCATTTTAAACAACACAATAATAAAAAGTGGTTTCTTTTCCTACCCGAAACCCAGTCTGCTAGGTTATGCATCCGTCTGCAGTTTGCTTGCCACATCCGAACTCGCTTCCAGGTGAAGTTCTCCGTGGATCCTGACGAGACGATCAGCACAGGATGCCAGTCAGCAGGTTGACTGACTCCGACTGTGAGCAGAGTCTCGGTGCAGAGGCAGGTGGGCTGCGGACACGTTTAGCTCCAAAGAGCTTCTGGTGACCAAAAACGTGAATTTCTAAAGCAGAAATAAATTACAGTTAATATCAGAGTTCCCCTGAGTCATATTGCGCGGAGCTCAGACACTCGCACAAGATGTTTCAGTGAGAATAAAGCCTTCAGTTAGCACGCATGCGCAGATCGGGGCGATTCCTTCGCCCTCTTGTCCACGGGAGTGAGGGCGGAAATAGGAAGTATTTTCATAAAAACAATTGTGCTGCTTGAGAGAAAACTATTTTATATCAATCAGAATTCAGAAATCACGTTTAAGAAACTGCTAAAAATATGTATAAAAAAAATCACCGGGTTATTATGCAGCTTCTTGTAGAGAATTACGTCGTTTTTGGCCTTATATTTACACTTTTATTTTGAAATAATAAAGAAAGACTAGTTTTTCACTGTTTCGGTGTGTTCCAGCTTTACGGACTTAGTTTGCAATTATTCTAACTGGATTGTGGGGAGTCTTTCTTCAAACAAGTTTACTTTATTGGTGGAAAAGCCCACTACTCAATGTTATTTCTTCACTTTCATGATATCTAATTAGATCTACATGTATGTGTATATACAGATCATGGTACACTAAAATATATGATAAACGAGGTTGTCCTTGAAGTTGGTTAAATAATCGGTTATACTATTTTAAGGTAAAATAAGGTAAAATAAGATGATATAATAAGGTATATAGATGTAAAAATACACTTCTACTACTACTACTACTACTGCTACTACTACTACTAATAATAATAATGATAATAATAATAATTATAAAGGTTAATGCAGGGCAGTTAGGACATGTATTGCATTAGTGGCAGATTATTGTAGTGACAGTAATGTGAGATGTTTTCATGGTTAGATATGATCAGCAGCACCATGTTCTCCTCAGGGTGGTGTAAACAGTGATATGAGCTACGCAGTGATATGAGGTGCAATTTAAGATGGTGACAGGTCAAGGTGAAAGATAAAGTGGTAATTAAGAATGCAAAAAAACAGCATAAGATGTGCTTTAAAGGAAAACAGTACCATGGTAAGTTACAATATGTATGTACAAATATACTGTATATTGCAGTATGATAGTGCAATTTGGCGTCCGTACAGTACAGTATGTTATTGAATGACAGAAAGAGATCATTTAAAGCTAGTGCACTTTTTAATAATCTTAGTATTGTGTGAGTATAATGTAATATAAAACTGTGCATCTTCAGCACAAAATTGACATGTTCAACACTGACACCTTCTGGTAGACTGAATATTTACAAGCTTTTTCATATGTTTGTTTGCAAAGGGTTAATGAGCAGTAGTCGGGTGAAAATGGGTTCAAAACTGGCTAAAATCTGCCATCATCCCTTAATCTCTTCTACTGTTATCTAGTTAACTCCTCTCACATTTGCCCCTTAACTAGCAGTCTGTCTCCACGTCTGCTTAGCAAATGAACTGATAGTAAAAGATCTATTCTTTGTAATAGTTTCATCCCAGAAAGATTTTGCAGGAATTTGTGGGGTAAAATCTCATCTCTTCTTTGTTTGTTCCCATCTCCACTGCATCTGATGCACTATTTTTATATCAATCTTCTCTAATCTAAAATTAATCCTCCACTAGACTGCCTGGCTAGGCTACACTGTGACGTAATACTTGGGCTGGAGTTTGTCTGTTTACTTTCATGAAGTGATTTCAGGGATTAAAAATGAACACTATAACTATAACCAAAGGTTACCTGCTACATAAGGAATTACATTCAATCTGTTCAGATACTTTATGGCTTTTAAGGAAAAGTCAAATAACAAAAACGATCTGTGAATGTTTTTGGGAGCTGATGGAGAGGAACGGGTTTGTCGATCTTCGTCCTGATCCTCATCTAAGGTCATGAGCTATAGGTGGTGACTGACAGAATGAGATCAGGCATACAAGCCGCCAAAATGAGTTTTCCTCAAAGAGTGTCTGGGCTCGGCCTCAGAGATAAGAGTCGGTGCAATGGTGCAGAAACATACAGAGGGAGCTTTTAGGAGCGTTGGTACTTCGTCATACTGGAAGGAGCTTGTTGTTTTGGCTCAGGCACTCAACAAGGGTGGAGACAAGGTGGTTTTGTGGGCACAACTAACTTACCGGGGGGTTAGGGGTCTCCTTGGAGCTTGTATGTCTCACGTAGCCTCTGAGAGAGAGCTGGAAAACATCCATGAGGATAATGTGACACAGTGACAATAGTTGAACAGATCTGTGTGTCGTAGCAGTGTCAGAGAAGGCTCACTGTGATCTGTTGTTGTTATAAAGCAATTTATAAAGATTTATTAATTTAACAGGTACAAAAATCAGATAAATAATACATTGTCATAATACAGCAGTTTTCCTTAAAAGTTCATTTCTTATGATAATATTGGACTGAAGTATGAACATGAAACAGGGAGGTGGTAGTGTTAAAAGGACTCATGATTTCTAAAGTCTCTTTTTTTCTAAGATGGTTTCTTGTTTTTTTTTTTTAATAAATAAAAATCTGTTTAGGAAAAACAGAGGGATTCTTTTAGAAATCTGAAGGTATTTCAGTCTACGATATGTCATTGAGAAAATGTGGCTCTAAGAAATAACAAACCCATCCCAGTGCATTTCTCTTAGTCACACAAAAGCCGTCTGTACAGAACAGAACATTCATGACACACTGACTTGTCAGCGGTGAAAAATGTCGACCATCGCCCGTCAAGCAATGCAACCACAAGCGTCTGAGGTATTGAAGGTTCAGCTGTATGGAGCCACCATTCAAGAATCCCTTTTTACCAATCTGATCAAACGACCAGAGCCACTTTGATGCAGCAAAAACTGCTAACTTTAGGACACGTGTGCCTAAACAGAGTCTGTCATACAGGTATTAAGTCCTTTTTGACGACACAGGCTTCCCATGTTAGACCATCGCCATGTGGGGTGTGACCCGAGGGCAGGAGGACACGTGTCACCCAGTGGCTGGAAGACAAAAGGTGTAGCAGGACAGAAGTTACAACATGTACAAAGCAGCAGTGTTCAGAAATGATGGATGTATATCTGGACAGAAAATCATTACAAACATGAGCTACACACCTCCGTTTCTCTATGCCTAAGAAGACTTTCCAGTTATTCAGCCTGCCGTAGTTAAAAGGGTTTCTGTACACCTGCCAGAGCAGTAGAAAAAGAAAAGAGGCAATTAGACACCTCATAAAAGTCACAGATGTTTAAAAATGAAGAGCAGATTAATTATAGTTGAGGGTTTGTGCCTCTTATATCACCCACAGCCTAAATTACGTCACTGTTTCTCACATCGAACATGCTTACCCTTCCTCTTTTGGCCATTCTCTTTGATTCTTTGCTGTTGATGTGCTTCTCTATGCTGGTCTCTCCTCTGGATATGAGGACTGCATGCCAAATGGTCAGAGCTCCCAGGGCCACTCCCACTGTGCTGAAAGAACAAAACACATTTCATCTGATCATCCGCTAAGATAATAAAGACAACCAGCTTGTCCCAGCTGTATACCGCACACTGAGAAATAACGACGACACCAGCTTTGGTACACTTAGATGCATATAAATGTACTTTGTCACTTTGTACCAGCAGTAAGGGAAAGCCTGTGTGCAGAGCTCCATGTTTCTGGGGTATAAACAGCACAGGTGAGGCTAACTTCACACCCACATTTGCATGAACTCAATGTGACAGTTCTTTAATCTTAACACCTGCTTTTTATAGCTTTTAACATTAGGTAAGAGTGGGATGCATGGCTCTAAGTATGGAAAGTGGCAGCATTAAATGCGATTTTTACCTGGTGAGCACCCACATGTAGATGATGCACTTATGAATCATCTTATCCTTAAAGGTGTACGGAGGTGCAGGTGTCACAAAGCTGGTCTTAAAAAAACAAAAACAGAACAAATTATATAACCAACACATATTAAAACACAGATTTTTATTAGTATCTTTATGTACCGTGTTAACTCTTCAGACTGTACCTGGCCAGGGGGGAGAAGCCCTATGAGCTGTGCCATCCCTGTTACTGGTACCCCCGGTTTCTCCATGTCCAAATGCTTAAAGCGCTATTAAAAAAGCCCACAGATGCAACCCAGACGAATAAAGACAGAAAGAAGGTGGTGTCAGTAAGAAACAGTCCAAGCCCCTCAAGAGGAAGACACCAAACACAGAGGAATAAGAAACAAGCAAAACCTAGCAAGCCTTCAAGGACAAATGCAAAGCAGCCTAGCTAAAATGAAGTGTGTGAAGTGTGTCTTTAAATCTTACCTCCAGAGCATTGTATGCATCAAGGAATAAGTTTCTGCCACTGATGCTACAGTAGACACAGCCCAAGGTCATGAAGAGGCAGAAGGAGAAGAAGTAACGGTGGTTGAAGTGGCCCACGCAGTTATTTAACCAAGCTGGAATGGCAACTTTAAGGAAACCAAACACCTCTCTGTGGTCACGTTATTTGATTTTAAAGACTTAAATTTTAAAACACAGGAATTAAAATAAGAGGAAATGACACTGCTGCTGATGGTTTCAAACAGAAAACTGGTTGATAGCCTGTTGAAGCCTTTTTTATTGATTGCTCACTGGACTTTGGTTTTTATTCATCTCTCCATCTGGGACAGGGACCCTAATGTATTTTCATTTTGACACATTAGTGAGCAACACTTTAAGTCATTCAGGCCTTTGATGGAGTTCAAACTTAGCTGCAGAAATGAAGAAAAACCCTTTGGAAAAGTAAGTGCTTCAAAAGCCTTTTAAGCTGCTTTACACGCAAAAATCCTGCTTTAGTGGTACCGCGTGTAGAAATGGGGTTATTAAGCAACACTTAACGGTTAGACTCAACATTAAAACGCTCTCCTGCCCACCCTTCCTGTTGGTGAAGACAAGAAGCTATTGGGATGAATAAGGCTGTATGAGTCGTATGAGTATGCTTAAACTTAGGACTTACTGACAGAGTGAGAGGGGATCTTAAAAAATAAGGTACAGTAAAAGCGGAAAGGATACGACAGTGGTGGTCCATTTTCAGAATACACCTTTAAAGAAAAAGAAACAACATTTACAAACACATACTGACACATCTGAAGGACTTTTCTACCTTTAACATAAAGTTTAAGCACCAAACAGGTAAAAGTTAAGCCAAGCTCTGTAACCCCGGATCAGGGGTTAAAAACAAATATGGATGCAAATGAAATATGCCTTAAACACACACATGCAGACATGCTTAGTGCAAAATAATGACAGCTGGTTTGCAGACAAAGTTCAATTAAGTTTAAAAATCCTTCATCAAGCAAGGACGACCAGATAAAGACTCAGCTTTTCCCTAAGATGTATTAACATACACATATATCGATGTAGGGCAAATAATGCAGCAGACCCTGACACTTAAGACATGATCCTTGATATCCTATTTTTTAAGAGCTGCTTGTTTGTGCACTTTGAATCTTCTGTATCCCACAGCTTTACTGCTATGGGAGTGAGAGAATGTGAACCTGCTGGTTTTTGTCCTAGAGCAGGACCCTTCTTTTGGCCTTATAGCTCAGCCTGAATACGTTCTATACAGGTTTAGTAGGGTCACTGAGGAAGTACCAGATCTTTTCCACGAAAGAGAGCATTGCACAATGGAACAGCGGAGATGTATCATGCTCAGTGACCTCGCTCGCCATCTTGATCATGTCTTAAGACCTGTTTAGGTCGAGTTATGTGAGGTTAGCGAGAAAGTAACTTGACTGGGAACAGGACGCTCTGAGGTGTGGCGTTGTCAAACTTTGGTCAAAGTCAGTTTATGTGAGACACCTTCATCAACTCAGTGTTTTAGAGTTATAACTCATGTCTCCTACAAGTCTTTGACACATCAGATAAACATAATCTCGATCTACAGAGAGTTTTTGAGTCAGTAACTGTAAATACTGGTAGGACAGCCCCTCCCTAACAAAAAAACAAGATTATATTTTTAAAGACCTCTTTTTTAACTGTGAAAAAACAGCATAACTAAAGAGCTATCTGTACAGATTTTTCAGTTTTAAATGAACTTTAAATGAACTTGAAAAAAAAAGTACAAAAGTAATATCTTTCTTTGTAAAGAGAAGTATAAAAGGTTGTGCAAGATGAGAAACTCTGTCCATCAACATAAGTAAAACCCGCTGATAGTCCAAACAATCCAGAAAGCAAGAACAACATGAAGAGGTGGAGAACAGCAGAAACAAACAGCTCAGACTCACCTGTTACAGATGCCACAGTGATGGGTTCTTGCTGGTTTAGGCATGATGCACTTTTTGCAGACAGACACAAATGGACTGTCGTTTTTCTCCTGATTAAAAGAGAACATTTTTGATGCATCACTCACTTGTACATTAAACTTAAGCCCAGATTAGTCATGCTATTTGTGGCTCCGGAAAAAAAAGTGTCACTCTTACCACTGGGAGGTAACCCGGAGGTGTTATGGTGGCCTTGTAGTAATGGAAAGCAATCATGATGAGGTTCCAATGTCCAAAACAAACATGCCAAGCAATCCACGGAGGGGAGTATGTGTTGAGGACCAACGGCAGGAGGACAACATAGGCGATCACTACAATGGAGCTGGTCAGTATCACAACAAGACAAACAAACAGCTGAAAGAGAAGCACAGGGAATGTCAGTCCAAACTGTTTTCAGATAAGCACTCCAAAAGAGACAAAAACTAATGGAAGCACGCAGACAAAACAGACACTTACCGTGCCAAACCAGCGGGTGATATAATCCACAGTCCAAAATACCGGCTCAAAAACTGAGTCAAACACCACATCAGAGTCTGTCAGGGAGTTGAAGTAAAGCGACTGCATCAGAAGCTTCATGTAAGCCCATATTTCCCTCATCCACAAAGGTAGCCTGTTCTTTCCTCTCCTGGTACATGATCGCAGTCGCACGCAGCGCAGCAGCTGCAGCATCGAGCTGGGACACCACCGCATCCTGCATCTGTGATTTACACGCACCTGTGAGGAGACAGAAACAAATACACAGTCAACTCTTATCTGATAAAAGTTAGGGAAGTCTACTGCAATTTTGTTTTGTCTGACAGCTGACCTGTGAACCAAAGATGTTTGATTTACAGTTAGTGAGGGCGGAGCAGACATTATTTGGCATTTAAATTTGATAAACAACAATCAATGAGCGATCAGGGCGGTTTCCCACACTCTTCTGATCATTTAGTAATCTTTTGTGCCAAAACATAAGTCACCTCATATTGACAGATGTATTTGGCAGCTAGCCATTTTGAGTTTTTGGCAGGTTGGCTGTTTATATAAAGGTTTTATCAGTCTGACAGTTAAATTCAAGGTAGAGGTACATTTCAAAGGTGTGCATGAAGACACCAAAATCCCTGTTGAATTGAAAAGAATTAAAGCAAACCACACGAGCTTTTGGGATTAGGACAAAGGAACTGTCTGTATATGACTGATGTTAAACGCCTGTCCTTGCCTTGCTGCATTCCAGTCTGGGTGGAGTCTGGGTGGAGGCTGTACAGGTAAGAGGGTCTGACTCCATCAACAAAAACACTTCAACATAAAAACATGCCAACCTGTGATCTCAGGACACCTCTAACATCATTTTCATCTCAGTAAAAATGGTTGTAAACAGTCTCATAAGACGTCAACTATCCAAAATCCTCTTTGTTTGGATGTCATTCACTGACTCCCAGTTCGTCAGCTCCTCCGTTCATACATTTAAAGACATTTTAGATTCTTTAATCTAATACTCACTGTTTTATGAAGGCAGTAAAAGTGCCGGAGGTGCCTCCCCTGTCGACATGTTCAAAAGCGGGTAAAATCTCGATTAAAGCCCCACATAAGCAGAGACGAGCAGGATCACGGAGCTTCTGTGACAGTTAGCAGATCTGAATCCTGATCCACACTTACTGCGCATAAGCACGAACGACGGCGAAAAGCATCATGGTAGTATGAGTCAGGAAATAAATACACGTCCAAAAAGATCAGTTTTCAAGACCGTCTTTGTTATTTTATGTACATCTATTATTTGCACTGGCTAAATGGGCTATCTGCTTTAATTCAACCTCATTAACAGAATTATTAAACGCTGTGTTTTGCTGTTAAGGGTTGTCAGGATTATGGGAATTGCAGTTCTCCAGCAGAGGATCCGCTACTAAGCTAATCTTGCAGTGCCTGCCATGTGGATGTTACAGTGAACCAAGAGTTTCTACAACTTCAAGCTCGCTTTCATTATGTCTTTTTCTTTTAACTTCGATGTTCCCGGCGGCACAACAAACCCAAACGAAGGGGAAAGTAAAAACAAGGCTGCTAAACCTGTGAGTAACACACGCTGTGGGGTAAAATACTCTGTGAAATCATAGTTTTACAACTGACTGGGAAAGATTAACCTGATTAAATGTGTGTTAGAGAAGTTATGACAGCTATGAGGTGAAGAAATCAGGACCTTCTTTATGATTCAAGCTTAATTAAACCGTCTTATTCGCTGCATTGTGCAAGAACATAATACACATTACAAAGAGAAACAAAAAAAGACATATTGCTAATAAGTTGCCAAACACCCAGTTGTTTTGATTCACATGTATGAAAAGATCTAGGTCGTCTGATTAAAGTTTTAATATTTCATGAACTAGTTTTAAAATCTATTGAAAACATGTCACTGACCAAGACAACCATGCCATTTACATTGCAATATGGATAGAAAATTGGTATTATGCATATTTTTAAAAATCCAGATAAGTTTTATTTCTGTTTTTTTGGTCCATCTCTACAGTGGCCAAGAAACGCCACTGCTGCAAATAAAAAAAAAGAAGTCACAATAGAAGTTACCGATGCAAAAAAAAAGAAAAAGAAACTGAAGCCCACTGCAAATAAAAAAAGAGACAATGCAGGAAAAAAAAAATCTGCGACTGAAGAAAACAACGCAAAAAAGTGAGGATGAAAAAAAAGATGACTCACTGCGAATTATAGTTTTAATTACTATTGCTTTTGTTTTATACTAACATGTACTTTTAATGTATTTCATTGTGTAGGCCACAGTTTATAGTTATTAAAGGTCTTACTTGCAGCATTTACCCAGCTCTAGAGAAAAATGTTTGTTCTTTGTGAGAACTTGAAAAGAAAAAAAAAAAAGAGACTAAAAATTATCTGAAATAAAGCACCAAGAAAAAATAGTGGAACACACCTCTTTGCTACAGTCACACAGTAAACACAAACAAGCCATGTGCAAATGCAAATCAGTAGTCTTGATAATTTTCCACTTGAAAAGGACTCCTTGAGAATAAACAACAAAAATAAGTTGACGTAAACATCCACTAGAGAGCGTAGGTTCACAGTCTTCTCGCCCACTAATCCTGATATCACAAAGTGGAAGCGTGTCAATAACAAGTCAGTGGAAATGATACAAGTTCATAATGATGGTGGATCAGAGGAGTTGTTGAGTCAGACACCACAGTTCTGAGGCAAGCAAAAACAAAGTCAGGCCTTTTTTTTTTGAATAGATGTGCTGTGGGTGTGATGAGAAAAAAACAGCCTATCTAACCGCACGTTCATCAAGAAATCATCACGAAGCTTTTGACCTTTAGCTGGATCACATTTTTACAAATGAAGAAAAATTGGTCGTCAGTCGGCTCATTGGAAAAGGCGCTGGGAGAGATTACTGTTCACTGTTTTTTACCATTCCACAAACATAACAGAGCTCATAGCAGTGTATCAGATTCCATGTGAGGCATGTTAACTTATAGCTTAGATACAAACTTATTCAAGCCTGGAAAACCCTTCATTTGACAACTACGCCTATGTTTGCCAGTTGGTACAAGAAGAATGTTGAGCTTTAGTGAAGAAGAAATGTGAATTATGGTTTTAGTTAAGTGATGGTTTTGATATTTCTGTCTTTTCTCTTGCTCAAACATGTACTTTCCATACCATATGAAACTAACTACATCTTTGAATACCTAAAACACTGATATCATTTAATCTTTGAGTCCCCCATGCTGAAGTTTCTCCTCTGACTACACAGGCTCATTGTATTACTGATTCTAATCACAGCTATAATGCTATAATGTAAAATTGAAACTGAAGGTTCTTAAGCACACAGTCTCTCTTTTTCCAGACTGAGGATCAAACTGATCCAGCAGAGCCGGTGAAAGAGGCCAAAGAACACCGTCCAAAATCGGACCCCCAGTTTCTCCTCTTCGATGCTGTGGCTGAAACTGTCACGATAGGAACTCTTCCTCCTCTTCACTTCCTCAATGAGACGGTGTTTGAAAAGACAGCTGCAGAGAGAGAGGACGTGGAGAAAATCCTGTCTCGCACCGCTGAGCAGAGGTCTGATCTCATCTCTGGCGTGTACGAAGGAGGGCTGAAGGTGTGGGAGTGCACCTATGACCTTCTGGAGCTGATTGAGAAAGACGGTGAGACTTTCAGGGGAAAAGCGGTTTTGGATTTGGGCTGTGGTGCAGGGCTCCTGGGGATATTGGCACTGAAGAGAGGAGCCATGCAAGTCCACTTCCAAGATTATAACAGTACAGTTATTGAACAGCTCACAGTGCCAAATGTAATCCTAAACTGCCAAGAAGATGACGAAGTAGACAGTGAAGACGACGTAGAAGGGAAGGGCAAGGGAAAAGTACAGGAGAGAGATGGCTGTAAGAAGTTAAAAAAGACACGAGAGGAAGACGATGGCATCCCAACTCCGAAAAAAAGAGCCGTAGAAAAAGACCTCTCCCAGCACCAGGATCTCGCCAAGTGTCGTTTTTTTTCTGGTGACTGGAGCACATTTCTTGCTTTGGTATTAGAGGACAACCCACAACCTAAATATGACATTATATTCACCTCAGAGACGATCTACAACACAGCATATTACCCCACACTACATGAGACCCTTCACAAACTGCTGGCTCCAGATGGGTTGGTTTACCTCGCCACCAAATCCCACTACTTTGGTGTCGGTGGTGGACTTCACCTGTTTGAGACGTTTGTGGAGGAAAGAGGTGTTTTCTCTCTGGATCACCTGTGGGACGGGGAGGAAGGACTTCAGAGGCACGTTGTAGTTCTGCGTTTTAAAAAACAAGAGGGAAACTGAATTCACCACATTCGTACAAAACCGCTTTTCTGTTTTCAATCAAGACCAGAGAGGAGGGCTCAGATAATGTCACAAAGTCAAACAGCTCTGTTCTGAGTCACATGTAAATAAAAGCGTTTTAAAAAAGCGTGTGACGTATTGTTATCATTTCGCCTCTACTGACTGATCTTCTAAAGAAAAGACAGCAGATAATGAAAATACCAAGGGACGGAGATGTTTCCATGTTACCCTTTTTCCATGATTATTTATAGTTGTTCTTGAGATCTCGTTTACTTTTCCATGCCATTCAAGGATAAAGGTGGTTAAACAATTACAACATTCATCTTCGTATCTCAAGATAAGACATTGTCCTGTGATATCAGAACTATTTATGAGTATTTCGAAATAAAAAGGATAGGCTGATGAGCTGAATCATTACATATCAGGCAGTCATCTCCCACACAAGTGAGGTAAGTTTATCTGGTTATTTACTGTGACATACATTAAGCTATGACAGACTCTGTCCCCCACTGGCTAACTCTGGCTTTCCCCTGTAAACCTTTTTTTGTCGTTTTACATGTGAATAAAAGTGACATATTTCCAAAACACACCGCATATAGAAGAGTGAGATTTCATCTGTGTAGTCTGTCATCCTGCACTAAAACCACAACTAAAAAAAAACAGTAAGGGAGGAAAAGCACTGTACTGTGTGGGTTAATGGCGTCGACCTAGAAGCAAGTTTTATGTGGAGGTATGATCTAACTGTAACAAGATTTCTATGTTTTGTGCTTTTATGCTTCTCTTTTAAGTTAGGTAAATAATTTTTATTGTCTGTATTCCTGTATTCTTCTAAAACATACAACAGTTTAATGTAATGACAATACACCTGATGTCAAAACATAATCCACAAGCAGGTTAATGATTTTATATAAAGCTTATTAATCGGGGTTAAAAACAGCCACTAACACAAAGTTTAATGCAAACAAAAATATCCTTTCACTCTGCCATATGGAGCCTCTGTTCATGTCAATATAACAGTGGGAAAACTGAGAAAATACGCTGTCTCATCCCTTTATTTGCACTCTGGTTACTGACTCTTCTTTCACTTCCTATATATAGAAATCTGAATATATCTGCCTGTAAGTGAAGTGCAGCTGAAAGAAGCCGTTACAGGTCTTTCGATGCACGGAGAGGAAAGAAAGGAAATGGGCTCAGTGACCTTTGCGAGTGATTTCCCCAGTGTTCAAACAGCAGCATGAAAGCCAGGCTTGTTTCTGAAGTCCAGCACAAAATGTCAATTGCAACTTATCCCACCAGCTCAAGGACGGAGTTTGAAAGTGGATTCTGGAGTCACTGCACATCAATGGTGGGACTCTGTAAGGTCTCTAACTCTAGTAAGGACATCTCTTGATTCTGCTTTTTTTTTTATCCTCAGTTACACCAGACCTTAGTTTGAGCTGTTGCTAAACAAAGTCGTGACACATTATGAGTATATACATCCAGGAAATATGTGCAAAACCAAATCCAAGAACAACTGTGTGGTAAACTTTCCAAACTCATGTAGAGTCCCCTTTTTGTTCAGATCAAGGAAGTTTGTTGACTGAACAGGACAGGGCTGTTTCTGAGGAAGTTTGACATAAGTCCAGACAAGTTTCTCGTATGTGAAGTAAAGAGGTAGAGCCAATGAGGAAATCAGTTTCTCTTTAAAAAAATTCCTGAACAATGAAGCCGTTTGAGTATTAAGGTCTATTGATTTATCGGAAAAGAGCTGCTGACCCGTCCCCTCGTCTTCATCTTATTGAACTAAGTTTGTGAATGTTCAAGAAAACTGATGAAACAACAAACCAGATTGTCAAAACGTTTTCTTTAAAGCTCGTGTAGGGGACTTTCAGTTTGTGTCAATTTTGGCTCTAGAAAGGGGGAGAGTTGTCAGCTGAGAAACTGAAGAAACTGTCCTGTTTTAACAAATTTACACACAAAATGTTTACAGTAAATGACACATTTGACTGTCAAAGTCAGCAGGACGAGATTGTTGTCAGAGGACACTACCAAAGCATGTAGAGGACAACATAAGCAAAACTACCTATACTCACAGGAGCTTTAACTGTATCCTGTGCTTACAACATGAGCCAAAACAGCACTGCATCGTGGAAAATTGACCTTGATTTTTGGTGTGTAGTGGGTTTTTTTGGGTTCATCTCAAGGGCACGTCAAGTGAGACACGTCCTCAGTGGTGTGTCTTTAGTGGATGAGTGTGAATGTTTGCAGGGTCTTGTCCAGACTATTTTAGAGGAGGGGCCTGATAATGGACTATATAGAATGGGCGCCATCTGCCTCCTCGCCACTGGGAGAACAGCACTCTTTGGTGACAGGCTGCAGTATCTTCCCCCTGCTTGCGATGTTGACGTAGTTTTTTGTAAAACTGGTTTGTACTCAAGTGCTCTTTTTTCTGTGCTGTTCCATTTTTAAAAGTTATTCGCGGGTTCAAGTTTTCTATGATTGACACTTGATACAGCCTAGGGGTGTACGAAGACTGCATAGCTAACCCAAGGGACATGCTACTGCGCAATGTTGGTTTCAGGAAATAGAGAAAAATCGCGGAAATACTGAGAGCTTTTCGGCTTCAAATCTGTATACAGGCAGAAGGCGGAACCAAGTTGTCCGTAGTGTATACAGTCTATGGGCCTGATTTAAGCCAGGATAGCATGAAGTATGCACATAATATATGGTATTTACTCACTCTGTCCACCTCTACTCATCTACTTTACCTACTTTTATATACAAATTATAACTCATATTATTACAAAATAAATTATGGTTGTTCAATATTTTTTATTAAAAAGAAACACAACAGAACGGCTGTGTATAAATCATGTTGTGCACGTTTACTGAGTGTCTTCTTGAGTGAGCAACTTTTGTAACATTATTACATAAGCCGTGAAAGGATCAGTGAGTCAACGACTACTGAGTATAATAGACTAATTATCCCCCACACTAGAGTAAAATGAAGAGGAACAGCCAAGTTTCATGTAATCAAGTGTAATAGAACCAACCATGACTCATGCACAACATGTTTGAACAACATTTTTTCTGTGCGCACGTGAGGATAATGACGTTGACCTTTTCAAAATTACCTTTGGCACATGAATGGGGGACACGAAAGAATGTTCTCAAAACTACCCACATACCTGTGGATGAGGAAACCACCATCAGTTACCTGTTGCAACACTTTACAACTAAGTCACGCCTCCCGAAAGGCAAGTAAGCCAACCAAGTCGAGGATTTGAGGCCATGACCACCCGATGCCACCCCTCTGGACACACCTTGGTTGTTAATCTTTTGCTGTGAAAGACTTTTTTTAAGGGTGTAGTTATTAGTTTTTTGTTTTCATGACCTTTTCTGACATTTAAGAGCCCACGTAGTTCACACACCTATTTCACACACACACAAAACCTCACACACACAAAAAAAAAAATACTGAAATCACTTTAATTGAACTATGTCGTAACACAATTCAAACTTAGACAAACTCTTAACTGCTCCGGCCTGGTTGTGTGTACAATCAGCTTTTCATTTATGTAATGTTTGACTATGACCTGAAAGCAAACAAAGTTACTTTAGGAGAGCTTTTCTATTGAGCACACTCCTGCCTGACCTCACATGCCACAAAAACACTCACATGAGGCAGTCTCATCCTGACTGTGTCACACATGCACACACTCTGCCCTGCTGATAAATGATAGTAAATAAAGAAAAAAAACTCTTCTTCTAGGAAGCTGACTTGAACATGACTGTGCATTTCAACACCCCACAGCGTTTGGACAGAATTTCCAGTTCCTCATTAGCTAAATAAACTGCAAAGTTGAAGCCACAGTTTCACTCATCCTAAACACCTAACATACGTAGTTTCTGTTTGCATATGTCTCCAGCCTTCAAACTTCCAATGTGTACTGACTTCGTCATCGTCTCTCATCTCGACAGCTGTTCACGGCCTGTGGGGGAATTCCTGGTTCCTCGAGCAGACGCAGCCTTTCCCCTGCTTACTTTATGGGAACAGGGGGCAGGGCAAGTCAGATGGTTTTCCTCAGAAACTATTATGTGTTGATTCACTGTGAGGGGGCGTGCTGTTCACTCCCACTGTTTCCTTCTTACTGGGAAGTGACTGTCAGGCTTACCGAACAGAGGGAGTGTATGAGAAACAGATAGAGAGGTGGGAGGGAGGGAGACTGATGGGTGATGTGAAAGGTGCGGATATTTAAGGTCTTTGGCTCTGAATGTCACTCAGTATGCTGTATCCCTTCTTGGGACTTGGTGGACATGGGAGAGTGAGCTGAACAGGCAGGTGAACCAAGGAGGGATGACTGGCTGTGTGTTGTTTCTTTTAGGGAAAACTAGCTGCTAAGACATCGTTTTGTGAGTTTTAACTGCTTTTGTTTGGTTAAAACTTGACTCTGTGAGACAGCAACCCCTAAAGGCCTTCGTGAGGGGATGTATTTCTGGTAAATCCAGGATCTGGAAAGGAAACTTTGGGTGACTGACAGGGGTAAGTATAAAGGTAGGAAACTTTCTAAACTGTTGAAATTATTTCTTTTTTTTTTCAGTTACAAACTTTATTAAGTTCAAGTTATAAAATGTTTGATATACAGTCTGATGAATGTAGCTCATATGAAGGAAATCAGCTTCCACATTTTCTAAAAAGGAGAACGTACTACTGTCACTGACAGGTTTTCGAGCTGTTTTTTTACTGAAAGTGTAAATTGTAATCCAGTCAGAATAAAAGCCCCATCAGGGGTTTTCTTGTGCAGTGACAGAGGCAGCAGAACCGGTTGTTTCCCAGTCCAACTGCCGGAAAGATAGGAGCTTCCTGAACGTGGTCAGGTGTGGCCTTCCGCCAAAAGTTCATTGTGCTGTGTTACACGTATCCTAAAAGAATGTACACTCATACTGGACAAACCACAGAGGCTGAGATAACATTGAAGATTTATCTTACTGTACCGTCACTGTCAATATTGACCCTTTATTTTGTCTCGATGAAGCAGAGATTTTGTAAAACATTGGAGGTTAATCTCTAACTTATCACGGACAGTTCAAAGATACATCAACTGGACTGTTATCTCAACGTCCCAAAGTTCTTTTCCGGGGTGTGTTCGGTCATAAATGATGAGTCATTTCATTCCTTGACCAGAGAGATATCACAATGACCCGATTTGGTTTCATTTCAGAGGTTGTGAACATTTCCAAGAAGGCTTGAGTTAAGAGGATGGCGTGACTCTCCATATGCTACACGGTACGTAAACCTACAGCGCTGGATCTAGTGGATTTCAGGCAACTTCACTTCATTTTGGAGGCTCAACTTTCACAAGTTCTCGAAATCTACTTTAAAAAAAACAGCATGTATCTAAAATTAGTGTGTAATTGAAATGCCAGCCATGAGCTATCAATGTTTAAGGTCAGCTTTCATTGCCACAGTCATGCCCTGTTGCACAATATTCCAATGAAAGAAGGGGGTTGATGTTATCGCTTCTCATCACCCTGTTTTTCTTGAGAAATAGGAATGGTTGTTAGTGACTAATCCTCACTGTGCCTTCTTCATAACCCGACTTTTTCCCTCTTTTTTTACTTGGTTCAGATGGTCTACTGTTTGCCACATATCTCCTTAACAATACAGAGGCAGTTAACCACATAGCTAAAAAAGTATAAGTTGTGACAAAAGCTGAAGTCACTCACAGATCTCTCTGGTTTTAAGTGCTCTGCTATGAGAACTGAATTCCATAGATGGTGGCGTCTTCAGGTGTCGTCTATGGGCTCAGTTCTTTTGGTATGGTACCACTATGCAACATTAAGGTGCTAAATTTATTCCAGCATGTGAAACTAACTTGTATGTTCTGATTTTAAACTGTGTGTTATACTTATCTCATCTCAAATTGCATGTTATATTGTGAATTAAATACTCGTGTTTCTCAGTAGCTGTTTCATGTCGGACAGAGCTAATTTAACGAATTTCCCCTCAAGGATAAATAAAGTTCTTCTTATCTTACTGAATGCTGTTACTCAACAAAATCAAACTGAATGATATTCCTCTGGAGGTTATTTACTGTCTTTGTGTTTTATCACACTTCTAAGAATGCTGCCACATGGGAGTGATATATATCGGCAAATTATTTTCAGAAACACAAGAAACTACACTTTTAAAATACACACAGTACATGGGCTTATCTCAGAACTAGTTCCATAGGAAACACAGTAAAGTCAGTGGCCGTTAGCTAGTTTAAACAATAGGAACAGGCGTAACTGCCAGAGTTAGTTACAATAGCAGTGTCATGGGACTCTATCACAATTTCCATCTATTGCAGCATGACCTGACCAGCATGTTGGGATATGGGCTTTTAGGAGAGTTTGAATCAGTCATTGATCGATTTTGTGCCCCCTGTCAGAGGCACAACCAGGGATATTGGGAACATTGGGTCCTACCATACACTAACTGAAAATAGTTGAATACTCCTGTCAGTCACGGGCCCTTGAATTTGTCCTACTTTCTCTTCCCTCGAGGCTCCCCTGACACCAGCTCTGCTTTAAAGCAATTTTTTCATGAATAACTTTGACGTTGATGCTGATTTGTCTCATATACTGTTTTCTTAAAATGGACAGAAGGAAATTAAAAGAGTGTTTTTGCCTACTATTCTGGTGGAGGTACTCATGGTCGGTCTCTGCATATGGCTGTGTTTACTTTGTATTGGTGATTTTGAGCCTAAGTCTTGAGGAAAATTAGCCCATAAGGATGTTACATGTATCTTAAAAGACTGGCACTCTGATGCCTGATGAATTGGCATGTCTAAACTATCCCTGTCTTGCATGAAACAGACATTTATAAAACTCTTTACACAGTGTCCTTAGATGAAATACAATGATGACCTCTATCCTCTCAAACTTGACTTGTCGAAGTGTTTTTCTCGTAAGTGTCTGGTTGTATACACATGTTTAATCTCGAAATAAATCATTTGTCATTCAACAAACTGGCTTTATGTTGCTTTCATTTATTTACTTTACTTTTAGGATACGATGAGGCCTCTCATAAGTGGCCCAGTATAAGGGTATCCAAGCAGAGGAAAAGCATAGAACAAAGTCCTCATGTCCCAAAAAGACAACATTTAGTATCTGATTCTTGATTAAAGTAACATGGGGACTGTACACCACATACATGCAGTATAACATAGATTAGTAATCTGTCTGCTAAACAGTCATTGTGAAACTGTCAGACCCCACAAACCTCATTTAATGACGGTGTCATGATGACTTCCTTGTAACAACATCCTCCAAGTGAGCGTGTACCTTGACTGAACTCTGACTCAGCCTAAACTGTTTATGACTCTCTTTATGAGTAAGTTCTGACTGAGAAACGCCTTTACATTACCATCACAAAATTTACTTGCAGCCAACAGTACACGTACTTCTAGATGAAACTTAAACACAACAAAACTCAAAAGATTTTTTCAAACAAGTTTATCTAAAGCTGTTGAAACTAGGAACAATAACCCGGTATTTGATATAGCATTTAAAATCATCTTTTGTGAATGTGACTTCTTGGTAATATTATCAAAGCTCCAACTTGTATAATTTATCTATGATCTATAAGCAGTAAACAAATCACAGTAGGGGAGAGTGGGTAAAGATGAGCCATTTTTCATATTTCGGATCACTCCATAAAGTCAATCATAGTTTTGTCTCTAACTAGTGTATCTGCAGATATTTCAAGATGTTGTTCATCCCTGCAAACCAACAGAATGAGTGTAAACAGAACTGTCTTGATAATATAGCATGTTGAAAAAAGTGGTCAACTTACCCCCATAAACTTACCCCACCGCCGATATGTCAAAGCTCCGCTACCCTTATGTGCCTCCTGCTGTGCAATGTGCACTGAGCATCCTGAATGTGTTACATTTTGAGATTAAAAACCATATGTGGCACCCTGAACATCATTCATCAGTCATTCATTGGTATTATTTGTACGTTTGCATTGGTATTATTTATGATATTACCTAGGCCACCCCCTTAAATGTGTAAAGACATGTCAGGTGCATTAAATTTATACTGTAGTAGGTGTGTGAATGATCAACAATCAATATAGAGGGCCCCAAAATCAAATTTTGCTTAGGGCCCCATTGAGGCTTGGGCCGGCTCTGTCGCTACAGATCCCAAATACATTTTTTAATAATAGATAAGAACACTGGTGCTTTGATTTAAACAATCTTACTCCAGTCATTTGTTTAACACATCAGTAAATTTTCTAATGACCACTTAATCAGTGCTTTTTATCCCAAACGTCCATTATTTTTAGCCCCTGACAAATTTTAAGGCCCTGACCCCAAAGAAAAGCGTCGCCTTACATTTTGATTGACAGAATATTAGCCAATAAAGATAATCCATAAATCCACACTTACCAGGAATCCCGTCTGTCATTGGTTATCAGGAGCTGTCACTCACTAGCATCATGATCCATTTTCAACCAATGGGAGGGCAGCTTTTGGCATGGGACGCGCAACAGGCTGTGTCCCTGCTGAGTGAAGCACAACGAGCCGGAGGAAAAAACTTCCATTTCTCGGCTCAGAAAAACAAAGAGTGCAACTTTTATGGTTTGAGTTTTTCACTTTTTTGTTGAACTTTGGGTGGGTATAAGAGGACGGCTGCACATTTGTTGTTTTTTATTCAATAAACGGATTTGTTCGAGGCCTTCGCATGGATGAGGTACGGCCTAACAGCGGTGCTCAGGCCCACGGGCTGGTGCCGCTGTTTCCCCCCGGACTGCAGGCTATCTACGGGGAATGCCGGCGACTCTATCCCGATCAGGCCAACCCGCTTCAAGTAACAGCCATTGTGAAATATTGGTGCGTGTCCCGCTTTGTTTTTGTTGGTTTGGCACATCTGCATGCATGAAGTTTGTGTTAAAGAACTATATAAAGTGATGGTTTAGTCAACAGCAAGATTAGCTGCTAGGCTAACATCTCAGCTAACTTCATACAGGGATTTATCTGGAACTTACTGATAGATTGGAAAGTAGTAAACCCCTTTAAAAGTCATAATAGACACATTAATTGTTATTCACTGTGGTCTACATCAAAATAAACAGTTTTAACCTTTATTCTGCACCGCTTTATACAAGTTCTGACCACCTCCCAGCTGAGCTCTGGGTGTACTGAAGGCAAACACACATCACTGACAATAATAGTGATTTTTTTGACATGCCCATACTTGAATTTCATGTATCCCGCAGGTTAGGGGGACCAGACCCGTTAGACTACATCAGCATGTATAGGAGTACGGGTTGTCCAGCTCAGGACATCCAGGAGCATTGGCACTATGTCAGCTTTGGACTCAGTGACCTGTATGGGGATAATAGAGTTCATGAGTAAGTACAAAGTGGTAACAACTTCACTAAAACTTTCAGAATTCTGGTTTTGGTTTATACATTTACTTCATTGACAGTTAAAAAAACCTGAGAATTTCTGGACCATAAGACCACTACAGCGGGGTGACGCAGCTCAAGGAAGAATATTTATGATCATGTCTTTATGGAAATGCAATCAGACCGAGATGTTAAGGCAGAAGAACTACCACGTCTGTTGTGCAAAATAATTAATATGGTGATTATAACTTCAAGGAAATGATAAAATAATGACCATAAATGTTCTTCCTTGAGCTGCGTCACCCCGCTGTAGTCTGTAATAGACTGGTTGAGGTCTCACTACAAACAAGCGGCTGCTGGAAGAGAGTAGGAGTTGTGTTTAGTCTCTTTGCTAAAGAAATTAGGCAAAGTTAAAAAGATGTTTGGTGGCTAATACTATGACAAGGACCCTATATGTCCTGTTGATGAAGTTAGGTGCTGTTTTGAGCGTTATTTGTGGCTATAGAGTGGCGTTTTGGTTGGGGTTTGTTTATGGCTCCTCAGACCGCTGTGTATTGCTGTCACACAGTCATTACTAAAGTTGGTATAACTAGAGACGCAAGCAGTCAGCAACATTCATCTCACAACAGGGTGTCTAACTTGGTGTTACGGTGTGTTTGACCCTAACTTAATTTTACGCGGGAATATTCCTTTAATTTTCAGTTTATTGTGCAGCCCTTTCTCACAGTACATGAAAACAAACCCTTGATTTGACTGATTTATTAAAGAAAGAAAAAACAATTACATTTCCATCACCTAGTTTCTTACTGTACGTCTCCCCGTGTGTGTGTGTGTGTGTGTGTGTGTGTGTGTGTGTGTGTGTGTGTCAGATTCACAGGTGCTGATGGACCCAGTGGCTTCGGCTTTGAGCTCACCTTTAGACTTAAAAGAGAGATCGGTGAAACGGCACCGCCAACCTGGCCGGCTGAACTCATGCAAGGCTTGGCTCGCTATGTGTTCCAGTCAGGTAAGAGGAAAAGACGTCACTGGAAGAAAGTGGTATTTTTATGTTTTTACCTTTGAATAGAGAACTTAACACAATAAAAAAAAACCTCACTGTCAGTCAATCTCCTACTCTGCTGTAAAAATAGAAATAGATGCAAACGCACATACTTTTTCATATTTACATTCCAACTGTTACTTGATGTATATGTGCCAATAGTCATTTTCTTTTCCAATCAGTCACATTGTGCATGTAGTTTAGTTAATAATATATTGGCAAGAGCTTTGATTGAACTCCTCTCTCTTGGCTGCAGTTCCTGTGCTACCTTGTGAGATCTTGTAAAAACGTGAACACTGTGCCCTTTGTGAAGGTAGCTTTATATTTCACTCATCTGGTTAAACATGCCGCGTAGAGGAGTCGCTTCAGGCAGCAGTTTTCTGTTAAGCATACATTATTTGTGTTTGTTGGAGCCCCGGGTATTGACAGGAAGTCTGATTTCCCGTTTTTTACCCTTTGCAGTTGTGAAAACAATCTATTCAAACGGTAAACAGGACCGTTGTTGTCGTGTCTTAGTGTTTGCTCTGTGTGTGTCGGGTGTATTCTTTGGTGCTAGGTTATTTAAATCATTCAGCCGTGTGTACAAAGTGCATAAGAAAGTGTGGTTGAGAAAGGAGGGGGGCATTTAAAAGCCACGAGGAAAGAGAAGAAGGCTTTCCTTTCCTCCCCTCCTCACCATCCAGCCCTTCTCTGCTATCCAGCTGGGGTCAATTTGCGCGTGGGTGGGCTGGGCTCCCAAACAGAGTTGATGCTGATTCTTGGCTATCCCCCCCCTTTGCTTTTCTCCTGCAGCAAATCTGGACTCGATACATTACCTCCCAAGCAGTCGCATTCCTTAGATGGAAATGTAGTATTTATGTTTTTCATGACACATTTTTGTCTCGCTTTTCTCATGAACTCAGTCAGTGTTGCGGATTGTTTCCCCTCCTTTCCTCTCGATGCAACTTTTCTCCAGAATTTCTCTGCTCCCAGAACAATGGAAAGTTGGATTGCCTCCCTCTGGTTGCTGAAAATATCCTCCTCTAGCTGACCCTCATGACTGAGTGTATTGTTGGCATCTTTTTTTATTGTGTCCTCTTTGTTCTCTCATACAGAAAATACATTTTGCAGTGGCGACCATGTATCGTGGCACAGTCCGCTGGACAACAGTGAATCCCGTATCCAGCATATGTTGCTAACAGAGGACCCACAGATGCAGCCAGTCCAGACACCGTTCGGTACCGTGAGCTTCCTCCAGGTGAGTTCATGTGTAGAATGTAAGGAGATCAGGTGTTTGTATCAATAAAATCACAAGATCACAATTATTGCCAGTGCTAATTAGCTGACAAAACATGTCTAAGAGCTGAGTGACCTATATCATAATAAAAGACAAATACAAAGTGAGGTCTTCTTGTATTTCATATTAGTGCCAAAAGACTGTATAATAAGTCACGCTTGTAACTGTGCTGAGATAAAACGTCCATTTAGATAATGAACTTTTTAATACCACACTGTAAAAATACTGCAGTAAAAATCTTTTTTCCACCTTATAATCATCAAAATGCTGTAAAATGGCTGAAAGATATAATGCCGATATTACTTTGTCCTTGTTGTTGTCTGAAGAACTCTGAGAATCGTCAATAAGGTAGGATATTGTGAACCAACTAACAATTTTGTTATTTTTTAATAAAGCATTAAAGCTGAGAGATATTGTTGATATTGAAGTATTAGAGATTCTTTACAAAGTTAAAAACAATATAATTTCAAAAAATATTCAGAACTTCGTTAAACTAAGAGTTAGGGTAAGAACAAATGTTAAATCCAGATGTGTTTCTTCTATCGGTGTAAAGTTATGGAATGGACTTGATGAAGAATATAAATTATGTACATCCTTGTCAACATTTAAAACATGTCTCAAACAGAAAAGGATCAGTAATGATCAAAACCATAACTTTTGTCTATATTAGGTTTGATTGCATACGAAACTGTAAAACATTACTTGTTGGTGTGAAAAGGATAGGCAACATATAAACATTGCTTGAGCCTATTCCTTTTTTGGTTTTACTTCAAATCAAAAAATAAAACCATATCTATCTAAAATATAGTACCAACACATGACGAACAACATTGATGACTTTAAATAAATGTTTTCTTGGATAATTGTAAACAAAATAAAAACTCAGCTCTGTGAAATACTGCCACAAGGTACTTTTGTATTTCTATCCAGCTTATTACCACATTATTATTAAACTTCAAACATCATAACGTGATTTATTTAAAATGCTAGTGAGTTACCTTCTTGATGGTGTTACCAGCCCTCTGAGGGACGAAGCTGATATGATGCTGATTATGCCAACATGCCATTTGTCTGCAATTTGTCATCAATCGATCAATCTCTAATGATGATAATAGTGTTATTATCAATAGGTAAAGACTTGTCCCTAAAATTAATATATAATCATGACAAATAAAAACAATTTTAATGTTGATTGAAATCATTGTTTTGGCTGTAATCATGCAGCCTCGGTTCACTTGGAGTCAGTAATTTATCAACAGGCACTTTTGGAGACTTTTTTTATCTTTATTTAAACCCACTTCAGAGACAGAAGAATTTCAACTGAGGATTTCAACAGAAAAAGAAGTTTAGCTTGAGGAGAGATGATGATGATGAGCCCTGCAGTTTCATATCACTGATGATAGTGAGCGTATAAAAACATTATGCACTCTTCTTTGAACTGATTTTGCTCATTAAATAAACGAGTAGATCTGGCACTTCTGGTCCTTGTCTTCAGTAACAAAAAGAGCAACAGCTATAAGAGATGCACAGCTGTGAGACCAAACCTGCTCATGTGCTGCACTGTCTCCTTCAGATTGTAGGTGTGTGTACTGAAGAGCTACAGGCAGCTCAACAGTGGAACGGCCAGGGCATCCTGGAGCTGATGCGTGGAGTCAAAGTGTAAGTACACACTTGGCTTCAGTACTGTTCTTATTAAAATGTCTCATTATATAGTGAGGTCAAAGTTCAGCAGCTCCTCATTGCAAATGTAAAACGCACTGTTAATGAATTTAGTGGCTTTTAGTTGCTGTAACTCTTGTGCAGAAAGTTTGCAGATGAGCTTTTTTTTTCCAAATTGAGACCAGGTCTGTTTCCATTGATACCTGATCAAATAAAGATGACTTCATGGTTTGCGGGGGTGCAGTGTTTATTTTTCAGTCTATGTGTTGTGTAGCAGCTGATAAGAACCGTAGTTAATTATTTATATATTTGATCAGCGTGTTTAACTGAAGTTTGATTTTGTGGGGGGGCTAATGCTGTTGTTTTCTGTGCGCAGAGCTGGCGGCCCCTGGCTAATCACAGACATGAGGAGAGGGGAGACCATTTTTGACATTGATCCACACCTACAAGTAAGGCTTTATTAAGTTCTGCACAGCTGAGCACCTTCCTTTGTTTACAGTCCTTGACATTAACAGCTGTGAGCTTTTGTGCCTTTTGTGTTCTGTGGCTGCAGACATATTCAGCATTATTGAACAAATGATTTATACGTTCGTCCAATATCATTTTTAAAAGGGGTTTGGTGAGCTGTTTTGACTGTAAAGGTAGTCAGTAGCAGTGTTGGGCTGAACTAGCAAGAGTTAAGCAGGGATGAGCTGAGTCAACCTGATTTTCCACATATTAAACATATAAAAAGATTAAAGGAGGTGATTATATTAACTTAGCACCCCCTGTTGGCTCATAAATCCTCTTTCCTCCATCAGAAAATGTAAAACACATGTGGGTTTTATGTGAACTAGTGTTAATGATTGCGTATATTTCTTGCTCATCCAAGCAGGAGAGAGTGGACCAGGGGATCGAGACAGAGGGCTCCAACCTGAGTGGGGTCAGCGCCAAGTGCGTGTGGGATGATCTCAGCAGACCGCCAGAGGACGAAGAGGACAGCCGATCCATCTGCATAGGATCACAGCCGCGGAGGCTCTCAGACAAAGGTACACCGAGTCCAGAGTGGATCTTTAAATAAAGTCTGAGCAGATCCAAGAATGCTTAACCAATCTGTACGGAGGAGTTCTGGTTTCATGCTGTCAGCGGTGCATGATGGGATAATTCCAAGCTGATCTTTGTCTGTGTGTTGACAGACACAGAGCAGATCAGGGAGACTCTGAGAAAAGGACTGGAGTTTAACAGCAAGGCAGCACTACCACCCATCAACAGCCAGAGACAGAGCCATGAGAGACCTCAGTGAGTGTTCCTCCCACACGCCAGCACACACACTTTTAACACAGGCCCAGCGCAGCACAAGGTTTTCACGAGGATAACTCCCTCCAACATGTGCGGTGACTCACTGTGAAACCGACATCTGAACCGTTATCACTATTGTGTCATAGCTACCAGCATGAAACAGAGGTGCGTCAGTGGGTCGTAGTCGTTTCTGTAGAAGTTGCCGCGGCCTCCGCTGGGTCGTGTAACAGTAGCGATGAGGAATCTGGGTACTTTTGGGGGCTGAGTGTTTCCTTTACATGACTGTCTTTGTCATATATGCACAGCTATTGTCTTACTAGTAACATGTGGATGTCACAAGCAAGGTTATAATAGTTTTGGATTTTTCATTATAGTTTAGTTTTAGTTAGTTTTGACATTTTTTTTCTCATTATAGTTTATTATCAATAGGTTTTGACATTTTTTTTCCATTACAGTTTAGTTTTAATTAGTTTTAGAGCGGGCATTCTAGTTTTAATTTAGTTTTGATTTTTGCGACAAGGCTTAGTTATAGTTTAGTTTAGTTTAGACTGAACTCTCAGCTTCCTGGTTTTCATAGGCTGTATAAACCTCCTTATGGGCGCTCCTCAAATGGGCTTTTAAGTTTGTAGGATTTTTCCCCCTTAAGAAGCGCTCCACATATCTCAACAGTTTTAATTTCCGCCAGGCACTTGTATTCGTTTGTCTCACTGTTGTACTCAAAAAAATCCCAATTGGGACACTGCCGCCTCCTCCCAACTTAAGCCATTTCTTCTGAGTTATTCCAGCAACACAAGCTCCGTCGCAGCACAGCCAGTCAGTGCAGTAAACAAGCACGTCCCAGTATGTCATCATGATGGTGCCGTACGGCGCTGACTAACTGCTGAAAACTGTGGTAAAATTGGTTAGGAAAAGGTGTCGGATTAATTTAAATCCTAAAAGCTAATAAATATTGTCGAAAATGATAACGAAGGACATTTTGTCTATAATTTTAGTTCGTTCCAGTTAGTTTTGTGAACATGAGACACAGTTTTAGTTTACTTATCGTTTTTCTTTTCTTTTCTAGTTTTTACTAGTTTGAGTTAACTGCAATGTATTTTAAATTTTAGTTTCGTTTTAGTTAACTATTATAACCTTGGTCACAATCAGGCTTATCGCTAAGAAGTTGAACACACAGAAGCGATTTTTCTTGGTGTAAAAACAATAAATAAATAAAAAAGACGAATAGAAAAGTGAATGCGGCCAGAAACAGAATTAAGTAAGGTAAAAAAAAAAAATTTAAGTTTGTTACCTCTCTTACTTTTGTTGATTTTACGTGATGCCATCTTTTCTCTTTTTTCTTTTATCTCTTTTACCTCTATCTCATTTCGACTTACTGTCCTTTTAGCTTTTGTTTTACTTATAATGTTTTCTTTTTAACCTTTTAGGCCTTTTATTGATTTTATTGTTTTTTTCCTGCTCATTTTTTATTCCATTTTATCACTACTATTACCATCATTATTATTTTATTATCATCAATAATATTGTCTATTTATATTTACCATCCTGTTTCCTGCTTTCTACCGCCCTTTTTATTACATTTCTTTTTCTTACCTATTTTATGTTTTTATTTTGGTCCTCATGGTCTCATTTTATGTTGTAGAGTTCTTGTATCGTTTGGGTTTCTTATAACAAATGATATTGGCCTTTAATCCGGAGGCCTTGTTTTTAACTGAGCTTTTGTTTTTATTTCCATGTGCTGATGTTCTGTGCTTTACGTGCTTTTGTCAAAGCACTTTGTAAACTTCTGTTTTTAAAAGTGCTATAAAAATAAAGTTAATATTATTGTAAATGATACTAAATGACTTCACATTGGAAGTATTTCTGTAATTGTCCCATACCAATCTTTTTCCTTTTCTGTTTCTCAGGAGTCGAAAGGACAGTTTGGAAAGTGAGAGCTCAGCCGCCATCGTCCCGCACGAGCTGGTACGAACACGACAGCTGGAGAGCGTTCATCTCAAATTCAACCAGGAGTCAGGCACGCTGCTGCCCCTCTGCCTGAGGTACCGCGATATTCCCTCTCCTGCTCCCACACATCTGATCCACTCCTCAGGAATGTCCCTCCGGCAGACAGATAAAAAATAATCCAAACATTCATGTTGGATGGGTGTGGCAGAACGTCTTTATAAATCATCAGAGCAAAAAATGAAGATGGCTCAATTCTTAGAAGTTTAAAAGGTGCTTTTGGCAAGTCGCACCCAAAGTCAGGTTTTACTCCTCCTACTTTCACTTTGATGCAACTTCAAAGTGTTGGATAAATAAAAATGAGCCAGTTCTTCATGACCCAGAGCTATTTAAAGAGAGCAGAATGGCTTTCAAGTCGAGATTAAAGTTGCCTGTGACGTGAATTATTACCTGACTCTGAAAGAAAGGATGTGGATCCTGGTTTTATATTCCTTTCTGCGTGTATTGTATAGCCGCTTTTCCTGACCACTGACAAAAGTAGTCAACATTTCTACTGCAGAGAAATGTTATCATAGATGAATCATTGGTGTTAAAGTTCAACTGAAGGCATGACTCTTGCAGTACCGTCAGCCTGCTTCACGAGAAGTGCACTAAACTACAGGAAGAGGTTTGAACGGACAAAGGTTAAAACATCGGTGTCCAAATGATCATAGTTACTTTAAATCTTTAGCTAACTTTTAGTCAGTTGATTCTTAATGTGTTGAACAATTTCATTTTCATTTCAAGGAAGGAAGCAAACAAAAACTGAAGGCATGGGGCCACAAAAAACCCCAAAGTTACAACATTGTTCATTGTTCTCACTGATACATCGCCACACGTCTTTTTCTAATTCATATTTTATTGTTTTTGGCGCATTACATTTTTTCTTTTGTTGAAAAGATACAAAGCAAAGGTAGGGGATGAGAGTAACACAGATTTATGTAATCTCGGTCTGAGTGGAAAACAAGAACACAGGAAGTGGACGAGGGAACATTTGTGTGAGGGTGAAGGAAGTTAAAAGAGAGAACAGCGTGTCGAGGACCTAGTTACATGAAACCTCCACAGCGCGTGATTTTCCTTGTGTTGCCTGTAAACTGTGATTTCTAATCTTAGAGAGAAGCAAAAGTTTGTGACCGTTTTCCCTTTGTGACAAAGTTTGTGACCCTTTTTACAAAACTCAAAAGTTCCCAGATGATGAAAAAACTTTATAAACCAACGCCTAAGTTGCTCCTTGACTTTACAGCGAAGTCTCTACATGCAGGTTGAAGTTAAATTAAATGTTTATCTACTAAATATAAAGATGTAAAAATAAGAAACTAGGCTTTCTCCAGTCTTCTCCATTGTATTGACTCTCAAAATGATAATACACACTTGTTCCCGTAACGCTCCGTGTGTTTTTTTTATCTTGCGTTTCAGGGGTCGGTTGCTTCACGGGAGACACTTCACCTACAAGAGCATCAATGGAGACACCGCCATTACCTTTGTGTCTACGGGAGTTGAAGGAGCGTTTGCTACTGAAGAGCATCCATATGCAGCTCATGGCCCCTGGCTTCAGGTAAACACGCAGACACACACACATAGTTTGAGATTCTTCTGTTAGGCTTTCATGTTGTATGTGCTCAGCCGACCTTCTTCTCTCCTTGTTTAGATATTGTTGACTGAAGAGTTTGTGGAGCAGATGCTCGGGGATTTACAAGAACTGAACACACGCGAGGAGGTAAATAAAACCTGCATTAATTTTTCTTTTTTAACGTTTGTTCAAATGTCTGTTTGTTTGACTTTTTTCATCTTTACTTCCGTGTTCAGACAAAGTTACCAAAGGAGTACAGCTGGCCTGAGAAGAAGCTGAAGATTTCTGTACTACCAGACTCTGTGTTTGATAATCCACTACAATGAGGCAGAGACGCCTTCTCTGTAGAAAAGACCGACAAAGACAGCTGCAGACACGCCTCCAGAGTGGACCATCACGGACAGGAGACCTCCCCGGACAAGCAGCGACCCTGAACTGTCAGATATGTTCTCCTGTGGCGGACGGCCCGAGACTGTTTCACTTCTGCAGATGATCTGAGAGATGATCTAAACACTTCTGACTGTTACTGAGTTCTCAGACTGGCTCCTCTGTTTACAACACTGCTCTGTGGTCTGAATGCTTTCAAGGATGCCAAATCAGCGTGAAACCAGCCTGTCCAGATGGTCCACCTGTATGAGCAGCCAAAACAGGTGACACACTAGCTGAAGGGCAAATAGGATGTTGTCATTCCCTCAGTAAGACCTGCCAAAGTCTGAGCCCCAAAACTACGTCACTAATATCCAGAAAAGAGCGTTTTAGAACAAAGTGCCCCAAAAGGTGATTGAGCTGATGTGTCTTATAGCAGATCTATTTATTCGATTGGTCTTAGAAAGGACTGAAAATTCAAGTTTTTATCCTTTTTATTGGTGTTTATTTTCAGTTGGAGCTCCTGTGTTTATTATTGACAAATGCTGGACATTTTTCTTTTATGTGTTTGTGGTCATACCAAAGTTTTAACTGTCGGCTGTCTACCGCCAGAACTGTCTGGCATCACAAATGTGTCATGGCCCTGTAACAATGACATGACAGGATGATTACTGTTCTTAACCAACCAAACGTCTGAACTCTTTTTGAAGTTATCCTGCAGGTATAACCTCCTCCTCTCCACTGTGCCAAGGACATGACTCCGCTCTTGAGTAATCATTTCTGAATGTGACTTTTCCCTTTTTCTCACGTACGATCGCGAGTATCTTTAGAGTTATGAAATGAAATACATCCAGTCAGTTGAAAACGTTCACAGACAGGACAGTTTATCATCCGTCTCCAGTGGCCACATAAATATGATTTTCCTTTTTTTCCAGTAGGACCTGCTCAAAATGTGTTGGAGTAAAATTCCTCAGTGCCTTGAGTTGAAAAGGACCACATACTCTGTCAATGCTGCCCACAGTTCCTCGGTGGTTAAGAGGTATCATTTCTAGTCAAGGCTGCTGCATTCGCCGTCTGATTCTGATGTTTTCATTCCATTTTAACACCAAAACAGAGAACAGACTACCTTTACTAAAGTGTCTTCTTACAAAATGTGTTCTTAAACGTTTGTGAACGTGTCTCGTTTTTGTCTTTTTTATTCAGAGTGAAAAGTTTAGACATTCTTTATATGTTTTTTTTTTTGTAATTACTATCTTATTGACTGAACTGGCTGATTGTAATCCCAAGTGCATTAAAGAGTGTAGGTATTTACACAAATAAAGCTGCAAAATGAACCCAGGATGACAGAGGAATTCGTTTTGTTTTGTTTTGTTGCATGGTGAAAAGCTGCATCAATACTTATCAGTGTTTGCACAAGGACAGTTGAGCGTGTGGACAGGAGGAGCAGGTGTTCAAGCCAACAGACGTGTGATTATCGGACAAATTGTTTTACCTGCTGAGCCACAACTCCTCCTTTGTGTTTAACGAAAAACAAGGTGAGACACAATCTAGGTTTGTTTCTCTTTATTTAGTGCATATACACCATGCTAACATAAGCCATGATTATTAATGAGTACATCCTTTTATTTTGAATTATTTCCTCTAAAATAAACCGACGCATTATGAAGCAGCAATGAGTTGCATTATTAATATTAAGAAATAACAAACAAACATTTCATAGAGTCTAATATAAACCCATTGTGGGAATACTTTTCCAGGCTCTGAATAATCCCTATTGGCTCTAACTCATTCTGATATGGTAATAAAGTTGTTATTTATGTTGGTCATCCATTATTCAATTTTTTATGGATTCCCCTGGTGGCTAACATCATGTCTGTGGTTCTGCCAAACTAGGTCATCTGTAATGGTGAAAAAAAAAAACTAAAATTATTACAATTATTACTGATTCTTCAAATTTTGCTTGCACCAATTTTAAAATGAGCTGAGCCAAAAAAAGATATATATATATATATATATATCTTTTTCAATTGCAAGGTTTGATGTGTTGTAATTGCACTATTTTTAGTTAAATTAAGGGTTTGAATAAAAATAATAATAATGATGACAAATTTTATTTATAACGTGATTTAATAGGTACTCAAAGATGCTTCACAAAAAAAAAGAAAATTTAAAATACATAAAAATTTGGAGGAATAAGACCAACAATGTAAAAGTTTAAAAAAGACACAATATGAATAGACAACAAAAGAACAGTTCACAGGTTAAGAGCCAATTTAAAAAGGTGTGTTTTTAGGAGTTTTTGAAATTATGGGGGTCTGTACAGTCTCGGTTCCAGAGGATGGGGTTGGCAGCGGAGAAGGCTCTGTCACCCCAATGATTGCAAACCATAAGATTCAATTGTTTATTTTTTATTTTATCCCAAACAATTTTTTCAACATCTAAACTTTTCTGAAGTTTGGGTTGCAGTAATGACTATTTTTGCAAGACTTTTAATTCAAAAATAAAAGTTGTAAATGTTGAGCTTTCGTCAGCTGCTCTGCAAACCCTCTTTCACTCCAAAAAATGGCGCAAATATAGATTTAATTTGTCTTCTTACTGGCTGAAATACCAAACAGTATGAAGAACAGCCCAGGGTTGGCTTTTCAAGGTGAATTTGCACCATTTAAGTACAATATCATAATAGACCTCATTAACTGCTGCTGGTATGGGTTTGTTTTTAAAAACAGCCCCTTGATATTGTGCTCACATGGAGCATTTTCCACCTTAAAATCAGATTACCTCATTTTCTTTTGCTCTATTATTATTGCGTGGGTTTGTTTATCACACTCGGCTGCATCTTTACAAAAAAAGATGCAAGATTTGATGTGTTGTAATTGCACTATTTTTAGTTAAATTAAGGGTTTGAATGATTTGCAGACCATAAGATTCAATTGTTTTGTTTTTCTAAGTAATTTCTTTCAGCGTCTCAACTTTTCTGAAGTTGGGGTTGCAGTAATGACTATTTTGCAAGACCTTTAGTTCAAAAATAAAAGTTGAAAAATGTTGAGCTTTCGTCAGCTGCTCTGCAAACCCTCTTTCACTCCAAAAAATGGTGTAGCATATATTTAATTTGGCTGAAATATCAAACAGTATGTAGAACAGCCCGGTTTGGCTTTTGAAGGTGAATTTGCACCATTTAAGTACAATATCCTAATAGACCTCATTAACTGCTGCTGGTATGGGGTTTATTTTAAAAACAGCCCCTTGATATTGAGCTCACATGGAGCATTTTCCACCTTAAAATCAGATTACCTCATTTTCTTTTCCTTTTTTATTATTATTGCGTGGGTTTGTTTATCACACTCGGCTGCATCTTTACATAAAAAGATGCGGTGCAGATGCAGTTATGATTATTACAGGCAGGTAACCACACTGCCTTATACTTCCTCCATGTGTGATTCAGTGTTTTAATGTTTCTCCTCGTGCTCTGACCCTCTCATGGGCCCCTGAGGGCCCCTTACCCAGCCAGCCAGGACTTCACTTTTATGAGAACCAGTGGTGCAGAGGATGACAGGTCACACAAATGTCTCCCGGTCATTTACAATCTCTCCGGTAGAGTTTGCTGTGGCCTGCTCCCGGCCTTCCTCCTCCTCCTCCTCCTCTTTTCGCTCCTCCCCGTCTATTTATCAACTCTATGACGGGTCACGTTGTCGGAGGGGGGCTGTCGGTGTGAAAGCACTGAGCTCCCTGGCGACGAGTCACAGTCTGCCTGCACTTACCATTAAATATTAGTCAAAGAGTTGACGGGAAGAAGGCGAAAGCAGCTGGATAACAGCCGCTTATAAAAAACCCACGCGCCCAGCTTATAACGTTACGTCGGACTGGCAGTTGAAATCTAATCGCACGAGCTCAGGATCTGCTCGCGGACTGGAAGTGAAGCTCCTCGGCTTTACGGCGCACCGGAGTCCGTACCGGAGACGAAAATGGGAGATAAATAGTTGGTAACGTTGCTTTTTCAGTCCGAGAATCCGCCTTTTGTGTTTGTTTGAAGTGTTTTAATGTCGAGTGAACAGCAGGCTGTCGTGTCCTCGCTTTAAAACAAAACGCCACTGTTTCTCAGTCAGTGACATTTCATTATACTGAGTCCAGTTTCCAGTGTTATTCTGAAGCAAGTTGTCACTTGCTTTTTAACGCCACGGCTTGTATCCGCCTGTGTTGAATTACCTACCGAAGAAACACCGAAAAGTCGCTTTGAATCGCCTTATTTTGACGACAGTTTGAGGGTGTCTTGTTAAAGTTTGTCCACAGTTACACTTGGTTTAACTCTGGAGTTGGTTAATTTCACCGGTTTTGTTAAAGTAAGCCTGCTGACACCTCAAACTGAAGCTGTTTGTGCTTCAGAAACCTTATCCTGAAAGAGTTACTCCACCTGGTTTGTTCTGACTCCATCTGTCTGTGCCATTTTGAACAGATTTGAGTGAAGAGGAAATAAGACCGTGATTGACATAATATTCACAGGGTGTTTCTTCATTTCCAAAGACAAAGCTGTGACCTGTTTGATGAAGATGATTCAGTTGTTTCTGCTTTTTTCCCCCCTTAAAAGACATTTATCTCCTTCTAGAATTAAGTATTAAGTTGTCCATGTAATGTTTCTTAAATAAATCTTAACTAAGGTCTACTTTGCTATCATATTTCTTAAGTTTCAAGTATAATTGAACTTAGATTGTATTAGACTTTTTTTCTCTGTGGTATATCTTTTAAAAGTAGAAATCCATATGCAGGTTATAGTTCTTTATTTTGCTTTTACTCTTGAGTTATCCTTACCTGTTTCTCTTAAATCCTCCCTTTTCAGTTGTTTTGGACTCTTTCTATCTAAGCTTTTATCATCAGTTTTTTTCTTTGTTTCCACCTGTGATTTTGCTTGGCTCGCATCTTTCTGTGTCATTTTGGACAGTGGAGTGAAAATAAACCGTGGTGAGAAAGAAATAACCCATTTGCAGAATCTAATTGTATGTTTTCTGTGACTCTTGAGTTATTCTTTGAAGACAGCGCTCCATTTGGTCCTGTAGCACACTTTTCATGAGTCTGTAAAAGATTTCACAAACTCCCTTGTCTTTAAAATTTGAGATCTGATTTTTTGGCCGGGTATGCGTCCATTTAAGAGAAGTAGACGTGTACTTATGTGCAATAGTTTGAGCCAATTTGGAAGATGTCCAAGTATAATAAATTTAGGACAGTGATAAGATTAATTTTTCACTTTGCTCTTTTTATTTCCAGTTGTCGTCAGTTTGGATCCAGCTGAAGTCATGGATGAAACTTGGAAAAACTGCTTCGAAGAGGAGCTCCTGTGTCCCATCTGCCTCAATGTTTTTGACGAACCCATCCAGCTGCCGTGCAAGCACAACTTCTGCAAGGGTTGTATCTCCGAGGCATGGGCTAAAGACACTGCAGGGGTCCGCTGTCCCGAGTGCAACCATGAGTACGACCAGAAACCAGCGCCGGAGAAGAACTTCAAGCTGGCTAACATCGTGAAGCGGTTTAACGCGTTAAACACTGAGAAAGTCCCCGCCGTGCTGCACTGTGTCCTCTGCAGACGAGGCCCCCCGCTGCCCGTGAGGAAGGTCTGTCTGCGCTGTAAGGAGCCCTGCTGCCAAATTCACATCCAGACTCACCTGCAGCAGCCGTGCGCCGCTCCAGGACACCTGTTAGTGGACGCGGAGGAGCTGAGCGCTTGGACCTGTCCCAGTCATGAGGAGTACAGGCTGCTCCACTGTGAGGAGGAGCAGGTGGCTCTGTGTCCGTTCTGCTGCATCTCTCACTGCACTAACCAAAGACACACAGTCTGCGATGTGGACACCCAGCGCATACAAATGCAGGTACATAAATCACACCCACTCACAGTCTCCTACTCACACATTTACTTCCAACTATTAGCTGGCAGGACAATGACTGTCAAAACATTTAAAGGTTTCATTTTCTTCCTGGGTTTTTTGAGCAAACTCTTCTTTCAGTTCACCGGTCTATAAACGCCCCCTCTCTCTTTCTTCCCCTTTATCTGATATGAAAGGACAGGACAGGTGAAAGCCCGCCCTCAGGGTAGATAATAGTGCACACACATGCATGCACACACACGCAGGCAGGCATACGTCACACACTGCTTTTAACCTTGATCAGGCTGGCCGTTCCTCACAGCCACGCCTTCACATTAGCCGCCCTGTGCCCCCGGGTAAGTGCTGTGATGCAATCTGCAACCACCGGAAATGATGACCCCTGTGTGGAGGGGGAGGATCCACATGTAGTTTGTTTATCTCAGCTCGAGTGATCACTTTCAGGAGTTGTTCATCAGGAAATGCACGCTGGGGATCCTTTCTCGGCTCACACACGTTGTGATTGAGACACAAATTTGGTGGCGGATTGTTAACAAGAAATTCTGAGGCAGAAAATTCTGAGAAGAAGGAAGGAGAATACAGCATTTATCCATCCTTGTGACCCCGATGGCTTTTGGGAGTTGCCGATGAGGAAATGAACTTTGGCAGTCCTTTTTCAAGCTGATAGATTAGTTGGCGTGCTGCTTTAAGAAAGAAATGTGGACGTTTGAGGAGCTAACAACTTTATTTTGCTGCATTCAAACTATTTCCAGTAAGAGAAAAGTGATTCCTGTAAAAATTGCCATGTAGAAGATGAATATAAACCCCAAAAACCTTAAGTAACAGTTTATTTATTTGAGTTGGTCTGGTCAGTTTCAGGAGTTGTCTCAGATAGAAAACGCAGACCAGCGGTTATTATCAGGCTGGGGAGAAAGTGTGGTGTTTCTTGGAGGAGTTCAGATTCTGGCAAGTTTATTTTGTTGCAGTTTCACCATTTCCTGGAGATTATTTCAGTGAACGCTTCACAAAGACATGGCCAAAAACAAGATCAGAAAATAAAAGTTAGAGAATGCAGGTCTAGTTTTTTTTTTTCTTCACTTACATGATATATTCCATGAGTTAAAGTGAAGAAATCAACACTAGCTATGCTTTTAAGGCTGATGAATGTGTTGACATAATGTTCTCTTTAATGAAATGTGGTGGTTTATGAGGCTGGAAAGCTTGTAATGTTTCATTTCAACCATTTCCAGAAATAGGAGGGTTGTTCTAGTGAAATTTTCTAGCAGACAAAGTTTGAAAAGAAGGGAGGAATAAGGATTTATGAGTTGATTTGTGAATAAGTGATCACTGACGATCCATTTCCGACTTGCAGATCTTTCTTTTTAGTACTACTTTTTTATGTTTTTAGCAGGATGCAGAGTAATGAGGTGATCTTTTGATTTGTTGCTTCCTAACATTCTCAATCATACAGTTAGCTAGCTTCCAAAAGGTGATCAGACATATTAGTTTAACATCACAGCCTTGGTGTCATTATATATGCCCCTGTGTCTTATAGAATAACGTAAATATGCACACAGTTTAGTTTCGGTCTTTTGTCCAACATAGGGTTAGTTATTTAATCCTGTTTGTAGTCATTTTACTCCTTTAGATATAGCAAAGTGCTCGGTGAGGAGTTTCTCCGCCTGGAACAAAACTTAAACAGAAAGCACAAGTTTTTTTTACTAAACAGGCTCCAGAATCAGTCATGAGTACAAAACAGGTATAAAGAAAAATCATCAAAAGATTAAAAAAGTTCCCTCACTTTCAAACTCACTTCTCCTCACCAAATTTGAACAAATAAAGACAAATAAATCTGACCTAAACACAGGCAATAGGATCCAATATCAAGAATAAACTAATTTATTTATTTAACCTTTATTTAACCAGTAAAATCACATTGAGACGAGTCTCTTTTGCAAGTGCGTACTGGCCAAGGGAAGAGGCAAATAAAATGTTACTCAGCTCTGCCAGTAACAATACAATACAATGACAATACTACATGGAGAGGCTGAGAGTACAATACCAATTGCTTAGGCTCAGAAAGGATGGAGAGACTAGCAAGGAATAGAATCAAATAAAAGTACCAGGGAGCACAATATAAAATTGGAATAAAATAAGTTAACAATAACAACGCTAATGCTGTGACTTGTAATCTAATTTTATTGGGTACTAAGCATCCATAGACAAGTGAGAGTATGTCAAAACCAGTGAAAAACGCCTCATTTTGGAAAGTGTTCACGATCAAGTAAGATTTACTGTGTTTGAACCATTTCTAAAGTAGGACAGTGACATTTTAGACCCATAAAAGTAAAAAGAAAGTGAGAGAAAAGATTCAATTGTGTGTGAGTGTAACCAGTGGACTTCTGGAGAGGAAACACTGGCCACTGGTTTATTTGATTAACCCAGTAAACAGAAGCTCCATGTCAAATCTGCTGTCCCCCTCCAGATTTGACAAAATAAATAAACACATAAATCAAGATCTAACTTTAAGACGGCAGCATCACTCACAGAACAACCATTTTTCAGAGCCTGGTCATTTGTAATGACATTATGAGGGATACAAATATTAACAGAGGAGTATCATAATTAACATCATAGATCAGGGTAATATTAGAGCTGAAATAAATGAGGCTCACTTCTCCAGCTGAAGGAGGATCAATATGAAATTATTTTAAGCTCTGCAGAAGGAGGAATTAATGTCAGAAAGGGTCTGAACTTCAACGCTTCAAACACAAATAAACTCTAATTACATCCATTTTGTTCAACAAGACAGGAAAAGAAAAAAAGCACTTATGACCCCGTTATGTGTGTTTTACTGTGAGTAATGGTCTGTCCTGCCAGGGTTGGACTAAAGTGTCATGGCTGCATTGACTTCTCTCTTTTCCTTCAGTTTTGTGCCTCATTACAGTCCGCTCATTCTTCACAAGTCTAATAAAAGTGGCAAGGTGTTAAAAACAGCCGCCCCCTCTGCTTTATAAATATGTCTTTCCTATCTGTGAAGGGGAAGAAGTGAGAAGAAGGATTCAGATTAGGTTTAGCATCTGCCATGTTTTGCTCCTGACGTGTTTTTTATTCGAATCAATTTAGTTGAAGTTTCTCCAGCGTGTGGATCCCAAACTTCTAAGTCTACAAACTGTGACTGTGGTCCATAGCTATTATTGGGACAAAAGATGTCTGTTCAGCCTTTTCCACAGCTGCCCTCTGCTAGCACATGCACACACCCACCCATCTCCCATTTTTTCACAGCTGTATGTTCACAGGGTAAGTGGAGTTACTCAGGAGTCAGAGGTCCTGGCTTCTCTCAGATTAACACCATCAACGCCTGAGCCTTTTATACTGAAAATACAGCGTGCTCTGATGTTTATAGATGTGGCAAAACTCCTTATTCAAGGCTGTAGTGGCTTCTCAGCTTTACTTACTGAGAGGTCGTTCTCCTTGACAGAGCAGCGGTCTATTTTGGTAAAGGATTTTTAAATTCCCCTGGCAGCACTCTTGTTGCTTTTGGGATAAACAAAGAAGGAAAAACCAATGCAGTGCTGTTCATATCTCTTAGTTATCTTTGGCCCTCAAAGGAGACTTTTGCAGTAACCTTTTGCAGACGGGTTGGTAATTTCAGGACGAGAAAGGGAGGGTAATATAATTGTAATGTCGTCTCTGGGACGGGCGGAGAGGAGGAGGAGGAGGAGGAGGAGGAGCCCTCCCACACTGCTTCACCTTGGTTTTCTCAGTCACCTCAGCAGGAAACCATGGCTGTGGAGGCTTTTTCATTTGCAGTTTCTTCTATCTAAGCTTGGGTGAGTCAGTTCCCCCAGAATGCTGAGGGCAGTCCATTGACATCAGTCGTGGGGAATAGTTGTCAGTTGATTGTGAAAGAGGCTCTCTGTTCATTGAGCCCGAGGCTCCTCATTTAAACATGAGCTTCCTGGCAACCCGCGGGTGTCTGGATGCCTAAATAGGACAGTGGGGAAAGTGATCATTGGCGGAGTTTAATCTTGATAAAGGTAGGCTTTCACGCTGCTGCAGAGAGATCAGCAATCAGACTGTTCCCTCCTGTCCCACTTGGCTATTTCAAGCACAAAACAGGACAAAAGGGAGCGAGAGGAAACAGAAAAATAAGAGAGACATGCAGGAAGAGAAAAGCAGACCGATGGCACAATAGCATCAAACTAGCAATGTTCTGTCCTGTTTTTTTTATCAACGGCCACACAGATGGTTTGAGGAACCACTGAGTTGTTATGGACCGAGATAATGCCGTTTTAATAAAGGAGTTGGGTGAAGGACAAAAGGAAACAAAACATGAGGTAGTGAGTCAAATGCAAAGAAAACTCCATCCATGATTTTTTAATTTAGATAATATCGTATACATAATAAATGTGTACAATGGGTTTGAGGAACCACTGAGCATTTATGGAACGAGATAACACCATTATAAATAAGAGGGTTGGGTAAAGGATACGATACAATACAGAACAAAACATGAGTAGTGAGTTAGATGCAAAGTAAACTCCATCTGTGATTTTTTAATCTAACTCATGTCTCACACAAGGATGATGCTGATCAATTAATTTTCTAGCATCCCATCTCATAATCCAGTATGTGCAGTTTTGCTGTTTGTCCTCATAGTTCATTGAATATAAGATAAAACCAGAAAGGTAAAGGGAGGAGTGAGCCGTTAGAGGTATTATCAGTTTGTTTGAAATGGACTGTGAAACTGAAACTGCCACTGAGCGAGATGTGGAGTGGAAATATAGTACAGGGGTGGGATGTGGGATGTTAAACAAGTACATGACCCAGAATTAAAGACTACTTATTTGAATTTGACGTGAAAACAGGCTCATGTAAGAGGATGAAAGTAGGACTATGAATAGGAAATAAACGACCCAAAAATAACATGTAGCTTTAAAACCACACTGTTAAAACTGTGTTTTATAAGATCTTTTTATGATGTGCTATTTGTACGCAGGCAACATTGAATGAGCCAGACCAAAACAAAGACATTTTTTTATCATTAACATTAAGTATAACAAGTTAATTTAGCTTTAAACTTAAATATACACATTTCTACCCTCAACATGCAAGTCACATTGGCTAGTTAGCCAGCCAACAGACCAAGATGTGCATTTGTGTGTGTCTTGAAGGCCTTGCAAGCAGAATAAATGTATACGATGTGTACATTCCTGCCAATGCGGGTTTACACCGAGCTCTGAAAGTTCACTGAACAATTGATCAAACACCTGATTGTTTGGCACGCGGTTACATGGGGACATAAACAGAGAAGAATGAGGTTTTCTGTCAGTTGTTCAGTTTCGTTTCAGCCTGAAAAATACGAGGAAGATCTGTGATTTGTGATGTAGAGAGAGATAAATAAAGCTAAAGCATGCTTAGCTTTAGTTTCGGTTTTTACTCTGCTCTTGTTTCAACTCAGTAGGGCTCCAAAAAAATGAAATAACTGCACGATACTGTGACACGTTTTCTTTCTTCGACATTTATTGCTGTTTGAAAAAAATTGGTAAATTAAACTGTATAAATATGTAATAATAATAGTAGCTGTTTTATTTTTATAGTGCCTTAAAAAGGGTTCACAAAGTGCTTTAATATGCAAGCATAAATATACATAAGAACAACCAATGACCCAAAAATACAGAAGAATAAACAACATTTAAGAAAGGCTCAACAATGAAATAAAACAACTGTGAGAAAGAATCTAAAAACAACTCAAAGGAACAAATAACACGGAGGGTATATAGCCCCACTCCCACCTTGCTGCACTGTGTACCTGTTTTTACTACTTATTATGTGTAAATAAGAATATATATCTTTTTATATATACTTTTATTTATTTTACCTCCAGAAAGTGCAATATTACTCACCATGCTGCTATTTTACCCTTAGTTTTTATTGTTTTTATTTTTCCTGTATGTTAAATTAAACACCATCATGCTGTGATATGGAAGCCAAGCAACAACATTTCATGTTTTATTCTGTGCAATGACAAATAAAGGAAGTCCAAGTCTATACAATTAGATATCAATAATTATCTCTTTATATTTGTGAGCCAAAGTCGATGTTTGCACCACGATCCTCTTGAATCTTTAACAGCTCAGTTGAGAACAGGTGCCTTACCTCTGGCAGTAGAAGTGGGACGATTTAAAGGTTTACCTGAAGAAGCACGTTTGTGTGAATTCTGTGATTTACAGGTTGTTGAGGATGAATTTCATTTTGTTTTCAGTTGTCCCTTGTACGATGACTTAAGGAATGTCATTTTTGAATCAATTCTGTTAAAAAATCCTGATTTATTTTGTAAGGGTGAAGGTGAGATTTTGGGTTGGTTTTTGGATGTTTTTGTTTTGGCAAAATGTGTTGAAAAGGCTTGGCATATGCGGCAAAGTATTCTGTATCCTGTAGGATGAACTTTTCTGTTTTTCTTTCATTATTCTCATTGTTTGTGTCACGATTCTTAGTGGAGTTTTGTTGTTATTGTTGTTGTATATTATGTTGCGTGGCTGTCTTGGATACATTGTGTTATGAATCTGTTGATCAGTGTCTAATAAGCCCATGTGGGCTGGGCCCCAATTTTGGTGTATGACACTTAATAAAATTATCAAATCAAATCAAATTAACAGGCCCAAAAAGCATCACTGATATACTCAAAGTATGATCTGTTTTACTGCATCAAACAGCTTGGCCAAGAACATCCAGACCCCCCAAAATAAAGATGATTATACCGTAAATTCAGATTCTTGCTGTGTGTTTGTTGTGAATACTTTTACTGCAGTGTAGATACATTAGAGATTTATTATGCAGCCCTTGTGTGTGAGCAGTCGTATCTCCTGTAGCCAAAGTAACACCAGACAGCAGCCTGCTCTTCTGTTTCTTTTCTCTTCTTCTTTAACAATCTCGTACCAACACCAAGTTAGCATCAGCTGAAGCAAATTTATCTGAGGTTAGTGACCCTGTGGGCTTCACCCTGATTGGCTCTGTTTTTCCTGTATGCTGGGATATAAACTGAAACTTTTTTCCAAACTGTTTTTTGATCCGATGCACGTGTTTTACACCGACAAGACAGGCAGTTCACTGTGCAGCCTTAAGTCAGTCTCAGCGTCTTATTATTATCTGCCACACCTGACAGCTCGACAAAAGCTTCGATTACCCAGAAACATGACTCCACATGGATTTCAGAGTTGGTCCTGTTCTGTTGGGTGTGTGTTTTTTCAGTTGTTCTGTTGTATCTAAGGGCCTAGATAAACTATTTATGATGCTCTAGCAGTTTCATAACCTTCACATGTGCTTGTTGGTGCTCCCATTAGGAACAGAATGATAATATTCATAAAACATTTGCTTTTATTGGCTTGTGTTCATGTCGTTTGCTGTCCTTTTGGCTGGTTTGTTACATAAACTAAATGCACTCTTGACAGTGTTCATTGTGGTGTAGTTCAGTGGCCAGCCAGTTGTTGAACATAAGACTTCATGAGTGTTGTAAGCAGCTGAAGAGGCCTGTTGCTGTGATACCACAATGTAGCTACCCTGAAACTCACTCACTAGAGACCACAGGAATGTCCTCTTTCTCCCTATCTCTCTCTCTCTCTCTTTTTTTTTGCTTCAAACTTTCCCTCTGTTGGTTTCACTCGCTTTTTGTACACTTCCTTTCTGTCCGTTCTTGGCATGTGCAAGCAGAGCCCCCACAGCACTTTGCCTTTCCTGCCGTTCCCCTTTTTTCTCCCATGCACACTCATGCGGAGGGAGAGAGCAGACCCCGGCGTTGTGCACACAGACGTGACAATCTGTCACTGACACAGAGGCCAATGCAAACAATGGGAGCGATGCATGTGGCAAAATGAGAAAGCACAGAGGGGCAGTGAGACACCCCCCACCTCCTCTTTATGCAGTTTTTACTCCCTCACATACACATTAGCTCTCACATATAAATACATACACAAGGCTTTGTTGCCATGACAGCGAGTTCTCTTATTTGGGCACCGTGCCTTTCCCATGCAGAAACAGTTCATTAAAAAGCGTACCTGCCCTCCCCTGCTCCTAGTTAGCTGTCAGCCTGTGACTGCAGATTGATTTCCGTCTCCTGCAGTAAATGGAGAAGGATTGTGTTTACCGGCTCTTTTTGCACTCTGATTCAGCCCACAGAGGAAGTAGGCAGGTCCCAACGATGGACTTCACTTGATGTAGCATGGTCCCTGATAAACTCAGGAGCAATCAGAGATAGATTTGTGCAATTGTGTTTGCCTAATGGATAAATGCATGTGGTTGTAGCTGGCAGCTGTTGTTTCCCCCCCGTCTCATCAGGATTGTGGAGGAGGTTGTCTTAGTGACTAATGAACAGCACCCGGGTTTGCTGAGGTCACAGCAGAGGCCCTGAATATAAAGACAAGACTATATGTGTGTTTATTATTATTGTTTCTATTTTGGGTGTATCTTGTTGAGGCTCATCCATCTAATCCATCTCTCAATATGTCATCTCTCCACAGGCCATGCTAATGAGGCAGCAGGACAGACTGGAGGGTCGTGTTCAGAACATCGATGAGCAGCTCACCAAGCTGGAGTCAGACAAGACGCTGATGAAGGTACAGTGAGACACACACACACACACTCACCGCGTGTGTACTCACAGAAACACTGTTCAGACCATTAGTAGCGCCAGTCCCTTATTTCTTTGTCATCATGTGGGGTTTCAGGCTTTAATTTTTGTGTCCACTTGACTGTAATAATAGGACTCTGCACTTTTTGTTCACCGTTTGAAAATGAAGAGAAAATGTAATTAAGCTCGAGGTTTGAATGGCTAGAAGAGCATTTGCCTGAAAAACGCATTTAACAAATGACTTTCCAACTTCACCTCTGAACAAGAAAAGCACTGATTCCACAAAATAACACCAGAAATATGCATATAAAATCGAATATGCATAATTTAATATGCAGAACTGGAAAACACAATTCATTATTGTGTGTTGAAGCATAATATATGTTTTTTTTTATTTTAATCCCAGGTTTTTATTCGTTTTCTGCTGGAAGGTGTTAATGGTAATTTATGTAGATTAGATGCTTATGCTAAGAATTGCTGAAACATTTGGTGAAAAAAAAAAAAGAGGCAGAGTTGTTTGTCAAAATTGGTGCTTGAGCTGTTTTCAAACGGCACTTTTGGAGACACAAAGATACTCAAACTTTAAAGACTGAACGTACAAACAAACAAAAAAAACCTCCTGATATGAAGTAAATTAATTTTTGCAATGAATTTTTTGCCCTTTTAACTTATTTGTTGCCCTTCACATAAGCGTAGGAGACCATAATAAAAGCTGCAGTGTTCACAACATGATGGCAGATTAGACCTATCCAATGAAGACAGTTGTTGTCTGAGTTTTTACCAGATTTTACTGATAGGTTGGTTGGAAAATTTCTGGATAAATTCAGTGTAAATCTTGTTACAGCCCACCAGGAGTTTTGTGAGTCTACATCTCCACGTTTTCTAAAAACTCGATTTGTTGCCCTTCCGCAGGATGCAGTGTCCGACCTCAAGGAGCGTGTAAGAGCCCAGTATAAGAGGATGCATGCGCTGCTAGAAGCGAACCAGGCGGAGACGGTGCAGATGCTGGAGAGCACTTTCACTGCGTACGTGAGGAAGAACTCCCAGCAGGTGCTGCAGCTCAACGAGAAGCGCCAGGATGCAGAAAAACTCCTGAGCTCGGTGCAAACGTTATTCCAAAGAGCGGACAGTGTCAACTTCATGAAGGTGTGAATGTTTTTCTACTTTTGCATTCACTTCAGTTCAGCTTAACAAACACCTAATTGACTGAGGACATTTACGCAGGTACACAGTATTAATGACGTCTGCTTGTCTTGTTTTTCAGAACACAAAACCTTACCAGCTGCTAATGGACAGGTACGTTTCTCTATTTCTATTCCTACTCTCTTAACTTCTGATGATTAGCTCTAACCTTTGCAATTTACTTAAATCGTGGCAAGACTACAACTAGTATTAGGTTGTTCATCAAGACTAAGGCCCGGACTACACGTATATAGATATTTATTTATCAGGATATTTTTGTACTCCCGTCTAAATAAATGTATCTGTCCACACGTGTTAGTTCTCAAAAATATCTGCGTCCACACGTAGCCTTCAAACTCAATCCTATCTGGTGCCGCTTAAAAAAATTCAGGAACAAAGCTACCTGATTGGCCGATGAATCGGAAGTTTAGCTTCCATTCATCTGCAGGCACAGCCCCTCTAAAGGTGTTGTCCCACCACTTGCTGGTCCGACTGGGTTTGACCCAAAACTTACGCTTGTTGCGAACTTTATAACGCCTAACGTTAACGTTACGATTGCTCTCCAATAAAAGTATTGGGCGCAGCAGACGTCTCTGTGAGCTGGCTGACTGGTGGATGTAATTGTATAAAACAAGGTTCGCTTGCAAGGCTGAAATTAGCCCCAAAAGGGCAAAACTAATGTAAAGAATACCCTGTATGTCCGCCATCATTGTTGTTGTTTTTCTTTTTAATTCTCATGCGCGAGCTGCGGTTTGACGTCATTGATCCGTAAAAGTTCAACCACACAATATCCATTCATACAGATATTTTTTTATTTCTTCACTTGTTTTTTCAGATTCAGATTTATCCGATTTGAGTTTTCCAAACTCCAGTTTTGGTGTGGTAGGGAGGCCTAATTGTACATAAATATGTACGGTTTGAAATATATCCGCATTCGTGTAGTTGGGGCCTTAGCGCTTTGAGATTTTCAGACTTAACATGGTTTGTTTTTCATCTCCCTGCAAAAGTATTCTCTGAGGTTTAAAAGCCAAAGACTTGCCAGATAAAAAAATTATCTTTTATAGCCTCAAACCCCCGGGAAGTACTGAGAAATATGCAGAGTACAGCGCTTGCTACATCTGTGCTCATTATTCATCTGACCTTTGCTTATGTTAAAAGAGGGCTTTATACTAAAATGTTAGAATATTCAAGTTTTACGTCATTTGGCAAGAAAAGACTTCTGATCAAATAAAAGAAAAGTGCAGAAATCATCAACCAAAGGAGCAAAAGGCTTGTTGAATTTGATCTGCGTGATTCTCATGGCGTCAGACTCTAAGGGTTGTCAAAAGTATCGATACTGTTATAGTTTTTAATACCGCAGGTTTTAAGGGGACGGTCTCAGTGCAATAGAAATGTCCAATTAGCAGAGAAATGGGACTCTACTATCAATCAATCAATCAATCTTTTTCTATATAGTGGCAATAATGATAACGTTATCCCAAGATGACCAACAAAAAAGGTGGTCCAGACAGTACTATACAGCACAATATCAGACCCACTCCCATCCAGTCTTAATCTACCATGAGTGAAACACTGCAGCATTTAGCCAGATACAGTGGAGCGGAGAGACGTCCTCTAAACAAGCAGAAACCTGGAGTAGAACCAGACTCATGTTAGACAGTCATCTACCGCAGCTGCATTCGGTTCAGAGAGGGAATAGAGGGAGATTCAGGTTCATGACAAGATGGATTGTGGCTTTTTAATTCTGTGAATAAAAAATCTTGACATGATGCCACTAATTGCTATAAACAGTAGGCTGATCATTCAAAGCAAGAATCTAGTTTCTTTTCTGTTGGTGTGAGTGTTGGTTTTTTCAGTATCATATCAACGTTTGAATTCTGGTAGTTTGACAATCCTGTCTTTTTTTGTTTTAGGTCAAACTCGCACCTAACTAGTGCCATCCCTCCTCTCAGAGTGGGTCAACTTAACTCTCATCATTTAATATCTGAACTCTCAACAAGGGAAAAGAACCTGCGTAAAGTGTTGGAAGGTAGGAACAATGTCCGCGATTAAACACAACTTCTGACGTACATTTCTCTGGTGGTGACCGTTTTGGGGATGATCTGTTTCCTTCCTCAGAACCGTTAAATGAGGCGTCCATTCTCGAGGTTGTCCCGTCTCACAGCAGCTCTTCAGGCTCCCACACAGGGGCGAGTTCAGGACTACAGAAGAGGAAGTACAGCATGGCTTTCCTGGAGAATAATTCATCAAACTCCACCTCCCAGGATCCTCCGCAGTTGCTCTACAGCAGCAAAAAACCCTTCCTGACGGAGCAGAGCCATCGAGCATCATCCATGTACTCCTCTGAAGGCCTCCAACAGAATCCTCACTCTGGCCCCGGACACAGCAGACTCCTTGACTCTTCAGCCCATCACATGGTGGGTCTAGGGTCCAGCGCTAGCCACCACTCAGGGACCATATTCCCCCCCTCACATTTTCCAAGTGGAGGTGCCTCTCAACAAGCCATGTATGAAGGCAGGAAAGTTCTCATGTGCACTCTGAATAACTGCTGCTGCTCCAGGACCCCTGCCGCTGCTCGTGCCCGACCTCCATACCCAGCTTCAGACTCCTTCCCCTCCATGACCTCTCAGGAGTTTCCCCATGCAGCGCTACCCGCCAGCCAGCCCCTGCAGCATTTCCCCATGAGGGGGCTGATGGAGGCCTCGCAAACGGCCAGGCACCCTGACTTCTACGGGCTGTACGGCCAGTCTTCAACCAAGCATTACGGGACCAAGTAATCCAGAATCAGCGTTCGTTCTGCATCCTTAAATCAGAATTTGCATCAGGATTGTCATGGTTGCTTTCTGTTTTAGCTCAGAGATCTGTTCTCAATTTTCCATCACTCAATATAATCATGTCCATCCTACATCCGTCTGACCACATTTTTGGGAAACCACGCTGCATTGACCTCCTGAGTCACGGTGACAATAGGAAAGCTCTAGTTTGTATTTTCATTTATTTTCCGTTTCGAATCAACTGGAAGTGCTAATGTGAATCATAGTCTTAAATACATCAAGCAGAGAACTAAAGAACCAACATATCCTTCATTACGAGTCCTCGTTCTGGGACTCCAGAGACTTTAGTGCCTAAAAAGACTGTTAACACTCTCTTGTTGTACTTGCAAGTTCCTAGCTCTTGATTATTTCCTGTTTGCGGCTGAAAGCATGCAGGGAGCCTCTCCATGCACTCCAAAAGTCCACGTGGCTTTAGAAACACACTGGACTACAAGCGCTTGTCAGGTTTTTCATGAGTTTTTATACAAGATTATGAATAAACCAAAACCAGTGGAAAAAATGAATAAAACATCAATTTAATTTACCTTTGTGTGTTTTGAAAGCGTTGATTTACATCTATAAAACATGGTCTCGGTGACAGAAGCCACTTTTAAAGCTCAGTGGTGCCAGTATGTTGGAGGAAGGGAGGAAAATGTGCCTTTTGTGCTTTTAGCTCTAATTCGATAACACGAGGGGTGAGAGAGAGTCCTTCTGCCTCTAAAGAGACTTTTATTCAGCTCTTTCTTAAAGGTATTAAAGGGATATTCCGGCGAAAAATTAATTTAGGGTCAAACACACCATAACACCGAGGTAGACACCCCCTCAAGAGATGAATGTTGCCGACCGCTTGCTTCTCTAGTTATACCAACTTTAGTAAGAAGAAGAAAGAGAAGAACTTTGTTAATCCCCGAAAGGAAATTCAATTGTCTGTTGTCTCCAAAAGTTGTCTACTATTTACACAAGAGTTAGAAAGTCTGATGGTATAGCAATACTAAACACAACTCACCTACTCTCTTCCAGCAGCTACTTGTCTGTAGTGAGACCTCAGGCCAGTCCATTACAGACTACAGCGGGGTGCCACAGCTCGAGGAAGAACATTTATGATCATTTCTTTATCATTTCCTTGAAGTAATAATCACCATCAGGTCTCGCTACAAACAAGCGGCTGCTGGAAGAGAGTAGGTGAGTTGTGTTTAGTCTCTTTGCTAAAGAAATCAGGCAAAGTTAAAAAGATGTTTGATGGCTAGTACTATGGCTGGGACCCTTTATGTACTGTTGATGAAGTTAGGTGCTGTTCTGAGCATTATTTGTGGCTATAGAGTGGCGTTTTGGTTGAGGTTTGTTTATGGCTCCTCAGACCGCTGTGTATTGCTATCCTGCGGTCGTTACTAAAGTTGGTATAACTAGAGAAGCAAGCGGTCGGCAACATTCATCTCTCGAGGGGATGTCTAACTCGGTGTTACGGTGTGTTTAACCCTAGCTTAATTTTACCCCAGAATATCCCTTTAAAGTACAGATAGGGCTAAAAGGTAACGCTCAGTCTACTAGTGGTTGGGGTTCTTGACAGCAAAGCAACTGAGTTTAGAACAGTTATTTCTTAGCTGATCTGAGTTTTTAGATTACACAGAGAAATGCAGAATCTGTACCACAGGGTCTGGATTTTCAGCATGGGCAGTGTTCAGGTTCCTGTGTACGGTATGTTTGTAGTCTGATTAGTATTGACCAGTCCTGATTCAGCAGTCTTTGGTGAAAACAAGGTTTCCGGCGACAGCATCACCCACTGTCAGTCATATCAGCCCCCCCATAATAATGCCTGAACCTAAAGAGGAACTTTTCAACACAGAGGTTAAAGGGATTTTCTTGGTTTTTAGAGCCGGCCTCAAGTGGACACTAAGGGAACTGCAGGTTTTTAGCACATCTGCATCAGCTTCTTTTGCAGCATAGGAGGTCAGGGCTGAGTTTTCTTCATGGTTTTATGTTTTGAAACTCAGGCGCACATTTGTTTTTTCTTTTTCGACTATAGAGGAGGTCTGTTTGTTTGAAGAGGCACAACGTGTGATTTGTTTAGGTGCAGAGGTTTTACAGTTTTGAGTCACTGGGTTACAATGAAATGTCACAGCTGCCTCTGGAAAAAAAGAAAAAAGAAAAGAAAAACCATTATAACAGTGCATCTCACCCACAGTCTATTCATAGGTTAAAGCTTGTACATGGAAAAATACGCCCAGCATGACCACATGTTTGAGATCTACAGTATTCAGAGGAGCTGCGAGCACGGTGGAGGAGGTTTGGACAATGATTTGCTGCAGACCGGCACACAGCAGGCCCATTATCTGCCAATTTAGGACAGTTCACTTCCTTGTCAACATCCTGGTCTCGGGCAAAACCTCCGTCTCATCCCTCTTTGTCTCATTATTGGAGCTTGTTGTCGAGTTAGGTCAGAGAATGGGAATAACTGATGAGCAGAACCTCCCTCCCCTCCTAGACTCTCTCTCGGGGTATCATTTGCGGGGGCTGGATGCAGAGGAGGAGGAGGAGGATGGGGTGAGGGCGGTGGATGATATAAGCGCAGAGTTTTAATGAGGACTGGGACAGCAGAGTCATCTACTTATCTGTCACTCATACTCCTTTCATCGCTCCCCTCCCCCCCAGCGAGATGGTGAGATAGACAGAGTGAGCAGAGGGGCGGAGAGAAGGGCGGAGAGGGAGGGGAATGGTTAGAGAGGGTTAGGCAAGAGGCACATCACTTATTTATTTATGGTTATAAAATGTTCTGCCCTTCTGTTCTGTTCCCCTCTCTTTTCATGCAGTCGTTTTTTTTTCTCCTCTTAATTCAAATTCAAGAGGGTGAATACAGAAATTTCTGATATCCTTTTCAAAGGACCCGGCCCCCTTTAGCATCGAGCACAGGAGGAAGAGGAGGAGGAGGAGCTGAGGTTTAGTTACAGTGTGGCATGAATCTGACATTTATTGTGTGCGCCTGTGTGCCTGTGTGTATGTGTGCGTGCAAGTGTGTGTGTGTGTAAGCCTATTAGCATTCCCCTTGAGCCTGGTTCCTTCTGTGTGTGTGTTATTAATAAAACATGCAGTAGATATCCTGAAGGAGGCCATACCATTAATTTAATCCATATGAATGATTGCATTCATAGCTGCATGTTTTTGTCCATAAACCGAGTCACATTAAGCCGCAAAAACCATCAAGTTAAAGAGTAAAATCAGAGAGCACTTTGGATTCCAGGACAGTAAACATTTCTGGAGTCAGTATTTTGCAGGATATCTTCAGTAAATATTTCATTTTTAATCCTATTTTTTTCTAAGAGTCAAAAATGTGTTCACTGCAAAACAGAAAAGCCGTCTAAAAACCCACTTTTACTCCTTGGCTTTTGGCCCAGCATGAGACGGCATTTGTTTTATTGCTTTTTATTATATTTTAAAACAACTATTTATTGTTTTTTTTATTATGTTATTATGTACAGCGCGCTCTATAAATAAAGTTGAGTTGAGATTTAAAAAAATAGAAAAATTAAAGCTCCTGTGAGAAGTTTTCAACTTATTATGAAATAGATTGAAATTAGTGCAGATGCCTCCCAGCAAACAAGACCTGCAGGAAGAAGTCTGAGTATTTCTAAATATTAATTTTCAGTGACTAAAATCACTACAAGGGGGTCGGTGTCACATGACAAAAACATTGCACTGCTTAAACAAACCTCATAAACTACACTCAGTCTTATGTTTGCTGTTTAAAGAAAGCCGGATGACATTTTTGTCACATGTTCAGATTAAAAGCAAAGCGATAAAAAGTCCTCTTTTGTCTGCAGGTGGCGCCAAAATCAACACAAACTAAAGTTCCTTATAGAAGCTTTTATTAAACACTCAACCCAGTCTGACACACTTTACATGACACTCGAGAAAACTGAATTACTGCTGAACTCCGATTTAGACCGGACAACTGAAGGTCATGTAAACACCTTAGTCCGACTAGAATCAGAGTTTGAGAACTCCGATTAAGACACTCAGATAATGCGATTGGAATTGGATTTTCTCTACCGTGTAACCAGCATAGTCAGAGTATGATCGGACAATGCATGTGCGCAACGCCTCCGTAATCCAGAACAGAAACACCAGAGAAGAAGTGGCGCTATCATTTAAAGAACTTTTGCCTCAGAAGCGACTGCAACATGGCTGAAGCACCACAGAACGTCCACTTTTGGAACAACGAGGAGAGCGCCGTTATGCTTTCCATCCTGACAGAAATGGACATTTTAAAGTATATAGATGGTTGCAAAATGAGGAACAGAGACACCTTAAAAAAAGGTCTGGAAACAGCGCAGCTGAAGAGACCCATACCGCCCCCTAGTTTTGGGGAGGAGGACACGTTCACGTCAATAATTCGATTTTCTCAGCTGTATGTATACGCGGACAAGGGGAGAAGTTCGAAAAAAAAGAATTATGAGCTGAGTCTGATTAAGCTGTGCATGTAAACGTACTGAGTATTAGTTTGTTAAACATACAGATTGACAGCACATCTCCCCCAAAATTAGGCCAAAGTTTTGAGAGCTCCCTCTGGTGGCGGGTTGCAGTCCGCCTCCTCCACTCTAATGGATGGAAAAACAAAAAACTAAAGCACATATTAAAATAAGATGACATTTTCTCACATGCTTTCTGTCATCATAGCGATTCATTCATTCATTGTTAATTTTACACATAAGACCGGTCATAATTAGTTTGCAGATGTTCAAAAAGAGAGGATGTGATGCAGTAACTGACAGATCTGTCGACACACATGAGCTCCTGGAGAGTTTGCAGAGGAGGAACAGTGAGAAAAAATGCAACCAACCCTAACACAAGAGTTTTTTAGAGCTATGAGTATCCGCTTCAAACCAACACAAGAATCTAACTACGACATCCGTCTCATGGCTCCATCCGCCACATCGCTTTGGTTTCACCTGCGCAAAACATCAGCATCTATCGAGGTGTTGCTTTGGTTTCACATCTCACATTGGGCAGGCATCAAAGCACGCTGTACATTCAACATACAGCTCAGGCAGCGATACGAAACAATGAAGTCTTTACAAAAATCAATGTGTCATCATATCCGCTGCTTTAAATATGCAGAAATCAAGAAGTGGAAAAATAAAACCCTTAAAGCAATCACAGTTGTTTATAGATCATTTTACTGTTTAAAAGCTCTTTTATTGAACAATGCCAGTACTGACAACACTGCAGGTGTGCATGTGTGTGTGTGAGTGTGAGTGTGAGTGTGAGTGTGAGTGTGAGTGTGAGTGTGAGTGTGAGTGTGTGTGTGGGTGTGAGTGTGTGTTGGTTTGTGGTGCCTCATGTGCAGGTTGGGTTCAAGTCCAGTCCTGTCATATGAATGAATGTGTGCTCAGGTGTTCACGCACAATCAGTCAGTTACTGTGTGCTTCCTCATATATGTTAAAGTGTGTGTGTGTGTGTGTGTGTGTGTGTGTTCAGTTGGGTTACATAAAGGTTAGGGGTGTTGCACTCGACAGCTGTGCTCTGTTGTGGCAGGTGTGTCGAGGCTGTATATGTATGAGTACAACACGCCCCTGCCTGCAACAGGACGTGGGCCTGTTTGGTGTGTGTGTTCACTGTGTGTGTTCGGTGTGTGTGTGTGTTGGATGCATGGGGAACTGTCAGCTGTTGTGCAGCTGTTGTTTGTGTGTGTTAGCCACTGGGTTACAGTGAGCACTCTTTCTCTCTTTCGCACACGTTTCCTTCTCCGCTCTTATTAAAGAATATATTTATTTTATTCGTCTAATGTTTGTCGGGGGACAATTATGTAGCATTCAAACCACCACCGCAGCATTTCAGGGTCAGCTTATTTCCCATGACCGACCCCAGACGGCCTTTAAAATGCAATAAAAATGGACATAAAGAACGAAGAGACAGTACGGAATAAAAAAGGGAACGATAAAATCTACAAACTATAAAACAATAAAACAGCAAAACAGGAAGCGTGAGATTAAACATGTCGGCATGATTGAGCCCTCTTTTAAACTGCAGAGGTCTGATATTTCACCTTTTGATCCTCATAGACAGAAAAACGCTGTACAGGTGCAGAGAATACCAGAATATGTTTATGTCTGATAAATGTTGGTACTAGAGGTGTTTGCACTAACAACTTTGGAACATTTATCTCATGGACACAGAAGCTCCACAGCTCGAGCGTCCAGAGGAGATTTAATCGAAAAAAAAATACTTTAATTTAAAAAAAGGTGTTTGCAGTCATATAAAAAACAAACATTAGTTAATTTTCCATATTTTACGTTTGAAGGTCATAACTGTATATGTCGACGATGAAGGAGTTTAAGCTTGTATTAACACAGGAATCTAAACGGACTGTAAAAGCAGAGGATTATCAGGGACTGCACAGGTATTCTTCATGCTCAGGTGAAACACTTTATAGTGTCTTGTTTTTGCATGTCCTGTCGCAGATTCATGGTGGACGATATGTTTCACTGATAAAACTTGTGAAAACCTGTGCAAATAGGACAAGATTAAGCACTCTTCTTTGTCCATAAGGGTTGCAGAAATTGTCTGAGTAACTTAAAGCCTATCGACCTGCTATGTATAGATGACCTCATATACAGCTGAGAAAGAAATTAAAGAGTGTTTAAGAGGATATTTAAGCTGAGGGGACAAAGTGGAGATCAAGAGTGCATCAAATGCTGCATTTCTTCATGGAAATACAATCAGACGGAGATGCTGAAGCAGAAGAACTACCTCGTTTGAAGTGCAAAATGATTAATATAATGATTATTACTTCAAGGAAATGATAAAGAAATGATCCTAAATGTTCTTCCTTGAGCTCTGTCACCCCGCTGTAGACCGTAATGGACTGGCCCGAGGTCTTGCTACAAACAAGCAGCTGCTGGAAGAGAGTAGGTGAGTTGTGTTTAGTCTCTTTCCTAAAGAAATCAGGCAAAGCTTAAAAGATGTTTGGTATCTAGTACTATGGCTAAGACCCTATATGTCCTGTTGATGAAGTTAGGTGCTGTTCTGAGCATTATTTGTGGCTATAGAGTGGTGTTTTGGTTGAGGTTTGTTTATGCCCCCTCAGACCGCTGTGTATTGCTATCCTGCGGTCGTTACTAAAGTTGGTATAACTAGAGAAGCAAGTGGTCGGCAACATTCATCTCTGGAGGGGGTGTCTAACTCGGTGTTACATTGTGTTTGACCCTAAATTAATTTTACACCAGTATATCCCTTTCAAGTTTAAGTTTTTTAATGTCTCTGTCTCGATTTATTAAAGCACATAATCACTGAATGACTCCTTATATATCCTGAATATCACAGACTGATGATGTTCAGCCGCTGAGGAGTACTGCAGGGTGGAGTTTTTTCCACTCCAGCTCAGGCCTTTGATGGATATTATTGACAAAGTCCCAATACATGTTCACAGCTTATGGCTCACATAAACTCCCTGTCAGTTCAGTGCTGACGTGGCAGTTTTAAGTATTATAGTCTGCGGGTCGTACAGCATGTGTGGCTGTTAGTGCTGCAGGTCTAAGTACACAGAGCTGGCGGTAACAGTGACAGGATCATATACAACACAATGCACACAGAGCGGCTGTTCATCACGGAGGCTGAATGCTAACCTTCATCTGATAAGGCCTTTGAAATCTGTGCCAAAACTCAGATCCAGGAGAGACACACACACACGGTGACACACTCGCATACAGAAATACATCAAAGACACACAACTGTAGCCAGTGTTTACTGATCTCCAGGTTTATTTTTGCTCATAGAAACCATTGTACTATTATTCAGTCCTCTGTTGTGCTCCAGACGAACAACTTAAAAACCGTTTTTATGGGTTTAATATTCACACACACACATATAGAGGTTGTGTGTCCTTTGTATAGATGATTATTAAACATGTTTGAACCCAAATTTGAAGAGTATTTAGGAGCCACGTGAAGGAAAAACAGCTGTAACCGTTCAGGAGTAAGAGTACTTTGCGGTATGCTGTTGCCATGGTAACTTTTAAGCTTTAATGTGACAAATATGTGTTTCAAGATGTATGCTTGTCAAACTTTTAAATGTACCACGTTATAAAGTTAAAAATACAGATCAGGTGTGTCTTTTTTATGTCTCTCTTGGCTATTTACACTTTATTTGACAAGTTTAACAGATTTTCTTTGATGCCACTTTATTTTTCTGACAATAAAAGGTGACAAAGTGACTCCACTTAAGACTATAAGATATTTATGAACCATTTCATTGCGTAACTAAATGATTTATTTATGTTTTAGGAACATTATGAACAGTGAACATACCAGTTTAAACACAAATAAACGTTAATAAAAGACACGTAACAGTAAAAGTTTTGGTGTGAATCCCAATATAAGGGGGGACATGAGCTGCTTGGCGGAGGTCTGCGCTCTCCGAGTGCTTTTCTAGTTATCAATAAAACCACTTAAAGCTTCCTCTGCCTCCGCTGCCTGCTTTTGGGTCCCTTCAGGAAAACAAACCCTTACAAGCTCACATGTTTTAAGGTGAATAAGTGAATGAAACAGGCATGTCTGAATCATCTGCATTGTGCAAGCTTCTTTTAGCTTACATACTTTACACCGTGATTTGCAAAATTTATGATGTTTTTATTCTATTTTCTTCTTGTTTTAAGGAAAAACAATGTTCACATGCTGTCACTATGAATCATTTCCTCAGGAGGAGCATTCTCTCATTCCCCCCTAGTGCTAACAATGTCCAGCTCCAGCCCTGGTCTTGTACATCTACGTATATCAGAAAGGTGCATGGGGACTCAATTAATGAAAGCTCTTAAGTTTTAAACATTGCAACTCTGTCTCACCGGCTGACTAAACATGATCCCTCACTCAGTCACCAAAGATGATAAGTGATGACATGAGCTGATAAGTGGAAACAGTGATGATAAATACAAGATGTTCACGTCATACCACCCCTGCATGAGTCAGCGCCCCAGTTGGGTCATCCAACTGATGTCTGGACACACCTCTGCAAATACTGAATAATCCCCAGAAGTGGAAAGTACCTCTAATAAAGCAGGATTCCTCTCAAGAGGTTTTGTTTTCTTTTTAGATTAACAAATGCACATTTTTGAAGTAAGTTTCATGGTTTTTGAGAAACTTTGACTCTTTATTTCTCCTTCTTTGTGTCTGTGACTCTTTGGGTCATTAACTTATCTCATATCAGCTTCACATGACATATTAAGTGTCATGTTTGGACCGCAACGCAGGTCCGTACGCCTGTGCGGATAACTTCTGCTGTTTCTGCAAAGTTACTTTTTGTAAACTGAAACTGAAATAAACTTAACACAATTGTTGTCAGAGAGAATTCGAATCACATGAAGTAAAATAAAAAAAGGTTATTACCCGGCTCAGCTGTCTTTGTAGAGTCATGGTTCTAACAGCAGAAAAATCCCCTGCTCGTCCTCCCTCCTTCGGTTTACTGCTGCACCCCCTTTCTGTTTCATTTGTAGATTTTAAAATGACTGTACTTTCCAAAGTCTTCATAACTGGAATAAATGAAATGACTGGGTGGATTCCTACGTCTTTGACTGAACGCTGAAAAGAGAAATTAAAAGCCACCTGAGTGTATTCAGTCTGGGGTCAGAGTACAGATAATTTTGTAAAGTAAAAGAAAAAAAAAGTGCTGATTGAATCTTTTTAACAGGAGTGAAAGTGAAAAAATACAGATTTAGAAATGTACTCAGAATAAAAGGATAAAAAGTGTCCTTTGAGTGACTTTTAATAAACTTTTTGGAGACTCAAATCACTGAATCCCAGGTCTTATTTTTGAGAAATGAACTTAATAATCGTAGCTGTATGTGAAACTAAAACATGAAAACGTTAAAAGATAATCACTGAGTGCTTGATGCTTACAGATGTTCACAATGTAAGTGATGAAGTTAGAAGATAGTTAAAATGATCTGTCTTAAGTTGAGGTAAAAAGAGTTAAGAAAATGTTTTTAACTTCCTTTATGAACAATCGGAGCATTTCCTCCTTTTTAAACATAAATCTGTCCAGTTTTTGCTTTTTTCCTCTTACAGTGGCTTTAACAGAGCTCTTATCACTCAAACTGACTGAAACTGACATCATTGGCACTTAGTGAATCTGAATATCTGTTGCCACCCTGCACCAGCACAGAGAACTGCAGGACGGGTGCAGATGGACTGACAACACACCCCTGACAAGAACGGCACAAATGCAGATAGAATCACTCGGCCGGTATGAACAGGAAGTGTTTTGAACTGTGATATGTTGTTAACGCGCGCATGTGTGTGAGTGTGTGTGAGTGTGTTCGGCACCCGGCGCCACTGAAGAGCAGCTGTTCAGCACTGAGAAACCATGCAACTGTGTGCGCCACTGCTGAACCTCAGCTGAACACAAGTCATTTCAGGTGAGACAGAAGTCCACTCTGCACTTTAGCAGGGATTAAGTGGTTGTTTACAATTTAAAGGTACAGTGTGTAGTTTTTAGGGTTTGAATTGACCTTTTCTGGACCACATTCAGAAACTCATAATTTTGAATTAGCACTCTCCTCGCCTCTGAAATATATATCTGTGATGTTTTATAATCATACAATTTAAATTCGTTTCTCTTTTATGGACTTCTTCAGTTCTCAGCGACTTGTCTACATATGTATTTCTCTTAACGTACAGCAGTTCATTTAACTTATTCTCTTTTTAATTTTTATTCCTCAACATCTTATATATTTCAAGATATACAAAACCGTAATTCCAGCACTTACTTGTTTTTTATTATTATTATTTTTGTTTTAGCTCCAGAATTTGTTATTTAAGCACAGTAATAGGAAAGGGGGTGTTTGTGGTGTGTTTCCTTTGTATAATCTGTATAAAACTAATAAAATATTGTTGAGTAAAAAGGGTTTGAACTTGACAAATGGAGGATTGTTCTTATCATGCATCACAGGAGCTTCATGTTCTATAGGAAAAAAAACAAGGGTGAATTTCAGTGTAGAGTCTGAGAGTCTTTATTTTTGTAAACTGAGAGAATTTAAGGTAGTCTTTTGTTTATCTTAGTTGTTTATTCTTATATTTATACTTTTATAGTTTATTCTCATGCACCGTATAAGAGAGGACTGAAATTTCATCTGTGCTGTATGTTTAACATGTATAGCATATTTGACAATAAAGTTGACTTTGACTCTGATAGTTAAATATCCCGTGTCCACACACTCTACCTTTAAATAATGTGGTTCTTGAGATCAGTAGGGGAGAGTAGGGATGGTTGTGACACTTTCTGCATTTCTCTCAATTACAAAACAACTATTTTGGATGAAACTCATTACTCTCACATCTAATGACCAATAACTTTGAAAGCTGATCAGACATTGCTTAAAATATCCATTTGAGGTATTGAAACTGACCCAACTTCAGCAGCAGTTGCAACTCTTCTCAGGAAGTACTTCAAGGTCTAAAAATATATTAAATCAAACTTGCTTTCATTGTAGGACTTGTTGCAGCCGTCCCCTGTCTCCCCTACTTACTGTGGCGTTCTGATAGTGCTGCATTTCTCATCATCTCATCCTTTGCCAACAGTTTTAGTGTTAATTAATGAGCAACAAATGAGTGAGTCAGCCATATTTATGATGAGCCACCCTCTGGCAAAGATGAACTTTGGTTCTTTTGAAGTTACGCATAATTACTCTCACTGCACTTTATGGCGCTCTGTGGTTTGTGTTATTAATTGAAGCCCTTCCTGAAATTAAGAACGTCTCTCATTTGTCAAATCGGCAGTGACATTATCTAATATTATCTATATTAAAGCTCCTGTGAGGAGTTTTTGATTGGTTATGAAACGGACAGAAAAATTACATGTGCTGGAATTCAGGAAGCTGATTCAGAGTGAAACAGATGATGTAAGTATTAAGCTTTAACATTAAATTTAACACAGAGTGATCCCTCCTTCCCACTGACATTTCATTGAACACGCTTGTCTTTGTAACCTGCCAGATTGATGTTGCTTATCCTGCAGACACATGAGCGGCTCTGGACACGACTTTAACCTCCACACAGAGGTGAGGGTTTAATACAGCACACAGATGCTGCACCATAAAACTCTTCTACCTATAAAAATGGTGTAAAGGTTCACAAAACTCCCACTCAGCGCTCACTGGTCGGATGTGGTTTATGAGTCAGAAAATAAGAAGCAGAAGCACCTGCTCCAAGTCAAGGTGACATTAACTAGTGGAAGGAGGATTGTTGCACATTGATTCGATATCCGTCACATGACCCGCTCGGGGTTTGTCTCTGGTGATGTGTGATTTAATTATTCTCCAGGATAAATCTCACGCTGACACTGTCATGTCTGCTGAGGTTACTTTCCATCTTGTTTCCTACTGCATGGGATCACCTTGGTTGCTCAAAGGCACAGAGCGGCGGAGAAGGGAGGGGGCTGCAGTCACAGTGAAAGCAAACACCTGGGATGATCAAGGTGAAGCACATGAGCTGATCGCTACAGAATAATGTGATCAGATTAAAACAGCTAAGTATTGTACATGGAAATTTTAAGAACAGGACTGTTTCTATAGCCGCTTCGCTGACACGTCGGTTTCAGGTTTTAAAAGTTAGGATGCAAATCTCATCAGTCATGCTGCTGACGGTTGGTTTGCTTTTAAATATCTACATGGACTGGCACCAGAATACCTTACAAAGATGATTTTAATTTATGAACAAGGGCCGTCTCTTAGATACTCTCAGTCTTCTCTTTTAAAAGATTTGTGATGCTTCTTTTAGCTGCGATGCTCCAAAACTGTAGAACAAACTTCCAGAGGGTCTGAGACGAGCTGCAAATATAGAAATCTTTAAACGTAACCTAAAAACTCATCGACTTAGCCTGGCTTTTATGTACAGCTTCATTATTTTAACTACTATTATAATCTATTTATTTTTTTAGTATGACTTTTTACCTTATTTTATTAATTAAGTTTATATTTTATTGTCTGTTTTAGTCTATTTTAATAACTTTTATTTTTCTTGTCCTGATATAAAGCACTTATGATCATTTCTTCATGGAAATACAATCAGACCGAGAAGCTAAGGCAGAAGAACTACCGAGTATGCAGTGCAAAATGATTAATTTGGTGATTATTACTTTAAGGAAATAAAGTAATGATCATAGATGTTCTTCCTTGAGCTTTGTCACCCCACTGTAGTCCGTAATGGACTGGCCTGAAGTCTCGCTACAAACAAGCGGCTGCTGGAAGAGAGTAGGTGAGTTGTGTTTAGTCTCTTTGCTAAAGAAATTAGTCAAAGTTAAAAAGATGTTTGGTGGCTAGTACTATGGCTGTGACCCTATATGTCCTGTTGATGAAGTTAGGTGCTGTTCTGAGCATTATTTGTGGCTATAGAGTGGCGTTTTGGTTGAAGTTTGTTTATGGCTCCTCAGACCTCTGTGTATTGCTATCATGCGGTCGTTACTAAAGTTGGTATAACTAGAGAAGCAAGCGGTCATCAACGTTCATCTCTCGAGGGGGTGTCTAACTCTGTGTTACTGTGTGTTTGACCCTAAATTAATTTTACACTGGAATATCCCTTTAACCATTTTTATTTAGCTGGCTCTTCAATTTTGATCATTATTTGGTGAGCCATGTGACCTAATTTGAAAACTGATGTCCTTATTTGCTAAACTGTGGGCCACATTATGCTGGAGACTCTTTCTAACACTAATGTCTGTCAGCCCGAGCAAATTACAGCGTACAGACCGAAAAACTCTGCGCCAACATTTTCCCACAGTTCAAGAAGAGTTCTCTTAAAAAGTAGCAAAAATATCTGATACTCTTTTGTCCACATGGCTCACCACATCAACAAACAGGCACCAGTTTAGTCTGGAAGTTAAAACGGTGCGCTGCATGTACAGAAGATAGAGTCCATGAGGAGGTCAGCGCTCCCCCTCCTCTCCCTCTGTGTCTTACTCTCTTTGGCTCAGACACAAGCATTTCCTGACTGAAATACAGACTTTTCACTAACTGCAACACAAAAAAAACCCAGAATTTTTATATTACATTATAAAATTTTTAGAAGTTGCTTTTTTTTAGCCCATCAGACAGAACTTTAAACCACCCTAGCTTTGGTCGCACCAATTTCTGTTTTGATTTCGCTCTTTTTGTTACCTCCGCCAAGGAGGTTATGTTTTCGGTAGCATTGGTTTGTTTGTTTGTTTGTCTGTTAGCAAATTTTCACCAGAGGTGCGTCTCAGCCCCAGGAGGATCCCATTTAATTTTAGTGGTGATCCGGACAAAGTTCTGGATACTGTGATCCAGAACACACAAAAATAAGGGTGTCGTTGGAATTTTCAATGCTGAAAGATAACCAATGGGCGGCACAGTGGTGTAGTGGTTAGCACTGTCGCCTCACAGCAAGAAGGTCCTGGGTTCGAATCCGGGTCAGGGCATTTTTTGTTTTAGGAACATTATGAACAGTGAACATACCAGTTTAAACACAAATAAAAGTTAATAAAAGACACGTAACAGTAAAAGTTTTGGTGTGAACCACAATATAAGGGGGGACATGAGCTGCTTGGCGGAGGTCTGCGCTCTCTGAGTGCTTTTTCTAGTTTTGTATGATGCTAGGCTGCTGTCGAACAGGATGTGTTAACAGAGAGCTGTAAATAACGATTTATTGTGACATCTTTATTGAACTGTTCTCTTTACTGTGTGCTTTAAAAAAGGCACTACGTCCCGTGTGGCCTTGCAGATACAAAAACTGTCCTTATTTAATTTTAATTGGATTAAAATTTTACATTCAGGATCAACTTGAAGAAAAAAAAAGAAAAGAAGCAATCATTTTTGGGATGTGTTCAACTTTTAAGTACAAAATCTTCACGTGTATGATTGACATTTCACATAGAAAACCAGTTTTAGAACTACAAACCAGAAGTTGTGATCAATCTGTGCACTGAGAACATTTAATAAAACTGTATGCATGTAAATAATCTGAGCACCAGTCAGCTGGAATCACAGTTCACCTAGAAACCCACACACACACACACACACACACTCACACACGCACTCAAGCAAACACTGAATTTGATTACACCGTCTTTAAACATACATGAATCTTCTGGTAAAAGAGGTTTCTCCATCACTGGTGCAGTTGGAAGTGTTGACTTAAAATGCCAGGTAGCAAAAACAGTTCTTTGAGTGAAGCTCTTAGTCACAGATCGTTAAACTGTGGTGAACAGTGGTGAACTGATGAGTGAGGAGGCGACAATTTCAAAGTGAAAAACGTCCGTCTGGTACAAAACCCCTCATATTACCCGACACACCGTAGCAGAGGAATGAGGCAGGTCCAAAAAGCCATCAGTGACCTCTCCACCTACTGCTTCAGCTTCTTCTTGGCCGGTTTAATAGGGGTGATCTCTTCCTCGTCCTCCTCTTCCTCATCAAAATCGTCGTCGTCAGACAGGTCAGACTCTTCCACCTGTGAGGCTGCAGGATTAGAGAGGATAATGTAAAAGCACATCTCATATTGAATCCTGATATTGGATCATTTAAAGGCCAGAAAGGTTCTGTTGATTTAATCTGTGCTCTTCGTTGACCTCATGCTCGCCGAGTTTGATGCAGAGTCACACACTCATTACAGAGCTGAAGGACGGGTCTGACGCTGAGTTGGGATACATTTGTATTTCAGAGATGTTTGAGGATAACCGACGGCTGATTTTTAAAACTTTAACTTAAATATATCGAAAAAAAAAAAAAAGGAGCAAAGGTCTTCGGCTTTCTAAAAGGAGATTTACGACATTTTCTCGCCTGATAATGACTAAAACTTTTATAAAATTCAAGAAAAACTGAAGAAAATGAACATATATTTTAAAACCTGATGGATTTACCTTTTCATTTCATTTATTCTTTATTTCATTCCTTAAAAAATAAAAAGAAACAATATAATTTAAATACAAATGTTCTCCTATCTGGAATGAAAGGGAGCAGAAAGAAGACTAATCTTATTTTATCTGCCCCTTTATCCCCAGAAATCAATTTAAAAAGAACAAACTTATAATAATAAAAAAAAAATAAAAAAAGCAACAACAGCATAAACAAAACACAACAAAAAAATATATAATGAAATAAAAATATAGCTGCTGGCCACCACAGACAGTCATTTACCATTTAGTTCCCAAGTTACAATTCAGTTAATGCCACTAAAACAATTAATCTTTTAAATGTAATGTTTGACTTTGATTCTTTGATGTCTTTTTTCAGATTTATCCACAAACTGGTTCCTTTTACAGAAATACAACGCTCCATCAATTTAGTCCTGAATCTTGTTTTTTTTAAAGATCTCTGTTCCTTTTTACAAATATAAGCGAGCTATTCTTTCAGTGCAGTTGATTGACTCAAATTAAACATTTAGTTCCAAAAGCACACTGTTTGTTAAGCAGCTGCTGTAATTGTCCACTTGAAAGCCAAAATAATTCAATCATCTAAATGTATTCCCTTCAATATTCACAGACAGTTCATTCAAAATAGACTTCTTTTTAATATTTACCTATGAGGTGTAACCCACTAATAGTAACTGGTCCTGTCCCGGACTTGAGCCGGATGGTCACCGGGGCTTTCAGTTCAAACTCTCCCAGACTCACCTGAAAAAAGAAAGTTCAAAACATGAGCTACACACTGAGAGTAAAAAACATTACACACCTTTATATCCAGGTGAAATATAATAGGTATAACTGTGTGGAAAACATGATTGAAATATAAGTACTGATCTAACTCTCAAGGGGGTGTCTAACTCTGCGTTGCAGTGAAATTGACCCTAAATTAATTTTACACGGGAATATCCCTTCAACGGTGATTTCAGGTCTCAAAAATATCACTCAGGCTCCTAATGGTCTTTTTTTTGGCATTTAAACGGTCTTTTAAAGGCATTAGTGACATGATTTTTCTTAAAATGCACCCAATAACTAAACTTTCACTGAAATTGATACAAAGTTAAGTATGAATACTCGAAATCCTCTATCCGATGTGGTATAAATCCCCCCTGAAATGAAAATGGTCAAAATGATCCCCTTTCTAAAACGGTCATCCTAACTTTCTATCCCTTCAGCCATTTTTGTCAATGAATGTGGAAATATTACTATTTCAATATTAGAAATATTGCTGCAATTTCAATGTTTAGCGGTGTCAAAGTGGTCACATGATGTAAGTAAAATTAATTCCCTTGTTGTTTGAGAAGAATCCCTAAAAAATTTATGCTCCACTGATTTGTGTAAAAACTAAAATAGCAAAACTTACAGGGTTTCGAAGGGTAAATGGTTTAAATGTGAATAAAGAAGTTTTTTTCCAAATTTATGGAATTGATAACGCTCTCTGGGAGGGTCTAGGGGGGTTAAATAGAGGGCTGCCTGTACCTTTCTTTCTTCCAGACTGGAGTTTGTTGTATGGAAGGTAAATGCCAAACTGACTTTTGTGCTGCTGCTGTGTTTATGTTTTTTTCTCTGGAGTTATAGTGAAAATCCTGCCTTGTTGGTATTTTCTTTTTTGCCTTGTACATTTTGTAAATAGTATTTTACCATTTTTTTGCACTGCACTTTGGAAGGTCGGCTGTAAATAAATCCTAACACCATCACCGTGTTTTCATGGACAGTTCAATCTGAGGGATGATATAAAATGATAATTATCTTAAAATGGGTGCATGGTCGGTTTCCCACTCTGTGCACAGTCATCAGAACAAAATATCTGTCCCAAACAATAAAATCCACCATCCCCCCCCCTGATTATTTTTCACACTCGACTCCTGACTGTCCTGCAGTATTTCCCTCCTCTGGATTCATCTCTCACAGGTGTACTTCATTACCCTGAATCCTAACAGACATCAGAGTAACATACCATGGGCAGACAGCTGATGTGGAGGTTGGCGATGGGCACAGAAATATTCTTCCCTTGGTGGTTCATGGCTGTAACCTCAACCACATTACTCTCCTCTTTGGCACCTTCTCCTAAACATATCTGCAGGAGTAAAACACAGACTTTAGAGTTATTATTTATGGAGATGTGACTTTAAAATCACATTTTTCAGTGACATCTGTTTTCATACTCTTTTCTTGTATTGACAGAGTCTGTGTCACAGTTGTACATACTGTTCTGAGTTCAAGGAAATGCTCCAGGTCCTCCTCCTCGTCCCCCTGGAAAGTGAAGAAAGGGACTTTGGAGGACAACTCTTGACCTGGAGGAAAGACCACGATATAAGTTCAAATATACGCTCCTGTGTTGGCTCAATCTTCATAAAATAAAGTGTTAGTGACAAACACACCATGCTTCACTGAGACCCACGTGTGAGCCCACAGAGCTGAGAATAAACTGTAACAAGAAACGGAATCTTACTGAACAGGAAACTCTCCAACTTTGATTGACCAGCCAGTCCGAGATCAGAGGATCCATCGTCGTTGAAAGACATGTTTTTAGGAGTCTCTGTTTTTAACTTTAATGGTCACGTTTTTCTGTCCTGATGAACCCACCGCGAAAAATAACACGAGCGGCGCAGCGATGACCATACACACACGTCATCAACCAGCGACGGGAAATCATTCCTTTCGGTGTTTGTTTTTTCTTAGTTTTTTAAACCCATTTTAACAAGTTTACATGTGTTTATGATTTAATGCTGACATATTTTCCCCCTGTAAATAATGTAACATTGTTTATCCTCCTTTGCCTTCTGTTTCATAAAGATTCACCGTACTAAAATGTTTTTAATTTTCTTGTATGTATTAACTACGGTGGCCGAGACGCTACTGCTGCAAAAAAAAAAAAAAAAAAAAAAAGAAAAAAAAAGTCAGAACAGAAGTTCCAATTGCAAAAAGAAACCGAATAAAAAAAAGAAACGGTACAGATTTTTTTTTTTTTTTTTAAAAAGCCACAATGAAAGTTAAACACAAAAAAGCCACAACGAAAGTTACATATGCAAATTTACAAAAAAAATAAATAAATAAAAAACATTTTCACTCTGTAAAGTGAATTTAGTCTGTCATAAGTTTTATTAAAATTGTGTTTAGACCAAAAAAGATCATTTTAAATGTGTTTTATACATCAATTGTGGTATCTATGAGCTACAACATGAGGTCAAAAACCTAACAAAAAGTCCACCATTTTATCTTAGAGGACTAATAAAGTCATCATAGTAGTTCAGGGGTAACTGAGAAAGTAAAGGAGTCTGATGAGAGGATCAGAGTTTCAGTTCAGATTGTTGAAATATTTGACTTTTTCTTTCCAAAATTACAGCTGTGAATGTTCTGAATCACTTATAGACATTCTCATGTTAAAATGTTTTTATTACAAAACAGCTTTTTAACATTTATATTCAATAATAATAATAATAAAAACATATTGTACCAGTTGAATAGTGTATAATAGATAAAAATACACATGAATGTGATGAAGTGATTGTTATTTAGGGAGAGCTGGGGTGGAGAGTTAAGTTGACCATAGGAGACCACTTTTTTTTTGTCATGCTATATTATCAAGACAGTTCTGTTTACACTCATTCTGTTGGTTTGCAGGGATGAACATCTTGAAATATATGCAGATACACTAGTTAGAGACAAAACTATGATTGACTCGATGTAGTGTTCTGAAATATGAAAAATGGCTCATCTTACCCCACTCTCCCCTATAGATATATGTTGAACTACTAACGCAATAACAACCATTGGCATGAAGACCATTTATTTTTCGAAGTATTTAATTTAGGAAATCAGCATACCAAAGTATTGAGTTTCTGTTTAGATTTTTGCAAGTAAAAAAAACTTTATTTGTTCCAAGATGTTTTCAAAGCAAAAAGATCCTCCTTTACTGAGTACAGACTCACTGCAACAGAAAGAACACAAAGCACCACAGTAACTTATTACTGTTTATTAATTTTTAATATTATGTATCTTACATATAAATTTTACATTGGTCAGTCACTTCAATGGCAACCCCACCCCCTTACACTTCCCCTTAACTCAGATAACCAAATTGTACACTATTGGAGCCCTTTCTCATACTCCCAGCCTGTTTTCTATCAAACCTGGTTGGCAGAGGAGAAAGCGCAATCATCAATAAACTGAAAAAATGAACCATTTAAAACGAGCGTGAGAATCCTGCAGTCTGTTGTAGGGATTCACGCCTCGCTGAGACACAGCCAGGCAGGATTCACTGTAACAAGGCCTGCGATTTCTTAACAGAACATGAGCCACAGCTTCAATAAAGATATACAAAACAATAACACTTTGTTTGACAGTGTTTACAGACTGTCAGCGTACTACAGTACTGTGCTCATAGAGGTGAGTAGCATGCTTCTTTCTCTATGCAGCACAAAGATGAGGTTATTCTAATGACCGCCACAGCAAATCCAGTACACCTCATGCACATTATGAATGTACACAGTATCAAAACATCACATTGGCAGGCAGCTACTGAAGAGCAACGGATGATCCTCATGTAACCGACAGAACACTCCTATTTATTAGTTTAAGTGTTTTGAAGTAACTACAAACATTTACAAAAACAAATGGGAAATGCATCAGAAATATGAAACATTCAATGGACACAGAGGAAAAGGCCGAGGAATTTTTGCTCCGAGCCCCACACAACAACAACGATGTGGGAGTCGGTACAACTTTGGTGGCAGAACAAACCTCTGACATACTGCTCACCGAGGCCCAACTGAGAAGACATTCATGTAAGAGTATGCAGTTTAAGGAGGGGAGCAAGCAAACACCAAAAAAATGAGTAATTTCTCATTGGAAAAGGAGGAAAGGATTACTTTTTTTTTTTTTTTTACTCTGAACAGAGTCCAGATAGCCGGTTTATCAGTCAGGTTTGGACCAGGTGATTTATAAAAAAACTGAGCAGCTTTCTGATTGTTTACGATTCAAAATCTTAAGGATTGATGTTCGGTTTTACTAGCCTACAGTATTCCAATGTGTTCTCGCTTAACAAGTCTGAGCTTTGGCTGGCATTGGCATACGACTTTAAGATTTTCTGTGCTGGGTTTGGGGTGCAAAAGGAGATGTGACGATTGACATCAGGCCACACCCCTGGAATTTCAACAACAAAAAGGCCAATGACCGAAATAAACCTTCACCTGCTGTATCAAACAGACGACGTACAAAACCTTTACATAGAAGACACTGGGGTCTGAGATATAAACCAAAAATCCAAAGGCAATGAACCAAAAGGCAATAAGCTTAAAGGGGACGTAAGCAGGTAAAAAAAGAAAGAAAAATGGCCACAAGCAAAGTGCTAAAAAAAAAATAGGCTGAGAAAAATGTCTGTAAACTTGTGGAAGCTTTTCTATTGCTCCAAACGTCTACTTTTACTTTAACAAATCCTAGAAGACGTCGTAGTTGAGACTAGGACTTTTCCGTTTCTGGTCTGAAAGGATCTCAGATGAAGATTCTCTCAAACTCAGAGAGCTACATTTTTCCACCCTTCATGTGTACACGCTAGAAACACGCCACTGAAAAGGCCTCTTTCTTCAAGTCTATTGCAGAGCGATACCCTAATGTGACGACAGAAGGCAAACTCTCACATAGCACCCTACATCCTGTAAAAAGATGTCCTACTTCTGTCGACAGCTGTGAGGTTTCTCTGTGTTACAGCTGGGAAAGGAGGCTGCACGGGTAGTAAGATACTACCTGAGATACAGGTTGTCCTCGTTTCACAGCTCTGCCGCCGTTTCGGATGCAGACACATTAGGGCATGCAGGCATTAACCATAGAACGGATATTGGATTCAATCAGAAAAAGGCTTCTAGAGTTATAGCTTCCTGTCTCCTGGAGGTATATGATCAGTGAGACCCCAGAAATCAATGCTGGAGCACCACTCTACCATTGTCTGGCTAAAATTTGACGACAGATCACTCCTCGAACCTTTCAGCTTCAGATCTGCTGAATCCAACAGCGCCACAACATCTAAGGGCAGCACGGGTAATCTGTGTGTGCGGTTGCTGTGCTTCTGTACACCAATCCTAAAAAGAGGTTTCTTTGGGTGAGCCCGGATGGTAATGAAGTATAAAATCATCATGGCGGCTCTTCTCGAGGTGGTAGTGAACACGTTTCAGCCACGCCGGCCCGCTCTTCCTCTTTCTGTCTGTCTGTCTCTTTGCTGCTGTAACAGGATGTTTTCCTCATAAGCTGCGTCCCATGATGATGACATCTTTGGGGAAGCCCTCCATTTTGGCCACTTCGAAGCACCCCAGCTTACTATAGAAGTCCAACATTCTCTTGTCAGTCTGACGAACCTTACAGAAAGCACCGTGGGAGCCTGGCAGTGACAGACAAAAACAGTCAAGGTTAAAAGAAAGGTCGAGGTTAATCTTCTACTGTGTCCCTGTCCAATGATCCAATGTTATCTAAATCAGTGTAGTCATTTATACTTAGTGAATTTTCTACCACTCCATATAACCAATACATGGTACGATCTTTCTTGAGTCATGACTAAAGCTGCCCGCTACCTACCGTTGGCCTTGAGAGAAGATAGGAGACATCCCATCATGCTTTTGGCCACGCTAGGGTCCGTGACCTTGCCGTGAATGTCGACTTTGATGAGAGAGGGGAAGTTGGAGAGGAAAGAGTCAGGAAGACCCTCCTCCTCTTCATGGAAACTCAGCATCATTTTCTACAAAGATCACACACACACACAGAGAGGGAAATTTAAAAACAAGCGACAGGAGCCGCAATCCTTTTTCCACCTGATACAGATTCTCGGAAAGTGAGGAGTTTCGATAAATGCCGTACCTCGGCCTCTGTGAGGTCCTTCTGATCGTCAGGTTTGTTGTATTTCTCCTGCATGAAAGGAATCCAGTTCAACTTGCATTTCTTGATGAAGGGCTTGACATCGACCGTACCCAGCGCGTAACCACAGATCCCTTCATCATCCTCCAACACAAACCCATAGTCTGAGCTCAGAGTCAGTAGTCCTCCTACTAACCTGTGAAAATAACAGGGAGGATTTTCAGAATATTGATTTGCTTTGCAGGGAAAAAAAACAAACAGGAATACACTGAACTAGGACAACTGTATGTTCTACCTGTCTCCTACAAGGTCAGGATCGTCATCAGAGAATGGGACATCCTCCAGTCCTTCACAGAACATTTCTTTGCAGATTTTATAAACTGCAGCCTGAAAAAGACGAAGAGAAACAGCCACTATTGAGACAAAACTTCAAGTTCCTGTAACTATGGATATAAAAACCATAAAAATGAGTCGAGGAATATTCGAGGCAAACAATCTGAAGCTTCTTTTACAGTCATCACGTTGACTTGCTGCTGCTGCTGCTGCTGCGCTGAGCAGCTGAGCAGAACATTGTGGCACATTGAGTGCAAAGCAATAACAGCTTTAAACTAGGCCAGTTCTTCTGGGATTACAAGCAACTGGCCAAGATCATTTCTGCAACCAAACATTAACAACATTTTGGTTGGAAATTTATCCTGCTTGATAACTGTACATAAAACACACGAGTGCTGGGATAAATCATTTCTGTGAACACAGGAAAGCTCTTACCTCATCTTTTGGAAAGTAGGGCCTTATTGAATATATTTTGGAGGTTGGCAGTGAAGGCGGAGGTTGGTAGAAAAGATCGTTTGCCCCATCTATTGGCAACAATCTCTGTGGGTATCAAGAGAAACAAATTCAGTTTCACTGAGACAAGGCGTTGTGCTGCTTTGGCTGACTGCCGCACGGTGCATTTGCTTCAGTTGAGCCACTATCAAACCAAAAGAAATGACAGGAGGAAGCAAAAACGCTCAAGTGTATCGAATATTGTAATAAAAACATATCAAGTGTAAACTAGCAGTTCTTGTTGGTCTGAAAGTGGCCAACGTGAGCCAACAGCACAGCTTTCTCTTTTTGGCTGAAGGAACATCGCGCCACAAGCACAAACACATTTGCTTTTTTTTCAGCTATAATAAACAAGGGTTGTATTTTGGTCTGACTAAGGTTTTACTGGCTGAAGGAGATGCTCCTTTCCCTTTTAAAAGACGCTGCAATATTTCGCTGCGCAGGACCCTCCTGTTGAGAAAAATAATGATGCTGGCGCAGAGAAAGAGAGAGAACTCCAGGAAAAAACCAAAGCGACAAAAATCAAACTGAGGCATTGAGTACTCTGTTGGTTGGCTTTTTCTTTCTGGGTTGTCATGTCCGTCATAATAATTTAGGCAGGGCAGCTGTGTTTGATCATGGAGTTTTCTCATTGCACACATGCTTGCGTTCTCGCTGGCGCTGCGGTGCTCGCGCGTGCGCTTGAAAAGGGCTGGCTTGGTAATTTGTGCGCTGTGCTTTTCCTGCAAAGAAATGAGATGTCATGAAAATAAAAACCTAGCCATGCTCGCTCGCGCCGCTTGCGCTAGGGAAAAGCAGCATCTCCTTGGGCAGTTGCTGAAAGAAATTCAAATTAAAATCACTCACAAAATGCCATGCCAAACACTGGCCTGCAACCTCTTTGGTCTTTTAGGTTTACGATCGCCCATTCACTTCCCACTGACTCATAATATCCCAAAGTAATACAGGGACAAGAACGTCTTTGGAAAACAAGTGGAGGGGATGGAACCAGAATGTTATGAAGCCCGGCTTAGAACAATCAGCTCACCTTCGACAGACCAAAGCCCTTCACACCTACGCATTTATTACCATTGCCTTCTTTGCTAACAACACTTTTTTTTCCCATTTGATTTCTGTAAATTTGGTGCATTAGATACCTGGAACTCTCCTGCTAGACCTCCCCTAAAGGCCCAGGGCTCTTGGTCTCCTCTAAGGAATTGTGCTGAGGACTGACTACGACACCCTGTTAGGAGCAGAGCCAAGCGGACAGCGTTACTACAGGATGGGGCTCTCTGACACAGATGGAGGGAGTAAAGGGATGAGGAGGAAGGGGTCATATGTATTTATTAGCATCGTCCATGAGAATTTATTTTATTTTGTTTGAAGTATTAAACCATTAAAAGAACCTACTTTGGAGTATACACGTTTTTCTTTAAATGGGGCTCAAGCAACTAAAGCTTACTTGTTTGTCCAAAATATTGAAGATGTTCAACTGTGTAAACATCAGATTGCGCTGCATTACACGGTTTCCAGGTCTTAAAAGAATGAGGACTTTGTGCAGTAGGACTCATGCTGACATGACGAACTCAGAGCAGTTTTGCCCCCTCGGTGTTCCAGTTGGGGTAATTTGAGTATAAAGCAGACGGCCTCGTAAATGTGATACCGACCATCCTGACTGAAACCCAGACTGTCTATAAACTACAGAGGTAAGCTTCAGCTGCTGTCACCCCACTGATCTGAGCACCCCGTGTGAAGTCACATTCTCTTCTTATCTGCCTCGTCACATGACTGAGGAGCGCGTGTCATCGAACCAGGGAGACAAAAATGAGAGGTTGAATAATCATTCCCAGGTTGAAGGGCCTCTCGGGTTACTCTCTTTAAAACTGCAATCAGACAGACTGACCCACGTTAAGTTACGCTGCAGGTACGGCACACAGGAAGTGTTTGCAGCAAAAGGAACACACAGGGCTGTTAAGAGTCTGCGTCCACAAGCGCTGATGCTAACCAAGTCTGACCGTGGTCGATGAGGAGCCCTGTCATGTGACCAGACAAATGCAGCGCGCGGGAGGGACACTTAATACTGCTTTACATTTGAGCCTCACCCTGACGCCTAAAACAATTCCTCTGATGAGCTGACACGACACAGCGTGCAGATGCACCCACGGGAAGGAACTCTGAACTTGTTGCTGGCTAAAATCACCCCCCCCCCCCCCTCAAATTTGAGTGGATTACTCCCTCTTAAACTGTACATTACGACCTCGTAGTCTTCACTTCGTCACTTAAAATCTCCACGTCATGTTTGTGAATGTGTGTACACAAATATACATGTGAACACTTTCTACAGCCAAGCGTAAATCCCCTTGAGTAGGTGCATCAGGCTGGTGTGAGCCATTTCTATAGGCCTACTGACAGAAACAAAAACATACGTTAGAGAAATGCTGCCAAAGAGAAAAAAATTTGGGAGTTAGCATTTTAAGATTCAAGGCTAAATCGCTGCGCAAAATGTGACTTCATCCTGAGGGCTGCTTCCTTTCCTCCAAATCAATCTTTAACATACATGAATCTAGTTTAAGAGGAGAAATTACGTAAATCCATTTCAAGCATGAGAACAGAAAGAGACAACGCCTGCACTGTGCATACATCGGCCACTGACGATCCAATAGCAGTAGAAACTTGTACTGTGGATTCTTCCATCTGTACACAGTGAAGGGAGAAAACAGTAGAAAATAGTTATTAGTAAGCGGTTTCAGAACAATAACCAGGGAGGTAGAGACTAAATGCCGGCTGCACCGCTTCCATATTCAGGGGAAATATCAGTGCTCAATGACACTGCAGATCTATATTCAGAGATCAGCACAATAACGCTGATAATAATACAATAATAATAATAATGATAATGATGGGGGGTTTAAATTGTTCTCTGTGGTGGTGGATGTAACAATTATCTGGTGCTTTACTAAACCAGAAGATGATTTCTGATGCGGCTCTGCCAGTGTGGGTATGCTGCCTGCTGTGTATTGTTGGCCAGAGTTCTCAGCTTTACCATAAAGCTGGCCGGGACAGAAACCTGCGAATGAAACTGGGTTACAGGGGGGGTAACCTACAGGCCATGCTGGTGCTTCAGACTGTTAGAAACAACAAGAAAAACCCTCCAAAAACTAGATGGAGGTGTTACCTCAAAGCCAAATGTCACTCCAACTGTATCATGGTGCACCATCTGAAAGATTGAATGATCGAGAAAGAAGAAGAAGAAGACGGTAGGAGAGAGTGAGAAGAGGAGGAGGAAGAATATCTGATAGAGGATGATGGACCGCACCCTGATACAAATTGTGCAGATTTTAACGGGGGCTGAAAATTCCCCACAGCCTCTTTTTAAGAGATTACTCAGCGAGGCAGCGACTCTAAACTTTTTATAATAGATTTACAGACGAGCTTTGACCACTTCTCCGTTTATGCACCAGAATGGCCTTCATCAGGCAGCCAGTCAACTTGCTCTCCAAGCTCGCGTGCGCGCTAGGGCATGGAGGAGGGGTGACGCAGGGGATGGGGACTTCCCCCCGGCTCCCGTCCCCACAGACAGAGAGATGGAAGCAAGTGTGTCTGTGTGGGAATGCAGCAGTGATGTTACTGGATACACAGCAAGCAGCAGTAACCCTGCTGGGATGATTGCCACAGGGACCCATTTTAGATACCGAGGAGATGGAGCGGCTTATTATGGATCAAACTGGTAGGATGTGAGCGGTGCAAGCGGCATTGAGTCGGATGTCAAAAAAAAAGGAAGAACAATGAACACGTTTAAAACACGAGCAGGTAAGCTAACTCTGTAGATGTGATGGATCTGGTCTAATCTGTGGTCAGATAATCAATAATAAACTTCAGTCAATAATCAGGGCCACTGCTTTGATTGTCACCCTGGAGACAGGTGATGGCCAAGATCTCTGTTTGTCTATGTGAAGTGATGATTATAATAAATCAGACTGCTTCGATGATTTAGCACGGGACTATGTAATCCATGCAGCTAAGTAATCGACCAATACAGCACTTTTTAACTTCTACTTTGTAATTACCTGAATGTGTGAGCCTCAAGTAAAGAGGTGACTGCGATATGATGACACTATTTCTATGCTACTTCATCCTAAGAGCGAGCGCCTTGTTGTTTAACTCGTACATACCGAGCCACTGGACAAAAGACTTGACCATAGAAATGATGCTCTTGATGTCCCAGATGTAAGGGTAGAGGTCGTAGAGGATGGTGCGGTTGGCTGAGTTGGACAGGCGAGTGAACATGTGGATGACCGAGCAGCACATCTCCTCAAACTTCTCCGCCCTTGTTTGCCATTCTTCAACCTGCAGACCAAGAAGTGACAGGAAATAAGAAAACAAGCAGGGAAAAGTAGAAATAAGTCCTTCTGGTTTGTCATTCTTTTTGGACAAAGGACATTTAATCATCGAAGGAAGAGAGCACAGGTTTCACTCAAGAGTTACAGTTAGTTTTAGTCAAACACTCCATTAATACTTTGACATTTTATCAGATTAAATTATCCTCTCAGAAAGGGCAGGTGGTTTTAGCAGGGAAGCTGTGGTTCATACAACACCAAAGATCAAGTACATTTTCACCAAAACACACCACCTAGTGGACAGTACGGGTAATACAAATCCACCATTTTGTTTTCAGAAACCAACACTTTCACAAAGTGAGTGTCTAAATACCAAAGTTCTCGGATAAATGTCTCTTTCATTCAACTCTAGTGTGTCTCTCGAGTTAGTCGGCCCACCTTTTCAGAGTCTTTCCTCTTGCAGTTCACACTGACGACGCTGCTGTTGGCCCTCAGCCAGTTGAACTCCTTCAGCATCTGCATGGCCATGTTCCCGTGTTCGTAAGGCAGGTAGAAGAGCTCTGCCAGCAGGCTCAGGTCCTCCAGGGTGAGGGGCTCTGCTGTGAACAGAGGCTTCTCGTTTGGTCCAGGCACGAACACCTCCTGTGGACATAAAACAGCAGTTAGCCGACTCTGCGGTGAATCAGCACTTGTTTTGCTTGGCTTTTTTGATGTAAGACGATTAAAGAGACTCACGTAGGTTTGGGGCACCTGCTTTAGCTGATCATCTGTCTGCATCGGGGCAATATCGCTCCCAGAGTCCTCCTGGATAGACTCTTCTGGGGACTTTGACTCTGCCAGACTCTCCTTGTCTGTATCCATGGGCTTTAGGTCCTCGGCCATCTTGTCAGTTAAGATAGGACCGACATGCTTCTGCTCCGCATCGGGTTCTGCTTCTGGCTCGTCCACCATCTTTTCAACTACCATCTCCATGGGCTCCTCGTCTGAATCCTTCTTCTCCACCTCCACCTGCAGAGAAGCAACAGAACAGAAAAAACTCAGTTTATATAAGAAAGGAATTTGTTTCAGTGATCAGCATTGAGTTCTTGTGCATGATTTTTATTTTAGATTGTAATGTTACTACTGCCTCACCTCCTCCACCTCCTGAGGTCTTTTTGCCATAGGGTGTGAGAGTGGTGAGAGTGGATCCAGACAAAGAGGCGGCATGGCGGGAGACATGATGGGTTGCTGGAACACAGTTGTGACTGTTGTGGAAGAGCAGAGGGAGGGAGCGGCCATGGATGAAACATCAATGGCTGTGCTTTTGGCACCACTCTGAGGCACCTGTCGGCCTGAAAGACAGAAATGAGCTTCACTGCATCGTGTTCTCGTGTCATAAACCATCCCGTCAGGCTGTCTGTCCGAACACAAACACTGTAATCCAAGTATAACTGCCAGTATATGCATTAGAGTGAGGAGGTATAATACAATGCAGAGACTGCTCTTACTGTTGTATTGATGAGGAACGCAAAACTCCCCAAGCCACTCTGAGAGAGCCAGTTTGAGAGCTAGCTGTGGACTGTAGAGCATGTCCGTCTCCAGCTCCTCATCGCTGCCTTCATTCTCCAGCTTGATCTGAATGGACACTGTGCTGTCCTCACCATCAGCTGTTTGAGAGCGAGAAGGATTGGTGAGTTTCTTTACAACTGACATGAAAAGGTTCGATCTCTTTAAAGTTCACCAGAATTAATCAACACGACTGAATTAACTCTTAGCTCATACTTACTCATTACTATGTCCTTGCGCACGCCGTTCATGTTCGACTTGTACCAGGTGGCGAGGGTGTGGATTGCCACAAAGTTGGACTCAAACTCACAGTTGGGGTTCGTGAGGACCCCCTTTAGCCTGGGGATGAGCTCTGTGGAGCGGCCTTTGTACGGGCCCAGAAAAAGCCTCTTCTGGTCATAATCGTTGGCGTGAATGTTGTCCCAGATCACTGGAGCTCGCCTGAGGATTTTCGAAACCTCCTCAATAGACTCCACTGAGATATCTTTGGACACCACTTTGGGTCCTGCAGAAAACAGATGCACATGTATCGGTTACTCCTCTTCATTGACGAGTATGATTGAAAATCTAATAATGATAACACGCTAGACTAACCTGTCCATAACACATCAATTCCTGGTAGTAGTTTCTCTCCAACAGTGTGGAGATAAGGGGACTGAGGAACATTTGGGTAACAGAAGGTTCCACAGTACTCTGTGGTCAAAAACAGAGGGGGAAAAAAAACCACAAGTTATGATTAAAATACTGATTAGACCTTTGTCTAAGTGTGAAAAAGGATGACATTATTACTGATGTACCTGTTGGACAAAAGAGGAAGGTTTCAGGCTCTCCAAGGTATTGGTAGATCTCGTTGGTGATGGAAACCTGAGCGTGTGCAAATGAGCTAAACACCTCTTTGTCTGCTGGGCACATGTTGTGGTCAATATCATCAAAAAGTAAGGCAAATGACTTGCAGCCAAAGTGAGTAACCTGAGAGGGAGAGGGAGGGGTTGAAAATAAAACCAAATACAGATGCATTACACAGACGCATGTGACGCCAAAAGAGCTGTAATCAGAGATAGACAAACTAATGTGATCGAATACCTGATCAAGTTTCCTCTTAAGTGCAGAAACCTCCTTCTGATTGGAAAAGGTGATGTCCAGTCCAGGGGAAATGGCATAAATGAACTCAATCCCATGCTCCTTTGCAGCACTAATTAAGGTCATAAGTTGCTCTAGGAAATGGATAGAGAAATATTTCACTGAATGCTTGTTTTTATTTAAGTGTCTGACAGCCTTGTCTATTCTGGTACAAAACTGGAATATGACGTGTCCTCCAAAATCGCCCAGATATAGTACTCTTTTTATTGTGCCCAAACAAATAAACCAAAGACTGGATCTGGGTACTCACCTGCTTCTTCCACAGAGTACAGCTCTCTCCAGAACATTCTGTGTTTGTAGTCGTCTTTGGGTGCGTAAAGGTATGTATTTAGCCCCCACTTCTGCTGCCTGTGAATTTGAACAATGCAAAACTCAGTATGATACCAAATCACCTCGCTATATTGTTATAGGATTGGGGTGCATGCTTTTAAGACAGGGTACTGTGCTCATTTCCAGCCTTTTAAATGTCTCTTCAGCTTTGTAACAGATTTTCAGCCAGTGTCTTTGAAAACCTTTGTTCCAGTTGTCTGAAATGCCTCATTTAAGACTATATACTACAGCACTCCAGAAGCCTCGGCTGCTGTTGCCATGCCACAAAGTCACATGTCTCTGTACTAAAAATCCCTAGAACAGGATGCATCTGTTTAACAAGCGTTATATTATGTTCTTGTTTAACCAATTGGTGATTTCCTGATTTGGACAAATCCTGTGTGTACCTCCTGCCCTAGTCTCATGGCTTTTTGAACAAGCTGTTCAGAGCATCTTGCTGTCTCATCCTGGGATTAGACAAACACATACTGTGCCCGGGTTTAGTACTGATACTCAGGATTTACACTTAAAACTGGTTTGTGGAATCTGAAAAATGCACACAGCACCCATTCACATCATCCTACCTTCTGAACAGCTCTTTCCTCTGTTCCATCGTCCATGGTCGTCCATAAAATCCTGCATCAGCAAATAATACAGTTAGTTTTAAGTCTGCAAGGGTAATAATCAACAGCATTCCCATGGTACACTGAGCTGCTTGACCACATGCCTCAGGGTGTGGGCTTGGCTGGATATGCAAGCTTCAATGCAAACAAGGTACTTGAGCTCATACCTCACCAGTTGATTATTATGACCCAGTTATGTCAGAAAGTAGGTAATGTTGCCACCTCACGTTTTAATTTTGCAATCTCCCCTCCCACACACATTAAGTGGGGAAAAAATATGCACATTAACCCTAGAACACTATCGCCAGGTGATTTTCAGCCGACCAAACATGTTTACGTGATTTTCATGATGTTGCCTTTGTCTGAGTATCATGGGTCCTGGAATTTGCATGTTATCTTTATTTAGCGCAGTGGTTATGAATAACTGTGGTTATACTGGTTTTATACTGGTTTTAACAGATTTAACTGTACTTTGCTGGTCTGCAGAGGTGCACTTGTTGTTGTCTTTGTTAGTGTACTGTGTATGAGTCTGTGAGTGGCGCGACCCCTAAAGTATCTATCTATCTATCTATCTATCTATCTATCTATCTATCTATCTATCACAAAGTTGTGGTTTTCAAAGGAATCCATATGGTGATAAGAGATATTTTACTCAGCTGGTCATTTTTACTCCAAATCTGCCATATTTTGGTTCTCTTCTCTCCTGTAGCTGTTATTGTGCCAAAGTTTGCAGTTTATATATATACATATATATCCATCCACCATTTTCTACAGCTAATTCCTGTTCCTGGGGTCGCAGGGGGGGCTGGAGCCTATCAAGGCTGACATATGGAGACGAACAACCATGCACGCTCACATTCAATCCTACGAGCAATTTGAAAGTGGCTAATTAATAATATAATATAATAAATATATAATTTTTGTTGATGAAAGCCTAATTTCAGTTATTTTGTTGCATTTTTATATGGTCCCCTCATGGCACCCCCCCCCCCCCCCCCCCTTTGGACATTACGAAGTACTTTAATTTGTCATGTATTGTCCTATTTTGATATATTTTGATGAAAAATACTTTTTCTTGGGTATATTATTTGGGGTAAAAATCACCTGTAGATAGTGATGGTGTGACTAATTTTAGTGATAGTGTTTTAGGGTTAATGCAAAATACAGAGAGGCTGTCATGACACAAACAAACAAACAAACAAACAAACATAAAAAGACCCTTTTTCAATGTTGTGATTATATTAATATAAAAGACACTAAAAAAGATCATCTGGCGACGTTAAAAATGCAATCCTCATTTATGCACCACCCTGCCTTATCAATTTTGTCAACTTATTTCTGTTTGTTGATTTTCAACTGCTAATAATTTGGTAATCATGAATGAGTGAATGATTTATGCCCAACAACCAATCGTCACAGCCACCATGATGGAGGATAGCTGCGGCATTTTTTTCTTGCCCTACTTTTGTTAACGATTGAATCAACTGTAGAAAATAAAACGAAAAAGAAAGGGGTGATATATATTTCAGTCATGCATGTAAATTTACCTTCAACGACCCCGCTGATGAATTTCCTGAGGCCTGTAGCCTCGACTGCGATCACCGACTCTTCAGCCGGACCAGCGGCCTCTCCTGCACAAGCCTCTCCGGAGACTGGGCTGGGGCTCGGCACACCGTCCACTGGAGGCGTTTCCAGCGTTTTATCCTTCAGAACCATCGTTAGAGATTTCTTCCCGTTCAAACTCAGTAAATTCAGAAAAATAAATGAGTTTTTTTCTTTTTCTCGAAGATAGTATCCGTCAAGCAAAACACGGAGGAAACCAACGGTCACTGACTGACCAACAGCAGCAGCCCGCTAGCGTTATTAAACAGTCTGTCGAAGTTAAAGAATTCTGAGCATCCCCTTATTGAGATGTAAACAAACTGGTTATCTGTTGGTATCGGACAGCATTTATGTAGAGTAATATTTGAGGAAAAAGCAAATGTTCGTTCCGTTTTGTCCGATCATTTTCGCCCTACTTTTAGTCGGTTCTTCCTGTTTACACCAAGTGCGCATGCTCAGGGGACCAGATTAAACCAGTCAAAACTAGATCTGCGTGACAAAACATCGCAAAGATGTCAAACTAGCAAAGAGATAGATAACATTTCCACTGCGCAGTGTTTAATATCAACACAACTCAAGTCAGGCAAGACAGAAATGATGCCATTTGTCAGGCGTATGTAAAGTCAGTATGTGAATACAAAAAATCGCTAAATTTTGATACACAGAGTTGACTAATTGCATTCACAGTCACCAAGTTACAAAGTCCTTGTAGCACTCGCTGTAATAGGCTTTCGGGTTGAATATCTCATCAACATGTAAGTATCTTGAAATTCCGGTCCATATTTGGAATGCAGCTGAGCTCCAACATCAAACTGAGCGGGGAGGAGGTGCTGCTCCACCGGGGAGGGGGTACTGCTCCTGCTCCTGCTGCTCATCTGGTCTGACCTGAGCCGGTGTTTCCTGTGTCAGCAAATCATTCATGCTTTATTCCAAATCACCAAATTCTCAAAACGTCTTAATTCACAAAAATGCAGTATTTCAATAATGCAATCATAATGCTGTGCCAGGAATAGGCATTTTCTGTAAGTAATCAATTAACAAAGTGATTAATTTGACTCACCTGGCAGAATACAAAATACAATACTGACTTTGGTACCATGGTGGAAGTGTAAAATGCAGTGGAGCTAAGCCTTTAAATCAGGGGTGGGCAATTATTATGTCCTAAGGGCCACATTGGGTTTAAGATGTCACTGGACGAGCCGGCCAGGTGGTGCACCATAGTGATGGGCACGGCAGTTCTTTTAGATATACTGAATCACTAGAATCAATTCACTAAAAAGCGCTTGGCAGGAGGAGCCTGCGACTCCGACCCCCTGAACTGATACACAGCTAAACGGTTCAGGATTCAGTTAAATTCATAGCTTCTGGGACCGGGAGACGAGAGTTTGGCTGTGTCACTTTGACAAACAGGTTTGTAAAAATGAACTTGTTTACAAGTCATGATGTTTTAAGTGTACTCTCCTATGGTATGCTATTTACCAGGTCTGCTCGGCAAATTGGGCTCAGTGAAGGATTCGTTCACTGAACATACACCGTTCCCTTGCAAACCACTGCAAAGATACGATGCTGGTGGTTTTAAGCACTACTTGTTACATGCTGTGTCCTATTGTATGCAAGTTGTTGTGATGGCAATTTAACAGTATTTTTTTTTTTTTCAAGTTAGTTTTGTCTGACAAAAATGATTCCAGAGAGTGTAGTTCAATGCGTGATTCAGGCGTCGGTGAATGTGGTCCCTTGTTCGCCGGCTGCTCGCCTGGCAATGCTGTGTGCTATACCGGTTGCACTGCTGACAACTCAACTGAAGTGAGAAACGAACGAATCACTTGAGGAAGTGATTCGGTTTAATACGTTCACTCCCCGGGCCTTAGTTTACCAACCTTTGCTTTAAATAAATAAGTCCCTTTTCTCGACATCTTGTAAATGTCTGCCTGATAAATGTTTATATGTTTTTATCTTCTACCAAAGATGCAAAACTGAACTAAAATTGTATTAATTTAATCATAGCATATGCTTTTCTTTGGGTAAATCATATCTTTTGAGTAAAACCTCTTCCCTCTTTTGAATAACTACACAACAGTTCATTGCAAGACGAGAAATGACGAAGCACAACTAAGTATTTTTCATTTTATTCAGGTTGGAAAGTACATTTGTTCAATGTAATACAACCTATCCTCCCTAAATGATTCAGGAGTTCTGTTCCACATGCTTTCCCCCTTTTTAAAAATGATTCTCTTCATACAATTCAAATTTAATTTTACATTTAAATAAAATTTTAAAAAATTATTCATTTCCATTATTCCATTTTTTTTCCTTTTACTTCTTTCATTACAAATCTTCACTTCAATAGAAGGTGTTAGCTTGCAGAAACAAAATAAAACAAACATAAACAAATGTAAAACTTAGGCAACAACCAAAATGTAAAGACAGTGTTGCAGGTGAGAAGCCAACTGTTGGCTCTGAGGTAAGTGTCAGCTGCTTCCTGCTGCAGGCCTCCTGTTACCTCTTCAGATTCTGCTGGGCTTGCTTCAGTAAAGTGTCGAAGTCTAGTGAGTGAAACTTGCTTTTCGCCGGTGATGGATCGTACTCTCTATTTGAATCTGTAAAGACAGGGTCACACAAATTCAACATGGAGTTCCAAAAAAAAGGGACAGTACATGGTACATTTTGGTAAAAAGTTAGGAACAGCTGACTGCTGAAGTCTGTTTTAGCAAAGACTTTTAAAAGCATGAAACTATAATAAACTGGCTGTAATTCAGATAGAACAGCCGGCTCAAAACTGCATTTTCAGTTGGCAGTGAGTACAACGTCGTACGCTAATGTGTCAAATCTTCAGAAAACCCAATCAGACTCCTTTGGATGGACAATCAATGTATTTGTCATGTGGATCCATACATACCCAGGTCAGCATAGCTGGTCTGGCAGAACTGTCTCCTTCCACCAAAACAAAGATCAAACGGCAGCTCATCAGGTTTGCGCAGCTTGCCTCCGTTCTCGATTGCTGTGAAAGCATCCTTTGTGCTGTAATAAGTCACAAAGCCATAGTTGTCCCTGCAAAAAGATCACAAAAGCATCAGTTCCGAGTTCATTTTCTGTTTATCACAGGTCTTGTGTTCAGGGTCGCATGAATCTGACTCATTGTTATGCGTTGTCTCTTGCTTTTAAAAGAGCCACCCGGAGGTGTAGCCAGGAGGCTCCAGTTATGAACAAGATCAAATTTGTTTTAGCACTGTAGCTTGGCCTGAGAGGTCACAGTGAGACCAAAAAGGTTCAAAGACAGTGCAGCTTCCTCATAAGAAATTCGGGGTTATTAAAATGCTCTTCAGACGTTCCACCCGACAGGAGACCTAAAAAAAAACATGCACACTCACCCGTGGTCTCTAAAGTGCAGAGTACAGTCCTCAATGTCACCAAATAAAGAGAAACGCTCTTTCAGTTCTTTTTGGGTCATGGTCCCTCTGATTCGACCAACGTAAACAACCCGGCGCTCCTCCTAAAATGAAATGTGGTACAGTCGTTGAGTCACAGTTGAAATATTTGACCGTTTGCTGAAAGGCCGATGTACTCTGAGGATGCTACTTACAATGGCTTTCTCCTTGCATCTCTTCACCTCTTCTACATTTGTCTTGGTACCAAAGCGAGGCCTTTGTAGAGGACTGAGGAAGACAAGATGACGCTTCAAGTTAGCAAAATGTTTTTAACAGCGTTAAGGATCCTGCTCATCATTCACAGCTTGGTGAGCATGAGTCACAGCAGCGTACCTCTGCAATCTTCTGCTCCTACTCCAATGTGCTCGTCTCTCAGGGGACCCAGACCGTGACCTGGAGCGACTCCAAGAGCCAGAACGAGAGGAGGAATACGAGTACCTCCTCCTCCGGGGTGGGGAGCGAGACACAGAGGGAGAGGAGCGGGAAGAGGAGCGGGAAGAGGAGCTTGAACTTCTGTCTTCACGGTAGGAACGGTACCTGAAGACGACATGGGAAGGAACGTCAGTCAGTCAGTCAAACACAAGGGGGTCATGGCAAAGAGAAACAATGCTGCACTGAGGGTCTTGTGTAAAGAACTCACCTTTTCTTAGAGGGGGAACGTGATCTAGACTGAGATCTGGACCGGGACCTTGAAGAATGAGACTCTGACTCTGAACTACTCGAAACAGGACTGGGAGAACGGCGGGGTCTTCTCTTTCTTGATCGGGCTCCAATCCTCTCTTTGGGACTAGACTTTGGGCTGGGTGTACGAGACGCAGCATGCCGGCGATAAGACCTCCCATAAGGCCCTCCCCTGGGGCTCGCCTCTTTAACGCTGCCGTCAGTCTCTGAACGAGAAGGCGAGGCATCAGGAGTCTCTAGAACAGAGCTTCTCTCCACGCCATCAGTCCTGTGATCCAGGGACTCCCTGAGAGTGACTTGGGGTTTGCATGTGGCCACAGGGTTTGCATTAGACTGAACAGCCAATGACGGGACAGCAGAGGAAATCTGTGTAGTGATGGGTTTAATGGTGATGAGGGATTGCTGTTTGGCGTTCCAGCTCTTGCCCGTCTCGATGTTTGAAGCACCTTTGTTTGGAAGGCAGTAGTCATGGTCCATACACGCTATGTCTGGAGCCACAGAAGCAGCAGCCAAAGAGGGAGTGGCCTTGTTTCGAGACCTGACTGAGGGCAGAGGCCGGGCTTCTATCTGAATAACCTTGGAAGTGCAAGACTTAGAGGCCTCAGCGGCCTTGCTCTTTCCTAGCAGGGCCACAGGGGTCAGAGGTTTCCACATCTGGTGAGGGGGAGTGGCTGGAGGAGTCAGAGCTGAAACAGAGAAAAGGAAAATCCCATAACTTTAAAACAGACATGTACTGTTTTAGAAAACTGTGCCTAATGACTGCTTATCTAGTTATGTAAAGGTGTAACAAAATAGTCTAAGAAGGAAACAGCTGCTTATTATCGATTGAAGCTTCTTTTAAAAAGGGACATTTTCTGACTTTTAGATCAGCCCACTACTCTCAAAGTCTGAAAAACTCAGAACAAGTCAAAAACAGGCATGATTTATAAAACATGGCTAAACACGAGTTCATATAGTCTGCAGGTAAATGCTGTAAAATGGATTTGCAGAACACAAAACCTTTGTTCCTTCCTGCAGATTAAAAAAATAAAAAGCCTTTGCTTAGTAGGAATTATTCAGGCTTCATACAACTTCATCTCCATTTTCTAGATCAAAATACTGCTAAACTGTGCCATGCTATGGGATGCCATCTGTGCTTGTTTAATCAGGACAGAAAAGCATTACGGCAGCGGTTATCTGTCAGAGCTGTATGCTTAGGTGGCAGGGCTAAAGATCAGACGATACATAATCTGCATTTAGTTCATGCTGTGATTTCCATTACAGAGTCACGTCTGTTTTTAACACCGTGCTTCCTGAGGGTGAGAAGACCATGACCGTAGAGTATTTTTTTCTGCCTTGTCAGTTTTGCACAGAGATTTTCTGAATCTTTTTATGATATTATGGTCTGTATTTGATGAAATCTGTTCTGAAACCACTGAAAAGTTTTGTTTTATGGGGATTGTGGTTGACATTTGGTCATCTCAAACTCTAAATGCTGCATTACCTGCTGTGCTGGAGAGGTCGTTCGCTCTCACACGTTCAACAACTGTTTTCTCTGGAGCCGACTCAACACTGAAACGGAGCAGAAGAGTCTGTTAATACATCAACATTAATGTCGTTTTCAAGTAGGTCGTCTTTGGAAAAGGCTGGAGTCCAGTTCACACACAAAACAAGAAGTCGACAAAGCTACACAAATTCAAACCAGTAGATGGCCGGACAAAAGTGGGGCTTGCGGTAGGTCTTGGCGAAACACAAACACACACACACAGCAAACATATTCAGATCTCTCGGGGGGGTTTCCATCACTCGCACAGAGCAGCTTCATGGCTGTAGGGTAACTCACCTAGAGTTTCCTACAGCTGCTGCTCTACCAGAGACCTCCGACACACTTTGCTCCTCTTTGGCTGAAGAGAGAAGGGACAAGGAATTCAGTGCATGTGCACAGGGAGGACAAAACCAAATGAGACAGAAATTTAGACACATGTGCATGAACGTTTGGACTGTCTGTATACGGGTGTAAATCAAGAACACAGTGATTTTCACTCTCCTGTAAGCAGTGTTTACTTCCAAATGGCTGTCTGCTACATTAGCCAGACTTAGCTGTCGTGTACAGTATGTTTCTATAACTACCTGATAGGCTTATCTAATGGCTCATGGAGCACCCAGCCACTTGTTACAGATGGAGCATGTACATCCACCCAAACAAAGACAGCAGGGTGAGAGTTAAATGGATTTGCGGACAGGGCAGAATTCCAGCAGCTGAGCAGACAAGAGCACAAAGCGGCTTCTCTGCCCCCCGCTGCACACGGCTCTTAAAGGGGAACATCTCAGCAGAGGTCATTTTTAACAGAGGTCCCCCCTGGATAATGTTAGAAGAAAGGCTTATCACTTATTTTTGTTGACCCTGGTCTGGGAGCTGTGGGTCAGAATTTAACAGAGGTGTTAAATCGCTCTTCACATCAGGACAGCTTATGTTTTCAGATCATTTTAAGTCCTTAAGTCTAGACTTTCAAAGCTCCATTAAGGTTTTTCTACCCTCTAACTCTCTACTGCTAACCAGGATAGTACGCCTGCTATTACGAAACCAAGAAAACTGACACTCTGACTACATTTAGCTCAGTGCTAAACTACGTGACCCATTAGCCTCTACAGTCACTTTAGAGCCAGAGTTGTAGTACGGCATAAATACTCTGGCGTGTGGAGAAAATGTCGGGTGTGAGCGCCTCTTTCAGACAAGAAGGATTACCTTGAGTTTCCTCAAACTGCTCCAGCAAGCTGGTCAGATCAGCAGCTTCGATTCCTACAGAAACGTCACATTTTCCAGTCAGTTAAACAAAATTTATATGAAATGAAGTGTTTCTGCCACAGGCTGTGATGTCTAATACATGAATATATATTACAGAGCTCTGTGAATAATCACACTGGGCTGGATTAAGAGTCTTGAAGCTCACCTATCTCACTGGTGAACGCCTCGATCAGCTCCTGGGTGGGGCTTTTTGCTCTTTGGGGCTTTAGTGCTGCAGTGGGTTTCTCTTTCTTTTCAAGCACAACAGGATCTTCCTTTGCTCTCTGCAGGTCTGAGGGATTGGCAGCCGGAGGAGAGTGGGCTGTGGGTTTTGATGGCGTGCCATCAAACGCGGTGCTGTTATTTAATGAGCGAGGAGCGGTGACCTCGGGCGCCTTCAGGGAAACAACAGTGATCTTCCTGAGTGCGGATACAACAGCAGCAGCAGCGGGTTTGATCATCTCTGTAGTGGTTTTAGCGAGTTCTGCAGATTCAGGCTGAGACCGGGGTCGCTCAGTGACTCCAGCGTTTCCCTCTAAAAGTGCAGGTGAGCATTTCCTGTCTGATGCGCCTGGCCTGTCAGAGCTCTGAGGTACACATGGTGCTGCAGGTGCAGCTGTGGTTTCTTCATGTGCAGGTAAACTCTTCATTGAATTAGCAGCTGCAGGTTTTGGGGGTGGAGAAGGTTTAGGCTGCTCAGGTGTTTGCTGTGGTTTGGGGACAGGTGTAGCGGATGAAGCCTTGTTGTTTGACGCAACCATATAAGCTGGTGGCGCTAACAGAGCCTCAGGGGTGGGCGGGGCACACGGGCCCCTTGGCTGCCAGGCAGGTCTAACCTCCTCCACTTCCTTCTTGGCTGCCGGTGGATTAAGGCGCCGAGGATCTCTGAGGCTTGGGTCTGGGAGGCAGGGGATAGGAGGAAGCTCCTTAGGAAGCTCTGGGAGGCTCGGCCACTTGGTGCTGTTGTCGTCCTGTTTCTCCACGGGGGCCGGTTTCTTCTGCTGTCTGAGCCGACGGTACTCGGCTAGACTGAGAGATTTGGGCTTGGGTTCTGGGACTGCGGGGGCCACAGAAGGGAGGGCCTCGCTGACGGGTGGTGTCATCGGGAGGCTTGGAGGACCGAGAGCAGCTGTGGGGCTCTCTGAAGGCACCGGGGACAGGACAGCAGAGGGAGCCGCTAATGAATCTTTAGGCTCTTTGGGGGTCTGGGCTGTCTGATCGGGTATTTCCTCAAACTGTTTGGGGGTTTCTTCAGGCTCTTTCACCTTCTCTGAACAGCTCGGTGGACTCTTCTCAGCACTGGTACGTGACAGAGCAGCCTCCTGATTTGGTGACACAGGTGCAGCTTCTTGTACTTTAGTCACAGGCGATGGTGTTGTAGTGGTGATCTCCTTTTGGGTTTCAGTTTGGCATGAGTTTAGTTTCTTAGTTTCTTCAGAGGGAGAGGTTGAAGCCGACGCGGGAGGATCCTTCGCCACTCTTTGTTTCTTTTCTTCTTTCTTTGACCTTCTTTCAGGTTTTTGGGGGGATTCCTGCGCCGTGTTTCTTACTCTACCACTTCTCAAAACTCTTCCCTCCGCAGGTTCAGGCTGAAGCTGCTCCTTGCTTTTCTTTTTCTTTTTCCTCCTGGGGGGGCTTTTCTCTCTAATCTCTTCTGTCTGTCTTTTAACAACCATTTCATCTTTCGCTCCTGGTGCCACAGTCGTAGCAACTTTTACTGGAGCCTCTGGGACTTTTACATCTTCATCATCGACAACTATATGCTCCGAGCTGTCGGATGCTTCGTCTTCTGCTTCCTCTGACATCTTCCGCTCTGCCTCTAGTGCAAGAGAGACCGGGAGGTCCATGTCTGGAATAGCCAGGATGGGCTCTCCATTTTCCCCCTGGTCAACAACTTCAAGTAAGATTCCTCCTTCAGGTAGCATCTGTTCCCCTTCGTCGTTCTCCATAGAAATGGTCATACAGTACGGGTGCATGTGCCTGACCAGGTCCCCCAGACACACGGAGATGCCGTCCTCTTCTTCCTGCTCAAAGGTGACAGGAAGTGGCAGTGTGAGACCTTTCCAGTCCAGCAGGTTACTGTCAGGATATGAGCCGTGGCTCGCTGGGCTCAGGGTGAAGGAGCCATCCTCCTCTTCCTCTCCGTCGCTCCTCTGGATGGAGTCTGCGTGTATCCTGGGCATGCTCTGGTGACAGACAAAGAAATGCACCCCCACATAAATTCAGATTTTTGTTTCAAATTAAGCTTTACATAATTTGTTTTAAATGAGAGAAAATCTACCTTTCCAGTGGATGAGGGTCTCGTGTTACACAGAGTGTCTGGAGGGGAACGGGACAGACACAGCAATCTCCTGAGCTGAAGAGACAAATTAAAGAATAATGACGCTACAACTCTTTAAAGCTCAAGGACATTTGGCTTATACAACTGCTTATACTGTATAATGTACAAGTTGAGTCATACTAACCACCCACAGAAGTTCAGTTCAATAAAAAATAAAAAACAAAGTCAAAGAAAAAAAAATTCAAGAGCTACTCTTTTTCAAAAGGCTGTAGAGCTCTATGATTGTGTTTTCAAGTATGAAGTATGAGGCTTTAGTTAAACAGTTACATGGTTATGGAAGATTTAGGCTTACTGGACAAAACTATGTCGAACAGCCATCAGCAGGTTTTCCTTCTTCTCTCTTCCCCTCCCTCCCTCCCTCCCTCCCTCCCTCTCTCTCTCTCTCTCTCTATCCCGGACTCTCAGGCCAGATGGAGGATGTCGGGAACACTAATCTACGAGCAACACTTTGAGAGTTGTGTGTTTGTGTGTGTGTGTGTGTGAGACAGCTGGGCACTAACCGGGGAGTGTTCCCTGCCCTTCTGACCCGACAGCAGGTCTGAGTCAGGCAGGGTGTCAAACGGGGACAGGTTCTCATCGTCCACATTGTCGAGGATCTCAGTCAGGGCAGTCAGCAGCGTGGCTTCACTCTCCTCATCTAGTCCTTTAGTCTAAATAAAAAGCACGGGAAATTAGGTCAGAGGCGGCATGTGTGGAGCATAAACAAACGACAACACAAACCTAAAATACATCACCTACAAAACAAATGTCTAACCTCTACTATGGGCGTGTCCTCGAACATCGAAAGTATTGTGGGGTCCAAGCTTTGAAAAACCTCCAAAGTTTCTCCTGAGGTCAGACCAGCAGTCTAGAAAGAGAAAAACACACTTCGTATTTAACAGCGAAAAAACCGACAAAAGTTAGATTCACGACTGAGGCAAGAAAACAAATGTCTCTACAACCTCCAGTCATGGTTACAAACTCAGTAAACTCAATTCCAATGACAAAATACTTCTCTAAGCAGTGTTGACATTTCAAACAGCTTAATTTAATCAATATTTTTGATGTCTGAAGCATGCTTTTTATGACGCTATGACAGCAAAACTATACAATTAGATTTGAACCGTTTGAATGCATTTTCATACTGCTGTTGTTTATTTTCTTTCAGGACTTTAAGACTAAATAACCTCAGGCATTATCTTCCCTACTGTGCAAAACAGAAAAGTCATTTAAAATATAAGACTGGATAGAAAAACAGGTCATGTTTGTTGATTATCTGGATGTTTGGGTCAGGTGCAAGCCTGGAGTCAAGTCAGGCGTTTAAGAATGAGAGTCAGGAAAGGAAACCCCGGAGGGCGAGGCACAGCATGAGTACAAGTTTTAACTCTGAGAAGAGAAAAACAAAAAACCAAAGACATTTTCCTACAATGGGTGATCAACAAACACTGGAGAAAGTATTTACTGTACAAAACAATTAGACATCAGTTAGCATTTATCTTGTTTCTTATCTGGGTCAATGATGTGACACCCAAATATATTCTGTCCGGCTGTATTTTCTTTAAGTTAAAAAAGGTTTAAATGCACAAAAATAGGCTTTCGATATGTAGTATCTCTCTCTTATTTGTAGTCACTTCAATTTTTCAAAAATCAGGTCTTATTTGTAATTTTTCTGAACTTAAGAGTGTCAAAATATCATGTGGTGTGACCAATAATATTGATTGTATTAAATACAAACTAAAATATCTAATTTCTGTAACTGAAACATTAATACCTGATACAATATAATTGAGTGAAAGGTAGTTTTAAAACATTTTTATCAGTATTACGCAATTTAAAGAAAAAATTAGTCCGTTAACTACATTTAATATAGCGACTGTGACATTATAGAGCTAAAATGTGAGATCATTATTTACAGAAACTCAAATGAAATGCAAACACTTTGTTTCTATCTACTTGATATTACTTCCAATTTGTAAAAAACTTTTAAGTATGCTGAAAAAATGAAATAATTTTGAGATAAATGATGTCGCACCAAATGACATTTTCTAAGGCCACGGGCAATTCATCTATATGAAAAAAAAAACACAAAAATTGCATAATTTCAAAATTTAACATTCATTTTTGTACACACAACAGCCTTAGTGTTTGAATTTTTGCAAAATATATTCTTATTTTTGCTATTTTAAAATTGGCATGTTTAAAAACCTTATATGTCATTGACCCATCTACCAAACACGCCAATAAAATACAGCAAAACTCAATAGATGACTTCAATAAGTCCCTAACAGTTTAAGTCAGTAAAACATTATTTTTTTATACACAGCAGGAACTGTTTGTTAATAGTGGTAGATAATATGTGCTGTCCAACAACTCCTCAGGTTTGAACCATGTACAGAAGTACAAGAAGTCCAGTCCCACTGCAAGGTCAAACATTACTGATAAAAACTGTGCATATTCATCTGAAAAGGCTGGAGTATCTCAGAGGGACCCACGTGTTTCTGTCTACACATGCATACACTGTGCGCAGACATGTTTGATCCTCGCCTCAGCCCGTCCAAAGGGAGGCAGTAGTAGGCAGGGAGTCTTCCTTTGGAGACCCACGTGTTGCACTACAACAAAACCAGGGCAGGGCCTTTATGCCTTTTTTCTTTACCATATATATATTTAACAATTAACCCACCAAGTTATAAAAACTTAACGTCCTTTCAAAATGCACGTTGAGTCATGAACTAACTGCGCGTAAAGGGTGTGGGATCACATTTGGTTAATTGTAGCTGCTGCGCATGTGCGAGTGAAGCCCCACATGTGATTGAACAGGACTTAACCACATGTGGGTAAACACACGAAGGCTTTGAATGAAAACTTGGTGCAGTTTGAGACTGAATAACCTCTCAGGTGGGTTTAATTTGCACTGATTGGCAACATGATCCAGTAATAAAGAGCTTTATTATCACTGATGACACATTACTGCAGTGTGCTGGCATACAGCCTGCAAACTAACCTCAGTTAACCCAGTCTTTTAAACACTGTAAGGCCGAGTAAAAGTGTTAAATAACGAGGATAACTTTGGTGATAAATGGAGTTTACTCGCACATTGCAGGGTTTTGTCACCACGTGTGAGTGAATCACGTCCAGTACCGAACACAGAGTACTATCCTCATAAATTAGAGGATAGAAACTCATCAGGATAAAATGACATGATCTAAATAAGTGGTGCACATGTCATGCTATTTATTAATTAATACACACAGCTGTCATTCCAATTGGTTTAATTAGTGTCCATTAAATGAGGAAGGAAAACGTGCCGGCCGGCCAAGCTACACTGACCATCAAGCTAGCATCGACATAGCAGCACATTGTAATAATATCAAGAACTGAGTATTTACAGATAAAAACATGAATACACACCAATCAATGTATAATAACCACAATAAAGTGCGTGATTTTGTGTGGATTTATAGTAGTAAAACTACGGTTACATCCACGTGTCACTTTTCCATGCGCAGTGTACTCAACAAACCGGTTAACACAAACACACACAGCTCCTAACAGTTCATTTATGCGACACAAAATACAATATTAGATTAATCCTTTACCTCGTTTAGTGTATCCATGGGGAAAAAATCCATATTGCACGCAGTTAAAGTCTCCTCGCCTGCGCCCCACCGCGCCGCCATCTTGCCAGTGTAGTCGGCGCTGCCCTGTCTGAGTGAAAACTGATGAATCGAGGAGGAAAGAGCAGAGCACGACACCGGCAGCAGCAGCAGCAGCAGACACGTGGTCCAGCATTCCCGGCAAAATGACGCAAAATGACGCCGGGGTCAGGGGTGAGGTGGCCACGTTGTGTTGTAGTTCTATTTAAAGCCTCTATGCGGGACGTGCAACAGTAGAAACTTAAAGTAGAAATGTGAAATGTATTTATCAACAACCTGTTCAAATAATGTGATTATAATTATTCATACAGATTGGTCGGTCTAATTGTAAAATGCAACGGAAAAGCAGCGAATGCACGTGAGTAGTTTACCGTGGAGTACATGTTAAACATGGCGAACAAAAACCTGCAAGTTGGTTAAAGGTATCCGAGGATAAATGATTAATTACTAATGATTTTAATGACACGGTTTATTAGGTCTGACCAAAACAGTGTGAAATGAAGGGGAGAGTGGGGTAAGTTGAGCCAATGTCACCCACCTGTTGTTTGAAACTGATCATGTGACCAAATATTTAGGAGATGGCATCAATTCATGGAGTCTGTGAAAGTTCGAAGCACATGGGTGAAGGGGTTGGAGATTTATTTACAAAAAAACATTTTTCACTCTGGAAAGTGAATTTAGTCTGTCATGAGTTATTGAAAATGATCCTTTTTGGTCTGAACATAATTCTAATCACTTTGTTTTCTACATCAATTGTGGTATCTATGAGCTACAACATGAGGTCAAAAACCGAGCATAAAAGTCCACCATTTTAGTTTAGAGGACTAATAAAGTCCTAATAGTAGTTCTTGGGTAAGTTGAGCCGGTGGCCAGATGCACCGATCCATTTTCTTCTGATCCAATCCAATACCGATACCTGGGCTGACCTTATCGGCCGACATCCGATACCAATCCAATACTACTGTTGAATGAATGAACTGTGAGTGAAGACATCAGGCTTGACAATAGCCTTGTTTAAAAAAAAAGGTAACAAATTAACAAAGGTATAGATTTACTTATCATTATTTATTCCAAATAACAAATTACACATTAGCACACAGCAAAAAGAAGTAAGACTTCCATGTATTAAAAGAAAAATTAATTGAAAGAAAAAAAAAACTGGATCGGAATGCTGGATTGACATCATTCATCCGATAAACAAGTCAGTTAATTTGTCAATATTGGAGCTGATATCCAATCCAAATATCGGATCGGTGCATCCCTAGGCTCAACTGAGAAAGTAAAGGAGTCTGATGAGAGGATCAGAGTTTCAGTTCAGATTGTTGAAATGTTTGACTTTTCCTTTTCAAAAATACAGCTGTGAATGCTCTGTAATGGGGCTCAACTTACCCCATACACGGGGTAAGTTAACCATAGGAGACCACTTTTTTTCAACATGCTATATCATCAAGACAGTTCTGTTTACACTCATTCTGTTGGTTTGCAGGGATGAACAACATCTTAAAATATATGCAGATACACTAGTTAGAGACAAAACTAGGTTTGACTTGATGCAGTGATCTGAAATATGAAAAATGGCTCATCTTACCCCACTCTCCCCTACATGTTAAACATGGCTAACAAAAAACTGCAAGTTCTTTAAAGGTATCCGAGGATAAAGATTAATTACCAACAATTTTATGACATGGTTTATTAGGTCTTTGTTTTTTTTTTAATTCGAGTAAAATTATTATTTCAAGTCTTCTGTGAGTATTAATATGGAGTTATGTCCGAACAGCTGCTTTCACAAAACAAGACAAATCGCCTTGGAGGGAAATACCATAAACAAAATACCAGCAACATAATATTTATCAGCGAAATCATTTTATACGATGATTAAAATAACCTTTTAATTGTCATTTTTTTGCATTTTCTCATAATGCAATATATTTTCTCAATAAATTTCCTAAGCTTTGGTTCCTCATTAAATTAAGTAAATACTGAAGGCAGCCCAGACAGTTAAAGATTTCTCATTGCACTATCCTGTAATATTCAATATCAACCACTGGAGAGCGCTATTTAGTAAAAGCCATTTCTGTTTTCATGAACTTGTATCAGGGATGGTATTTTGGAAAACTTAAACTTCAGGTTAAAAATTAACTATATAATTTGTATCTTTCAGGAATCAGTGGAAAGCTGGAGAAATATCAAGGAGGTGAGTAACACTTTGAATTAAGATCTCGACTACAACCTTAAACTTTATATAAGTCCAGCTGTTTTTATTCAGGAGAGAAACTAAAAGCACTGGAAAAAGCAAGTCCTTTCAGTAAAGATACTAATCTGCAGATTCCTGATACAACAAAAACATTGATTTGGTTGGAGTTAAAACCTTCAAACCGATGATGCAGATTGAATTGTGTAACCTTATATATGTGTTTTCATCAGGTCAAATCCATGAAACAAAGATATGATAAAGGAACAAAGAGGACCTGGGATTAAACTAGGTCAAACACAAAAGTGGGAAAGATGTGCTCTTTGGTAGGATCAGTATTTCATGGTACTGAACCGCCATAGGCAATTCCCCGAGTCCCATGAGCAGACAGGGATTAGAGGTAAGCTCAGAACCACACACACACACACACACACACACACACACACACACACACACACACACACACACACACACACACACACACACACACACACACACAAACAATCTGTGGTCCAAATGTTTCAACTGCTTCTTCATGTAGAAACACTCTTCGGCAAACTCTTCTTGCATGTTTGATTAAATTGTTTAAAAGCCGCCCTTGTTGCTGAACAGCCTCCAAACATTATAGACTCGGTGTTGTAGGTTTTCTGGCGTCAGTCCAGGGATCCCTCAGGCAACAATCATGACTCTCACTGATCACTTTCTGCCCCTTGGTACATTTCAATGAAGGATAAACACACTTCAGTGATGTGTCACAGCATATATGAGTACCTTAAACTGCTCCCCATGAGAGTGGGAAGCAGTTTTAGTATATGAGTACTAAAAGGATGAACAACTTTTAGGCACATGCAAGGGCTAAATATGTTAAACCAGCGTCCTGTTTAGGTGTTTAAAATAACTGTTATTTAATATAACACGAAAAATAACACATTTTTTTTCTCTATTTCCACTTTTTAAAGCTACCACTTCCACTTTGAAAATCAGCTCTGAGCAGCCGTCTGATAGAAAGTACCAAATAATGATGTGAATGTAAATGTGTGAGTTGTAATGTATTGTAGGCAGGCGTTGATACAAAGTAGAATCCCTTCAGAGTCACGCTGAAGGGAGTCTATTCTGCATAACCACCTGCTCACTGTTCAGTATTTAGTTTTCTACAAAAGCAAATATACTCCTAGAATTCAAGAAAAGACATTTTGATGAGCTGAAAAGGATTTAGATAGGCAGCTTAAGAAATAGTCAATTTAGGTCAAATTAGGATTAAACTTTAGGGCTGGGACTATATGCTTTTCTCCCGATTCCATTCTTCTACGATTTTTTGGATGTTAATTCGATTTAAATTGCAATTCAACGATAATGTCAATTTTCTTGATTTTTAGTCCGCATTTTTAACACCAGTGAAACAGTTGAATGATTGCGATTGTCTACTGACTATTCCAAAACTATATTTCCCCCCAAAAATACACATCACATGTAAGTCAGTTTTTAAGATTTACGCTTGAATTTGGAGAGAAAAAAAAGATAATTTTTGAATATAAAAATCGATTTAAAAATTGTAAAACTTTTTTTTTTCTCCCACCCTTATTAACTTCACAATTTAGTTCACAATAAAATCAAAACCCTTTTTTTCTGTTGGTATTTTCACTCAGGCAATGTTTTAACACATACCATGTTGTATTTTGTGGTTGCTTTATCTCTGTTTTCTTCAATTTGATTATGAATCACTTAGTTTCTTATGATCTAACACTACTTTTTAATTTCGGCTCTATTTCTCTCCTTTAGCCATTAACCACCGTTATAAAAAATTGTGCTCTTCAGATAAATGGAATTTCTTTTAAACTAGCTTTTGTTGTTTACAGATCCTGTTGGAAGTTATCCCCTTGTGCCTCATCATTAACAGAAAGAAGTCAAAATCACTAACTTTATAAATGTGCCTCACTCTTTTTACTTAGATTGGTTTAATATGACGTGTTTGATCTTACTCTCTCTTGGGTTCTTGCTGTTCAGAATTGCAAGTCAGTATTAAGTATGATTACAGGGTTTTGGCCAATCAGAGCAAGATAAAAAAGTTTGTTAAGGTATGCAAGGTATGAAAACTCAGTCTCAGTGCTCTGAGGTAGTGTGCAAAAAAAAAGATGTTGTTTTGGTTGTCACAGGTAGGTAGACAGACCAGATTAAGTGTAAACAGCTCCTATACGAATCCTCTTGTGTATTCAAGTGCACAGCAGTGAAAAACAAACACTCTCAACTTACTATGACACGAGATTCTGCTCTGTGAGTATACTATTTGAGATGACAGAGGCTGAAGCCAACCTCATCTGTCAGTGTGCAACACAGAAAAGCTGCCCTGACGTCACAGGGTTATCTAATAGAGACACCCATGGGCATCCTGGAGTAGGTGTCTCCTTATATTAGTATATCAGGGTCTAAAAAATACCAATTCATCGTAAAAACAAGAAATAATTGTGAGCAAACTACATGTTTCGCCTGTAGCTGAAAACTTTCCATGGGGATAAACAGGAATAAATCTGAAATTTACAAAATTGAAGGTTGGCCCTCATCAGGGAACTTGAATATAGTTAGGAGCATATCGACGGACAAATAAACCTGATTGACAAGATTTGCGACAGCGTTCACAGGGAAGAGGTTAAAAACTTTTCAAGTAAGGGTGTGTTTGAAGGAACCGTGACGGCTCTGCGCAGAAAAGCCCCAGAATTTGAAGGAACTTTGCTGCGCGGCATCATCGCCGTACCTGTGTCTGAGTGCTTCAAACTCACTGGCTCTAACCAGTCTTGCTTCCTGTTCCCCCGTCATATCCTGATGAAGCCTCTGCTGCTCTTCTCTCTCTCTCTCTCTCTCTCTGTCTCTCTCTTTGCAGCTCGTCCTCCAGTCTGCCAGAGGTTTTGCTGTTACTCTGCGAGACTTATGAGCGTGTCCATGTGTGTGTGTGTGAGAGAGAGAGAGAGAGAGAGGAACACACCACTGTACCCCATCACACTGCCTACCCACCTACCTACCTAACTACCCACCTACTGCTGCTCTGCCGTTGCCATGGATACAGTGCCCTCTCTCGCCCCTCTCTCTCTCTCTCTCTCATGGTGGGTATGGAGGGATGGAGCGTAGAGGAGAGGAGAAGTGGCTCTGGCTGCTGCCTCTGCGTCATATTCATACCAGTGCAGCTGAGAACTGCCCCCCCCCTCTTTTTTCCCCATCCTTCCCTCCTTCCTTCCTTCTCATCATCCAATTTGCACACAGCTAGCCCCCCCCCTTCCCTCCATTTGTGTCTCCTATCTGCATCTGCTCATCTCTCTCTCTCTCTCTCTGTTTCTCTCTCTATCCTCTTCTCTCTCTCTTTCTCTGTTGGCGCAGCTCGGTTTCCTCTGCGCGGCTGGCTGACCCGGGCGGACTTTTTTCGAGCGAGCGTGGGCGCACGGGGAAGACAAAAGGTAAGCGTTTAGATGGAGGATGTTTAAGAGTGTTTGTGCATGAAAGAAAAAAAAAAAGAAAAGGAGAGGGAAAAAAGAAAGAAAGAAAGGAAAAGAGGGAGGGAGGGGGGCAGAACAGCTGCAAGACAAAAGATGGAGAGGTAAGCGTTGCTGGCGTGAACTCACCTGAGATAACAAGTGTGCCGCCAGGTGCTTTTGCGAAAAGGTTTTGCTGATGAAAAAGGTTGTCAGTGCGTGTGCGAAAGTGTCTGCTACAAGAGGACAACACGCAGGAGAGTGTGTTTGTGTTCAGGCAGTGAGTGTGTCTGCGCGGATGCACTTTGCTGTCTGTCACACAGTGTTGTGAAGCTGCTGCATGTTCCCACAGTGGAGAGAAGGAGGCGAACAGAGGGGGGAACTTCATTATTCTCAGAGTGCTTTTTTTGGGGCGATGTGTGGATGTGTTGACAGAGCGGGAATCTCTGTGTCTGCAGGAGTGTGAGGACAAGAGGAGAGGAGAGAGAGAGAGAGGGGAGAGAGAGAGAGCATGCCTGACAGTGGTGAAGTGCTCAGCTTCAAAGCCTAATCGCTCCTGGAAACAGAAGCCATTTCCCAAATCACATTCACACACCCCTCCTCTGTTTCCTCTCCCTTTTCTTCTTCTCCCCTCGCTTCTTGTCTCTCACACTCTCCTTTGTTCGGAGTTCCTCGTTTTTTACAGAAGCAGAATTTTCCCCTGTAAATGTCAAACCTGCAGATCACAACCTTCACACGCACAAAGGACTGACACGGTGACAGGAGAGCGGCGAGAGATGAGAGCGAGAACCTTGCTGGAACAGAAAAATAGGCTCAAAGTGTGTGAAATGAAAAGAAGGGGGGAGAGGAGAAGTAAAGGAGGCCCGCAGGGTTCTTCATTGTGTCTCGGCCCGGAGAACAGTGTCTGACACCGTGTATGACATTTAGCTGTGATGCTGCTGACTGCCTGCGTGCGGGTGTGTGGGGAATGTGCCTGTCAGCTTGCGTTTCAGTGGAGACAGTTGTTTGTCTGCTGTTAGTAGATTGGTTGTGAGTGACAGACAGCAGAGATCTGAGGCTTGTTAGACTGAGCTTTGACACACATGAGGGGGCTTTTTGTTAGCGCACAAGACGTATGGATACACAGCAGCGGTTTTCCCACGCTTGGACCAAAGTAGCTTTTTACTGACACAAACTTGGAACATTTTAAGATTTAGACGCCACGTAAAAGTGGATATTACTACAGAATTTTTTACAAGTGCACACTTTATGGGGTTTATTTGATGCCTTTATAGAGAGATTGGGCAGTGGATGGAGGAAAGTAAGAAGAGGGAGTGGGGAATAACACGGGGGCAAGTGCCACAGGTAGGAGTTGAACTTGCACCACCCACTTTCAGGGCAGAGGATTTAACCTTCCACCCAAACTGATGCTCCACAAATATCTCTAAATTAAAGCCATTAAATAATTTTCACCTTATTTTGATCTATTTTAACAGTTTCTCCATTCTTTGAGATTTTCCGAATTTTTTTTCAAGTTTATTTGAGTTGACAAACATATTTTTTATTGTTGTTGTGACGAACTTTTTATTGAACAATTTCAATATAACATTACTAACATAATGCCATTGCCCTGGCATTAAAGATTTCAGTAAGAAAGGAAAAAAACAGAAGAAAAAAAACATATTTGATTGTAAAAAAGAAAAGATCTAAATGAGGTTTTCTTTGGAAAAGGATAGACGTCACACTTTTAAGCAACATCTCTTGGAACAATTTAAAGGAAAACTTGACTCCTGTCTTTACTTGACCAAAGGTTTAATGACTAATTGTACAAAAAACATCTTTTCAAGTTATTTTTAGCTGCTAAACTGTCTTTTTCAACCTGTTAATGACGATTTTTTACCTCAGTATTCAAACTATTAGTCCATGAGCTTTATTTAACTGGTTCGGCTGCTCTTAGACTACCTTTAACGCTCTCTTAATTGCACAGAGATCTGCGTTAATGCTGCTACACTTGTTCATTAAATCCTTATTTCTGTTTTGCCTGATTAGTTGAGCTTCTCTGCAGTTTTACCGAGCACAACCCCAGGGGTTCCCTCGAGCTACAGGTACCGATTTTTCTGACATTTCCGCGCTTCACTTTTCTGCGTTTGTATTTTTCTCTCCGGGTTAAGATGAACGTTTTTCCCCGTTAACATTTCTGTCACTTTGTCTTCCATTCAGTCGTAGTAAACTGAAAGCTAAGGCTCTGGCAGTCATCCATCTGACGGGATCAGACACATGAGCAACAAAGACATCCAGCTCATTGGTGTCAGTTCTGTGCTCGTGTGTTTGTGTAGTGAAGTGTGAGATTATGAGATTATTGGCTGGCAGAACAGGCTCGCTTGAGCTGAGAGAAGTTATGGGATGAACAGGAAAAAGGGAAACCAGAGCCGTGGAGGAGGGAGAGGAAATGAAACAGAATCAAATCAAGCAACAATGAGCTGCAGGAAAGGTCAAGGTAATATCAACAGGACGAGGAGATTAAATTGACAGAGTGAAGTGAGATTAAAAAGGGAGGAAAAAGAGGCAGAGGCTGCGGGCTAAAGCGTCTGCAGCAGAGTCGGATTGTTTACACGCTGCTCCTGTTGGGTTTGAGCGTGTGCGCGGTTGCATGTGCACGCTCTTCCTGCCTCCCATGGGTCTCCAGTGTCCCCGCGCTCCAGGTGGGCTTTGCATTTTTAATCGATACTGTCTGTAGTGATTAACACCAGTCTTCTCTCAGCAGCAGCAGAAAGGCAGGAGGAGAAAAAAGGAGAGGGAGACAGAGAGAGATGGAAAACTGTCACAGAACGAGGCAGGGTGTGTGTGTGTGTGTGTGTGTGCAACAGAGTGTGTGTTCATGTGTGTTTGTTTGGCAGTAATGACCCTCTGCCTCTGGGCTCCTACTGAGTATGTTTATCTCCCACAGCAGCAGCAGGCAAAAATGGACGATGCATCACTGCCACACACACACACACGATAACACACACATGTGCACATGCACACACCTTGTACATTTTTCCTCTCCCTTTGCTTTGCTCTAATTGCCTCCCTCCTGCATTCTCCCCCTCTCACACGCACACAGATCCTCGCTCCGTTCCTTATTACTTACTCCAGTCTCACATACTGTACAGAGGCTTTCTTCCTGTCTCATTTTCCCTCCCACTTGTGTTGCAATATGCCTATTAATGATGCAGCTAGAGCAACCTCTGCCAAGTTCCTGCCTCTGACAGAGAGAGGAGTGTAGTTGTGCTGTACATGCCCTGCTTTGTACCACTCCCTCTAATCTCTCCACCCCTCTGCCTGTCTTGTTTTCCCTCAGAGTTAGCCCATGCGAGCAGCGGCGTGTGGACTGAGTGCAGCTGTTTCGTTCCGAGCAGAGCCCAACATGTGAGAAGATGTCTGTTGGAGGTTGTGCTTGTCCTGGTGAGTGTCTACTTATTTTCTTTTTTTGCTCTTTCTGTTTTGTCCCTCTTGTTCTTCTTCTTCTTCCTCTTTCCCGCTCCGTCTCTGTGCTCAGTGGTGCTGTCAGAAAGATGACTTATGTAAAAAGTGCTGCAAAGCCGCCCAGGGCCAGTGTCAAGCTGTGTGAGTGTGAGTTTTGTTTGCGCGTTCATGCTTTTGTGTGTCGGTGAAGCGCTCGCAACACATGTCCTAAAACAAGGTTATGGACTGAGGCTACCACACACTGGGATTGAGTTGTTCAGCAGAGCCTCTCAGTCACGCTAGCTTGCTGTGCAGCAGATCAATGGCTCTTTCAGTTTCACCACACAGAGAGACACTGAGGTATCAATAAGTACTTCACTCGCTGACTCTTTTCGCTGTTTGTCTCGGCTTTATCTGGCAGCTGTAGGCCTGCTTTACGTTTGAAAGAGTTGCTTTAAATCCATTTTCTGTCAACGTCGGAACTGCTTTTTGTATTTAGTCTAAAAAAACATGTAATACACTCACGCTTGTCCATCTCATAATGAGTCCATGTGGTTAATTTGCTTTTTTAAAGCTCCTGCAACATAATTTATGAGACACCTACCCCCTGACATTTGACTTTAGCCTTAAAAAAGAAACAATTAGAAATACTCAAAGTTTTTCTTGATGGTCTTGTTGTCTTTTGTAGGTCAGATGGAGGCACTAATGTTAATTTCAGTCTTTTCTATGACCGATAAAAAACTCTTTACAGTAGCTTTAATGTGACGAGTTATTACCTGAATCTTCTTGGTGCAGTTTTGATATCATCCAGCCTGTTGTTGTCACTAACTCTATATGCACAGTAAAGTCTATCTTCTACATTCACACCTTCTCCTGTTAGCCTGTTACGTCACATACTAAAGTAATCCACAAAGAAGTTAGCAAGAGGCAAACTGACAGTGAATCAAACGGTAAAAACACAAACAATTTGATATCTCTGAACCTTTCGTACGTCTTTGTGTTATTCTGACAGGTTGAGGTTTCGTTTGTGACCCAATTTCTGTCGACACATTTATGCTGTTTGACTTATGAGGGACAGCTTAGTATGTGAACAGGGGAGCACAGGCAGAACTTAGACCAGTTTGGGGATAATGAGAGGTACGGAATGACTTAGTGCGGTTTTATTTGGACTGATATGTCATATTTTGTCAGTCTGTGATCCCTGAGTTTTATTCTGTAAGATTACTTTTTTCTTTCCGCTCCTTCTTCCTTCCTTTTTTAAAAACATGGGACAGGTGGAGAAGGGGATTATTTTTCTTAATTCGAGCTTTATTGAAGCTGGTGCAGCTGTGAAAGAGAGGAAAGTTATGTGACTAAGAAAAGACGGAAACATGCAGCAAAGGGTTAAGAGCTGGAAATCAAACTCAGGATTTTAATGTAAACAGTCTACCTGGTGAACCACAAACACGCCCTTCTAGTGAGCCTCTGATAAAGACTACAAGTCAAATACTTACTATTGTGCAAGTGTTTTAAGGGTTAGTATCCACACTTTGAGCAAAAGCAGTGAAATGTAGATCTCTGTTCGACCGTCTGCGACATGTTTGAGCAATTTTTATCAAGTAAATCGCTTAATCTTTCCTCTTCCCCGTTTTGATCCTGCTCGACTTGGAAGCAATCTCTCTCAAACAGTACCCCGGTGAGAGCAGGCGGGCCACACAGCAACCCTCACAGCGCCGAGGGGACGGGCACAAGGGAGCAAGTAACAGATAGAAATTGAATCGCAGTGTCAGCTCAGGGGGATCTCAGAGAGGCCTGATTGAATTAAAGTGTCAGTTTCATTTTAATGGCGCTGTTCTGATTCATTGGTAGTCAGCTATCAGATGGAATAAAATTAGAGAAAGGCTCCGACTTGATGTTCTCTTCTCTGTATCTCGCTTCCTCCTGCAGCTTCGCCTGGGATCTCTGCCTCCTTCTGCTCCCTCTGTTGACAGACCAGAAACTTTTAATGGCAGCCACATGTTTTTGAGAGGAAAAAAAAAAAAGGGGTCGAACAGCAGATTTGACATGAGCACAAATGTTCAGACTCTCGCAGGTTTTCACACGCAGTAACACCTTCAGGAGGAGCCGACTAGGACATGTTACGGCTGGTGGATCTCTCAGATAACGACATTGATCAACAGCAGTCTCTCTCTCTCTCTCTCTCTCTGCCTTTGTGTGCGTGCTGTAAATCATTACATTTGAAGGCTGGTTTGTTTACATTCCTGTATGATGGTGGATGGAAGATCCTCCCCGTCCCTTTTGTGTGTGTGAAGCTGCATCAGAAAAAACAAAATCCTCTCTCTCTCTCGTTCTAACATCACTTTCTCTTTTCATCTGCACTCAGTCTTTGTGTTGTTTTTGGGTCAGAGCGTTTTTTGGAAACTGAGGAATCTGAAGTGAGCGTATTTGCATGTGGCAGAATGTGGGCCATAATGAAGAACAGACTTCTCCTGTCTGTCTGGTTGGTTGACAGCGCTGTGACATCCCGCTGTTGTTGTGACTTTGCTGTGAATCAGCCTTTTTAGGGCTTTGTTCGCCGCATGAAGGAGATCCGTCCTAACACATCGGAGCCAATCACATCCTTTGTTCTGACTAAATGGTAAAAATAGATTGCCTGTGAGCCGAAGATACCCCCCCCTCTCTCCCTCCGCTTCACTCTCCCATGCACCCACACAAGCATGCCTTCCCTTCTTCTCACCCCTCCCTCCCATTCCTGCCTCCCTCATCTCACTCTCTCTCCCCCTCTTCCTCCTCTTTCACCCTCTCATCCTGCACTCGCTGCCTTTTTTGCAGTCACAGTGCTGTTACCTCATGCAGAAAGTCACATGGCTCCTGATTGGAGAAAAGTGACTTAAAGCAGAGCCAAGATGGCAGCCAAACAGCCAGCGCTTTTTTTTTTTGATTACCGTTACACAACAACACGACTGCCTCAGCTTTATCTCGCCGCGCTGAAAGCCTGCGCCTCTCTTTCTTTCTTTTTTCCCCACTTCTTCTTCTTCTTCTTCTCCTGCCTCGTAACACCCCCCCTCCCCTCCTCTCTCTCCACCAGAGTGAGTCTCTCAGATCTTGTTTGCAAGATCAAAATGGCTGTGTGTGCAGAGGCAGAGAGAGAAGGAATGCGTGGGAGACAGAGATGCTGGGGAGTCAGAGAGATGGTGGTGGTGGTGGTGAGGAGGGGGGGCTGTAATGATGTCACATCTGCTGCAGGCCGACAGGATGGCAGAGAAAAGCTGCCATGCAGCTCAGAAGAGGAGGGAGGAAACTAAATGTGTGGGATGGGAAGAGTGATTTTCTATCAAAGCGCACCTTTATTTGTGGGAGCTGTAGCAGCGGTGGAGTCTTTACAACATGAGAGCGAGGCAGTAGTCAGATAGAGGCTGATGCTGGCAGAGAGCAGGAGACAAAAGGTGTGAGCACAGACGCAGAGTTGTTTGAAAGCATGGCGCTGTGTCTCTTTGCCGTCTGTGTACGTGCTTTTGCGTGAGTTTAAAGATATTTCTGTCTCTGAACAGAATTATGACCTTTTATTAATGAAGGAGTTTTTCAAATCTTGGTTAATTTATGACTTGTGAGAGATGCATTTGAGGTTACTTAACGGGTTTTCAAACCCACTGTGAACATTTTTTTTATTATCAAGATTTATTTTGAGGTTGTTTTTGTCTGTTATTGACATATAGAGGTCAGTGGATAGATACATGTAGGAATAAAGCCACAGGGTAGAATCGAACCTGGGCCGCTGAGACCGCTAAGCTTTTCTGTGAAGAGATTTTTATATGATGAACACCTCTATATGATATACAAAAGCACACAAAACTATTAGAAAGACCGATTTTCATCTAAACCGGTAAATCTAAAGCCTGTCGCTGCTGCCTATCAGAGCGATATGCAGACCTGACATGAATTTATTTTTCAGGAAAAAGAGTCAAAGGAGGTGATTCATTTGAAAGTTGGATAAGCAAAATGTTTTCTTATCATCAAAAAAATGCTGCTACACAAACCTCACGACTGCTTTAGGGCTTAACAAGATGCAATTTGACCAATGCAGCTGCAAAGTGCGCATGTGCAGTCCTCAATCCAATACAGTCCAGTCCTCTTTATTTATACAGTACATAGCAACAAACAGTAATGTATAAAAAATTCTGCACAAAAAAATAAATAAATAGAACACATATGAAGACAGTGAAAAAACCCGCTGAGTAACAGACGGCTATTAGACGTCTAGTTTTTTTTAAACCTAATTTCAACCGTCTAGATTTTGTATATTTCTAGACGGAATTTGGACGTTTCACTTTCATCCATTATTCGATAACTAAGAGAACCTGGAGAATTTGACTTTTCTGTAGCTCTGAGAAGCACCTGAATGTGAAGTCTACCATCAGTGGTTAGTGAGATGCTCTCTGCTTGCTCGAGACTCTTTGTAGTGAGCTGGTAGGACACAACAGTGGACAGGGTAGGAAATGGAGTGAGCGCAGGAGTGAAAGGGACACCGGCTGGTTTACTGCTGGAGGCATAACCTCCTGTAAATGAAGACAGCGTTTAGACGGTGGACTTCATAAATACACTGTTGCTTGATTAAAAATACCTATTTGGACTTGTCTTTGGTGTCAGAGGTGAATAGTGCCCTCTGTAGATTTGAGTGAGTATATGCAAATTAAAGCAAATGTTGACATTTAACAGATGAAAAAGGTTTTATATTGAGGTTCAATCAGAGCAGAGTCTGACTCATCAGGCTTACACAATTTGTATTTAGGATGAGAGTGATATTTCACTTTGTGTGACGTGAATGAGGAGCTTTGATTTAGATAGAGTTTTCATTTTCCTCTAAAACCAAGTGCTTTGTTTTCCTCGTCTCATTATTCCCCATCTGTGAGGAAGCTTAAGAAAGTCTTTGCATACCATCATCTCTGCAGTCTGTCTCTGTGTTGTTCACTTTAAGACGTGGCAGTAAAACCGAGTGTTCAGGGTTGTGAAACAAGGTGAGAGAAGCGAGTGAAGGACACTGTCATTTATTCCTCTGGATGTTGCAGTGAAAATGTCTACAGTCCTCGCTGCCTCGTGCACAGGTTTGACTCCAGCCTCAGCTCTCTGCTGCACGTCATCCTCGCTCTCTCTTTCTTTCTTTCCTGTCTCTCTTTTATGCTCAATCGCCATGGAAACAATCTCACACAAAAAGGTCCAAACCTTGATGAAATCTCCCTTCGAGATTGGCTAACTGACCGTCGACTGCTGTCATCGTCCACAACAGCAGCCCTCACACACCAGCTTTCTCTCCTTATCACTCTTTTTATCTCGAACACATGCAGTTTAACTTCCTCCTGTCAGACACAGCGGCCCCCTCTGGGTGCTGTCTTGTGGCTATCACCACCAGGCAGGTGCCACAACAGTTTCCCTCACAGTTTTCTGCTTCCACTGTGGTGTGGAGAAAAGCTGCAGCAGGAACTGGAAACAGGCCGTTTACTAGAGCTCTCTTCAGATTTCCTCTCTAAAGCCTCACTGTCCTTATCATCGCCTCACCACAGGTACATTATATCTAGTGTTGTGTCGTTGGTGAACGATTTGTTCAAAAGAACCAAATCTTTTAAGTTAATGCACCAAACCAAATCACTTTTGTTCATTTCTCACTTCAGTTGAGCTGATGTGAGAAACAGCATTGCCAGGCGAGCAGCCGGTGAATGAGGGACCACATGCACCAACGCCTGAATCACTTGGTGAACGAATCACGCATTAAACTACACTCTCTGGAATCATTTTTGTCGGACAAGACTACCTATTTTTTCACTGATAAATTTCCACCACCACAATTTGCATTCAATAGGACACAGCATTTGACAAGTAGTGCATTAAACCCACAACATCCTATCATTGGAGTGGTTTGCGAGGGAACGTTGTATGTTCAGTGTGAATTCTTCAAAACGTTCAGTGAACAAATCACTCACTGACCCCAATTTACCGAGCAGACCTGATAAATAGCATACCATAGGAGAGTACACTTAAAACATCATGACTTATAAACAAGTTCATTTTTATAAACCTGTTTGCCAAAGCAACACAGCCAAACACTCGTGTCTTCCAGTCCCAGAAGCTTTGAATTGAACTGAATCCTGAACCGTTCAGCTGTGTATCAGTTCAGGAGGTCGGAGTGGAGTGAAGGGTTAAACAGGCATCTCATATATCTGCAACAACTGTGCAAAGAGACAAACCTCTCAAGAGAAGGTCAAAGGAGGAGATTTGAACAGTTTTAGGTAGTTTCCAGTCACTACCTAAGCATATTTTTGCTTAAAATGCCCACCCCTTTGTGTAAGTTAGATGGAGTAATTTGTGTGGAGTTTTATTCCTGGAACTTTCTTGACTCACATCGAGGAAATATGACCAAAAAGCTGCTTCCTTGCCTGTGACTAAAAATGATTGAAACCCTAATTGATCCGCTGCTCTTGAGTAAAATATACACCCCAAAGCAGCTGATTGTAATGAGTCTAAATAGAGCAACAGATTTACTAAAATTAGGGGTTTTAATGCTTAAGAACTGTTGTGAATACTGTGGGGAAACTCCTGTCTCATCTGCTGTTCTCTACTCTGAACATCAGGATGATGTTTGCAGCGTTTGCCAGCAGAGGGTGATGCTGTTCTGTCACATTGATGCTCGTGTCAGTCCATCAACTCTGAACTGACTGCAGACTAGAAAAAACATCAAACTAAAACTTAAACCTGCCATACAAAACAACCTGATTCAGTGTCTACTGTAACAAAAATATTTTTCTTTAGCAACGCCAAAGTTTACTTTTCAAGCTGTAAACTATGAAAAAAACTTCAGATTAAAACAAATTAGTGATAACAAGGTTTTGAGTGGCATGTCCTGCCTTGGGGTGATGGAGGTTGATTGTGATACATATCCAAATAAGCTTACCAATATCCAGGTGTAAGAGTCAGCTGCAGCTGTGCAAGTCAAAACTAATTTAAGAAACATCCTCAAACTATTTTAACGTCAGGAATCCAATTTGAAGCAGTATTGTTGATCGTTAGATGTTGTTTCGATGATGTAGCCAACAATACTCGTCAAATATGTTACTCGTGCAGTAATCAGATCTGAACTACAGCTGCTGCAGATGATGTCTATCTGCTCTTTATGCATCGTGAATGACCGCTGCTGGTCAGATGTGTTTACTCTCTAAATAAAATGCTTGGCCTGGTGTCTCTCATCTACTCTCCTGGCTCATATAATTCCACAAACTGACGAGCAGCCCAAGTAAAAGCCTCAACAAATTGAGTTTGAAATGCACTCTGAGACCACAAAAGATTTTCCGGTCTTCAACTATATTGCATGTAAACATTAGAGTGGTTATTGATTAAAAGTGAAGCAGCAGATTATACTCTTACATAATCTGGGTCTGTGGTAGGCTCAGGACTCCGGGCTGAAGGATTTGAGTCATCAGACAGGTCAGTCATTTTTTGTAAGCCCTTAGAAATGAAACGTAAAATGCACGGTCTGTTTTGGTTACTAATTATTTGTCCATGCAGCAGATCTGAATCACACCGAATGGATTTTTAAAAGGGGGATTTGAAGTGATTTGTCTTATTAATTACTGCACTCCTAATGTCGGGATGAACAAAATGGTTAAAGACGACAAGTGCTTTGTTGACATGGTAAATTATTTTCAGTGCTACATCATTACTCATGAGTATTATGATTTAATTTGGTTTCAATGGCACAAATGTTTTATTAATCATGCAAGTGGGAAAAATAAAAAAAGATTTCCAGGTTAAATATCGGTCACCAGGGCTCAAATGTTACAACTGTACAGTGCATATTTTACTTTTTTAACTACACTGCATAAACTTGTGTATTGCCATCTGCGGTCTTTACTAAAGTTGGTATAACTAGAGGAGCAACGTTGTGTCTAACTCTGTGTTACGGTGTGTTTAACCCTAACTTAATTTTACGCCGAAATATCCCTTATATACCTTTAGTTATAATGTACTGTGCATATTCTAAGGAACCTATCAACTATTATGAAAAAATTTGCTTTAATAGGAAGACTGAGGATAAAACTGAGTCGTTGTAGTGAGTGTTGTTGGTGTTCCTAATGTTTAGTCTCCTTCATATTTGCTAATGAAGTAAACAAGAATATCAGGAACAGATTCATTATAACACCAGTACACCACTATCACCCACTAGTTCTTCATCAATAAACTACAGTGCAGTAATCACCTCCCTGATCATGTCAATAAAAACTAAAAATGCAGAGGAATTATTGTTGGAGCTATTGTTTTGGATTGCATTAAAAGACTCAAGTGTTCCTAATGTTGTGGCAGGTCGGTGTTGGTTCCTCCCACCTTGTTCCACCTCTGTGGACCCTGGTGCAGATTGTGCAGGTCCTGGACATCATCACTAATTGGGGGCCCCTGTCAGGGAGTCTGTCCGGCCTGTTTGTCCCGGTCTGTGAGCTGGGATGGGCGGAGGAGTCTGGAGGAGGAGGCGGGGCCTTTGTTTGTTCGTGTCTCGGCTGGCAGGAACAAAGGGTCCTGTAGTAGAAATAGTGGATAGGTAGCACCTTCCCCCACTGAAGCGAGTGACATTTTCAACATATCGGGGATTTTAAAATTGACAGGACCGTGGAGACACAGCCGGTGTTTTCTACTCTCCATCCGCCGCCTTCCCGTTTCTCATCGCCGGACTGTGTTAACCAACGGTCGGGGCTGGAGCGCTCCCCCATCCAGCCGTTGAGGCTAACCGAGAGGCTAGGCGGCTAAACACCGAGCGGAGGTGTTGAGTAAACACCGCGTTTCGGTAGACCTTTCTCTGCAGGTAACTCAAACTTAAAGCCACTCGACTTTACAACAAATTTGCCTCACTAAAAAGCTTAAAAACTTGTCTTAAACTATCACATGAATTTATAAGTGCGCGTTGATGCTAACCGGAGTGTAGCAGCTAGCTAGATGCATAATTTAGCAACCATCCTCTGCAAACGGTTAATGAACGCGGCCTTGTCGCTCAGTTTATATCTGCTTATGTTTTAAAGTCTGCAGATAAAGAGTATCTTTATGCATGTCTGAGATGAACCTCTGAGTTGACAGTAGTGTGCAGTGAAAAATGTGTGTCTGCACATTGCTTTGGATGCTTTATTGGATTAGGGCCAGCCTCTGGATGTACGCTATTGTTTGCTGTGAACAGTTTGGGCGGACTAAACAGCATCAAAGTCTCATCGTTTAAAGTCCACCATTACCAGAGTGGTTCTCCATCTGCAGCTTTTACCAGACTTAAATCATGTGCAAACTGAAGATGCTCACAGACTGGGGAATATATGTGTTTAAAACCATGTTGTTTATATGTGAAATATATCTGTGAAATGGTCATTATTTTCATTTTCATACTTTATTTCATTCAGTTAAGGAAATATCTTTTAACATGAGAATAAAAAGGAGCAGAAAGAAGAAAACTCTAATAGAGTCTGCCCTCTTTCATGATATATTAATCAGCTAAACACATAATGAAAATAAACAACATGCCTTTTTACAGTTCAATATTTCTTATTAAAAAAACAAACCACAAAACGAACAGAAAAGACCTCGTAAATTCACATTTTTTCACAAAACAAACATACCAAGACTTGAATTATTAACATATTTCCATGTATTTATTTAACATACTGGCTTTGACACTTTTTTTTTGAAGATAAATTTTGATTTAGTTACTTTGTTCAGATTGTTCTACAAACTCATTTTTTTTCCTAATATTTCAAATCCTTCTAAATTATAACAACTTTATCCTTTTTCAAATCGGCTCTGGTAAAATTTCCTTATGAGCTTTATACATAAAATGCAACATCTACTAACTCATTGAATTTCAACAACTGCAATTCAACAAAAATCTCTGCATTGACATTAGATGCTTGTGTTAGGAGAGACTCTATAAGCTGCAGATTTATGTCGATCGGATTAATGCCCCTTTTTCCTTGGATGTATGTTAGTGTTTATTTAGGGCGCATAACTCCCTCTGTTTCAACTTTTTATTGCATGTCAGAGAAAATTAGATGCACACACTCAAATGTCTTGTAAGGGAATTTGTGTTGTGCATCAGATTTAACCATGACTTTACATAGGGGCTGAATGCTGTCTGGAGCTGGTGGCTGCTGGTGTTGTAGAGGGTGGGCCGATAGGTCAGAGGTAAATGCTTTGAGAACCGTAGCTGAATGCCCCCGGAGCAGGTTCACCCCCATTGGACTAGGGAGGAGAGGGTGACCTGCCATGACTCTTCTTGCATGTAAGAAAAGAGCGAGAGTAAATGAAGGCGGAGACACAGAGATGGGGACAGATCAGAGTTCACGGGGGCAAACTTAACCCGAGTGATTCTTTTCTTTTTAGATTTGACAACTTTATTAGTGAGAAAGTCTACCTGCAGACTGGATTATATTTTCCCTTAATTTCCTAGCAAAAACTGCACAATATGCAAATTTAGATTACCCGGTTTGAATGCATTATAAAGAGAACAATACAAATTTGAGTTATCTTTCCAAAAGCACCACATTGTGTAGTTTTATTGCAAACCATGTAAATGATGTGTAATTTGCTGTCAGATCTTGGCATATCCAAAGACTTGCGCGGTTGTTAGGGCCACTAATTTTTCCTTGTGTTGCCTTCAGGGGCCCTTTGGGAATACAAGATTTACATGCAGGTTTATCATACACATCAGAGGGACAAACACAGGGTATGCTTACATCTTGATGTTGACAGAAGACTGCAGAGTGTACTAAATTCCTTCAGCTGACTTCACTTGTTTCTGTGTGGAAAAGCAGGGTAACTAACAACATTGGCTGTGATGTTCCAGTCTAGGTCAGATACCAAAGGGTTGTTATTCTTCAACATCTCTGTCCTCCATTGCCTACTTGCTTTGGTCAGACCTAATTACATGCAGCCGCTGTCTGTGTGAGGTCTCTTTGAGAAGCAATATAGAATAGATGTTTTCTCAAGGCCCTGAATTGTTTGAGCATGAATGCTTTATCCGGACAGACAAGGGTTAACAACGACCAGGGTAGCGAGTTGGGGGATGGGTGGAAGAGGCAAACTAGAGGGGGGAGATGCACGGTGCAGAGTGTGGGTAGGATTACATGGGGCTGTATGCAGAGAAGAGGGTTCCCCATAACAGTATGGAGGTTGAAAGAACATGCCACAACAACATCTCAGCGTGCATCCACCCATTTCACTGATTATTTTCTCAGATTGCTTCAGGCTAATAAATATTCCTGTTTTTTTCCTCCCTCTGTGATGATTCGGTTTCTTGTCCATTTACCAGATTGAAGATGCATTAGGTAATGAAAGCAGCAGGAAATTGTTTTGGCAGCATGCTTTTATTGGAGTAAATCTGGACAAAATCATCCAACATTAGATTACTTAGATGACGCTGTGATTTGAATGAGCTAAATCTAAAGTAATCTAAATCTCCTCTAAATCTCTGCTCTCTTTTTTTCCCCCTCCTCTGCTGCTGTGTGCTTGTGCGCAGGCTGTTCGTCAAAGTCATTCAAGCTGTACTCTCCTAAGGAGCCCCCAAACGGCGGCAGCTTTCCCCCCTTCCACCCAGGCGCTATGCTGGACAGAGATGTGGGGTAGGTGTGGAGTTATACAGAAAGAGACTATATCTTAAACAAGGGTCATTTCAGTTTATTGTAATTTGTTGTCTTGGCAGAGATGTGTTTAACTTAAGGTGCTAATATATAATTCATCAGTACAGATCTGTTTTGATGCTTCAAAGCTTAAATTCTTCAAATTCTCATAGTGGAAAAAAATACAGTGAAAGCTCATTACACTGAGAGCTGATTGATTGTAACAGTGGAGGTTCAATATGTGTGTTATTTCTCCCTCCACACAGGCCTACACCCATGTACCCACCATCATACATGGAGCCTGGAATGGGGTGAGTGCGCTGACTGAAAAAAAATTAATCCAGAGTTGCAATTCGTCTTAGCACGGATGTAATTTACAAGATGAGCTTCCTCTAAAGTCTACATCACTGTTTTCTGTTTTAGGAGACCCACACCGTACGGGAACCAGACAGATTACCGGATATATGAGCTGAACAAAAGGCTACAGAATTGGACGGAGGTGAGAGTCGTTTCATCACTGACACAGAAAGTAATAAAAACACAGTGGTGCCTTTACAAACGCAGTAAGCGTATGTGAATTTTGAGTCGGATCTGAACCTGAACTATTTCCTGTTGCCATGTTTTCAGATTTTCCTCTTCCAGCTGCTGTTTATCAGTAGCTTACCACGCGAGGGATTTTTGCTGGAAATTAATCCAGAGTACTCACTGACTTAATTTACATTCAGGCTGTAATAGGATTAACTGATCAACCTGGCTGAAGCATAATTGGAGTGCCATGTCCAAGTGTGCGACAGACTATATGCTATGAGCCGTGTTTCATATGTGACAACAAATACATGCACAGGAATCTGCAAGGGGGGTTACATGTAGGGGAGATGATTTCACAGGGATTGACACTAACTTTTCTCACAAGGAGCACATAAAGAACTTTAGGGGCACAACAAGCACAGTGTCCCCTGTGAAAAAGTTTGTCTCCTCAGCGTCATACTTGTTTGTTCTGTTCATTTGCTGAATCTGTTTCATTTAGCATCCACATCAATTCCTTATCATCTGCAAATTTGACGGATTCTCTTGGTGGGATTGTGCAGGAGAGAGAGTTGTAGAAAAGTTATATAAGTCGTAAATTTGGGGGAACATGAATTTTTAGTTTTCATTTTTTAAACAAGACGCAAAGTCAGTCACATTTTATCGATTATGGGAGGGGCAAAAAGGGATACTCTGGCGTAAAATTAAGTTAGGGTCAAACACACAGTAACACTGAGTTAGACACCCCCCTGAGAGATGAATGTTGCCGACCGCTTGCTTCTCTAGTTATACCAACTTTAGTAACGACCGCAGGATAGCAATACAGAGAGCCGTGTGCTCAACCAAAACGCCACTCTATAGCCACAAATAATGCTCAGAACAGCACCTAACTTCATCAACAGGACATATAGGGTCCCAGCCATAATACTAGCCACCAAATATCTTTTTAACTTTGACTGATTTCTTTAGGAAAGAGACTAAACACAACTCACCTACTCTCTTCCAGCAGCCGTTTGTTTGTAGCGAGACCTCAGGCCAGTCCATTACGGACTACAGCGGGGTGACGCTTTTTACTCTGGAATATCCCTTTAAGTTGTATTAGTTGTGCAGCCCTGATTCATGGGATTAAAGACTCTGTAACTTTTCTTCCTTTGTCTACAGGACTGTGACAATCTCTGGTGGGATGCTTTCACCACAGAGTTTTTCGAGGATGACGCCATGCTGACCATCACCTTCTGTCTGGAAGATGGACCCAAAAGATACAGTAAGGTTTCTTCCGTACAGATGAGCATTTTCATGTCCTGTATGAAGATGTGTATTTCAATTTAAATGCTCATGGTTTTACTTTGATAGTGTGTTGTATATGAATGTCAGTTGGCAGATCCATCCACTAAAGCTCAATTTCATATTTCAGTTAAGTGACTTTATCAGCCCACAATGCCTACATGTGTCAGCTGTCAGGGTTTGCATCACTCCATGTGCACATATAATTTTTATTTAAAACCTTTTTTCCATTTTCCTCAGCAATCGGCAGGACGTTGATTCCCAGATACTTCCGCAGTATTTTCGAGGGGGGCGCCACAGAACTGTTCTACGTTCTGAAGCACCCGAAGGAGTCCTTCCACAGTAACTTTGTGTCCCTGGACTGCGACCAGTGCACCATGGTGACCCAGAACGGCAAACCCATGTTCACGCAGGTAAAGTTACTGTGATGCTGGATGTAAAAGAAAATTCAGCTGTTGTTTACGACTCCTAACTCAGATTTCCCTCATGTGTGTCAGGTGTGTGTGGAGGGTCGCCTGTACCTAGAGTTCATGTTCGATGACATGATGAGGATCAAGACGTGGCACTTCAGCATCAGACAACACAGAGAGGTCCTACCGAGGAGCATTTTGGCTATGCATGTGAGTTTCAGACTACAGACACTGCTAAAGAGGGTTAGGGACTCATTACAAGAAAACAATAATTAAAGGAAGGAGATTAAAATCAAAATTTTGAGATTAAAAAAATCGAAATCATGTCGATAAAGTTGAAATTTCGAGATTAAAAATTGAAAATTTTAATTAAAGTCAAATTTGAGAGTATAAAGTGTCGAAATGTCATGAATAATATCGAAATTTTGAGGTTAAAAAAATAAAAAATTGGGATTAAAGGTAAAATTTGGAGATTAAAATTAGCATGAAAAAAATTGAGATTTTGACTCTCTTAAATTTCGACTTAAATCTAGAAATTTTGACTTTAATCTTGAAAAGCAAATTAAAAAACAATTTCCTCCTATAATTATTTTTTTCTAAATGCAAAAACTGCACATATATTTGACTGTGTTATTGTTCTCAACAAATCTCACAGGATCCCCAGATGCTGGATCAGCTGGCTAAAAATATCACCAGGTGTGGGCTGTCAAACTCCACCCTCAACTACCTCCGTGTAAGAAGCTTCATCTATGATACCTGAGCCTTTTTAGATTTTTATTACATTGTGCAGCAACCAGTCCTTATACCTCCTCTCTTTGTCTTCCCTGAAGCTCTGTGTGATATTGGAGCCCATGCAAGAGTTGATGTCAAGACACAAGACCTACAGCTTGAGCCCCAGGGACTGCCTGAAGACCTGCCTCTTCCAGAAGTGGCAGAGAATGGTAGCACCTCCAGGTAACAAGAGACACTTTCAGAGTTGTCACTCTCTCTAAATGTCCCTCACAGGCCCAGATGCAGGTACAGTTGCACAGTCGTCTCCTACGATGTAACAACATGATTGTGAGAACATATCTTTGTGTGTCTTCTGGTAGCCGAGCCAGCCAGACAAGCTCCAAACAAGAGGCGGAAAAGGAAGGTGTCGGGCGGAAGCACCGTGAGCTCCGGCGGAGGCAGCAATAACAACAGCAACAGCAAAAAGAAGAGTCCAGCAAACAGCTTTTCACTCTCCAGCCAGGTACCTGTAAGCATTACATCTACTTTGACCTCTCTCTGAACCTGCTAGATCAGCCGAGCAAGGTCTGTGGGTGGAGGGTGGGAAAGAAAGAAAGGACAGTGATGAGTGGGTGTAGGAGATTTTGGCTGGGATTTGTATGTAGGAGTAGTTGTAGCAAGAGGGACAGAGATAGCAGAGAGAGCTTCTGGAGGGGGGATTGGATACAGATGTGGTTTGGGTTCTGGGTTTACTCCTGTAATGTTAGATCTAGAGAGTTGACCCCCTGATGTGAACCAGTGATGGGCAGTCCCTGGTCCTCTGGGGCCACAGGTTTATGGGTTTATATAGAGGAGGTTCAAGTGACCTCTAACTCTAAATTTTAGGGCCATGGGTTAGGGTTACCTTGCTCTGATTATTTTTTGTGGAACAGTCAGGTTTGATCTCCAAATGAACTTTGGTTTTAGTGTTACCACTAAGTCTATCAGAGCACATGACTCACACAGCACTGCTGTCTTTGCTTACGTGGTTGTTTGATTGAGCGAACGAGACCCGAGGTGGAATGAAAACCCCCTGATGCAGCACTCAAGGATCAGGGATGCCCACTGCTGGCCAGTAGGGAGGGTCCCTCGACCCTGGTTCTTGGAACAGGGGCAGGGAATCAGGCCCACATGGACTACTGAACTGTCGTGTTAGACGCCCTAAAACATTGTCCTTGTGTGAAAAGGTTAAGATAAAAAGGACGATAATAACCTTAAAGTCAATCATTGGAACACTTGAGTCCCTCAAACCTAGCGTGAAGTTTAACTGAACTGCATTTCATCAGTCAAACTTAGATCATAAAGTTAGATCATAACTAAGCCACAAGCAAGACACGCCACAGTTACAGCTCGTCCATACAGTCAGTCATTCGGCGCGCACCCCTGTATTATGGGGATAATATGTACCGGCCCTTGCTGTCCCCTTTAGGACGTGATGATGGTGGGAGAGCCCACTCTGATGGGAGGGGAGTTTGGTGACGAGGACGAGCGTCTGATCACGCGGCTGGAGAACACGCAGTTCGATGGGGCGAATGGCCTGGAGGATGAGGACAGTTTCAACAGCTCGCCTGCACTGGGGGCTCACTCGCCCTGGAACAACAAGGCTCCCTCCAGTCAGGAGAGCAAGAATGACAACTCCCAGTCATCCCAGTAGAGTGCTAAGGGACCAGACTGCCCCCCTTTTTTTTGAAAAGCTTAAAAACAAAACTGGGATCCACCTGAGCCAACACACTAGTGAGAGGAGTCAGGGAGGAAGGCCTCGAGAAGTTGTGTTCAGTTACTTTCTGTTTCTTTTGTTCCGTTCTGTATTTTTTCGACAAAAACGAGAATGGTCAGAGAAAGAAACAAAAGCGATGGACTGATCGAGCTGTCGCCTGAAGGACAGTGTCAGCAGAAGCCCTCTCGCTCCCTCATATTGTTGCACATGCTCAGTGGTGCTCAGCCTTGGCCCTTAGCTGCTCGGCTTTAGCCAGTCCTCCTTAGAGGTGTGGTGAGACTGGCGGGGTGTGTGCATGCGTGTTTACCCCCTGCCGTCGTAGCTCACCGCAGCGTTTGAGCCAAAGTCAGCATGTCCTAAAGCCTGAGTGCTGTCATGGCGACCATGTCAGTGGGTTCTTGTTCCAACCTCGGGTCTCGCAGGCGTGCGTTTCTCTTGACGACGCACTTTGTTGTTTCTGTTGTGCTCATGGTCACGGGGGAAAGGAAAGCTTTTACTTAACGTATTGTTCTTGCAGGCTGCAGAAATCTGTGTGCACTCTTAGTGGTAAAAACTCAACGTTCGGTTTTTTAAAAACTCAATCATTTGTTTTTGTAGGACCTGGTTGGAACAAAAACCTGTACAGTGCCGGAGCTTGAGGACCGGAGTTGAGAACCACTACGCTAAATCTTAAACACACACTCACACACACACACACACACACGCACCACACATTAACACTGACACACACACACACATACACACACACCCAGAAGAGTGCTCACACCAACACACACTCACCTACACCCACGGCCTAAAACATTGAGGTACTGGAGACAGGTGGTACGCAGCATGTCTGGACCAGAGCACCAGACGCTACAGAAGTGTGTTTTTCATTTTCTATGTTTTCGACTTGTTTTGAAATTTTTTTTTATTTTTGTAAACAATTTCTAAAAAATAAACAGACAAGCAAGCAAAGCAAACAAAAACACCCCAGACTATTCTTTGCACTGTTTTCCACTGTTAACTCCAATCTATTTTTCTTATGAATTGACGGTGTATTTTTTTCTTTTTCTATTATTGCTAATGTAAGAACTGTAAAACATCTGAAACCTGCAGTATATTAATGTATAAGTATTGCTGTTAGATCATTCTTCTTGTGATGGTAATAACTTTCATGTAAGTCTGTGCTTGATATAATGTCATCTGTCCGTGTCAGACACCACCCTGTCACCAGGTGCATTGGCGTCAGTGCTAGAGTACAAGTGTGGAGAACAAGGCGAAGGTTTTGTACTACATCTCCAAAGCAGCACACTGAAAAACCTCTTTCCCTCACTAAAATTTCCCATCAAGCACCTGTTTGAATCTGTCAACATGTCATTGCAGAACTGTTTGCTTTGTCTTAAAAATCTCTATCTGGGGGATCCTCTCTTTAGAAAACATGGTCACAGAAAACTTCTCAAATTTGCTACTCAAAAAAATATTTTAAAAACGAGTTTTGACAGGATTGTAAAATAAGAAAAAAGACTTTTGTATTAACTTAAGTTTCCCAGAAATGTTTTTAATCACAATTAAGAAAGCTGCAGACCAAGGAGCTACATGTAAAGACTCTTTCGATATTGATTACACTGTGCTGTTTTCTGTTTTCTGAAGAATCATTTTGTTGGCTTTACTCCTCATGTTTGTGTCTGTGCTTGTATATTTTTAGGTAGTAATTTCTGTAAAAGTTATTCTATGTATTCCTCCCTAGAACTATGAGAAACTCAATCTAATGTAAAGAGATGAAAAGCTTCTTAAAAGTTTTTTTAAACGTGATTTTTAATGGTACAATCACTGATAAAAGAATTTTGCCCTCATGTTAGCAAACTGTATTTATTTTTCTATGTACTGACATTCTGTTAAGGTCCAGCTCACCTGTACAATACTCATAATTATATATGGAGGAGTTTGTGGGACTGCAGACTCACATAATGCTAATAGAGGTCATTCCTTTGTGTTTTTTTTAGCAGACAGCTTTGACGTTTATCAGGCCTGTGTATGACGGCTCAGTACTTTACGCCATTCCCTTTCATTGTACGCATCTGGATGAACCGAAAAATGTTTTTTTCCTCAAGAATCCACATCTAGAGAAAGAATTAGTCATCCTTTTCTGTGGAGTTGCTCTGTTTTGGGTTGAGTCATCCACTGACAAAGAGCCCCAGATACAGGAAATATGCCACGATGGCACAAGATTTGCTGAAAGTGGATCAAAATCAGAACCATGAAATTGTTGTATTTATGAGTTTCTGCTCTGTAAATGAAAAATACAAAGGAGATATTTCAGAAGATATGCAGATCACTTCTTATCCTGAAGTGAAAAACCCTGCTTTCATAAAAATGACAAAGTTGAGATTAAGTTTTGGTCTTCTGCAAACTCCCAGAGAGATTGGACATCATTTACCTGACTCACCAGCAGGGGTCTCTCAGAGCAGCCGCACAGACTGGGAGTGTCAGAAATTCCTCCATCATTAGATCTGGCAGGATCCGTATCTGTAAATCCACTCTGAGCTGCAGGCTGTTGTGTTAAAATCCCTTTTCATTGTCCCTCAAACCTCTAGTCTCATTTTTGTGGAGTATGAACTCAGCAGGCCGACAGAAATGAATCTAGAGGACTTTTCAACGCCCTGCGTTTCCTAGGTTGACTGAATTTAGGGAACGAGGGTTTGTGATATGCGAGACAGAGATGAGATGGAAAGGCAATGCACCCATCGCTGGCTCCTGTAGCACCTCACCATAGGGGTGATTTTATATCTATATTTTTTGCCAGGTTTCTGTCTGATAATTCATGTATGGTATCAATAAAGATGAATTTTCACTGAAAAACCCCTTTAGCTGTCATGCTTCATCGTTGTATCTGACTGTCACTTTAGGCTACGAAAAAGAGAAAACAATTTCTCATGTATGCTTTATTAACTTTGACCTCACTGAAATCTGAAAACCAACAGCTGTAACGGGAAGGCAATCAAAATTCAAGACGAAAAAAACTGACTATGGCAACCTATATAACAAGAAAAAGGATAAGAAATGTAACTATAGCTGTGTATGAAATAGAGCAGCAGAGTGAGGTGTCTGTTGGAGGTGTGAAGTCAAACAAGTATCTTATACATCCTGTTTTAATTTAAATAAAAGAAGTGTAGACAGCAGAGAGCTGACTAACCGAACTTTCGACCACATCAAACGGTGAACATGAACACTCAGTGTTGGCGATCACAAAGAGCAGCTCTGTTCCAATCACACTGAAACCAAAGGTGGAAAGAGGAAGTGAGTCAGATTTGTTTAAACTGACACCTGTACATGAAAGCAGGATCTATAGATGGAAGTCAACAGTTCTCAGTTTCATAAACTTTCTGTTTGTGTCCCAGATCAGCTATAGGCTCTGCTTTTATTCATTAAAGGGATATTCTGGCGTAAAATTAATGTATAGTCAAACACACCGTACCACACAGTTAGGCCCGGACTACACGTATATAGATATTTATTTATCAGGATATTTTTGTACTACCGTCTAAATGAATGTATCTGTCCACACGTTTTAGTTCTCAAAAATATCTGCGTCCACACGTAGCCTTAAACTCAATTCTATCTGGTGCAGCTTAAAAAAACATTCAGGAACAAAGCTACCTGATTGGCCGATGAATCGTAACAGCGTGATGCGTCATGCATTGTTTGCGGAAGCTAGGCTAGTGCGTTGTGTCCGTGTGACGGCGTGGGGTGGCGGCTATAACGAAGCAGACGCCTCTGTGAGCTGGCTGACTGGTGGATGTAATTGTATAAAACAAGGTTCACTGTCAAGGCTGAAATTAGAACCAAAAGGGCAAAACAAACGTAAAGAATACCTTGTATGTCCGCCATCATTGTTGCTGTTGTTTTTCGATTTAATTCGCATGCGCGAGCTGCGGTTTGACGTCATCGATCCATAAAAGTTCAACCACAGGGATCCACTTATACGGATATTTTTTTATTTCTCTTGTTTTGTTTTTTCGGATTCAGATTTATCCGGTTTGGATAAATCCGAAATCGTTTATATCCACAGAAGACGTCGGATACAAACCATTTCTGCCGACTTTGCAGAGTCAACTGCAGAATTAAAGGAGAACATTTATAATCATTACTTCATCATTTCCTTGAAGTAATAATCACCATATTAATTATTTTCACTGCAGCCATGGTAGTGCTTCTGCCTTAGCGTCTCGGTCTGATTGTATGTCCATGAAGAAATGATAAATGTTCTTCCTTGAGCTGCGTCACCCCACTGTAGTCCGTAATGGACTGGCCCGAGGTCTCGCTACAAACAAGTGGCTGCTGGAAGAGAGTAAGTGAGTTGTGTTTAGTGTCTTTGCTATAGAAATTAGGCAAAGCTTTAAAAGATGTTTGGTGGCTAGCACTATGGCTGGGACCCTATATGTACTGTCGATGAAGTTAGGAGCTGTTCTGAGCATTATTTGTGGCTATAGAGTGGCGTTTTGGTTGAGGTTTGTCTATGGCTCCTCAGACCGCTGTGTATTGCTATCGTGCGGTCATTACTAAAGTTGGTATAACTAGAGAAGCAAGCGGTCGACAATCATCTCTCGAGGGGGTGACTAACTCGGTGTTACACTGTGTTTGACCCCAAATTAATTTTACGTCGGAATATCCCTTTAAGTGTCTAAGTACAAAGGCGCAGTGATGGAGCAGTGCAACATTTTAAGTGCAGGTCCCAATCCAACTTGATATAAACCCATCAATCTGGTTGCCATTTGAATACAGTGAATTCCTGGGAAGAGTATTTTCACAACCCACAAACATTCATCATGAGGAAACCAGGCCAAACCTTATAAATAAATCAACTTCATTTAGTCTCTACTTCACCCAAAATGTCACAAACTTGAATCACAGACAGAAAAACAGACCAGCTAGTGCTTGAGTAAGGATGTGATCCCTCACGAGAAAACACTGATCCATCGTGATAGTGAGATGCTCACTGAGGTTAATCACTCAGTTTGTGCACTGCGAGGCCTTCGCTGTCATCACCTGCTAAAGCCACTCGGTATGAGCTCTGGTAGCAGATTAAAGGATCATCCTGTAATTGATGACTTATGTGTGAAGTTGAACCTGGGACGAATGCGTGGTAAGTGTTTGTGCTCCTGATATAGGAAACATGAGAGGCAGGCGGACACGTTTGTACACCTCTGTATTCCTCATTTGCATTGGTAGAGTTTAGAAAGGCAAATTTATGCATATTTTCAACTTTGTTCCTTTCCCTGTAAATGTTGTCTTTCCTCTTGTAGAGCGAGCTGTACTGCAGTACTGTCATAATTATGGACCAAGATCACTAAACTGTATCTGTAGAAGCAGAGAAAGAACTGACGTCAGGGTTTGTTTCCAGGCTCTTGGAGGTAGTGCATCTGCAGAAGCAGCTTCAGATGTGAGTAATAACTATATTTCTGTTTCCATCTGTCTGGTTTCGCTTCATATGAAAGTAGTTTGTGCGTAGTTGAGAACAGCAGTTTGATTACTGCCTTGGTCTTCCATAGAAAAGCAATTCATGAAGCTGACATTTGCTGAATGCAGAAGCTAAAGGCAGCTGGTTTCACCCTATTGTCGCTTAATCGTTATTCTTTTCATGATTGTAAACGTAACTTGTTTACATGCCCCAGTTTAAAATGTGGGACAGTTTTCTGTTTGTCCACGTCATGTGAACATAGTTAGATCCATTTTTTAAAGTCGTGTTTTTGGCATTTTTTAGATAAGACAACTGGACAAAAGACAAAAAAGAAGACATTCATTAAGGGTCTTTAAAGCTGCTATGAGAGACTTTCAGCTTTTTTAATTTTGGCAGCCCCCTGTGGACATCGAAGACATTGCTTGTCTTTTCATGTGACAAATAAAAATCTAACCCTGTTGACTTTTGTAAACCTAACATTTGATTATTGTGAATACTTTTTGTGGAAATTACAAAAACAGGGCTGTTTCATAAGCTCCAAAGCCAACACTTAGAAATTGTCCTATAAAAACGGTGTGTCTTGGGGCTGATGATTTTGTTTGCTTTGGGGTATTATAAAAATACTTTTTGTGGAAATTATAAAAACAGGGCTTTCTTTTTTCTTAAGCTGCAAAGCCAACACCTACCTCCCTCGCACCTGTTCAATCTTGGGGCTGATAGTTTTGTTTGCTCTAGGATATTATAAAAAAGGTATCATCATGAATTTTAGTCTATTTCATTGTTAAAAAAAATGCTCACAGCTGCTTTAAAGTGCATGACAGCATACGGTAAAAATAAAGATGAAGAGTAGGTTCCTTTTTAACAACATGAGGAAAATATTAAACCTTATTTTCTGGCAGATATCACAGCTGAAATGTTTTCTCAGGACATCTTGGCAGTCTTTGGATGATATGTGTTGACAAAAATCTAGTCCCCAAGTACATCTTTCGCATCGATCATAATCCTGCTTGTTTGGACACAGAAACATTGCAGATGTGGACTGATCCACTTGGACCAACTGGGTGGACAAAAAAAAAAAAACTTTTTATTTTGCATTTTTCCTGATTGTGATCACAGATTTAAACTAATCTAGTTTAAGTCAACTTTGTCCCTCCCTGTTTTCACACTCAGTTAATGAAACACCTAAACTTCTACTTGCATAAATGTTATTGGTAAACTTGGTGTCACAACTCTGTGTGTTTGCAAGTCGAGAACCCAGGAAACAAGGTGTCAAAACACCCATTTGTGTGAAGGTAATCCTGCCTCTTATTTTCTTTCTTCTCACTCCTTCTTTTCCACGTCATTCCCTCCCTCTCTCTCTCTCCCTCTCTCTGTTTCTCTCTGCCATAGACCCTCCCTCCATTCCTCCCTCCTCCGGCCTCCACGCTCTCTCTTCCTCCCTCCCTGTCGTCTCACTGCCAGTGTCCTCTGGGCGAGCGCACAGTCAACTACAACTTGTCATCTGGAGCAGAGCGTATCAGGTTTCCACAGGGCTGAGAGAGTCACACACACCCCTCACTGAATAGCTGGAGATCAGAGCGGCGCGACTCTCCTTCACTGCCCAGCCAAGGAAGGTGAGTGAACTCATAGAAAAGAGATTATATATGTATTTTTAAGATGATCTATACTCTCACTTTTTCTGTTTTGTAAGCATTCACACCTGGATGGACTGCTCAGACAGTTCCCACAGCTTCAGTATGTTAGATAAATAACCTCAGGCTGCTGTTTTTTAGGTCTTTTAAGAGGGCCTTCATGTTATCTTCAAGTCTTTCAAACTAAAAGAGGAGGCTGTTTCTCTCTTATACTCTAACCGCTTATTTTACCCATAAAAGGAAGCAGAAGCTCTCTCTGTTAGTTGATGGCCTTACCTTGTGTTTGCTCAGGAGAGCTGCACCTACAATAAAAAACTACATTTCACGATAGTGCTCCAAAAATAGGGTTATAAAAAAGAGGCGGATGATGTTCTCCCGCTTGTTCTGATTAATTTTTTACTCTCCTCTATTCTGAGAGTCAAGCGTGGATAAATAGGGGTGATGCAGGTATCAGAGGCGCATGCAGCTCTTTCTGTGTTTATACGAAAACAGCAAACTAGACTGACGTTATTCTCTGTGTGACGTGTTTTTTAAAACTTTTCCTGCAACTTTTAAACAGCAGATTGTCCCGTGTGCTGAAACTCAAAGTGTCTCCTAAGAGTGGCAGTTTAAAGGAAATCTTAAAGGTTACTTTTGGCTTAACATTTACTTTCTCATTTACAAAATGCCTTTTTTTTTTTTTGGTCTGTGACATTTTATAATAAACTGCACTGTGACTCTTTTCTCAGCGTGACTCAGTCTGTGGGTTTTCTTTTTCAATCTTTTCTCCTCCTGTCTCAGATGAATCTGTCATTGTGTGCTGTTTTGTTTTCCAGATAGAGTTTTTTTCGCCATGAGCTGATCCCTCCATCAGCTCGTTGTGTCTGGCCAAGTCTCCCCCCGCCCTGCAGCCATGGGGTTATGTGACAGTACGAGGTGTTGGAGGTGGCAGCATGGCAGCGCCGCAGCGTTCAAGGCCGGGGTTGCTGCGCTGCTGCTGGGTCTCACCCTGGCTCAGACCGCCCCTCCTCAAACTAAATGTCCTGCGGTCGCGGCCCAGTCGAACCTCACTGAGGCCCAGTACCACAACATAACAGACGAGGACTACAGCGGCTTCTTATCAGCTTTTGTCCAGTCGTTCCTCAACACGGTCCAGCCAAACCCCTTCCCTAAAGGTCAGAGTCATTTTCAACACTCACATCATTACACATGTTCCTGTCTGCCTCTTTTAAGTTTCCAGAGTGAAATATTTAAACTGAATTATAACAGGATTTGTTAATCAGTAAGTTGATGCAAACTTTTAAACATTTCCTGGTCAATATTTAACCCGTAAATCCAGCTGGAGTTTCCCGTAACCCAGACTTTTGTCGCACCTGTGGTCTTTTGTCCATCCTGGTGACGTACTCTAATTGCTCCATAAACCCTTCTGTATTTTTCATCTTACTTCCTTCTTGGTAATGGTGTCAAAACAGACCAAATGAACAAAGAAACAATTCAAACCTGCTTCGCCCAGGTCAAAATCATTGTAAACAGTGATCATCCTCTTCAACATCCTTCATACAATAGTCATATTTAAGCAAATAGACATTTAATGTTGCATAAGGCACTTGTTTCTTACTAAGAATCCTTCCATGTCAACAGTTGTTTGAACAAGCTGTCCTCGTTCCCTTTATGACGAGGCAAATGGTTTGATTGCTGACTGTAAACTGAGGCTTTCTGCTCTACTATAAGCCGCTACGCTTTGGGTTATTGACAGTCGTGGGTAAATAATAAATGTGTTTTGCTCTGCAGTCAATCATGAGGGTTTGATCTTAATGAAGTGATGGCTGAAAAGAGAAAACATGCTGCGTTGGTAGAGGTTGTGTATGCCAACCGAACCGCCCTTCTCTGTAATGTAGATTCACGATGTGGCAAATTAAATGTATTTTTATGTATTTATGCAGTTTGATGAGTCATTACTGAAGGATTGAAACAACGCTTTCCACTGTCTCTACTCTTTAATTTGACGGACTGATACAGAAGCACAGCTATCTAAAGAGTTTATTACTGTTCTGTGATAAGAACGCTGGTTTTTACAATTACTGTGAGATAAAATTTGTTGTTTTCCTTGAGATCTTGAGTTTTCCGATCATCTTATGATAACACAGTTGGTCATCAGACATTTCCATTTTATCTGATTAATTTATCGTGTTATCTCTAGACAATAAAACTAGCTTTATTATAATTATGGATTATGGTTGTTTATCGTTTTGGTATCGATCGTGACATACTGTGCTATCAGCGCCAGCTCTAACGAGGTCAAGTTGAATCAAGATCTCGAGGTAACAAATGAAATGACTTCTTATTTACTGATCCAAATGACTCATAAGTGAGGTCAGCCATCGCTCACAACCACAGCGGAAGTGGAGAGATACTGTGCCTGTGAAATGTAGCATAAAAGTAGGACAAGTTACCGATCATATGAGATGGAGTTACGAGATCCTCTTTAAGTAAAACGGTTTACGCTGTAACAGAGACCTTATCTCTGTTATGATAACTTATCGTTAATAAGCTTCTTGTAAGAAAGTGTAATAAACTTAAAGACAATAATGAGTGTCAGTAAGTTTATAAAACTGTAACTAACGCTGAGTTACTTATAGGCTCTTATAAGAAACTTGTTAACAGTTTATGTACCTTTATAGATTGTCAGTTACATTAATGCTGTGTTCGAGATACCTCGGAAGTCAAATGTCGGAGCTGAAAATGACGTCACACCCGAGTTACCAGCGTTTCAGTTACCAAGTCGGAACCGGAGACTGTATATAGAATAGACGCCGTCTGCCTCCTCGCTGGGTGAAGCCACTGTGAGAACAGCACCCTCTGTTGACGGGCTGCAGTATAGGTCATAAATCCCGCCTCCTCCAGCAATCTCAATGGAGCTGTGGACAAACTTTAGAGATTTATTACACAGATCATAAATGTTTCTCCCCCCTGCTTGTGATGTTGACATGTAGTTCCTGTCAGACTGGTTTGTGCTCAAGTCCTCTTTATTCTGTACAGCTCCGTTTTTAAAAGTTATTAGGAAGTTCATGTTTTCTATGATTGACACTTGATACAGCCTATGGGCGTACGAAGATTGCGTAGCTCATCCAGGGATACGCTGTTTAAGCCGAGCGTCATCACAGTGACTCTCGGCGACTCTACCGCTACAGCGCAAGTGGTGGAGTGTGTACAATGCTACCATGTTGTCTATAGTATATATAGTCTGTGGTCGGGAAAAAGCAAAATCGGAGACGGGAACAAGATGGCTACATCTACGAAATATAATAAGGACACAAGGCAAGCGCTAAAATAACATTCGTAGATGTAGCCATCTTGTTTCCGCTCATTAACATACAAATGATCATATAGATGTTTCTCAACATTATCATAAATTGAATAACTTTTTTTATACTTAAGACTAACTTTTAATGCAGCTAATACACTCACCTTTAAGCTGTCACAGGAATTTTAACAACTTATAGGCGTCTTACTAAGTTTAATAACAGGTTATTGAACGTGAATAAACATCCTGTTGATGTTAATAACCACAGTGTGTCAATGTCTTATAAGCAATAATGAATGTGTTAATTATGCTTTTATAAACACTTACTGACACTTATAAATATTTATGCATCCTTTAAGGTCTTATCAGTAGCTTATTAGATATTCATGAATTTTTATCACTAGGACTTTAATATAAGTGTTCGTTTAATAATGCACCATATATTCAGGTCAGTGTGGTAACTGTGCATGTCCTCTTTAGGCTTCCATAGCAGAACAAGAATATGAAATAAGGTTGAAAAGTGCAGCATGTTGAAAACATGTCAGAACAGAGAGAAAAAGCAGAAGCAGGTCACAGCTTCATGTCATGTTTGTTCACACCTCCCTGTCATGTTCAGAGACCCCAACCAGGCGTTTATAATCAACAGAAGGCGATTCAAACCAATCAGTCAATACAGCGGAGTGAGACAAACTCAAAAATTTCAGCACTTTCACACCAGATTATCATCTAAAGTTATGGATACTTTGACGTATAGATGATCACAAAAACAAAAACAGCTCATGTAAAGAGACCCCGCGTGTCTTCTCAGTTACCCGCACCTGTGTTTCCTGAAGAATACAGACAATAGCAGCTCCAACACGACCATAAAAGCTTTGTATTGTTTTCTTTTTGTATGTGTCCATGTGTGTGTGTGTGTGTTTGTGTGTTGTGTGTGCAAAAATCTAATCGCAGCCTGAAAGCTGTCCTGGTTTCCAGGTAACCATAGGATGAAGGTGTCGCATTTCTGCTTTTACAATGAGAGTGATTAAAATGTTTGCGTGAAGGACACAATGTCTGCGTGTCCAAGGCTCTTTTCTTGTCCACATAGATGACCAGAATAAAGGCCAACGCTGTGACACAGTGGTTACACGGACGCTTTAACACGTGTCCTCTAAAATCACTGGAAAGTAAAGAGCGATTCCTTGATTTAACCATTTTCTCTGATGTCTTCACAGAAATTGTCGTGCGAATGATCAAGGATTTAAATCAAGTGCTGTCAAACCAAGACCTCATCAAAGACGTGAGTGTGTTTTTCTCGACTTTGACATATTTCTAGGATGAAGTTGTAGATGTGGGAAAAAAACAGACACACCCTCCTCAGAGGCCCTTGAGCTGGTAATCTGATAGTGTTTAACATAAGAGCAGCCCTTGTGTGTATGGATCCCAGTCCACTGAAGTTACTCCGTCAGCCGCTCTGATTGTGGTCTTTTACCACAGTGAAGTCGAACACAGTTTGGTGTCATTTCGCTGGGTTTGACATCACAACAGACCACAAAGAGATGCTGCAATCTCAGCCTTTCAATAGTGATAAATGCCATCTGTGTCAAAGTTTGTATTTGTGTGTCCAAAAACAGGCAACTGGACTGTGTAGAGTTGAGAAAAAACTCATCGAGAATCTACATGGATGTATTTGTGTGTGTGTTTTTTGTTCAGGCCCTGGAGTATCAAGTGGGATTCCTGGTGTGTGCAGCCATCGGCGTCCTGTACATCGTCCTCATGCCCATAGTGGGTTTGTTCCTGGCCTGCTGTCGCTGCTGTGGGAACTGCGGAGGGAAGATGTACCAGAAGCAGACGTCCTCTGTTCACTGTCACAGGAGAGCTCTTTTCTGGAGCGCCTTCGTCACCACGGCCATTATCCTGTGAGTGTGTGAGAGCGCGTGTGTGTGTGCTCTCATGTGTGTGTGTTTCTAGACGGCGTAACGATGTGTTATCTGAAATTAGCATCCAAAAAGGCAGCTTGAAAGTGCACGCCTCGCCGCCTGTCTGCTTCCTCGCTCAGACTGACGTGTTCATGACTCCAATTTAAAGCTGTTTCTGTTTATGTGTGTGTGTGTGTTTAGAGCTGGAAATATCTGCATGTTCAAAAGTAATGAAGCCCTCAAAGTGACCATTGACCAGACTGCAGATGGGCTCAGCAGAACCTTTGACAACATCAACACTTTCCTGTCTGCTGTGCCTGAGGTAAGAGAAGCCTTTATTCGCTGCAATAAACGGATAGAAAATGAAATATCATGATTATAGTATAAAGTCTGTGAAATCTTTAGTATATGGAAACAATAAAAGATGGCCAAAATATTGTTGAAATGGTTTATGATGATCACAGACATAGAAATTGAGTGAATAGACGTCAGATTTAGAAGGACAGAAGCTAGTTTGCTTTGGATGAGTGAGTGAACTTTGGGCGTCAGGTGTGAAGAGGTAGTTTAGGACCCACAACTAAAAGGGATGTGGTCACTTCTCCTCATGACTCAACTCATAAAAGAAAGAGAAAGCAGACTGTACGTGGTTCGACTGAAGAGTACAGAAATGCATCACAAAATTGAAACCAGATTGGGCGAAGACGACGAGGTGTGAGTGTCAGAAAATCAACGTTTCAGTTGTCGGATGAGTGGTAGACGTGAGAAAATAAACTACAAAGATCACCAAAGCCAAACTAAACAAACTCACAGTCCCACGTGAGGAGTTGTGGAGGGTATGAGAGAGAGAGAGAGAGAGAGAGAGAGAGAGGGAGTGAGGGGGAGAGAGGGGGGATGTGGGTTGACTGGATCTTAAATACACCTGGGAGACTGTCCAGGTGCTCCCAGGTGCTGGGAAACCCCGCCCACCAGCGACTTGTAGACACAAACACAGAAACTGAACCAGAAAAACAAAAGAGCCGTTCTGCACCAGCGAGACGGTGAATACCATAAAAAATGTGACATGAAATAAACATTAAAGTCAGAGTCCAAAAGATTTGAAACACCAGAGACTCGATGACATGATCCTGTGGCTACTATAAGAAAATCCTCAACATTGCTTTCTAAACTTCTGCAGTTAAGATATCAGATGATTTTGCTGATTTCCACAACATACATTTGCTGAAAATTACACTTGAATCTGTCACACAAACAAATCTCGAGAGCACTGTGCTGCTTTCCAGTTATTATCCTATTTTTCCTCTTACTCTCTGGTGGAAACAGACAAGTGAGCATCCTGTAATGCCCATTAAAGGATGGGGGAGGCAGTACGGTGTACTACGAGTCCTGTATTTTAGGAGCTCTCATAAATTGCCAGGAAAAACTAGCGCAGAGAGGATGGGAAAGGGTCCTGACAGCTGGTGAAAAAGTTCCAGTACGCCTAAGGGTTGAATTTAGTAGCAGCAGCACTGCATACTAGAGCCTGTGTGAAACAGCTAGTCTTATTCTGGTTTCACATATTTAGTATTCTGCAAAATATTATGATTTATTCTGTATTTTATTCATATGTGCAAAGGAAAGGATAAAAGTCAGACAGAAATGATCATTATAGATAAGAAACCCCTCAAACCCCCGAGGTTATATCAAATTTAGATGTTTGCAAAAAACGAAAACCAGGATAAGAAGACATTTAACACCTGATTCTGAATCCAACAGCTTTCTTGATAACAGAGTACGGAGACGGTAATGTCATTTATAGCAGGGGGACATTTTTCTCTGTCATGTTTACTCCCTAACTCTACCTGATGAGCACCTCCTCCTGTCACCCGTCTTTGACAGTAACACTCTTCAATTCAGACATGTGCACATCTGTTGAGTTGGCACATTTCATCCTGCCTCTGTCACTGGCGCTCTGTGAGCCTTCAGCTTTTTTCGTTAGATGCAAATAATTCTGCTGTCAGTCAGCTGATTAACGACCAGCTCTCTATCCCGCAGTGTCAATACGCTTATCTGAAGATACAACAAGGCAGGGAAAAGGTTGCAGGGGAGACAACGGGACTCTGTGCTGTTTGTTTCCCTTCATTTACAAAAGCTGCTTTGTAGGATTATCTCCTGTGATCAGCCTTTGACAAACTCTATGTTGTACTTAAAGCTGTGTCTTAAGTGCACACTTTGGAGCAACGTTTCTTTGTCTTTGTCTTTGTCTGTTTCCAGGAAATGAGCCATGTGGTGAATGAAAGCTACAAAACCATACAGGAGGTGACCAGGAACCTAGAAAGTAAGAACAGGAACTACTGCAGCGAAAAATAGAGGAACTACTTTTAACTGATGTGATACAGTTTCTGTTCTTGACTCGTCTTTAACTCTTTCATTACTTCCACCAGCGATAGGACCTCAGCTGGGAGCACAGATCCAGGAGGCGTTCAGAGATACCATCAAACCTGCATTAAACTCAGTGCGACTCTTAGATGAAGGTATGATGCGTCTGCACGCTCTGTCCTGTTCCAGTCTGAGCATGTGAACACTTGTGTGAATATTTGCCACGGGCTCTTTAATTATAGGCGGGGCCGACTCCGGAGAACACGATGTGGTTTTAGTTTAGTTTACTCCTCACGCTGACATGGAAAAATTGGAATATCTCTCGAGCCTTGTTGTTTTCTGAGACCATATTTATGACTGCAATAAAACAAAAGTCACTGAAATAAATAATCATTCCAGTGATCGCCCTTTCCCATGATCCTCTGTCTGCATGGGCCAAGATAACTCCAAACTACTCTCTTTATTTAGACTCTCTTATTTGGGTCTGTCATGTTTGAATGAGTCACTACTTTGTTTATGGAAATACAGGACAGCTTTTTAACCCTTGGCACAGCCTCCTCAAGATCTCTCTCAGACTTGTTTTACAATCTGAGTCTAAATGAGGTGTCAAAAAAACACTAAAATTACATCCTCTATGACAGCACGCGCCATGACACATCCTCTCCTAAGGGTGCCATGTGCACAGACTGAGATAGTAGCGCCCTCACCACCTGTGAAGTTCTGCAATCCTAAATATTAAAGCCTAAAGTGCCAAAAAGAGTCATAGCTGAGGTTGGCTTTGAGTAGAAAAGCAACATCATATCAGTCCACCGAGCATTTTTTGGTCTAAAAGAGGTCTAATAGACATCTAAAGGTCCTTTCACACTGGGAATGACGCAAATATACGATGCAAAATTACAAAATATTCAGGGGTGAATTTTGACGCGCCTGAATATACACATCAACCGCGATGCGATTTTGCGACTTTCCGAGGGGAAAAAAAGATGCGTCCCGAGTGGAAGTGAGAAGACTGACACAACAGCAGACTGAGTGTTTTTCAGTTCTGATTAGACACTAGTGTTGAGATGTCTGTCTGTCATGATAGCATGTACTGAGACCTAATGGTGCTGTGACAGCAACGCTGTGATTGACTTTGAGACAGTGAAAATACATATGGTATGTTGTATCTGAGCAGGTTAGCTTACAAGCTAAAGTTACTTAGCACAGATGAAAGTTAAAACAAAGACGTTTAGCAAACTGTTAAAGCACACAAACCATCGTCATATGAGAAATCCGACGCTATGACTCTCCACAAGTTGTCCTTCAGGTTGTTATCTTTGTAATATTTGTGTTTTTTATCAAAAAGCACTCTGTTCTCCGACACGTAAACAATCAGCGGGTCGGACATGTTGGATATACCGGTGAATCTTATGTCGCAAGAACACGAAATCTGATTGGTCAGAAGTGGACACACAGTATGCGCAACTTAAAAATAATTAAATAGTTATCGAATAATGGGTTAAAGTGCAACGTCTGAATTTCGTCTAAATATTTACTGAATCTAGACGGTTAAAATTAGCTCTAAAAACAAACAAACAACATAACATGGGTGTTAATGGGGGATCCAGAGCTTTAGAGCCAGCCTCAAGTGGACACTTCTGGAACTGCAGCTTTTTGAACGATCACTCTGACCTCTTTTGTCAACACCAGAGGTTGCCATGGTTACAATCTACCTTTTATATATATGTCTATAGCGTGGCTCAGTTCATACAGGTGTGGTTGTAAACCCTCAGGCAGCACTTGAGGGTTACTATGTAAAAAGACATCAAAAAGCGAAGTTGAACACAGCCCGCACTGTGAGAGACAGATCGACTGATAATGTTGGCTGATGTAAGGAGTTGCCCCAAGGTTTTTCTTTTTCATGTATAGCATGGGACATAGTTTCTGCATTTGTCAGCTTTACCTCCCCTACATTAATATGTACAGTGTAAATATGTACCAGCTTACTCTGTCATTAACGACAGCCAATGACAGAAAAATCTGGAACATAACAACATAACTGAAATGATTGATACTTTCTCTGGTATGTACTGAATGACACAGAGAGTGTGATAGGACTGAAACCTAACATAACATGAACACATAAAGCATCAGTATCCTGTCAGTTAGGGACGCATTCGGAGGTGAGGTTGGTGTGTGCGATCAGAGAGAACACAATGTTTCAGTCCAACCATCCACCTTTTATTAAAGGAACACATGACAGAAGAGTAGACTCATATACATGTTTCATTCAGATAAAATCTGTGTAATATAAGGGGGCCGGATGTCTCGGGGAGTTCACATGTAACTGTAGACTCAGGGCAGCACTTCAGGGGGATTATGTAAAAAGACAAAGGCCGAGTCTCAGATTTCATCAAGGAACTAAATAAACGAATCAAGTTTTTTTTTTTTTTTATATTGAAATTTGAGAGACAAACTGAAAAAAACACAAAGGTAGAGTCTAACTTGTTTGACAAGAATACCAGAAGTTTTATGTCAAATACACTCACAGCATGTTATGATCAATGAATGAGCTCAACAGAGGAGTTTTATTACAGGTTTTTTACGAATGAGTAAAAAAGTTTCATGTTACAGAATGTACCAACATGTTTCCTAAAACTGCACATTTGATACTCCACAAACTCACTGTCTGTTCCAGGATTCATTTCAAGATTTCATTTCGAAAACTTAAGCTGTGTTGAATCACCTTTTCTAACAGATTTCTAGTTTATCTCGTCTTGTGTTTTCATTTTGTAAGAAAATACTTTTTTCAGATTTTTAGTTCGCTGTTGAATTCAAACCAGGCCACACTTACAAAAAGATGATAACCTTGATTATCATTTTTTCAAACTTGATCATTTGCTGACTAATCCTCGTGTGTTTCCTCTTTGTACGAGCAGACACCGAAAACACCAGCGACCAACTGAACAAGTTGAACTCATCCTTGGCGGAGCTGCAGTCCAGCGTGGATCGCCTCCAGGCCAATGTCACTGCTGTTAAAGATCACATCAATCAGACTTTATCCAATCCAGACTGCACTGGCTGTGACAAACTGCTGCCCGAGCTGAAGGAACTTGATACGCTGGACACCACCATCATTGTAAGTGCTGGATCTGTACGACCTTGTACGTTCCTCTTGTTTTCTTCTTGAACTGGTGCATTAAATCCCTGAACCAAATGAGGTCTGTCCAAACATCCTCTCCCATCAGCTTTAGTGTTTTGTTTTTTTGCAAATGTTGAGTGAGGTTTGACTGCTCAGGTTTCAAACTTGTAGAATCAGAGTTCATGATCAGACCATTTTTACCATTTTTGAGAAGAAGCTCCAGACGTGTTTCTGCCGTCAAACCCCCCTCTGACGCAGGCGGAGGAGACAGGTTGACACATGAAAACGGCTCGTCATTCTTGGCTTTGTCTGGACAGCTGATTTGTCCTCCTCCCATCTGTTCTCCTCTGTTCCTCCTACACTCTGACACATGCACACTCCCCTCTCATTTTCTAACAGATTTTAAATAAAAGTGCTAAAATACCTCATCTGCATCAGAAAATAATGACATGCAAATCATTATTTATAACTCATTTAACTGATGCTCTGCACTATTGATCCATCAGTGCTTGTTCTACTGCGGTCTGCTGCCCCCCTCTGTTTGTATCAAGTATAACACAGAGTTACATGTGATTGCTGGTCACACTGTTTGCACGTGTGTCTCTGTTTTTCTCTCTCCTAGATTCCCAGCGCGAAGGAGCTTCAGTTCGCAGTGGATGAAGTCATGAAAATTAATCTGTCATCCAAAGTGAAGGAGGTCTGTGACGTCTGACAACCAATCATGAGCTGATCATCCCGTTAATCATCACAATAATGCCGGCCTTGTTGCCATAAAGAGTGTGAACAGACTTTAACCAGAGATAAAGAGCTAACACACACACATACACACACACACAAAGCATGAATTTATCGCTCTGTTAGTGACACACTTTGAAGTGAGGCTGCATGTAATCAGAAATAAATCAGTGCATCACTGCAACAAAGACACTTTTATAGAAAAGACATGATCCCAAAAGTAGGCGAATCAGTTAGTTTACTGTGCTGCAGAGGTGTTAAAACTTCCGCCTGACTTCATTTCAGGTGGAGGATTATTTCAACAGCATCCCTCAGAGAGTGACGAATGACACCGAGGGTATCGTTCAAAGTGAGTGAGAACATTTACACCATTTTCTTCTCTCTACACGATAAGTTTGTGGTTTTGCTCATTGAGCTGGATAATAGAAGTATTAAGAAAAAGTCACATGTGTCTGTGATGTTTGCAGGTAGCAGGAAGCTGCTGGACGACATCAGAGCTCAGATCGTAAAGATCGCAGACATCCCTCTGGCTACTCTGGACAATATAACGGACACTCTGGATGAAGCGCGGAGAGAGATCGCAAGGATCATACCGCAACTTGAAAGAGGCGAGCGCATCAGGTAAGGAGAGAGGACACATAACACGGATGATCAGTGGGATATAAAGGCAGAAACCTGTAACAACATGTGTATTCATCTCCAGATGGGGAGTGTGTGTGGCCCTGTGCTGCCTGGTCCTCCTGGTGGTGGCGTGTTACTTCATGGGTATGATCCTTGGCCCCTTGGGTCTGAAACCCAATGCAGACCCCAGGAAACGCTCCTGTACAGCCGACTCTGGTGGCACCTTCCTCATGATGTGAGTGCTCGGTTTGAAATTCAGTTTTTTTTTCAGCCTGCCTTCTCTTGCTGCTTCATCATTACTGCTTTGCAACCAGTCTGATCTTACTAGTGTTATAGAATATTTTCACAAATTAGAAACATGACCAAAGTGTTGATAAACACCAATAAAAGTGCAGCTGTTTTAGAGATGATGATAATGGGATGATCTCAGATTTTAAGGTGAAGTTTCAAAGTGAGAAACTTGATGCAACAAAACATGTCCAACTTCCTTGACCAATGAAGGCACCACTGCTTGTCCAAGCATTTGAACACCATGTGAATTCAGGGTTATCTAAAGTGTTTCACGTCTGTATCTCCTGACCTCTGACCTTGGTGTGATCACAGGGGTGCAGGTTTCAGTTTCCTCTTCTCCTGGCTCTTCATGATCCTGGTCCTGGTGCTGTTCCTGCTGGGTGGGAACATCTACACACTGGTCTGTCGGCCCTGGGACAACGGACAGCTGTTGAAGGTAAGGACACAAAAACAAACACCTGCACACATTTACATCCTTCAGACACTTAATTTGTTTACTTCATTTAATGAAGATCCTCAGAGGGTTTTGCATGAGAAACATTTAGACAAATAAGTGAGACAGAAAAAACTCTGTATTTGTGTTAAAACGATTCTCTTCTCACTCCACAGCTCTTGGATACTCCAGGTTTGATTCCAGGGTTTGATTCCATTGGGCCGAGTTTGGGATTGAAATCTCGAGTCAACATCTCAGATATCTACAAGTATGTTGACATCTCACACGGCAAAGACTGCATCAGATCTTGTTTAATTTGACTTTTTCCTCATGTGTCCAAGCAGCGAGCTTCATAAATATGGATTATGATTTGTAGCTGTAGAAATAAGCTTGACCTGATTCTATGTCAACAGAGCCTGTGAGCGAGACGAGCCTCTGTGGACGACACTCCACCTGGATGAGGTCATAGACCTGGATGACACGCTCAATGTGTCCAAAGTGAGTTTTATTACATCTGTTTTCAAATGTTTAAAGCTTCTATGAGGAGTTTTTTACATTATTCAAATAGATGGAAATTCATACAGATGCCTTTTGCATGATACAAAAAGGCAACAAAATCATAAAGCTGATTTGGACACTTAGAAGACAAGATAAACAAAGACTACTCTGTCCACAGGGGGCGCCAAAATCGACACAAACAGAAAGTTCCTCATAGGAGCTTTAAATAACTGTATAATTGGTCTTTTTCTTTTAGAGCATTGGGTCACTTTTTCCTCTCTCACTCTTAGTACACAGATCAGATCCTGAATTATTTCGACGACGTTGACATCACCCTCTCCACCCTCACCCTCCTGAGCCCCGACATTAAAGACCAGCTCAGCAGCTTCTCCGGCGAAGCCGATGATTTTGACGCGGTTGACATCACGCCTCAGGTTAGCGTAGTTTCCTCTCATAAATTTGTCCTTTGTGCTGATTTCCCCTCATGACATGTATCCGTTGTCTCCACATTAGATCAACAATGTTTCCAGAATTAATCTGAACACAACGGCAGATAAACTGGACCAGTTAGCCAGCCTTCAAGTGAGTCACAAGACATTAATAACACACATAATTTCTTATTAATATTCATCCACATGATTCCTGACTGCGTCTTTCTTTCTGCTGTGCATTTTTTACCCACTAACCAGTGATTTGCATGTTTTTAGACGAATAATAATACTAAAAAAGAGCTTCAGGATCAGGCCAGAGAGCTGAGGCAGATCCAGGCCGCCATAGAAACAGCTCTCATCCCTCAGATGGTGAGTATCTCTGCTGCCATTTCTCCTAATCTCCTCATTTTGTCTCTCCTGTTTCCCTTCACTGGCCATCCATCTGAATTTAAACTCAGACGCCTAATGCTTCTGCCCTCAGGAAAACATCAACACAAGCGTCGCAGGCCTTCGATTCATCGCGCAAAAAATCAATGTGAGTACACCGACTAACACCTGGAACTGCCAAGTGTGAAGAGCATCATTTTCTCTCTTTCTTTTTCTGTCAGAGGTTCATTCTCTCCTCTTCTCCTCCAGGGAACGGTGGGGGAGGTGCTGAGCAACGTGGGAGCAGCACAAGACTTCCTCAACACAAATACGACACAGATCGTCAAGACCGTGAGTAGAGCTGGAAGAGTCACATGAGTTGGAAGAAAAAGTGCTCCATGTGGTCTGCTAATGCCTGCGGTCGGTCACTCACTTAGCCTGAGGGGGGAAGTGGGGAGGTGGGACTGCCCAGTCAGCGCTGGTCTGCTGCTCGTGCTTGAAATTATATAGCTGTTGGATTCAACGATTAAATGTTCATAATTTGTCTTTAATTTGGTGTAATGAGGGGTTTAGGGGACCTTTTTTATTTCCTATGATTGGTAGGATCCTAACAGAGGCAAATAATACTTATTAGTACGTCTTTTTTGGGGTTAATCCAGGTACAAATATGAACAAAAGAGAAGTACGATAAGGACAAGAACAAGAACAACCTGGCTGATAATGATAGCAAACATCAAACAAAACCAAAAACCTCTCGACTTCCTCATCTTATCTAACCGGCTGAATGAGATAGTTCAGGTTCTCTGGAGTGGGGTTGTAGGAGGTTCTTGTCAATAGTGAGTACAATAATTAAAGGAGATAACAATCAGCACAGCCCTTGTTTACTGAGACTGGTCAGAGTTTCCACATGGAGGAAAAACCTCACAAAAACACGACCTTTACTCACCAAAAAGAGCTCTACATGTTCTGCACAAAGTTCACCTACCTGCTGATAATAACTCCACCGTACACATGAGGAGAAGATTTAAGTCACAGCTATAGAAAGATAGCTTTAATCCAAATCTTTGTATATAAAGAAAACTAAATCATCTTTATATAATTAGTTGTCCATCTTTATAAGTTCTCTTGATGTGGTGCAAAACTGACACACGGACATCTATAAACTGTCATTTCTAGAGCTTGTGTCTCACTTTGAGTCACAAAACATTTCAGTCAGACGAGACTTCACTATGAGGGAAAAATGCTTCTTTTACCAGATCTGATTAGACTCTACAGTTATGTTGTCAAGTAGTTAAAGGGGACGTGAGGTCAAGGGTCTTGGCACAGTGTTGGTGGGGAAGGAAGGATGCGGCATGAGCGGAGGAGCCAAGGCGGGAGGCCGATGATGTGAGGTTCCTGTCAGGTTCAGACTAAAAGAGTGAACGCCCATAATTAGCTGAGCAGCAAAACAGGAAGAGGGTGAATTTGAGGTGAAGATGAGTGAATAAATGAGTCCTCCTGCTGAACTTGGCTGAGCTTCATTTCTGATTATATTTATTTCAGCATGTGAACTTCCTCTGTGACCAAAGTCATCTGATAACACTTTGAAAACCATCCACTAAACCCAAACTTCACTCGGAGAAAGTGTTTATTTAAATGTATGAATTTGTCGCTCACAGACAAGATAATATAGACCGATACAGGAGAATTTAATGTTGGTTAAATATCGGATATATCTTTCAAACACTTAAACGAACAACTGTGCATGAAATAATCTTCATAAACAAACGTTCCCCTCGCTTCATTTGATCATAGCACTATTGCAGTTCTTCATGGGTCACTTCAGAGGATTTACCCCGGGGTCCAACTTGCTGAGATGGCGAGGCATTCCTCTGATTCCTCATGACTTCCCACTGTAAAGCAGGGAGAAAATGTGAGGAATTTACTCTCCGTCTCTCTCTCTCTCTCTTGTTCCCAGGAGAGTAAGGAGTTCGTGGACTGTCAGATGGGTTATTTCTTTGTTTATGCTGACTGGGCCAAACTCACGGTAAAGTCTGTCCACCTGTGTCTGCACTTAAAGCAGATAAAGCTCCATGTTCGCACACGCTCATTAGTTCACATCTTACTGATACACGTCTTCTCCCTCAGATCACAGTGCATATCGGCCGCTGTGGACCTGTGGCAGACGTCGTGGACTTTTTTGAGAGTCTCATCTGCTTGAACTTGGTGGAATCTCTGGTGAGGATGGAGCGTTGAGAACTTCACCTGAAGCTGTTCTTCATCATTGCTGTTTTTTAATCTTTGCTAAGCTCTTGTCCTCTAACAGCTCGGCACAGTTTCACCTTTACTCTCTCTCTCTCTCTCTCTTTCAGAATGCGTTCTGGTTCAGTCTGGGTTGGTGCATGATCTTCTTCGTCCCCGGTATCATCTTCTCCATCAAACTAGCAAAGTACTACAGGAAAATGAAGTACTCGGATGTCTTTGAGTAAGAAGCACAGCAACAACAACAAACATGCATCCAGCTTCAGTGGTGGGTTCAAATGGTAGCATTGACTCACCTAGGAATTCAACAGGTTACCCAAATATAATTCTAAAGTATATTCTCCTGGTCAGAGGCAGGACTTACTGTAGGTTCAAATACTTATTTGACTTTTGCAACAGGCTGCCAGTAGCTTTTATTTGTTTTTATGGTAGCGATATTTATTTTTTTGTACTTCATGAAGTGACTTTTAGAGAGACATCTTAGGACCACCCCAACAACTTGATCTATGATTGACTATTTGCTGAGTCAAAGCAGGACTAATGTTCAAAACAACTTTTATTTTCTTACAATTAGGGATGTGAACTTAAAGTTGACCAATTTATTTTCCCCTACGTATGTCAGCAACAGAAATAGAAGTTGATTAGAAGAGTTTTTTGTAAAAATTTTTTTAGTTTAAGGCCCAAAATGTCATTTGTATAGTGTGTCTGGGGTTTAACATTGACATTATGCTAAAAATCGCAGTTACACAGGCTGGTTTCAGGCATCAAAAACTAAGATATAAAAATCAGTGAGTGATAGTTAACATTAATAATTAGTGAATACAGAGAGGCTTCATAAATGCTAACTGGACAAGTATTAAAGGGATATTCCGGCATAAAATTAATGGTACGCCGGAGTACCCCTTTAAATTAGTGCTGGGGTTGGACCACCTCAGTCAAAAACTCTGGACACACCCCTGTCAACAGCAGCCGTTTCTTTCTACACACTTCTCCATGCATGCAGTTTTTTGATCACATGACTGATTCATTACGCCGTGAAAGCCAGCCGTTAACTTCTGTTCATTTTTCTATTTCCAGAGAGAACTTAACCATGAGCCACATCCCACGGGCCCACGTGAAAATCTCCTGAGTGGACAGCGTATGTGCCAAACAGCTTTAAAGACTGCAGGCACAAATATGACTCAACTTGAGTAAAAAAAAAAAAAAAGACACATGGTGCGCTCCTGCACAGATGTTGAACATTATCACTCTGGTGGAAAATCTCTCAGTGAAGGAGTCCTATGATACATTTCAGACACCACACACAGCACATTTTTATCGACCTCAGGTGGACGCAGGGCATAAGGGAATCTGCAGGGATTTTTCTCATCTTGTTGAAAAGTATTTCCTTGAGATACATTTAATTTTGTTGCTGTTGAGTATTTTATATGTGTTAAAAGTTGACCTGAGCCGCTGCTGGAATCTGAGAACTGTGCTCCACATTTTTCAGCTGTAAATCTGATTTAGTGGAGAATTGATCATAATAATGCAGTTATGTAAAGTCACGTTGGCTTGCAGCACTCTCAGAAACAGCAGCAGTGTGTTTCTGTGCCAACACTTTGTCTGTGCATTGCTGTGATTTGGCAGCTTGTTCTGTTGGGAAAAAACTTTTGATTACTTCTGTATTGTACTTGCACTATATGGGAAATCAAAGCACAATACTTTGTACGAATCATGAAATGAATCCGATTTTTGAACAACAGTACAGCTGACATCCTGGTGTCAACGCCGTCTACAAACCATACAATGGAGCCATGACGATTTTATTAGTTCTCTTGTTTCTGTAAATAACGACTTTTACTGATTAGATAAATGATCTCTAAATGATTATTTTTTTATACTGTGATCTGCTATCAACTCTGTAGTAGATTGTGTTTTATCTTACTGTTATGCAGCACTTTATCTGGCCTGTTTGCTCGATGTGATCAACAGTTTGTGGATATTTCTTCTCGCTGTTGTGAAAACTACTGTAAGTAAAAACTGTCACTGATCAACAGCCGCTGTGCATTTTTCTACCTTTTAGCCGTAACATGAGAGGAATCTCGGAGATCAGTCTGAATCTGTTTTCCACACGGACCGTGAAACTGCTTTTGAAACGGAGCAGATTTAAAACCTAGTGTGTCCCTCTGGGTGTGCAGAAACTTCTGTCACACTGCAGCTGCGATGGTGACAAACAGCCCCAGAGATAGTGTGTGATGAAAACAGGAAGACTTCATATGATGATCAAAAAACAAGAAACAAACAGCCTTGTTTTTTACATCTACATTCCTGCAAACAACCAGCACCTGAGTATGTTGTACGGCTGTGCATAGAGATCCAAATTTACCGGTAGTGCTGAATATAAGATGATCCCAGCACTCTGAGGTCAGGGTGTGAGTATTTTTCAGAACTGCAGCTTTAAAGTGATTAACAAAAGCAGCCAAACAAAAGAAACCTTGAAATTAATAAGTTGTCAAAATAAACATCTAATTCAAAAAGCAAGATACAGTTAAAAAACGCTTTAAACATACATATTGAAATAAAATTTGACCTTAATTATGTATGCAAAAAGTTTCTTACTAAATATTAACACAGTTAGACCATAATGTTGTCTCTTTAAGATCCTAATTACCATCATGCTTTTCTGTCTTCTCATTAAATTACAAGCATATCTTTCAAATTCATCTTTCATGTGACTCTGCAGATTAATTAACGTTTCAGAGGAGGAGTGCTGTCTGAGCTCGCTTAAGTTTAAGTTTATTATGGAGTGAAGGATTTTTTTATATAATTGCAGCATCTAAATGAAGGTTTCAGAGAGCTCTAAGTGTCCCGGTAATTGAACAACAAAAAGGAAAAATGTGACGGTTAAATTGAATCAGTAAAATAATCTTCTAAACCACATGGAAAGAGGATTCTGACAACACAAATCCTTCACTGAGAGTCTTCTCGAAGAGCTGAGGATGAAATCTATTTTTAAAATGTAAATTAAAAAAGCACAACGATTGTCATGTCGGTCAGGTTTCTCTTTTACATTTCAGTACATTCATGTTGGTTAAGTTTCTTTTATTTTAGCACATTTATGTTTTGTTTTATGTCTTGCATTTCCCGTTTTATTTTGTAGATCAAAAACCCATGTTTCTGTCCCCGTCTTGTCACACCTGCCGCCTGATCATTTCTTTATCATTTCCATGAAGTAATAATCATCATATTAATCATCTTGTACTGCAGACGCTGTAGTTCTTCTGCCTTAGCGTCTCGGTCTGATTGCATTTCCATGAAGAAATGATCATAAATGTTCTTCCTTGAGCTGCGTCACCCCGCTGCGGTAATGGACTCGCCTGAGGTCTCTGTACAAACAAGCGCCCGCTGGAAGAGAGTAGGTGAGTTGTGTTTAGTCTCTTTGCTAAAGAGATTAGTCAAAGTTAAAAAGATGTTTGGTGGCTAGTACTATGGCTGGGACCCTAAATGTACTGTTGATGAAGTTAGGTGCTGTTCTGAGCGTTACTTGTGGCCATAGAGTGGCGTTTTGGTTGAGCGTATGGCTCTCTGTATTGCTATCCTGTGGTCGTTACTTAAGTTGGTATAACTAGAGAAGCAAGCGGTCGGCAACATTCATCTCTCGACGGGGTGTCTAACTCGGTGTTATGATCTGTTTGACCCTTAATTAATATTACGCCGGATTATCCCTTTAATCAAGAAAACACAAGTCTCCTCTTTTCGGGTGTGTGACGAAACATTTACTACATTTCCCATCATAACTTAAAATCTTTATAAAAAAAAACTCAGTTAAACATTCACAGAGTTCTTGTCTGAATTTCTTTACAAGGAAATTTTGTTTCTGCACTTTTCTCCCATAAAGAGAGTTTTTATTTGATTCTCTTCAGTGAGTCGGCCGGCTGGTACTGAAATGTTCATGCTATCTTTCCTCTCTGGTATTTGCATAAAAGATGCATTCAACCCTTCAGCCAATCAGCACATAAATTAAATCAAAGCCTTTGGGGGTTTGCACAAATTTGATATGAAGTTAGTGATCCATGGACTCATTTATAGTCCAGTCATGGGAGGCACAACAGGAGAGGCAATTTAGTTATCTAAGCTGTACACTGCATGAACTATGAGCTTTGAGAAGAATCGATTCCTGGAATTATTTTTCACCCTTACAAGCTGAAATGTTCCTCCTCTGAAAGCAATTTCAGCTTGTGTGGACTGTAAATGAACTCTAGCTTGAAGGCCCCGTTTTTCAATATGATGGAAATGTTCTTGAATGCAGTTGTATCTGTTTCCCTCGCCCTCCGTTTGCAGCTCTATCTCTCTCACAGATAGCAGAGGACAGAAGAACAGGCCGTTTGGATTTATTTTTGTTTACGGGACGTCGTCTATAATTAGACCGAGTGAATCGATGGTTTTACAGCGTCAACATGACACCAGACCTTGTAACAGGAGAGTCTGAATACAGAAATAGTCTGTGTGAAAGTGAAAGAAAGAGGGAGGAGAAGAGGGGGATGTTAGGTATCGGGTTGATGCTGTTTCTGCAGCTCTCTGCTGTTTTGTCGCCCTGTGGGAAGACTAAACCTCTTATTACCCTTCGACTTCTACACCACCCTCCATTTTCCTCCTCCTACATTTATTCCACTCCCTGTCATCATGCCCTCGCATCCTCGTGTCGAACCTGCCTGTTTGCTGCGAGACCCATTAGCCGCACTCACATGCACTCGAACACACAAACAGACCCCTGACCTCTGCTTTTGTTTGTTATCGGCGTTAGTAAAGAGGTGGCCTCAGAAGCTTAATGGCTGAACGACTGAACATTCCTCTTATGGGCCCCGACCATTGAAACCTTCACGCACACACACACACAAATCCCTCCACAAATCAAACCAAACACACACACACACGCACGCACGCACGCACGCACGCACGCACACACACACACACACACACACACACACACACACACACACACACACACACACACACACACACACACAACTGCTGGTGTAAGTGGATTTGTCCATGGCAGGGATAAGGTGAAACTTAAAAATGAGGGCAGTGGATCATATGAATGAAGTGTGTGTATAAGACTTTAAATTTGGGGTGAACTAAGCCTTTATTTCAGCACATTGTTTATGGAGTTTGACTGAATGTACTGAGGGAACAAAAATATTAGTCTTCACACTTTAAGTTTGTTGTGATCTGCCAGCTCTCGTGCAGAAGTCTGAGAGTAATATGCTGATGGAGCTGAACAAACCTGAAATACAGCCATCTGTGGGAACAGCCACCTGACAGGTACATGACACTAACATGTGCGTACATCCAGCTGACAGATATGCACACCGATAATTTACAGTGAGGGTGGGAAGGGTGTAGCATGACTGAAATCTCACGCAGACTCAGAGTTTTGTATTATTTGCAGATTCGAAATGCGTCGCTCAAAACTGCATCAGTGCAATAAAAAGAGAGTCTTCAGACAGCGAGAAGAAGTTGTATCTTCAGTTTAATAGCATACAGCATCCATTCATAAATACATGTATACATTTTCTGCTTTACAAATACTTCTTAAAAGAGAGCAAGTAATAATGCAGACATTGCTTTGCAAATCCAGCAGGTATCTGACAGAAACTAAAAAGAGGGCAAATTAATGTTTAACCTGCAAACAGTCATAAAGTCAGGCTGAGTGGTTTGTTTGGGGAAGTCAGGGAGTTCCCGCTGACTTTTTAATATGACAAGTACACTGAGGAACAGGTTTTTATGCTTGTTCAGGGTTAAGTTGAAACAATGATCACAGTGAGAGTTTTGTTGGTTTCATTTTCAAATTCAGATGTCATAAAAACAGACCCCGGAATAGTAAAAATAAGCTAAAAAAACAAGGTTAAAACACTTTGCTCTACAATACAGAGAAGAAATCCTCTGATCTACCTTTAGTTCACTCTCCTGAATGTGAGTGAAGCCGAGGAGACGCAGCAGGAATGTGACACTGCTCTGTAAATGAAGAGCCGCGCCGTTAAAAGGCACTCGAATTGTTTTTGAGTTTGATTGTCACACAACACTTTGGAGGTTTTAGGAAAGTTTCCTAACAGTTATCAACCTTAAAAGTTTGTTAGAAGTCTGGCGTTTGTTCTCCAGGGCTACACATTAACTTAAAAAAACAACATTTCCCTCAACCTGAAACAAGCTATTCAAACTGAAGGAATTAAATCAGGCACTCAGATAATAGGCACTTAAATATGTTAGTTTACAGCACTTAATCAGAAAACATTCATTTCAACAGATGCATCAAAAGCACGGTACAAACAATACTGACTTAAGGGGGATATAAAAGTGCAATCTGTTTCAGAGAAAGCTATCAGGGGGATGAAGACAGAGGGCCTAACATCTCTAATGACATTACCCTCACAGGGTCCATGAAGGGAGGCGGACACGACTCTCTGCAAGCAGCAGAGCGCCTGTGTTAGTCACACCGTGCCCACCCTGCGCTCGAATCCTAACAGAATTACCTCCAAATTCAATTAAAGCCAAACTGTGAGTCACTTTTACTGAGGAATGTCCTCTGAGTCCAGCAGATTGGACAAGATGGAGTCTAAAGAGAGAAAAATGGAGGACTGGAATTAAAAAATGAGAGCCAAAATGTGAGTTTGGGGTTTGGTTTTTATAGGATACTCACAGGTTGGTTTAAATCGGGTTAATGTTTAAACAGCTGTTGTATATTGATCACTAAACTAGCATCAATAAGACAACTTTGGACCTCTTTCCCCCCTTTTCTAGACCATAAAACAAACATTCAAACACAATAGGTCGGCTTGTCTGGATAACATTTGACATTTTCCTCTGCGTGAGCTCGGGACGCTTGTTTGCATCTTCTCGTTAAAAACTTAAGACATAAAATGACCTTCAAACACCCTAAGAGTGGGAATTAGTGGCTCTGAACGATATATCATCACTTATGTTGATGGTTTCTGAAAAGGCTAAGCTTATTCAATGCAATAACATTCTCAATTCACGTGCAGTTAAGGCTAATGAGATAAATAACATCACAGATACAGTATATACACATTAAGGCTTTAAATTTACCTGCAGTATTTACACCGGTAAGATCTTCAGTAGTCATTTCATAGTTTCTAGTAGTCATACTTCATCTGATAATACCATTCAATTTAAAAAAACGCTGTCAAACATCATAATTTACTGCATTTCACTGATAGTAACTGATGATATTGTGCGTTCATTTGATTGTCAACACAAATCTCTTCACAGTTTTGGTCAGAACATGTAGGGAATGACAGGTTTTTGTTCAGCGTCTTTGTTCATCTTTTTAAATTCAGACAGGGTTAGCAGGTAGCGCCATCCTGGCTCTCGGGACAGTCACGTGCGAGGGCGACTGCTCTTCGGATGTGTCTACGAGGAAATCGTGGTCAGTATCGCTTTCGAGAGCAGAGTTTATGCAGGAGTCCGGGACAGAGCTTTGCTGCTCTGCAGGTTGGCGAGGAGGCGCAGGAGGTGGGAAGGATGGTGACTGGAGGATGTCGGCGTAGCGCTGGCTCGCTTTGGTCTCCCTCTGGAGGACTTTTCTCAGCAGGGGTTTCAGCAGCCCGATAGTCAGCTGACTGTTCTGTGGCTCTGCGAAGGGAGCAGGGGGAGAGGGGGGTGTGATAGACATGGAAAAAGAGGAAGAGGAGGATGAAGGAGGGCTGTTTGGAGAAGGTAGGTTTTTCAGCACCAAGTTGAGAATAGTTGTGACGGTGAGGTCTTCTGGGCACAGCACCCACAGCAAGTCCAGGTAAGGGTCCAGGTCTCGATGCTGGGCCACCTCGCACAGCAGAGTGGTGAAAATCTCCTTGTTGAGGAGTGGGCTCTGCTTGCAGAACTTCTGAGCCACATGGGTGACCTTCTCCCACTGCTGCATGGCCATGAGGATCCTCAGAGCCTGCAGGATGGCGTTGGGCCGCCCGCTGACCAGCAGCAGCTCCACCTCCAGGTCCTGCTGCTGAGTTCGGTCCATGCTCAGGCTGGACAGGACGCACAGAGCTCGTTTATAGAGCGGAACATTGTTCTCCCCACCCTCTCCTACTCTTGCACCAGAGAAACCCCAGGAGGGAGAGGCCAGGCTCAGGCCCAGGCCGGTGGAGCCCTGCTTCTGCTGGGCGAGCTCCAGGAAGGTGGGCAACCAGCTGGGCTGGAAGTGGAAAAGCGAGTGGCAGAGGAGCTCGAACACCGGCAGGGCCGCTGGGAGAGAGGAACTTGTGGGTTTGGCCTTACAGTTGGCAATGTGATCACTTTTGAGGCTGTGGTTGTGTTTGGGTCTGCCATTTGTGAATGAGGCAGACACTGCAGTGCTGGGTGTCGCAGCAGGACTGAGGACAGTTTTCCACACGTCTGGTGAAGCCCTGCTGGACAGAGAACGCTCTCCGTTGTAGTGCAGCTGTAGGGCAGCCTGCGCCGCCCTCCACCCCTGGCAGGGGAAGGTGCTGAAGATGGAGTTGAGGTAGAGCAGAGCCTCATAATCCAGCTCTGAGGAGGACAACAGTCTCGCTATTTCTTTCTCCACCAGTGTCTCACACACAGCCTCCACCTCTTTCACACTCCCCCTCACTAAATTGCCCTTCACCTCCTCCAGAGTGACCAGACACTTGAGCTCAGCCTCGAGCGAAACCATTAACTTGTCTTGCCCTGCTGCACGTCCATCTCCGTTCTGGGACAGCTCTGCTCCTTTCTGCCTCAGGAGGTAGCTCCTGACGATGGAGGCTAAAGAGATGGGAGCCTGGAACCTCCCTCCTCTCTTCAGAGCATCCACAGTGAGCTGTGTGCTGCTCAGGCTCCTCTGCTGGTAGTATTTACATGCCTCCTCGAAGACAGCTTCCACTAAGAGAGCTCCAGGATCAGTACTTTCCACTGCACTGAAACCACGAGGCTTCGTCTTGTTAGAGTCAGGCTCCTTGTTTAAAACCATAAAAAGTCCAGTTTCTGAGAGCAGGTGAGGTGTCCACTTTTCAGCACGGTTTAAGTATAACACCCCCTCTCTCTTTAGCGTGAGCTTGTCCAGTTCCCTGCCACAGTTCACATCTATTAGATGCAGATTTTGCTCTATCAGCAGAGCCAGAGTGTCCTGATACATGCAGAGACTAGTGTGAGTCCCAAATTTTACCAAACAGTTATCTGCCAGTTTAAAAATCTGCCGTAGCACCCCGTCTTTTTGCAGAAAACACACCCAGCCTGTGCTGAGCAGAAGCAGCAAACCTCCACATCCTGTCGGTGAGAAGTTGTAGATCTCAGGAGGGTCGAGCGTCGATAAATACCCCAAACAGTCCGGCACCAGTCTCTTAAAATCCGACTCTTTTGCCGACAGCTTCTTGAGAGGGGTGTTTTTACAGGTGGTGCTGACCGTGAAGGAGTCATGATGAGGAGACCAGGTGAGGAAGAACTTGGAGATGCTCAACAGAGGCTTCACTTTCAGGTCAGGCAGGAGGTGCACACATTCACCTGAGCTGACCACGTTGAATTTAGGGTTATTATGGAGGGCGATTTTAACCCCACCTAAGCTGACACCCCCTTCCTCCACCTCAAAGTCCCGTCTGCAGACACAGTACCTCAGTTTGTTCCTGGTGGAGCTGAGGGCAGGGGAGCTCTCTGAGGGCGGCCTCTCCTCACACCAGACGAGAAGATTAGGACAGGCGCACACGGACACCACCACGGCTCTGGGGCTGTTACACAAATCTGATGTTTGCAGGAGATGCCAGCCTCCTTTGCTCTCCTGAAATCTCCAAAACTCGGCTTTCCCATCCTCGAAAATCACTGCAACCACAGCTGCGTCCCTGTTATTCTTGTTATGGTCCAAGTATAAGATATCCACGATGGGAACAGGTCTGGGTGAACGCAAATCCAGTTTTTTGGGGTTCTGGGTCAGATGGAGTCGTTCATATTTGTCAAAAGTCACAAGACCCACCTTCGGTTTGCGGAGGATGACATGGATGTGTCGACCATCGGGGCTCAGACGGACGTTGGTCAGTTTAAAGGTCTCAGACAGCTCCTTAGCGCCGGTATAGTCCCCGAAATCTGACAGTTGTTCCAATCCCAGCCGCTCCATATCTTGACCTGTTTCCAGCCTAAGCGGTGGGTTTTAGCTCGTTATTATCCGGCCAATGTGGCACATAAATCCGAGGCTAACTGAGCGGCATCCCGTTAGTTTTCCTACCAGAGGCTTCATCTCCGCGGAAGGATACATCCACAGACAGCCTTCGACCCCGCCGACCCCATGTCATTCGACGGAAGCGGAGCAAACGGTTAAACGACAAACACTGGTTTCGTTAAGTTTTAAAGTCTAAATCGATGGTTGAGGCCACTTTGGTCATTCCGATGCTATGCTAACACTCCCCTGGCATCACGGGATCGTTAATTTCCGGATACCGATGATGTTTTTACACAAGAGGAGGAGCTAAACGAAGCCCGACAAAGAGTGTGAAGAATTGGGGAGAGGAGCAACTCCTGCCGCTCGTGAGGCTTCAGTCCGCCATGACCAACCGGTGAGGAAAAGTTCGAACCAAAATGGAGTTAAACATCGTGACATCTTAGTGGTAAAACTAAAAACACAGTAGTAAACTTTATTCTGTCAGTGAAATGTGTTCGATAAGGGGGAAGACACCGAGCAAAAGTTCACTTCTGGTCCCTTAATGTCCGAGAAAACTCTGTTAAAGTGCCCTCTTCTCTTCTATATCTTTGCTGTAGATGAGACAACACTACCTAAAGCACTGGAGAGGTATTTAATGTACAAACAAAGTGCCCTCTACCCATTTAGACTCTGTTGCCAAGTAGGGGAGAGTGGGGTAGGTTGAGCCAAAGAAATTGATCATGTGACCAAACATGGGAACATTAGGAGATGGGCATCAATTCATGGAGTCCGTGAAGGTTAGAAGCACATGGGTGAAGGGGTTACACATTTATTTCCAAAAAGCAAAACATTTTTTACTCTTGAAAGTGAATTTAGTCATAAGTTTTATTAGAATTGTGTTCAGACCAAAAAAGATCATTTTTAATTTGACAATTGTGTTATCGATGAGCTACAACATGAGGTCAAAAATCAAGCATAAAAGTCCACCATTTTAGCTTAGAGGACTAATAAAGTCATCATAGTAGTTCTTGGGTAACTGAGAAGGTAAAGGAGTCTGATGAGAGGATCAGAGAATTGTCTCCAAATGCCTTAAAGCATGTTTCATGTGGTCATCCATTTCATTTAGTTGATGTATATGGTGTGTTTTTATTTTGTCCAAAAGTATTGGATACTTTGTTTCGATCACTCATTGATTCACTGACAAATCTTCACTATTTAGATAATCACATAATTTCAAAAACAGGAAAGCTGCACTTCTTCTTGGCAGTGGTAAACAGTGAACTACAGTTGGCCTCTGTCTGTATCTGAGAAAGTCACTTTAAACTTTTAACCCAGCTTCAGTAGCTCAATCGGACCTCTGACCTCTTAAAAAGCAAAGCCAGCAAAAAAGAGCTGGCCTGCTCGAGAATCAATACGTCTGTCCCTTTAGTTTTACGTCCAAATCTCTCTGTGTGTTGGAGGATTATTCAAAGGAATTTGCAGAGTGGTGCCGGCACCATTTTTAAAGCGGCAGTGGGTGAGGTGAGAACAATAAAAGCACAAAGGAGGAACTGTGATTATTCCCTCCTGTGGTTTGGTTTGACAGCGAGGATGATTTAAAAGCTTACTTATCACTAACTTTATAAACCAGTTTATCTCTGTATTTCAGAGGCAAGCTTCCAGCTCGTTAAATGAAAAACTCTCTCAGTACATCCTTGTTCGATTTGGCAAGAATCTGTGAAAAACGTGGCTGGACTGTAACACAGTCACCTGGGTCAGTACACACTAATTTAGCTGAAAGTCAGAGGAACCCTGTTTCACAGCACAGATGCCTTTGCAGGAGGATTTGTCAAGTGAATTTGTTCGGATTTGGATGAGTCGGTAGAGGACAGGCTGGTAGGCGTATCAGGGGTCGACAAACAGCACGCAGAAGTAAAAGGCTGTTTTGTTTTTGAGGGAAAATAACTTTATCAAAATGGAGAGAAAGAATGTAGATGGTGAGTCATAGTGAAAACAACTTTAATAGCAACTTTCAAGTCAGCAACTTTTAGGTCGGCCTACACTGTGAAGCAGTGCCTGGATGAAGACAAATAAAGACAAAAGGTCGGTTTGCTTTAGTGACGGAGAACTGAGTAATAGAGCAGGTGACTTTTCTCTCTTGTTAATTTCGACTTCTTTATCTAAACCCTCTTGGCTACAGACGTGCTCCCAGAAAAAAATAACTTCCTACCAATTTAGAAACCCATCTCTTACCTGCTTTGAAACCACTTTTTTATACTTGAATGAAGGTACAAGTTAAAAATAAAGTAAAGAACAGGCTTTCTTGTGTTCAGTGATATTAAATTGATTAACAGACCAGCTTGTGATACCAATAAGATAATCAGATAGTCGCGTGGTTTTCAGCTGTGTCCTACAATGTCATGATCATCTGAGGCACAAGCTTTTGTTTGACACACTTTGCCTGCATGTCTTCTTGTATATCATGACTGATTTATTCGTCAATATTTAGACGGATAAATCAGTAAACATGTGAGCATTGTGTTTGTCATGCATATAAGTTCCCTTTTCATCCAGCAGGGGGCAGCCTTGGTCTTTACTCGTCTTATTGAAGCAGTTTGAAAGATCTGTAAATAAACTACAAGTGCTTCATAGTTTAGAGTTGAAGATAGATGATGCTGTCTTTATCATATATTTTTCTCTGTGTCACAGTGACGGTGCAAAGTATTCAATCATCCTCCAAAGCAGTACAGAAAACTCTCACTGTTTCTCAATGAGTATCACATGTCTGTACAGATCCAGCATCACAAGACTGCTGTCTTCACCCACCCTTACTTAACTACAGTTGTCCATTAAACCTCATGACTTTAATTGTTCCTGTTTATGTCATTTCTTCTGGACATTAAGAAGCTGTGCAGTGAAATCCACAGTCATCCCGTGCTGGTTGCTTTAACATCTAAAGCTCCAAAAGTGCTTTCTGAGGGATTTGAACACACGTTTTCATTAATTTGCCACCCTCTTCTTGCTCATTTAAGGTCTGGAAGTGATGATTTCTTGTTGTAATCGCTGAGTGTAAGGCTCTCTTTCTTCAATTTCACATATTCTTTATCTGCTTTTCTCTCACTGGCTGAAAATAGGATATCATTTTGCCTGAGGAGCAGCTGAGAAAAGTGTGAAATATGAATTTACTCTATTGTAGTTCTTTTAAACTGTCCGTGACCTAACTAGCAGAACAATAATTTAAGTCACTTGCTCTTTCAAAGCTTGTGTGTGTGTGTGTGTTTTCTTCGAGCTCTGATCTATATATGTTGTCTGTATTATTGCACCAGGACGCACTTAAGAGGAGAGAGGTTACCCATTCATATACGGGTGCATTATATCCTATTATGTCTCTGTGTCATTGCTGATATGGATGCAGTATATTATTCAAACAGGGGAATCAAACCCAGCCGCCTCCAGACAGGCTTGTGTTGGTCTGAAAAACACCCTCTATTAGAGAGTGTGTTTAGTCTGCTGTGCCTGCAGACAGCAAGATAAAGTGCTTGTCTGGAGACTAGAGGGGTTTGGATGCAGGGGAGATTTCCTCTTTGAGTTATACGGTATATAAAAGAAAACCAATAGCAGCGAGATTTCTTTCTCATGGAGCGGAAGACGAGGAGGCTGTCAGCTCTGCATCCCCTCTGGATAGAATTATTTTAAATTGAGCACAATTTAGAGGAGAAAGGTCTCTGTGTATATTGAGAAAAGAAAGAGAAGACTAAGTCTGTTTGGGCTTTGAGTGAGATGCTACGTCAAATGAAAGTTGCAGCCGCATGTCAACTTTAAGTCTCTTGCGAGAACAGGCAGATTTTACTGTCAGTTTTCCGCCGCGGCTGTAAAGCTGTCGAGTGTGCAGCCTCATATCTCCCTTATCTTCTGTACGTCTCTCCACTGGAGCGTTTTGTCTTGAGCTTCAAGGTGAGATTCTTTGATGAAATACTGGGGAGCAGAGCCGGCCATGTTTTATGTATTTCCGCACATTTCCTTTAAGAACAAAAGATGAAGAATCAGAACTTGAAACCTTTGAGAAATGAAATACGGCCAACAGATTTTCATCATGTTTGTACCAGACAGAAAAGTCTCACTGCCAGACATCCATATGAGAAATGTTTACTTCAGTAGTTGAGAGTTCTCAAATGACTCGCAGGGTTACATCTATTTCACTCCAGAGCCTCATTTCTGACACTGATGGAGTCCTTTAGGCGGTAAATAATTTCCAGAGAGATTATATTTCAACATCCAAATGCGTATATCAGCGGCGTCTCTTCAACATCAGCTGCATAATGAATTTGCACGAGCACATGAAGTGGCAATTCATGATATACTGTTGAGTGAGAACGGGAGATGATGCAGAGAGAGGGAAGCTTAGCGGTTCATTAGGAAGACAAACAGACGGGCAGATAAATGACACACTATATCTTCAGCTGAGACGGCTGAACAAAAACAAGCTGGATGAGATGGGCCATTTTGGAAATACTGTGTGCCATGATTTTTTGCATAATGTAGGAAAAAGACAAGACGGTATAACAAAGCAAGTCTAACGAAGCTGCTCATGTTCCTCACATGAACACAGGTCATTGTAAAGTTGTTAGTTTAAAGTTGGAAAACTCAAATTTAAGTTTTTCACAGTAACTATGTACAAAATGTGTTAATATTTCATCAAACCTACATTGAGCAACAACTGAAAACACAATGAAAAGTTAAATCAAGAGAAACCTGGGGTCAAGACAACAGCTAATGTTAGCATTTGACCTCTTTTTAATATGATCTGTGAGGGAAGATGTTCAAAACTAACATTACTGTGTGCTAATGTTTCAAGGAGAGCTATAAAACAGAAGCAGAAAGGCATGAATTCACATCCACTGGTATATTTGTTGAGAAGTTATTTAATGGGAATATTATTGCAGCTTGATATGCTCTTGTCTTCAAGAATAAATGAGAAGAAAATATGAAGCAGAAATCCA